ACTGCAGTAACAAATTAAACTATGGTTTGATAAATTCTTACTATATAAATTCCTAAGTCTAACCCTTTGGAAAAAGTAGAAAAACCCTCTATAATTTAAATATCTTTAGCTAATAAAATCATGTTACAACCTATATGTTTATAAATTCTAGATATAAATTAAACAAGATAGTGTAGAGTAACCCAACTCTACCTACTAGGCTGTCATGCTTCAAAATATAAACCTGACCCAGCCTGGAAGGTTGCCAAGCAGGAAGGTTATAGAGGGTCTACCCAACCCTAACCCGACTCATTCTGCAGCCTAGGAGCAAGCAATGGCAAGTGAGGGAAAGTGGGCGGGCCGAGTAGTCCACCCGCTGATGAGGATTTGGTAGTGTTCCATAGTGTACCATAGTGTACTACCTAAGCTACCTTATATATTTAGAGTCTTGTAGCGAAGCGAGATAACGAGTCGAGATGGCACTTGTGTTGCGCAGTAACTGACACGAACATCTGGCCATTGCACCAGCTTTGCTCGATCATTCAACTCGGTTTGACAGACTAGTAAGCGGTAGCCAAAGCACGCACGGACAAGCGGAGAACAACTACCAGCCGTTGCTGATAGATATATATTGTGACGTGGTCGTATTTTGTGGCACTGCTTGCTCGCAGCCCGCCCAGGCCCCTTGGGTGCTCCGCTTGATCGAAATCAATCAGCAGAACCAGTCGTTCCGCCTCCCTGCTGCATCACATTAACGCGAGATGATAGATACTTACCTGAGCCTCTGTTTAATACTGGAGATTAAGGTACTCAATGGAATCACATGATCCTCTATATCGGAACATACGGACATTCCTTCCACCTGTCCAGAGTTCTCATAGTCATCACTTAGTAAGTTTTTCTTTCCCTGGGAAGTTAGTTCGGCCGTGCGATTAGTCTTCCCGACCCATTCCGATCGGCTTCTGGGACCAACCTCAGTCGGCCAATGCTTGCTGCCTCCATCAGACACTTCTATTGGAAACAGACTTGAACATTTCAACATCAATCGTTATGGACTCTCTCAAATTTGGAGTCACAATTCCTGCAGTTATTATTACACTAGATAAGCCTCAGCAGACATATACAAGCCATTCGAACATTAGTGGAATGGTTTCGTTTACACCAGCTCGCACAACTCCGTTTGACTCGGTAGAGATTAGCCTTGAAGGCACTTCTCGCACACAAGTGCCGACAGCAACAAAGCTTGCAATTGGTACACATCAGTTTCTGCATTTATTGATGCCAGTATCAGAGTCAGCATATCCTATAAACCATGTTGCGGAATCGGGAAAGACATATAGGTTTAATTTTACTTTCGCTGTGCCACAGAAGCTTCTTCCGACCGCATGCCGGCATCGAATAGCAAACTCCAACTGCCTTCACGATGACCACACTCAAGCTCCGCCTTCAATGCCCTACTCGTCCGACAAACAGCATGATATGTCTCCTATGACGGTGAAAATAGAGTATGCCATCAGGGCTAAGCTCTTGCATCGATCTTCTGGCACAGGAAAAGTTGAAATCATCTCCCAGGCTTTTCGCCCGCTCCACATCATCCCTGACTCAGCTGACCAACCGCCACTTACTTTTGATCTCATCAACAATGATTACATCCTTCAGAAAAGCAAGACTCTAAGAAAAAGTCTATTCAAGGGGAAGCTTGGAACGATCACAGCCACTTCAGCGCAACCCGCTTCATTTCGATTCAATCCATTGTCGCCAGCAGCATCTTCATTGAGTACTTCTGCTCCGATCCATGTGCGCTTCGACCCGATTGATTCGCATGATCCTCCGCCTAAACTTGGAAGCATAAATAGTCGGATTCGCGTCAGCACATTCTTCTCAGCCGAGCCATATGATTCAGTGCCCAGCCATGCAAGCATGATCCAGACCCAGCGACCAAATTGCAGCGTTTACGAGACATCCATGCATCTCTCGACCTACGAGACATCCAGCATCAAATGGGAGAAGCAATCCGAGCGAAATGTGGCTCCACCATTGGGGTCGAGTATATTAGGACGAGATAGCGGGTATTGCACTCCGTCAGAGTCTGTCTTAGCCTCTGCAAATTCAGCGGCTGAACTCGCCCCATCCACGTCATGCGATGCCGGTAGTCAGAACGACCCCTACTACACGGCAACGATCATGGTGCCGGTGAGCCTGCCAAAGACTAAGATCTGGCTCCCGAGTTTCAACTCTTGTCTCCTGTCGCGCGTATATACGCTTGATATCGCTCTATCTGTGCAGAATGGCACTGGTGTGCCTGCCTCAATCATAGGGCTCCGGGTACCGGTCCAGGTATCATCTTCCAGCTCCCAATCCGGTGATACATTGGCGGACACTGTTGCCGAAAACGAAGAACTAGATGACTTGGCGGTGCTGCTCGATGACAGACTGGACGCAGCGTCGCAGATCCGTGGAGAGGACGACATTTTGCCACAGTATTGAAGTCTACGGTGTCTGTGCATGATAATTTCTTTTCAATACAGCGTCTTCTATGTCTGGTGACATTATGATCTGGAAAATAGTAGGACACCTCATTCAATTTGGGCATTTGCTCCACATGCTGCTTTAATTTTCTTACAAATAAAAAAAGGCAGAAAAACATGCAAAAGTGGTGTTTTTATGAGAACTTCCCCCCAAACACTTTCCCCCAAACACAAGCTAGGGAGGAAAGATCCGAAAGCGAAACGACAGGGAGAAATGGCGACAAATCATCCAGGTCATCAATTTCCCACGATAATTACTCTAAATCTGAATCTCCTCACGCAAGTGGATCCTGGCGCGGGCCTTTGCATCCTCAATTCCACCAGTCAGCATCGTGTTCTTGCGCTGCTCCTCATGACTCGCACGATAAATGTCGAATTTCTTCTCAAACCAATCCTGAATCGAAATAATCCGCCCCTCGGAGTCCTTAAATGTCGTCCCGTCAACTGGGCGCGTGAAATATGCAACCGAGTAGCGGTGCGTTTGCTCCATCTCGACGGTAGGCACAACGCGATGCAGCACCGATCGCAGCCGGAAACCAGACAAAAAACGCAAAGAGTCGCCGACATTGCAAATGGCAAAACCGGGTTGCGTCCGCACGTAGTCCCAGCTGTTCTCACTGGTAGTGGAGGGAACTTGTAGGCCCCATTGCTGCGCGAAGAGAAACGCGATACTGCTGATGTCGGTATGCTTGTTGTGGCCAACATTGGAGACATCGCGGGCGCCGAGCTTGTTATAGCGGTGGAAAGTCATCGAGGTGTGCGAGGGTCTGTTGTCCGGGTGTTTGCGCTCGAATCGGTCGTCGCCTTCAAGACCCATGGCATCGGAGAAGCTGGACAGGAGCTGGATAACGTGATAGCGCGTCTTGTCAATGAAGTCATTGAAGAGTGTGCTCTGGTCGAGAACCGCGGCGGGGAGAGGTTGATTTTGCCATGCGAGGCCCGTTTGAGCAATCTTTGTTATAAATGTCAGCTTGTCTTTTGGAAAAGTTGAAAGGGGAGGATATTGGAAAGATAGAGAGATCAAAGCTTCAAAGTCTTACTCGCAAAGTCTCGAAACCATCCTTGGACTTCTCAGTAGCCCCGGTTTGAGTACCGATGGGCTTGTAGCCTTGCACATCAGACCCGTAGGCATACTGGGTCTTCTCTTCGAGAGGAGTGTCGAACCACTTCTTCAAGACCTCCAGGCATGCCGTGTAGTCCTTCCACAAGCCCTTGCTGGCTGGTGTGGTCAGGTCAAGGTAAAAGAAGCCGTCCTTTTCGCCAGCCTCGAGCAGCTTCGCGGCCTCCTGAGGGTCGCGCTCGACAAGTTTGCCAAAGTTGATTGTGCGCAATTGCGCAACAGTAAAAGGCTTGCCCTCCGGGACAGGGCTGTTGTAGGTGACACGGACAGGCATAGTGATATACAGGTACAGACGAAGTTTAACAAAGACCGTTTGATGTTGAAGAGAGGGGACGATAAGATTTCAGACCTGCTGAGATGCCCTGAGATGCTGCTGCTGGCAATAAGAGAAAACTTCGAGATATCAATGCCTCTTTATACCCTTCAGTAGCACTCAATCTATACGGCTTGAACTAAAGCCATTTTGTCGTTCTCGGCTTCATCTACACAATTTCCGATCTGCTGAGGCACAGCAGATCTCACTTGCTAAAATCAATACGTACAAAATGCCGACGAGAATCCTCAAAAGCCTTGTCTAAGTTAGCGAGCTGGGCTTCTGTGAAGAACTACCACTGTGAGTCTCCCAAACAAAGAACGTGTTGTGGACTAATATCAGCGTTGCATTTTGGTATGTGGAGACCGTCTCGGTCGACTATCCTGCGGACCGTTCCCTTCCGAGCTCTAACAAGGGTCACAGGAGATAGCAGGGATATTGTACCTGCAGGGTCGCTGCTAGCGTGCCAGCCAGCAATTAGCAGTCACAGCCTTACCAATCTATTCGAGAGCAGGTGAACTAGCTAGCATTTGTCCTTCTATGTTGGGGCTGCAAATATAGCAGTCCTACATCCGAACCTTGGTGTTGTACCAATGGGAAGAGTCTGCTGGATTGACCCGCCTATCTGGATGAGTTTCTACGGCCGAAACTCGGTATTCACATTCGTGTTCCTGCATGTCTGTCTTAGACTTCCAATAAAGGGGGCAGATAAAGATGAAGTTTGACTTATCAGAGTATTTCTGGTGGGGCATGGTTATGAAGCTCATGCCATGGAAAACCAAGCATGTGAATTTTTTCAATTGAAATTATCTGCTCCAGTACATTGAACCTGGGAATCCTTGAACCACCTGCTCGGAGAGCTGCAGGAGACCAGAAGGCGGGAAGTTTTTTCGGACCTCGTATTTTCAGCTATCTCCTATATGCAACCAAAATGACAATGACTAGGCTGACGAAGCTTCATTCACCCTAAAATAATAATGGGACTGGAAAAGGAGGGTCTACGACCATTCAGAAGTGCACGGGTCCTGAATGGCGTGAAACTAATACCGGCGGACCATGAATCCCGCATCTAAGCAAGATCTTTGCAACGAATCCTCCGAGTCTGGACTGGCTGACCAACTCAACTGTTGTCTTCGTGATCTTTGAACCACATCAGGGTGCTTCATGTTATCCACTACCGAAATCGGCACCACGAACTAGCGTCCGAAGAGATTTGTGCATAGCTCTTAGTGGATTAAGAAATTCCAAAGCATCTTCTGATGCATTTTTTTTTTCATCTTCATCACACCCTGGCCTTTCTTAGCTTGGTTTCAGCTGCAAATATCTGTCCAGACGATGGCAGATTCAATATCACATCAGGTCATATCATGAGAGAAGACCGGGAGCAGCAGTGTCCGAGGAGTGGAGACAATGGCAGAACTTCTCATAAAGCTCAGATGGTTACGACGTCGGCTGAGAGCTTTACACCGTCTCCTATACACTATCGAGCATTGTTTTTTCCCTTAGTACCAAAATGATCTTTGCATTTCACATTGCTTGTTTGGCCCTTTTGCTTTTGTCTCTGCCTTCAGCGAGCGAGATTCTTCTTTCTTATCTGAAGGCGGCAAGGCAATTGGGAAAGCGGCAATGGCAAAAATTTCTGGGTGGCCATCGGAATGCGGAGTCGAAAATTCCATCGAAGTACTCAAAGACGCGCCTATCATTTGTGGCAGCGGATGAGGAGCTTCAAGGGTACAAACAAATGTACCATAAGCTACACAACCTGGAAAATTTTCCTTCGGTGCTGCCCGAGGCACGAGATATGCTGATATCTTTCTTTGCTGAGACTCTTGATACCGCAACAAAAGCCCCGGAACGCGGCATTCTTGGCCTCAAGAAGTTTGATGTGGAGCAGCTCACGGCTTTCCTGAAGGCCAAGGATGACAATATTACGCAGCGCTGGGAGAACTATCTAGCTCGAAGGGCCCGCGGTGCGCCTCGGGAGCTCTTCAAGGATCTTGAACATGCCAAATGGTTCCTCAGACAGAGTGCACCAAACAAAATGGTTGATGGTGCCTGGCTAGGGCATGTCCACAACATCACCACGCCGTTTGCACTTCGCCGAATCACCAAAAATGCCTGGCAGGTCTTTTCGGAAGAGGTTGGAGATGGAGATTTGACCAAGAATCACGCGTACATCTATGCTTCACTCACGAAAGAGATTGAAGCAGGCCTTCCGGATGCAAGCAGTCATGCTTTCGTAGAGCCCAGCCTTGGACTCAACGAAATTGCGCCCTGGAAGGCAGGACTCTCGCAGCTATTAATCTCGCTTTTCCCGCACGAATTTCTTCCTGAGATTCTTGGTTTCAATATGCATTTTGAAATGCTCACGTGGGACACCATGCGGGCGATCAAAGAGTTGGAGGAACTGAAGCTGGATTCCTACTATTTCCTGCTACACATTTCGATTGATAATGCAGACAGTGGACACACGGCAATGGCGATGCAGGCTGTTATTGACTTCCTCAATCACGTGAAGAAGACGGAAGGCACTGCCGCAGCCCATCAAGCATGGAAACGTGTCCAGGCAGGATTCATTCTGTCAGAGAGTCTACCTAGCTCTCCGAGCAATACTTTTGCCGATGTGTTGCCTAAACGCCACCCAAACAAGCTGGAAGCAGAGGTCCTCAGAGCTTTCAAGACCAAAGCACCAGTCGCGCACAAGCTTCATTGTGGCACGAGGGTTTCTATCCAGCGCAGGTCCCTTGTGGACTGGCTTGAGCCCAATGCGTTTGAATCAGAGATTCGCCAGATGGAATTCTTGGACGCGCTGAGTAATTCGAAACCCTGGATCTACAAAGGCCATCCTGAGCGCAGCCGACTTATTCAGTCTTTGGAATGGGAAGGTAAAATGTTCGGATCTTTTACGCAGACTGAAGTCGAGGATTTGAGGAAATGGATCGAGTCACTGGCCAGGCCGATGCCGAATGCAGAAATCTACTGGTCCTTTACAAGGAGAACGGCCATTAGTTCTGAAATTGCTCTTAAGTGCAGGAGCATTAGGGTTGCTTACCCAGTCATTGGTCCTGCAACAGACTCACATTTATCCACACCTGGAAAGACACTCTCTGCATCCGAGCTTACATTCCAAGTGGCGTCGACCTCGAGACCTGCGCTGGACAAGCTTCTGCCACTTTGGTTTACCCATACTTGTCTGCTCGAAGCGATCGTCACTATTCCTATCAAGACAACGGACCAGTCTACCGCTGCAGTTCTTCGCGTGCTCCGTGCACAATATGGGTTTGCGCCCGAGGGCTCTGGAGTTGCAGGCATGGACGAAGTGCGCCGGACTGATAGTATCGACCTTGTCCAACTGGGACTCGAAATGATAAAGGCTGCTGGCCTTCCTCAGCCGCAGTGTCTCAGCGATGTTTTGTGTGGGCGCGAGTCAGGTTTTGCAGACGAAATGCTGCACATGTCGATGCGGCCAATGGAGAATCGTGAGCTGCTCATGGGAATGTCCTTGGCTTTTGTGAATTTGCATGAGTCTCTTGCAACCTCTTCATCGATCAATTTGCTTTCGATGGATAGCAAGGCCATCTTGGCAGACATGGCTGCTCGAGAGCGTGAAGGGCTTCGATTTTGTCTAGAAGAATTGAGAAGCAGTAACGCTCGCTATGCAAGGTTCTGCCAGGGATATGAGATGGGCAAGCAGGAGATTGAAAGCTGCTTTTAGGAGAAATGTCCCGTCTCATGGCATAAGGTAGGTAGGTGTTTGCACTGTACGTACTTGGATTAAAACAACAAACCGTTCAAAGGCTTTTCTGTATTTAGGTCCAATTTCAATATTTGTAGCCGTTTTATTTGCTTTGTTTCGTTGCGAAAATAAAAATTACAAAACAATTTATACATATTATATTATACACCGAGTCTAGGAGTTGTGTAAAATCTATAAGGATATGATATAAAGGAGAGATGAAGCTTCATTCGCCGTCTAGCAAATAACGTCATGTATACACTACATGAGGATGTCTTTTATATTCAGAGCTCAACCATGCTCGATAATGTGCAAAGTGTGCACCGCATCTCTGGAAAGGTACTTGTACCTTGTTACAAAATTGCTTTACGAGAGAATGAAAAGATAATGTGGGTGATACAGCAATAGCAACATTACATGGCACGATAAGAGCGGGCTGAGGCATCGATCAGCCGTAACAGGAACCACTAACCCATCAACACCCCCGGATTGTCACTGCAGCTTAGCCAAAGGGAAATAAAATTCTCCACCAGATGCCTTTAGAGCTGCCTCTTTGGGCGGCACTGTGGGTCGTGGTGATAAGTCGGCTCAAGGCCAAATACAGCCAAGCGTGGGCCGATGGATGCAGGGCAAATCTTACAGCCAATACTCCGTAGATCATTGCACGGGTTAACTAGGGACCTAGGTGGTGGGCTGTTTTTACCACCGGCGTTGTCGCTAAAGTCGCTATCGTTTAGGGGGCCCGCGCGGATACGGATAGTCGGGAAGCCCAGAAGGCTTTGATAGCCGAAGCAGGCGAACATCTCTATCGACCATCGTCCTAACCCATGAACTGCAGTGAGACCGGGCATGGGTTCGATTGGTTATAAATTACCTTAAGGGCCATTTTTTTGCATCTCGCGGGCTTCTTCTGATCGGCCGTATTTAAGAAACTGCCGAACATCCCCGTCCTTCCACCGGCTGCAAAGCTAATGGCAACAAGTCATATCGGCTTTTACTTTGACTCATAGTACACCGCCTACAGAGTTGCAAAGGGTTCATCTGCTGGCCCCTGCCCCGACCCACTAGGACCCGGATATTCCCGGGCTGTGTTGACCCTTTTGAAAGCTTGGTATTACAAATCCTGGGAACCTGGAAAAAAAATTTACATCCAGGTATGATATACATCCAATCTATACGGCGACCAAAGCTTCCGAATGCACGGTTGGTATTTGCACCAGGGAAATCACGGTAAATCGCTGTCAGGAGTGTAATTAAAGTCTAGGTATCCGTACACCGGACACACAATATGTTTGGGATACTCGTACGTGGCTGGCAACAACGGACTTTTTTCGGGCCCCCTGAAAACCCTAGCCCGCACTGAACGGGACGGCAAGTTTTGCATTATGCCGACTCTAGTTCTCTACCGTTGCAATCAGCCATACAAACCTGTGCAATAGCTTATGCACGAGCCTCTCATCCCCAGCGTTAGAGATGCGGGCCGCGTTGGAGAAAGACTATAGTCAGTCTAGAAGAACGGCGAAAATGTTCCGCGACTACATTGCTGCTTTGAAATAAGATAGCTCCTGCAGGCACATCTTCGGTGATACCGAAAGAAGACGCTGGATGGTCAGCCCGTTGACCCTAGACCCACATAATTTTGTATATATGAAGTTGGGAGTGCCTCTCAATCTCGTTGCATTCGTCACGTCTCCTTTAAGTTCTTATAAGATACTATCGAGCCAAAAGAATACACAATATGGCTATCCAGGGACAGAATGCCGTGCAGCCTGTTTTTCAGCAGGAGCAGGAGAAGGCGGTTGCAGAAGAGACAACGCCAGTCCCGTTAGATGATGGCTATCCAGCCACTGACGTAGGCGTGCCTGCGATGATGCAGCTGTTTGGTCTTTCTGTCGTCGAGATCACGGCCTGGGGGTAAGTCTTTTGGTCTTTCATACAATCAAGCGGAGCTCTAATCTTTTATATGCAGTCTCGGATACTCTTATGGTGCTCTGGCAGACTACTTTTATAACAATCCCCCATTTGAGGGTATTGGGTATGTTTCTGCGGCCGGTATGGTTTCCAATGTAAGTCATCATATGAGTGCAAAAAAAACGACCTGGGCTTACCGGATATAGGGTGTCTTGCAAATCGTGCTGCCATTCATCATCTACTATCTCAACTACTTTCAAAGCCACCGGAAAGCTACCATGTGGCTAGGATGCATCATCTGCACTGTATCTCCAATAGGAGCTGCCTTCTGCAAATCGGTAATTTTGTTCAGACCGTGATAATGAAAAACATGCAGCTAATGGGTTTGGTCTTAGGCTCCTGGACTACTCGTCTGCCTTGGCCCTCTGAATGGAATTGGATCCTCGATGCTCTTTGCTCCTTCCATCGCGTATGTCGGCGACTGGTTTGTTCGCCGCAAGAGCGGCGCGTACGGTGTAATGTTCGTGTACCCCGCTGACTCCACCCTTTGACATGGCTGCTAATATTCCAATAGCTGTGGTGCTGGTGGCCTTTCTGGAGCAGTATTGCCCCCAATCTTCTCAGTCTGCCTCGAGAGGTACGGCCACAAGGCGACACTGGTGGGATGGGGCATTGCGTCGTTTGTCTTGACGGCGTCTGCTCTGCTCTCCATTCGCGCGCGCACGCCGCCCCCGCCGCGATCGAAGCCATCCTTTAAGGATTTTGACTTCTTCAAAAACCCCGTCGCCTTCATTTTCATTGCTTGTCAGTTTATTCAAGCGACTGCGCATTACCTTCCCTCTACCTACCTCCCACAGATTGCCACCGACTACGGCATCTCCGCTACCAAGGCCGCCACATTAACTAGTCTGATCAACGTCGCCACCGCTATTGGGCAGCCACTTCAAGGCATACTAGCGTATGTTTGAATTTGATATCCTTGACAAGACCACTGATGCTAACTTATTGTCTACAGTGACTATCGTACGTCTTTCTATATTCCTATGCTGATCAGCACTGCCGGCAGCTGCATCGAAGCCTTTGCCATTTGGGGAAACGCCCATGTTTATGCTCCGTTGATCATCTTTGCTCTCCTTTTCGGTGCCACGGCTGGTGGATACTCGGTCTTGCGCCCCCGCTTTGCGGCCTTTATACTTGGCGACCAAAAGGACAACAAGGAGAAAAGCTTGCTCATCTTTGGAGTGCTTACATGCTTCCGTGGTGTGGCCATCTTGTCGTCCGGCTTCATCGCCGATAGGCTCGTCGACGAGAATAAGCCGGTCACTGCTTCGTACGGCAGCGGCAAGTGGATGCCAGTTATTGTGTTCACGGGCGTTGCCATGTTTGTGTCCAGCTTCGGCGCGCTGGCCAAGTTCGTTGACCCATTCCGGTCCCGGCGCCACAGGAGCGAAATTGTCAGCGATAGCGACCGGTCGGACACGCAGCCCTGAACGTAAAGTGAGGGTATTGAAGGGGGATCTATGTATTGGGTCCCAAGGCCATCGGGCCTATTGACCTTTTGAGAATTACATCTCTTCGCCGTCCAATCTCGCGATGCCCTACAAGGAAACAACATCACCACTGTTGTGCTGGTATGATGGGAAAGCTTGGCCATCTGAGTCATGTCGGCTGAAGCATGCCTTCAAACTGCAACATCAAAAGCAGCAGGGCAGAGTGACAGCTTTGAATGGCTGCAGAGGTGCCCATATCAGCCTAGGATAACGAGCATTCATATTGTCGAATATATGAATAAGCTCTCTCTGGGTGCTCATGGGGTTACCATCCAAAAGGATATACCCAAGACTAGACAACGGGGTTATATAGCATACTATATGTGAACAATAGATGCTAATATAGACTAGTAATTTAATGATTACAACAATCTTTCTTAGACCGACTTGTATGGTTATAAATTGTGCCCGAACAAAACAAGCACGATGTAATGCTATGCTCTGGAAGTAGTAGAAAGCATCGCCTACCTAGAGAATAAACATGATATGTAGTAGAGAGAAAACAATACAAGTAACATATGACTAAACTTAAAGCCAAGTTAATGAAAAAAGGAGGCAAGGCTAACCCTGGACTAGACCAGTAGACTTAAAGACTACCTTATGACGTTTGAGTTCCTGGGGATTGCTCTTTAGTCAAAACCGCTCCTCTACAAAATGTTTAAGCTTTCCGCTCCCGTGGTTTAAAACAAGTTTGCTCATCTCTACATATTCAACCTCTAGCGGTGCAATCAGTCCCTGAGTCCTATTCCACACCCAACTCTGTGAGACCAGAGCTATATTTTCTTCCAGAGCGTCTCTGATCAAAGCTGCATTGTTGGGCGGAGGAATCGCCACTCGAAAAACCAACACATTCTTCCCTTTAACACGCCGAACAACACTCTGGAACTTGGCCGCTGCATCCTGCGAGATGTGCTTGCCGATCAACGACTTCAGCAGCGGCAGGTCGAGTAGGGTGGTATTGATCTTGAGTGCTACCGAGTCGCGCCCGTACAGCCTGAATGTCTTTTGCTCGTAGTCTTCCCAGGCTGCAATATCTCCAACGGGGTATCGGATCATTGGCTGCAGCCGCTTGATCAGGTGGGTGATAATCACGTTGCCTTTGACTTCGGCGTCTATTATAGGCCGTCCCTCACTGTCGACGATTTCCATGTGAACTGCCGGCTGCACGACCTTGTACAGTGGATTGATATCGTCGTCGCCGGTCGGCCGTGGTGGGTGAGCTGGCAGTCCGATGGGACCGCATTCCACGGATCCATACAGGTATGGTGCAATGATAGCGTTGGGGAAAGCTTCATTCCACAGAGGACGCACGTCTTTGAAAAAGGTCTCGCCGGAATAGAGGACGAGACGAACGCTTTGCAGATTGCGTCTTTGGCTCTTCAACCATTCTGCGAGTCGTGTGGGTGTGTAGACATTGCTGAGAATGACAGTCGCTTTGAACTTGTCGACTGTGTCTGCAATCACGTCAAGAGGCTGCTGCCCGCTAATCGGGAGGTGCACGTTGTCGACTGGCAATTCCATGAATGTGGTGTTGTTGAACATGAATCCGCCATACATGCCGCCCATGTGGCTGAGGTTGGCAATTAGGTCGCCCGGCACGAGACCAGTAGACGTCGACATGGCTACGGCGTTGATCTGGCAGATTCTCCGCAGCTCGTCGCGAGTGATATAGACGATTTTGGGCTCAGCGGTTGACCCACCTGATCGCATGACGACGCCATCGGTGAAGGGCGCTGTTAAGACGCTGGCAGCGCTGGCGGTGGATGAAGACCAGTAGGCCTCGACGTCGGTGATTGGCAGGTCGGACAGTATCGTGGACAAAGGCAAGTGAGAGAAGGCGCCATTGTAGAATGAGGAATGTTCACGGACGAACTTCAAAAGGTCCGATGGTATCAAAGAAAATGTTTCAAATGATCGTGTCATGTTGGAGAGCCGGCGAGACGCTCAGATTGGGAATATCTGGTGGGTTTTGAACCGGATACGCAATCCAGTCGAGTGCTGCAAGAGATGATATATGACATTTTGTAATTGTCGCCATGTTACCTCCCAGCGGGACGGACTGATTTTTCGTTCTCGTCCTGGCCGCCGGGTCTTTTTGCACCGAGGATAAATGTCATGTCCAGAAGGAGAATTCAATTTTTCTCTGGTTGTGGATGATGATGCCTAGGCTCAGGGCAGAGATCCCGAACGAAAATGATTCTTCCCTGCATATCCTAATAGAAAAGACCCTTAAACATCAGCGCTCGGGTCAGCATGCATATCCCTGTACAATGTAACATGGAATATAATGGTGTGATTGCCCTATATCCGACGCTACCCGGGCTGATTGTGGGGTAATACGAATACGTTCAATTCAGATGCTAAGATTGAGAATCCCTGTTGCAAAAGCAGCAGGCTGTAATGAAATGCTCAAGAATGCAACTCCGAGGACTTAGCATTGCACCTTGTAATTTCAACATTTGGAATTGGACATTGCATTATGAGAGACATTCGGCCTTCTTTCTGAGAATACAAAGCTCTAAAGTAACACTATGATAAATAATATCCACCAATGTTCTAGAAGCAAAATGCACATTTCCTCCTTCACCGGCTAAGCTCCTGAAGTCAATCATTTCTGTCCTGAGCATAGGGACTTCGTCGCCGCAAGGCATGTCCAAATTTCCAGAGCATAACGACGGCCGGCAATCCAATACCCAATGCAATAAACCCAAGGATGCTATTACCCCAACCATATCCTAGTTTTTCATACAATGACGGTGCAAAAATCGGAAAGAAACAGCCAAACATTTGCCGTAGCATGTTAATGGCTGCTAACGCGCTGGCTGCAAACTTGCCATATGTATCAATCATGTACATGTTCACGGCAATGGCGCATGCCATGGCGGCGCCCATGAAAATTGCGGCGCCGATATTGGGCACAATCCAGTGGGTCTTGTACTCGGCGCTCCAACCATACAGGAACATGCCGGCTGCCAGGACAATGGTTGCAGGCGGCATAATCGGCATTCGGAATTCGGGAAAATGTGCACCATTGTGTTTTGCGGAGAGGTGTCTCTGAATGTGGTCAATGGCGTGGGTACAGAGCTCGGCGGCAAATAGGGAGCCGACAAAAAGAGATAAATAGTTCACTCCCGAGATCTCGGGTGTTTCGTGGTAGATGTCTGTCCATAGTGACGGAAAGTTGGCGTAGAGAATGTAAATGAGACCGTATAGAAAGGAGTTATAGACGGCCATTACCTGAATGATAGGCTGCGTAGCGAGCAATTTGATCGGACGAATGATCGCTAACTTGTATACCTCGGCGCCTGCTTGATCCAAGTGGTCGTATTCAGTAAAGTAACGCTGCCCAGTTTCTTTTTCGAGACGTCTTTTCTTGTGTCGCAGAAGCACTGGTGTAAAGGTTTCCTCGAGTGTGAAGAAACTCGGTATCAAAATGATTGCATCAAGCAGAGAAGCGGTATAAAATGTCCAACGCCATGTAGTGTGTTGTGCAATCACACCTCCAAGCACCGGTCCAATAACCGGACCTATGAGTGGCATAATGCTGTACACTGCGATAGCCCTACCACGTTCCTTGGTGGTAAAGAGATCAGAGAGCACACCGCTTCCAATCTATGCACGAGTCAGCGATTTTGTTTCCCTTTTTAAAAAGACGACGAAATAATCTCTTACCCCCTGGGATGCACTGCAAAAGAATCCGGCCATAAAACGAAGTGCCAGCATAGCTCCAGCTGAATTTACCGGGCCACAAACAGTGTTGAAGATGAGATACAAAAAGTTCCATGACTGGATGATTCTAATGCGGCCGTGAATTTCGGACAACGGACAAGCAAGAAAAGGCCCAAATGCAAAACCCAAAACAAATATGGAGAGAATCAAGATTTGCTCCGCATCGTTCGTGACTCGAAGCGAATCTGCAATTTGAGGGAGTGCAGGGGCAATAATGGTCGAAGAGAGCGAGTTCATCAATACAAACCCAGACACTGAAACTGTCGCTCTCCATTTGCGAACCTTGGACCAATTCTTTGGATTCTCTTTGTCGTCTGGTGATGTCCAGGTCACCAACTGAGGCTCGTCAGCAGCTGCTTTCTCAGTCTCAGCCGCTGCTACTGGCTCAGGCTGTATTTCCATCTTGCGATTGTATGTGTGAAGAGGACAAAGAATATCAAAATAGTCTGACACATTGGTTAATTAGTCCTCGGTCCTCTGTGTCATAGTCTTAGCGCACGCTGGTCAATACCCCGAAGCGATCCGTTCCCCTGGCCTACGGGATCTTGCAATTAGTTTATCGCTAGGCCCTTGCTAACCAGCCTCTATGAGACCCGGCTTCTTGAGTCATTGAATTGTTGTGTCAGGGCTTTCTTTTGACCTTCTCCTTCGAATCCACCTTTCCGTTACTATACAGTAATCCTTGTGAAAACATAACATTTTGCAAATTTCTATCGCATCTGTGTAGCCTCTTAGTAAAGCTTTTACCATCACGTCCCGCGAAGCAATGGAAGGTATACTTGTATCGACTTGATGATTGCCCCTTACTGACCGACCAATGCGTCTTGCAATACCGCGTTCCAATGTAACACTGACATGGTCCAGCATTCGATTTTGCACCAATAACAGAAGATTCGATTGTTCAATGAACAAGGCGTATAGAAAAAGGCTTGTCCTATTGAAGAAGGTACAGTGAAAGTTGCGAGGCGAAGATGATGCACCGGCTATCCTCGGTGTTCTTTCCAGCTGGACCTAAACCGTGCTTAACCGCCTTGATCATCCATCCATGCCCTGATCCTCTACCATCTCCGTACGAAGTCCTGCGGTGACACGACATTTTTCACCGCTCTAATGATTTCTATAGCGTTTGATTATCGATGGATTCGCACGGCTCGGGCCGTATTCTGGTGGCAAGTCTGCCATAATGTGATACGAACTGCAGTGTTTCGGCGTCCAAGGGTCTGTTCTCGACATGGTCAGAACGTTACAGTTCTCTCCACATGAACATGCATGGGTTTCTGCGAATCATCACAGTCGGATATTGGTCACATTTCCCTGTCATCGTGGCAATTTGACCTTTGGTGATCACGACTTCGGAGGGAAAAAGAGCGAGCGCTCCCTCTTCTGCACGCGCATGCAAATGGAGTCCCCCGGAGAAAGCATCTCAGCCTTGCTTACAGCATATACCGGCATGCTTTTCATGGCTAAAATAAGCCGATGGCAGCCATCCTCCCGTCCTGGCTGAAAAAGCCATCTGCTTCGTCAAAAGCAGCCACAAGCGGTCGTTCTCAAGGCTTCAATCGTTCTTCAAAAAAGCAGGATACCATTAAGAAATTGACTATTCCATTGCAAAATGCCTACAGCCGTGCGGACAAGCTCTGCGGAGCCGGTCAAGACACACCATGAAAAGCCCAATTCTCTCGCGCCGGAGCAGCCTCTGTCGTCTGCTGCGTCATTGAAAACCGACAATAGACGACCATCAATATCTGTGAACAATCTGGAATGGTCAAGCAGTAATGAAGCATCCAATGACTTCCGATCAGACTATTGCACCAAACCCACCCTGCCCATGCTGGAAGCCATCATCCAGACATCCCTCGGCGATGACGTGATGCAGGAAGATCCCACAACGAACTCCTTTCAAGAATACGTCGCCGACTTGCTAGGTCATGAAGCTTCGCTTCTTGTCATGTCAGGGACAATGGGCAACCAGGTCGCTCTGCGATCAGCCCTGAAGACACCGCCTTATTCCATTGTCGCTGACCACCGAGGACACATTATCAATCTCGAGGCCGGAGGCCCAGCAACCCTATGTGGGGCTCTCGTCAAAATGGTCATCCCGGCGAACGGTCATCATCTCACGCTTGGCGACGTCAAGAGGAATGCCACCATTACCTTTGACGTCTATGACTGCCCGACTCAAGTCATCAGCCTGGAAAACACGCTTTCCGGAACCGTGATGCCTCTATCCGAGGTTCGTGCCATCTCGCATTGGGCACGGGCGCAGGACCCTCCAATCCATATGCACTTGGACGGAGCTCGTCTGTGGGAAGCCGTGGCCTCTGGTGCCGGAACCCTGCGGGAGTTTGGAGAGTGCTTCGACAGCATTCAAATGTGTCTGACCAAGGGTCTCGGGGCGCCCATTGGGAGCGTTGTTGTTGGTAGCTCCACTTTTATCAAGCGGGCGCGTTGGATCCGCAAGATTCTCGGTGGTGGTCTTCGTGCAGCAGGCGTCATCGCAGCGCCCGCACGAGTAGCCATTGAGGATGTATTTTTTGGTGGGAAGTTGAAGGCAGCGCAGGACAAAGCCAAGCTTGTGTCAGCCTTGTGGGAGCAACTTGGCGGGAAGCTTCAACGGCCAACCGAGACAAACATGGTCTGGTTTGACCTTGAAGCCTCGGGCTTGATGCGCGAACAGTTTTACCCATTGGCTCGTACTTTTGACGTGAAGTTGTTCGAACACCCCCTCGTGAATGGACGAGTGGTCTTTCACTATCAGATCACCGAGGATGCTTTTGCCAGGCTCTGTCAATTTGTCCGGGAGGTATTGAAAGTACCATCACTTACTAAACCAGTGTAGAAATATAATTTTGACAGGCATACTTTTCTACATCTTAGCTATGTATCTTTCGGTTCATAATCTAGGGTGGTATTGTACTTGGTCAAGATGTTCTCAACAAGCCCAGCATTATTAGATAGAAACTGCGCACAATTCACGTACAGCTCGAACTGGAATACTAAGACGTGTAAAAAATAGCAATAAAACTTCCGGAGATCTTCGAATGTCTGAAATCCTTTTCCCTTCTGAACAAAATTCAAAGACAAATTGCATCTGCCGCCCACACATGGTTCTCGAAATGTAGATACGGAATTAAACGGAGATATGGACGGCTTACTGCCAAGCCGTCATAGCTAACGACTGCGGTTAGTGTAGTGTAAGCTGGGAAGCCCTTTTGGAGACGAGAACCCAGCTGCGCGGATAGAGGACTTGATTAAGAGGCTGTAAATAAGCTTATTGAGCGCTTTATTCATGCAGCCAATGATCATTAACTAGGACAATTTCGAACTTGATCAAAAAAGATATGTTGGATGTACTACATTCAAGACAAACTTGAACCGATGGTGAAAAGTTCTCCAACGTGATTTCTAAAGCCTTGTCTTCAGTATGAGACTTGTAGACTAATCAATATAACGCTTACAACTACACTTTCGTACAAAATACTCTCAACTTACATCGCTCTAAATCATCGAAACATCTAAAACATCTATCACTTCAAAAATTACAAGCTCGCTTTACCCTGGCTTTCAAAAGGCAACACGATAACAATCAGGCCGGCAGCAATAAAGAGCGCTCCGCTGGTATATACAGGTGCTGAAGTCTTGAGGTTTGCAAACATGGCAACAATGGGCTATCATCATCTTGTTAGAATCAAGAGTTTCCCTATTAAAGTAATGGTGATAACTTACAGCCATGATACCAAAAACACGATTCGCCGTGGCGGTCAATGCATTTCCGGTTCCTCGATCCTTTGTGGGGAAGATCTCCGGTGTGTATGCATACAAGACGGCATACAAGATATTGCTGCAGAAATTGTACGCGCACTGCCATCCCAACAATGCGTCAGAGGTCGTGGCAGTCGTTGAGGCGTACAAGAAGACGCCAGTGAGAATGGTGAACAGTGACAAAGTGCCTCGGCGGCCGAAGCGCTTGATCTCTACCATGGCACCGCCCAAAAGGCACCCAGGAACACCAAGAACAGCGATGATGAGCGTGTTGCGGTAGGTGAGGTAGGTGCTTCCATCGCCAAATTCCGCACCCCGTGTGGCTTGGATATAACTGGATAAGAAAATAAGCACGCATTTATCGTCAAATGGGAGATATGTGGTGGAAGCTCACGGAAGAAATGCATTATACAGAGGGTATCCCAAACCGATAAAAGCCCACACGATCATGATCATGGTGGTAGAAAATGCAAGCTTCCACGTAGCAAATAGCGCGCGAATATGCGCAAGGTTAAATTTCTGGAGATTGCGCTTGATGGCAGCTGTCGTATCCGTCTGCTGTTGGATTATCTCTCCAGCAGGCTCGCACGCCTTGAGGTCTTCCACTGTCAAGGTTGAAGTTTTGCCATTGCGGCGGGCTACCTCGTGGACAATTTCAACCGCCTTTTCATCGTTGCCTTTGCCCATGTGGAATTTGGGGGACTCAAAGACAGTGAAGCACACAAAGCGAATAAAGAATCTGGCGACTGTCAGCTTGACACTTCGGCAAAGGTTTAAAAAAAAAATTTTTATAAAAATGGAGATCATACTCGATCAAGCTGATGCCGCCCATGGTAATGACAAAGTACCGCCATCCCATGTTTTCACTCTTAGTACATGTTTTCGCCGTCTCCGAGCAGGTCAAGTTGCCCAATAAAGGCCAAGCGATAAGAGTCGCTATCACCTGCGCCAGAGCCCAATCGATGGAAAGAATCGTAAGAAGGAATTGGTGCGAACCCGGCAAAAACTCAAGAAAGACTGCCGAATCGACGGGTAGGTTCCCACCAACTCCAAAGGACCACAATGCTGCAAAGCATCCAATTGCAGCAAAATTGGGAGAGCCTGCGGCAATCATGCCAAAGACGGCCGTTACACCCAGCGTCAAGTTGAACGCCCAGCGTCTGCCAAACAGATCGCAACCAAATCCCCAAAACATTGCGCCTGCCAGCAGCCCAATATTCTGGGCCAGAGTCAAAAATGGCGGGCGCGTGACGTTGAATTCACTCGCAATCGGCGGCAAGATCAGAGACGTCACAATGGGCCACAAGTTGTCGTTTGCCCAGCCAAAGCCGACCACGATGAAAAGCTGCCATTGGTACCAGCCCATGCCAATTTCTTGAATGGCATGGTTCAGAACCCGTGCTTTGGCTTCATACACGGGATCGATCGTTCCTTTTGGCAGGGCAGCAGCCTCGTCAACGGCAACTTTGGAGAGCTCAGTCGCCTCTGGGATGACCTCGGGACCGACCTTCTGGTCGCATGCGATATCTGCCATCGTGCCGATATTGTCTCAGTCTTTGCGACCGTGAAAAAATTTGAGATTACTGAAAAGAATTTGGAATTTGGATACGGAAATTATTTAACATGTCATGATGCATGTCTTGCAGATTTAGAGAGCGTAGACCAAAGTTGGAAGGTGCTGAGATTTCATGTGGAACACGAGTGATGATTGGCGCAGATCAAATGTCGTTATTGCATGGCTCCCTGGTGTGCTCGAAGCATATTTGCAGCTGCTTAATATTAAAGTAGCTGCTAATTGGTAGAAGCTAAATGGTTGGTGGTATCAGTGCGGGGATCCGATGAAAGGAAGGAAGAGGGGGGGTTAGGGGAGTAGGGTACCTGCCCACAACTAAAAAGCTATCTCAGCAAGTAAGATTGGATTTCGTGATAACATACTCTATCCATGCTGCAAACGTAAAAGTCAACAGACGATGAAAGCTTTGCGTTGCTATAGCAAGTTGAGAAGTAGTCGCCAATAGTTTGCCAAGAACATGCCTGGTTGAAGTTTCTTTCGAGTAAGGTTGCGGGTCGCTAAAATGACGATATTTCTTAACGATGAGGCCCTTACTCCTTCCGGAAATTTATTTTTTCCCTTGACGCAAATTAGGTACACTTAAGGGTCCCTTCCAAATAAATCTACCTTAGAACTAGACAAAGTTAGACTTTCGCTCAAGGTCAATTTCGATAGCAGGCACGTGGCAATAGTTCTCATTTTGTGAATCTAATAAATGTATATCTATATGCACCTTGACAAAAAGAAACAAACATCAACATTCTCGCTATAGTGCTTCAAAGTAATAAGAAAATTTTGAAAAATGAAATGGATTGGTGCCTCAACGCGCCGTGCAAATTTTGTAGATCAAAACTCCCCAATCCGTTTGCCAAAGTATTCGCCTGGTGCCACTTTCAACCAGGGAACCGAGTTGTTATCATCGGTGTTCGACCCAACTGTGTTGCCCCACCAAACGAATTTAATACCGTGGTAACTGAGCGCAAAGAAGATGATAATGGTTGCAAATGCGGTGCCAGTATCCATTGCAGCTTGCAGGAGATCTGGACAAATAAGAGCTTAGCCTTTACTCATGGAACGCCATATAAGACGGAGGGAAGGAACTTACAGTTGTACCGTTTCCACCATCCAAAGGCACGCTGACGGACGAGGTAATTGAAGATGAATCCGAAAATAAACCAAAGCGAGTATTGAGCTGTTGAGTGTGTGAGCCTCATGAAGACGGATCGAATGATAGCCGCAAAAGAAATGGAGCAACTTACTCGTGTTGCACGGAGGAATGTTACCCGCTGCATTGAAAAAGACTGGAACATTGATATATCGGACCCAACTGTGAGGGTATCGCCGATAAACGAGCCAAACTAAGACGGTAACCACGGGCTAAAAATTGCAGATTAGCAACAAGATCTACTTTTTTGACGTAGGAACTTCGTTTCTCACTCCGATGATAAAGAAGTACATTAACCCGCTGTAGACCTGTCCAGATTGGAACAGCCTTTGAGGGCCGACCGTTCCCCAAATGAGAGAGGCATTGTAGATGACCTTGGAACCGTTGCATGTAAAGCGCTGTTTGTTTGTCGGCTTGCACAGGTCTTTGATATTACTCATCATCCATCGGAGCACTATCATCAACAGTTCAGCTTCCAATCTCTGACGAGTTCTAGAACTGACTAGGAAAGAACTACTTACCTCCAGTTTGAGTCGCAGTCGCAAGAATAGTCGAATAGACTTGGCCAACAAATAGAACGCGAGGCGGGATTTTCTACAATTGTTAATATACCAAGCAAATTTGTCACCAAATGTAGATCCTCATACCATATACTGTCCCAGCTTGAGGTCCTGAGCAAAATCCATTCCATGCTTAACAGAATTGTAGCCGTAGAACTTGACCATCATATTTGCGATCGGCTTGCCAGGCCATGCGTACCCGGCAATGAGTTCGGTTATAATATTGAGGAAGCTGCAGTTCAAAAATATTATCAGTCATCAACGAGTTGTGGGGCTCGGATTTTGACGGAAGAGTACTGACATTCTCTGGTTGGTCGTTCCTTCTAGGATTCCCTCCGGGATAATCAACAAGACACCCATGCCTAAGCAAACTACCAAGAATCCCCAGACTGGAAGGCCAGAGTCCCAGTATTTCACCGTGAATAATCCCAGACCAACAACCACCAGGGTCAGAGCAAGGTACCACCAGTCAGGTACTTCCTTGTATGCATTCATCAATCGCTTGTGGATGTCCTCTCCACCATGGCGTGAGTTCTTGAACTTGGCCCATATCTCGGAACCATTGTAAAGGTATGTATGGACTACTACAGCTGTGACTGCAGCAAAGGAGAGCCCGTAGGTAAGCGAGTACGACATGGAAATATACATCGGGGAGTATTCCTGATATTTGCTGAGAACAAAGTTGAGGTTCGAGTCAACTACACGTGTAATGTTGTATGTATGACCCCTATTGTCATATGTTCCAGCAGACAAGAGTGGAAGACTGTGAAGGGTCAGCAAAAAAGTCAAGTTTCAAACGTTTTTCCCGGCACCTAAGGTAGAATTGGAACTTACTAGGCACTGTTCCAAACGTTTGAATAGTACAGTATTGGCGAGAGAAACAGGTAGAAGAACAAAACGACGGCAAATGCATTGCAGGTAATATAAAAAGGGGTCGTGAGAGGTTGGCCCGCCTGAGTGATCTGTGTCCAATCAAAACTGATGGGCAGAAGTCCCAAACCAGAGTTCATCTATATCGTGTAGCTGTATCAGCTTGCATTGCCCCATTAAGTTCAGCGTATCCAAGGTGCTAGAGGACTTACCCCGAATATCGTGTTGACTTTTTGATTATGCGGCACAATCCATGTAATAAATGCAAAGGTGCTGAGACTCGTCCAGATGTAATCGGGGAACCAGAAAATGACAAATGCAAGCATAGTGAAGTAACCAAAAAATCGATATCGGCTCATGCTCCAACCGTTAACCTTAGAATTGTCTTGACGCTCATGCAGCGAGCGAAACAGGACTGTTGAAGCGAGCGAGGAGGGCCAGATGAGTGCGGCAGGGTAGACAAGGAAACGACGAGCGAGGCCTGCTAGACCAAAGCTGCATAGTTTTGTTAGTAACATAAATAAATATCAAGCCATCCTTGATCGTAGAAGGGGGGAAAAAGGGGGGTCGGAAAAAAAAAAAGAAGAAGAAGGAACGCTTAGAGCGAAGGCGATAGAGGGGATAAACCAAATAATAGCGGCTTCAAGTAGCTAAATAAAACTAGAATGACTTACCCGAGCATCTGGGTTGTCAGGAGATAGAGGAAACAGAACCCAGCACCATAGTCATGGTTCCAATAGACAGGACTGATGATCGCCATCAATGATCCTAAGGCGTACGCAGCGCCAGAGCTGATGTTGACGCACTACATGAGAGCAATCTTCGTCAGCAGCAACACAGACAGACCATGATAGCAAAAGAGCAGAATTCAAAAACGGAAGACGGATGAGAATTTTTCAAAGTACTCACGATGACAATGAGTGCATGCTCTTTGATAGTAAATTTGCCAGGATTGACATCGAAGGACAATTTTCCTAATGGGACTCGCCAGCGAGGAAGTTTCTCCCATGCTCGGCCAATGGGAAAGACGAGCAGCTGGGCAACAACATAGCCTAAAGTGAGGGTTGGCTAGAAAGAATCAGTAAACTCTGGTCGAAGCAAATAAGATTGAACCTCAGTGACGAGGAATCTTGGTTGAATCCAGGAAAAAATTTTCCATATCGAACATACATATCGTAGGCCAAAGAATTGATTGACACCGGAGAACAGAACAACAAAGATCGTGGTCAGGATCCAGGCACGAACGGCTGACGGGACATCAGCATCATCTAGTTTTCGACCAATATTGACAACTCACTGTTGCAGGCGATGTTCGGGTCGTCCGTGTTAGACACACAAGCAGCCACCTCAGCGACTAGATAAAAATATTAGCCAGCTATTTTAAATAGCGTTGATTAATTGAACAGGTGCTTACACGGCGATTGATCACCATCGACGTTCCACTTGAACGCTTCTACCGGTGTGAGCTCAGTCTTTTCGGCCTTGTCAACTAAGACTTTTGTTTCTTCTTCTTCAAATTCTCCTTTCACGGACCCATCAGCCTCGATATCGGTCACGTTTTCTTGGGCATTTTCTTTTGAATATCCGTCGTCGTGAGAAGTTGGTAAGGTATTTGAATTCTTTTCATTGGCAAAACCAGCCCGAGAAATTTCGGTCGACATGACTGCGCTGTGGCAGTTATGGTGCCTTGGTTGATACAACCCAATATGAATAGAGCCATACTTGGAGCACAATCCTTTTATCAATTGCAGAAAACATTACGGCAGGGCTGATAGCATCAATGGCGTGCTATCAGCGCTGCAATTGCGATAGATTTGGCAGCACGATTTCCCTGACACTAGATGGCCCAGATTCGAGCTTCGCGGGGTTTATCCTAGGTCAGGAAACTTCGGCCCCGGGTTGAAACAGGAGCGTCTCCACTGCGGATCATCGTGCCATTGGCTTGGAGACGTTGCTTCCAATCCTCGATATTAAACCACCCGCTATAGGCAATTTTCATCGGATCTTCTCCGAACCTTGTTTCACTGATGACTTCAGAAAAGCAAGTTATCTCGATCATTATTTGCCCCGGTCTCCATAAAAAATAAGCCACGGACTTCACATTTGTGCCTGAGTGGAATGGCGTGATTGACATTCTATTAAGAAGCCTCCGACTTCGATGTCCATTCGGCCCTTCGCTAAACGCGCTTCTTTCTAATTTTCGAGACATTCGGGCTCCTTTCCTTTTTCCTGCTAGGTGGAAGGGAGCCTAAACGATAAGACGTATTAGTTTGGGGTTCTCTACTCGTACACTTAATTTAAGCGATAGCTGAAAGGACGTTCTATGGGCAAACCAAATGACAAGCAAACTTTCTAAATGATTGCCACCAATCGCAAGTTGAAGTTACAAAACTTTAAATACGTATTAGATAGGTAGTCACAGAGCAAAGATTAGATAAGGTCACTATATAGGAGATGTAAATCGAGTGTCGAGTCACACTTGGACGTAACTTCGGTTCATCACCTCCCAAGACTGATCTTAGGTTTGAATTCTTCTTATTCGACATCGACAAAGCCTTGTCGATACTAATATTCCTTCTCGAACGTATCGTCATTAATTTTTGGAGTTATATCTCTCCGCGGGAAGAAGAGTACAGATTCTTTGTACAATGAGATTTCTTGAGTCCCGATATTCGGCGCCGAAAATAGCACCAGTGGACACATGTCCCATCAGCCATAACATGGTATCATCAAGAGCATCAACTTTCCGCATACATAAGAACACAGGCATTACTTCGTAACATGTCCCATGTTCACCGCGTTTACTCAACATAAGCGCGGGCACCTTCTCAGCCTTGTAGCAACGATAAGACGCGTTTGTGTCTAGGCCTTGGCAGCACCGGCCTTGATGAGGAGAATGTCTCCATCCTCAACTACGTAATCTTTACCCTTCGTCATGACCTTTCCATCAGACTTGACAGCAGCTTCGTCTCCAAACTCTTTCAGGAGGTCAAAGTTGTAGACAACAACCTGAATGAAAGTCTTTTCGAAATCTATGGGCACATGTCAGTAACCTAAATCATCAAGATAGAAAGAGTTATACATACCGGTATGGATGACACCAGCAGCCTGAGGCGCCTTTGTACCTTTCCGGATCGTCCATTGTCGGACTTCATCCTCGCCGGTAGTGAAGAAGCTATTCAATCCCAACACTTGTCTCATAGTAACAATGACCTTAGGAAGAGCGGACTTGGTACCGATCTTCTTAAGCTCTTCTGAAGCTTCAGCTTCAGTCTCGAATTGAGTAAGGCGTTCTTCAAGCGAAACAGATAGCGGAATGATGGGATCGTTAGGCGAGTTGGTCTTGACCCACTCGGCAACCTTGGGAAGGTGCTTGTTCTTTTGGCGGACATAGTCTCTCTCGCTGAGGTTGACAAGGTAAACAACCGACTTAGCAGTTAGAAGCTGCAAGGGGTTGATCACCTCAATCTGGTATTACAGTCAAATGTTAGCCACCTGTAACTTTCATATGCCGAAAGTGGTAGGATGGAAAAAAAAAATGCAAAAGCATTAGGGTCAGAATGGGACGTCATCTCAGTATGATCTCTAAGCGTTGTAATTTAGGTGAGACCATTCGACGAGCTGGGATTATATCGAGCGTATAGCTCTTTGTCATCATATAGGAGGGTATGCATAATCTGTGACTGCGAGGTGCTATGATACGTACCTCTTTCTTAGCCCATTCGCCAGAGCGAATGTCCTTGCCATCCTGCAGCCATTGAAGGATCCTCTCAACGGTGGCCTGTTCTTCTTTCAACTTCTTCATCTCTAATGACTGACCGCCTCGAGCAGTCTGCTTCCGAAGAGACTCCAAAGCCTTCTCAACGAACTCAATATCCTTTGTCCGGAGCTCCTCGTTGATGATGGTCAAATCTCTGATCGGGTCAACATCACCCTCAACGTGGATAATCTCAGCGTCATCGAAGCATCGAACAACCTGGAAGATGGCATCGACGGCACGAATGTGGGACAAGAAGGCGTTTCCGAGACCAGCTCCGGTAGACGCTCCACGAGTAAGACCGGCAATATCATAAACAGTCAAGTTCGCAGGAACCTTAGACTTGGGCTTGTAGTGGTCACACAACCAGTCAAAGCGCTGGTCGGGGACTAGCACACGGGCCTCTTCCGGCTCAATGGTGGCATATGGAAAGTTCTAAAGAGAAAACATTAGCATGAGAAGAAAAAAAAATGCAGGTTCATCTCCAAGCTTCAACTTACGGCCGGGTTACCAAGGTTGCACTTGGTAATAGCTTGGAACAAGGTGGACTTTCCAACGTTGGCAAGACCAACCTGAATGCTGAGTTAGTGTCGCTCAATGAAAAGGATAGGGTGTAACAATTCCTACATACGATACCAGCCTTGAGGTTGTTACCAGGACGACCCAGAAGGAGCTTCTCTTCCTTGACCTGCTTCTTGGGAGGCATCTTTTTTCTCTTGCTTGCAAAAGTTCTAATAGAAGAGGGATTGAGTGAGATTAAGGAACGACAAGGGGTAGAGGGTCGTATGCAGACGGGAACAATCGCAGTACTTGCTGTCGACCGTAAAAATGAGGATGAGAAAGAAGGGGAAAATGAAAGAAAGCTGGAGTGGTTGAGAGGTGGAATGGTGAATAATTAGGAGAAGAGAGGTGACTTCGGTCGCCCCCTCTTTATGCAGCGAAAGCAAAGTAGCTCGACTGGAGAGTTGTGGGAATTTGGGACGGTCGAATGAGAGCAAAAGACTTTTACAGCGAATCTTCTCGCGACCCTATAATTTTAACCGAGAGCCCTCTGACGCATTTAGTCGAATCCAAGTGGATCCCTTCTCAATACAGAGAATAATGCTGTCCTATACGTAACTTATGCCATGCTGCATCCTTTTGTGCATTCGATGCAGCATCACCTTACGTAGTAAGGACATTAACACCCCACTCCTCCTTGGTTGTTGCATTGCGGTAACCCTAAGTATAAATGTTTGCACGTCCCATGTGCATAATTTTATCCACTTTTAGTCACAAATACTCCCTAACTGCAAGATAAGTGATTATGCCATAAAGATAATAAATGAATAGGACATTCTTACAAGCAGTAAAATAAATTATCGCAAAAGAAATCGACCAATTTAAATACAGCTCGGGATTATACAGTTTCTATACACTTCCCCTACACATGAGATAGAAATGGTTTAAGTTCCTGGTTATGGATTATGCTCGCTCCCCTCCTACGATAAACTTTCTGCACCGTCGACCGTGTCAGCCATGCCGGTAAGAAGCGAGTCCAACCAAATGCGTTGGAGCCTGCAATTACAGACAAGGGCCCTTATAATAGTGCGGAGCTTCAGGCTCCAGAGCTTCAGTTGCATCCCCGCAGCGTACAATCATTCGCGTTTGCAAAACAATGGACGCACCAAAGCGAAAAGCGTCCCAAAAGGCATCAGGGAACCATAGAACAACGCTGTCGTTGAAGAAGACGGAAATATGTATCAACGTCTATGATCTGCTCCCTGTGAGGCTCCCGACGCAATAACATTCACCCCTTGCATCGTGCTAACACGATTCTCATTGTGCAGCCTGGAAAATTATCATCAATTCTATGGACGATTGGAGGCTCTTTGCTTCACTCGGGCGTAGTTATCGGCGATAAGGAGTATGCTTACGGCGGCCATGATCGACCTGGGATGAGTGGCGTTTATTGGACCAAGCCTCGCATGGAACCGCCAGGTGGGACGTTTCGCTGTGAGATTCTGCATGGTTTCACCATCCGTCCTGATAGCGAGATTGACTCCATCGTAAAAGAGGTATTGCCGTGTCCCAAACTCTGGAGTCGGACCGATCCTGACTCTTGATAGGCATCTCAGAAGTTTCAAGGAACCTCCTACAACCTGCTTACCAATAATTGTAACCATTTCACATCATATTTATGCCAGCAGCTCACGTCGAGACCCGCCCCTGCCTGGTTGAATCGTGCGGCTAGCATTGGTTTGGCCCTCCCATGCGTTGTTCCTAGGGAATGGATTGCGCCACCCGACCACGACACCGCAGACGGAGAGTTGCTTGAGGAAGAGGATGACGACGAACGAGCACACATGCTGAGTGATAGCAGTCGGCGAAGACCTAGGCCGCTTGATGATGAACTTGCGAGCGATGTCTGGGACAGCGATCAGGACCGACGCAATGGAGGAAGCGGGAAGGGCAAGGCAACAATAAGGGATAGTAGTGGAAGGACAATGCCTGTCAGTGAACGTGCTCCCCCTCCACATCGCCATTGATTTTTTTTTTTTTTTTTTTTTTTTTTTTTTTTTCAGGGTCCCCTGGGTTGCTTTGCGAGTTTTGCTGGCCAGTATACGTTGAAGGCTCTATTCGGTTGAGATATCCCATTGTGTTCACGATCAGTCTATGGGCGCAGCAATTGTTTATATTTCCCCCTTTATACCACTTCGTCCAATTTCGTAGCATGCGATGGTTTTGCTAGGTCGTTTTATTTCGCAAATCAATCACGAAATGACATATTTGAAGAAAACGTCTTTGATTAAACTCCGGTGATTTCAGTATACATGCGACTTAAAATTAGACTAGTGCCATGCCATCGACGGAATCTCTGCCTGGCAACTGACGCCAAGGATTTTGATATGGTCTGGGCAGGTAGAAGAAAACTGAACTTCCGCCAAATGAAGCGCTTAAAGGCTCGAGAAATTCGAGACATCCAGTGCCTTTTCAAATACTCCGGTAAACCAGAGAACTAGCCCAAGCGCCGCGGCTTAGGGCTTCTTGTACCTCCAAATTTCAGCCTGGTCGCATCGGTAATGCGAACAATCTTCCCTCGCAAAAGCCTTCCTTCGTTACCCATCAATGCCTTGGTCACGGCTTCTCTGCCAGGGCCAAAATTTCTTAGAACGACTTCGAGTTTCTTGATATCGCTCAACAGGCCACGTTCTTGGATCTGCTTCAAAACGAATGCTGCAAGCTGATAAGCTGAGTCGTAATTTCCGCGGTTCGCCTTTCTGAACCCCAGATTGCCGCAGGAGACTGATAGGATGGCGTCGCGGTTTGGCTTCGTAAGAGTGATATGGGTATTATGTTTCGTAGCAAAAATATGGAAATGATGAGGAGGCTGATGCTCTGGAAGAGCCCGATTCGCAGGGTTGAGAGGAGATGTATCGTAGTTGAATGTGGAAGAAGTGAGCGACGAAAAGGAATTCTGACTCTGGCCGCCGATGCGTTTGGCGCCGCCAATGCCAAAAAATTTCGACAAATCCGCTAAATCAGAAGTCGCATCTGAAGCTGAAGTCTTCTTTGTACTCTGGTCGGCAGCCTTGTTTGCTGTAGCAGTAGAACTTGCGGCATCGTTTTCGGCGCGTCGGCGGGAAGTGGAGGAGAAAGGACTAGTGAACGTTCGAGGAAGAAACGACCGAAACTGGCATTGAAGGCAAGCCTTCGAAATGGTTGACGAGCGGAGAAGTTCTCTGCTCATTTTGACGAAACGATTGTGCGGCGCGCAAACCTGGGAGGCGTTGACTTTGCTCGTCCCCAGCTCCAGTGGTGGTTTTCCAGGAGAGTTAATGGAAGATGAGGATTTCGCCAAGCCGGAGCTCGGAGAATCCAATTCACCGCTCCAGCCAAACGAAACCTCTCACCCTGGAGACTCATGACTCGGGAAGTTTTCTTTTGCGATAATCCTTCTCCCGACAAACTTGCAACACCGCCTTGGTCATCTCACTGGGCCAATCCTCGTTCCATCTGCATCATCTAAACTGGAGATTGGTTCAGTATGGCACAGATAGGGAGGATAGCACAAACCCCCCGTTTAGGAGGCGTTTTTAGCCACTCACCCTTGGCTTCCGCGGCAAGGACTTCTTACGGCCGCACAGCAGACTACAGGCGGTTATCCACTGCAATCCTTCAGTCATCGAGGCGAGAGATCTTACAACGTCGACTCGATGCATCTCTCTCATCTACATTGCCCCCTCTTCGGTCTCAATTCCTTCCTGAATATATGGGAACGGCCTTTTCCGGTCTCTCAACCCGAAATGGCTTTCATTCAAGCCCATTGAAAGCTCAAGAGCAACAGAAGCAGAACCCTAAATCTGCTGAGGAGGAGCAGACAAAGTCTGAATCTGACGCAGAGAAACAATCAGGCGAAAAAGAAGAAGAGCCAAAGAAGGAAGAATCAAAGAAGGAAAAGAAGGAGGATCCTCCGCCACCGCCTCCTCATGGCGACAAGACTCCCTGGCAAGTTTTTACTGACACTCTCAAGACCGAGTTTAAAGCCTCAAAAGAATGGAATGAGTCTACCAAAGCCTTGGCCTCTTCTGCACACCAGTTTACAGAAAACGAAAACATCAAGCGCGCTCGCGCCGCATATACTGCCGCTTCTGATGCTGCATCCACGAGAACTTCTTCCGCCCTGCGAAATGCTGGAAAAGCTGTCGGCCAGGGTGCGGCATGGACTTGGGACACCTCCGTTCTTAGAGGAGTTCGCGCCGGCGTCAATGCCACTGGAAGGGGTATCGAGAAGGCTACGAGACCCGTTCGTGAGACGGACGCCTATAAGAAAGCAGTCGGTGGTGTGAAGGACGTCATTGATGATGGAAGCTCTTCCAGATACGGAGGCTGGGTCGAGAAGGAGGAGCGAAGGAAGCAGAGAGAACTGAGAGAACTCGAGGACATGAAGGCCGGTCGCCACCGGAGAGCCGAGAAGATGGAAGAAGATCCCAAGTCAGTTACACTCTGTTTGCCTCCATATTGAATGATGCTGACATATACTAGTGCTGGCACCAATGTTACTCTGCACAAGGACGCTGCATGGAGAGAAGCCTGGCGGGATTTCAGAGATTCAAGTCGAGTAATGCAGTCTCTGTTCACGATGAAAGAGACCTACAACGAATCTGAGAACCCTCTAATTTCTACCGCACGCAGCATCTCGGATCGAGTGGCAGGTTTCTTCGCCGAGAACGAGACAGCCATGGTCATCAAGAAATTCCGCGAGATGGACCCGAGCTTCCAGCTGGAACCCTTCCTACGCGAGATGCGGGAATACATTCTTCCTGAAGTTCTTGATGCTTACGTGAAAGGAGATACTGAGACTCTGAAATTGTGGCTTTCTGCGGCCCAGTATCAGGTGTACGCGACGCTTGCACAGCAATATACCACTGCCGGTCTGAAATCTGACGGTCGAATTCTGGACATTCGACACGTTGACATTCTCTCTGCTCGCATGCTTGAGCCTGGCGACATCCCGGTATTCGTTGTCACCTGCCGCACGCAGGAAGTCCACGTCTACCGAAACACAAAGTCAAACGATCTTGCAGCGGGTATGGAAGACAAGGTCCAGCTGGTCACCTACGCTATTGGCGTGACGCGTATTCCTGAGGATGTCAACAATCCCGAGACTCGTGGTTGGAGATTAATTGAGCTCCAGAAGAGCGGAAGAGACTACATATAATTTGACGCTGGCAAGCATTGTGATGTGCCCGCCATTGCGTACAGCACACGGATGCACCGAACTCGATTTCAGCGTTTTCCCTTACATTTCTTGCATGCCTGCGGAGTCAAAAAGAAGGCGAAAGAAAAGTCATTTGGGCCATATTTTTTTCATGAAGACTCCGGCAGTTTCGCCTGCACGCTCGTTGAGCGAAAGATTTGCAGGCCGGGGTGAAGGCTTTTTTAGGCCGTCCCGGGATTGTACATTATTTGGTTTCATGGTATCTTTTACAAGTAGAGCATGATCGGCATCTCTGACCATTTCTATTTTGCTGCTCTCGCCACTCTAGCCTTGCTCATTCTGTTCACTTCTCTGTACTTCTATTTCCGTTGGGTATTCCGCGCTGCAATATGTCCGTTGCGCATGTGAGAGGCCAATGTCTAAAGAGTCCCTTTTCAACATCAACTGAATATATCCTTTCTTCTCGAATCAGAGATTTTTAATTGATTGTAGACCCATCAAGATGTCATTGACTGCAAAAATCTACGGGAGGGTTAACAGTTGTATATTTTAGAGCAGCCATATCACATGCCAATATCATGTTTCCATGTCGTCCCAAGTCTCGTGCTTCATGTCTTAGGAATGGCAAGGGTAGTAAAACCACGTAGAGTTGCCAAAGGTAGAGTGTCTGTACCAATCTCGGCATTCGCCGCCAGAAGTCTACCGAGGGAGTACCAGGATTCGGGGGGCCTTACGTTATTGCTGCAGGCAGCATGATTGAAGCTTTAAGGCCGGGCTTGATAAAGCATTGTGCTTCAACTATTTCAATATTCGACACCTGGATGCCGTATCGATCATTGCACATTCTATACAACGTTTTATTTTGTGTTGACCTGATCTCTCAAGAATCAATCCTTCATAAGCGGGTCAACTCAGACAAGTCCTCCACCAACTCTCGGATGATCTAGACTTCCAGTAATTCTGGTATCCGGCAGCAGACTGCTCGTTTTCGCAAAGCGATCGTCGTGTGGCTACATTGAAGCCAAAGTTCTCCTTCTTCACAAACTGTATCCTATCTGTTCGGTCTTGTTTCGTCTTCGCGCGGCCTACTGAAAAGCCGGCCTTGTGCCGCGCGCATATCGGATGAATGCACCCACTCAACCCGTTCTTGCGCGCTTTCTTCCGGAGCACTCTCCCAGCACAGTGCGCCCCGGTTCAACACCACGTAAGATATCCCTTCCTTTTGGATAGATCCGGTTTCTTTAAGCCTGTGTCAATCTCAGCTGACCATTAGCCTGTCCTAGATTCTGCTGGTGCCGACCACTGAAGTCCTTCTCAGCACAAAAGATCGAGATTCAAATGCCCTCTACGCTGATCTTGCGACCTCGGAGGATTTCCTAGGGAGTCATGTCCTGCGTATTCCGGAGGGCTCGCCAACTCCTTCTGGCAAGGAAAATGGCCCCATTAGGGATGGCAGAGGAAAGCCGAAGCAATTCACGACTGTGAATGGCCGAACGGTCGTGGTCAAGGACACATTTGTCTACAGTAATAAAGGTTCACATGGTGCCACACATTGCTTGTTGGAATGATGGTCTAACTTATTTATGTGGCAGGTTTCAAACATCTCAACCAAGCGCAGCTCCTCCAAGATGTAGTTTACTACCCAGACACTCTGGAGCCGCAGCAATGGCTCATCTACTATATTTCAAAGCCTCTCGTGGGCTCGCCGGAACCAGTGGCTATTATGCCAGCATTGGTTCCAGACTCCGCAAAACCTCTGCGTGGCGCCGACCCAAAGAGAACAAGTTTGAGATTAGAAGGAACGTCAGCGCTGCCCAGGAAAAAGGATATCAAATCCTTCAACGATCTTCTCAATCAATTTCCGATGATTGCAAGGCAGATGCATCCAGGGCTAGAACGGCTGTTTAGGGAATTCAAATCGTCGGTAGAAAAGCCGTTGCCGAACCCTCCCACAGGATCGGCTTCATCGATATCATCTCGAAGACGCTCTTCGTCCTCGTCGGCCGCGAACAGTGTCATGTCTGCATATAATGCCCTTCTCAGTGGACAATCAGATGCCCATCTACCACCATCCGCAATTTACTTGGAAGAGGATGAGGATGAGCTAAGGGCTGCACTCGAAACGGCAGTTACAGCAGCTATCGATCTCTTCCAACTGGTTGACAAGCAGCAGCTGTCTCTTCTTGGCGCCACTACAGATTTGACTGGCCCGTTAGTGGAGAAACAAATAGAGCGCTATGTGAGCGAACAGCTTCATGATCCGTACTTGTTCCCCCGGATATGTTCTGTACGACGCTCGGAGGACATTGAGCTAGAGTCACACATTAGGCATATGGTTCATGTGGACATATCCCAGGTCGGGATTCCCATTGGAAATGACCATGAAGGCAAGAAAGAGCTTATCTTGAGACTGGGTCGCGGAGTTGAGGAGTTTCGAAAGATGGGTGTTGCCGGCAGCCCGCAAGAAATGATGGACGTCCTTCTGGCGACGGAGAAGACTATCACTCGACTAGAGGCGCAAAGCCGGAAAGAAGATGGCACTTCACCAAAGGATGAAGAGAAACGAGATCATCCTGTAACAATTAGCGCGGACACATTGGTTTCGCTGCTGTTGGTGGTCGTCATCAGAGCTCAAGTCCGACATCTCTTCGCGCGCCTATCCTATATGCGCCATTTTATATTTGTCGATGATGTTGAGAGTGGCGAGATGGGCTACGCGCTCAGTACTTTCGAGGCCGTTTTGGTTTACTTGGCAAAGGACGCCGGTGGTTTGAGACGTGCAAGCAGACTGAATAAGCGTCTTTGGGATGCAACACGAAATGGTAGAGTCAGTGACATGAGGGCAATTCTTGAGCCGGAAGCAGCTGCGATCGAAGAAATGAAGACGGTGGAAGAACCGGAGGAAATTGACGAATATGATTCCGCCGTGCTTGACCATACATACGGCATGAATGGAAATATCATATCGTCTACTGCAGATTCTGTCCCACAACCACTCAGTCAATCAAGCGAGGAGGTTGATGACCCAGAAATTTCTGCACTGGCTCACGTCTTCCCATTCCAAGCAAGCAGAAATGCGGCCATCATAGAGTCTCGGAGACCTCGGGTTGTAAAGCATGTTTCCATGGATACTCGCAGTCTCTCCAGCTCTTCTGGGTATTCATTCCACTCGCGTTCAACGACCATGGATTCAACCACGAGCAATTGGGAAAGTGATACTTCCATTGAAAAATTATCCATGACGCAAGACTCCTCTGGTCAATCAACTTTGATGATGGCGGTGGAAAGTCGCCAAACCAAAGGCCTCAGGTATCTGCTCAGCCTTGAAGAGTACTATCCGCTAGATTTTGTTCTCTCTGATACAAATAATGAGGGTACAACGCTTCTGAGTGCAGCCGTGCAACTTGGAGATGTGGAACTGATCGATACTCTTCTGGATACATTATTCAAAGCGAAGCAGAGATCCATCATTAGCTCTTACCTCCAAAAGCAGGATTTTAGAGGTAGAGGCGTTGGACACTATCTTTTCAACGCGCCTCATCTGATCACCAGGCTTGGAACGCTCATATCATGGACTCAGCGAGATCGGAACGGTCAAACGCCTCTATTTGCGTTGTGTCGCTCTTATGATCACTCAGAATATAGGAGCATGGTCGAAGCAGGTCTTGCAGCTGCGAACGAAGCTCAGGGCGATGACGAACCGCTGCATCTGGATGACCATTTAGATGCCAAAGGCAATACGCTCCTACACATCGTCAGCGATCCTTATCTGACGGTACAAATTCTATATCATTGCGACTCCGATGCCAACGCGACAAATGACAAGCGGTTCACCCCACTCATGGTCGCGAGCAAATTCGGTAGGATTGACATGGTGAGAGCTTTCTTTGGAGATCCACGAGTAGATATCTATGCCAAGGAACTACGAGGCTTGACGGCTGTTGAGCTGGCCAAGGATGATGACGTTCGGAACCAGATTGATGATTTGACTCTCTTCTCACATCAATCGGCAGTAGATGGCCGCATCACTGCTGTTGTGCGGTCTTTCTTCGTCGATGACTCTTCGATACGGCTAATTGTTAAATCCGGTGCACCAAGCTCGGATTCGACCTTTACCGTAACGACATGCCGACGTTCACTCACTGATTTCGAGAACCTGGCAAAATGGCTCTCTGTGGAACAGCCCGCGTCATGGCTGCCGTCCATTTCTAATTTCCGATCTCCGTATCAGCTTCCATCTAAACCGTCGAGGGCAATTCTGCGGGACATTCAAATACGACTGGATTCCTTTTTAAAAATTCTGCTTGCCCACACAAATTTCTCAACACATGAGATGCTCTGGGAATTTTTCCTTGTCCCTGATATTCAACCCGAGATGATGGCTGAGAGGAGCAAGCGCAAGGCTGCGGCGCGGGCAGAGGATGTGATGGACGAATATCCTCCGGTGGAGGATACTAGAGACGTGGAGACGTTTGTGGGTCATGCGAGAGAATTGGTACGAGGGATGAACCATTCTACAAGGAGTGTGCTCAGGCGCAGCAACAAAATGAGGACCCTCCGTGGAGGTAAGTCAGGCTCTTTCAGTTGCTGAATTGCATTGGGCTAATGAAACGACTATAGATCTCTTCGATGCCCAGGAACTTTTAGTCTCTGCGTTTTCGACACTGCCGTTCCTTCCACAGTCTCATCTTGTCGCCTTCAATCGGCTTATTGCCAGCACGCAGCAGCCTGAACTCTCTCCAGAAGCCCTCTTCTTTTACGACTTTCAGTCAATTGCTTCGACCATACAAGCCGTTCTCGTTTCCCTTTCTCGACCACACATGCTTATAGAAAATATGGCGCAAACTTCCAAAATCATCGATCGACACCTTTCGTCACTCCGGAGATCTGACAGATGGCCCCTCGGACTTCTTGATGATACTCGCAACAAAGTGCACCAAGATGCGGCCGATAAAGTAATAAACAGCCGGCGGGAGCTTGCTCGGCTTGGTGCAGAACTCCGGTATACCCAACAAACTGTCGCTGCTGAGCTAGCCGGTTGGCAGGAACTGCATGAAAAGATGGGGCGACGGGCCATTCGCCAGCTCGCTCGTCGAACTTTGGTGTCGGAACGCGCCAGACTGGAGGCCATGAAGCGAGCTGTCAGGGGCTGCGCAACCCTGCGAGAGGAATCTCAACGAGCTAGGGGCTGAGATAGGATGTGACTGAGAACGAATTGGCATATCTCTTTCGGGATAAATTTTACACTGTTTGAACAATATTCCGCACTGCGAGAATGGCGTTGACGGCGAGGCATCTGCACACCAGCGAGGGTACTGATGGGAAGCGTCCTGCATTTTGAGCGATTATGAACACATGGAAGCTAGATCTCATATGTGAAATATTAGTCCAACGGCCTATCACTGATATGGAAGACATTGCTCTAAGAACCTTGGAGCTTCTGATTTTACATGTTCAATTTATAGAGAATTAAGGAATGATATTATATCAATGCTACAAGGATATAATTATATAACAAATCTTAAAAAAATATAACTATGAATCAGTACTCCACAAAAAGGTCTTGAATTACGTCAAAAAAAAAACAAAAAAAAAAGCCACAACCAAGCATAAAATTGACCAGACTACTTTAAATTCTTTAAAATCTAATCAATGGATGGCAGTGAACTACAACAACTTAAAAAGTGCAATGTTTGGAAAATGAAATCCAGCAAATGACGTCTCGGTCTCACCGCTCTCGGCTTCTGCCGCCAACCCCACGACTCTACAAGCTCCCCGTCGTCCGTTCGAGTCAAGCCAGGCCGCACATTCAACAGCTATATCCCAACGACCTTACCTTTTTGCACAAGTTCATATTCATACCGAAAACTCAGCGTTAAACTCTTTCTAGAATTTCTTGTTTTTTAATTGAATCATGATACCCTAATTTCCCAATCACGAAACAAAAGACGCAACTCTGAAGCTCCTTCAGACTTATACCCGCAATGTCAACACCAAGCACGCATTCTTCTACGCCCGGGATACCTAGCACAGCAGCAGCAGCAGCAGGAGGAGGAGGAGGAGGAGGAGGAGCAGGAGCAGGAATAAGCAATAACGGCGCTCCTGCAGCCTTTGCAGCAGCCGCGTCGCCGATAAGAACTACGTCTTCCACGCCCATATCGACGCCCATCTCGCTGTCGAATTTCCCGCTCTATGATCCGAACACGCCCCCGCCCCCGCCGCCCAAGACGGGCAGCGCGACTGGCAGTCCGCGCGTAAGTGGACTCACGAGCATCGCGGCGGGAGTCGGGGTGCTGGGTAGCCCTCCGCCCCCTCCACCACCACCACCACCACCACCGCCGCCGCCGCATCAGTATCAGTATCAGTACGGCGCAGAAGGGCTGCATTTACATTCGCATTCGCAGTCGCAGTCGCCGGTTGGAGCGGGGAGTCAAACAGCAGCAGCAGCAACAGCAGTAGGGAATGGCATGATAGATCAAGGCGCTGCACAGATGCAGCAGCAGCAGCAGCAGCAGCAACAGACCGTGCTGGAACGAGCAAGGATGCAAGAAGATCGATGGTTGCCCACGGGCGTCAAGGAACGATCGTAAGTCTCCGGTGACACTTTGTTTACTACACATCTACGCATCTACACATTTCCATCGCTCGAATCCTAGGAATGGATTTTTTGTTAAAAAAAAAAAAGAAAGAAAGAAAGAAAGAAAGAAAGAAAAAGAGAAAAGAAAACTCATGAGTCAAAATAAATGCTAAATGCTAACACCGGACCAAGAAAAGCATCACTGGAACACATCCTCTCTACGCCCGCGCTGCTTGACGCGCTGATTTACAGTCCGGAAACCATACACCCGTCACTGTCCAACACCAACAGCGCGGTCACGAATCAATTGAACACAAACATTGCACTCGCGACGCACCTGCTGAATATTGAGACCCGGGTGCGGAGTCTGCGCGAACATACGCAGACGAAATTACTCGCTGCCAGGGGCCTGGAGCAGGCGTGGCGCGGCAAGCAGCGGGATATGGATGCCGCGCTGGAGCCGTGGAGTCCGAAGGCGCTGTACGTGCGGCTGAGTCAGGCGGTGGCGGAGCAGGAGGGGATATGTCGTGCCCTGGAGGAGAGCTTTCTGGAGGGCGAGACGGGTGTGGGTGTAGGAGGTGGTGTAATTGCCGGGGGGGGAGTCGAGTCGGGGGTAGCGACGGAGAGAGAGGTGGTGGATTTCTTGAGGAGGTATCGCGATGCAAGACGCCTGGCGTATCTTAGAGGGGAAAGGAAAGAGAGGTGGGACGAGGGCAGAGTGGGTGGATGGCGGTGACATTTCGAGTGCAGACGATGGTCATGTCATGGCATGGCGTCCACAATGAATGTTTCCTACTTACGGTTGTATTTGGATCGGCTCGGCAGATTATGCATAGCGTTGGAGCAGAATTCTACACTTTCAGACCTGGAATGATTCAAGTCTTTATATTACAGCATGTTTACATCACATTGTTCAAAGTATTGAAAGAATAAAGGTAAAATAATGAGTTTCATTTTCTAATGAATTCTATATTGAGTTGTTTTGAAGATGGACGAATCTGTTGAGATGTCAGCTATGATCAAAGCTTGACAATGTGTGCCATCAATTAAACGGTTGGGTAAATGCTCAGTTCTCCAAGGTGAATCAAATTTGTTTCTTCAATGAAAACTCAGGAAGAACACAGCGAATTTTGAGTTCATCAGGCAAGGGTTGTGGGTTGGACAAGGGAAATGCACAAAGCATTCATGCAGAAAGTGACGAGACGTACTATTTTCATGGGAGACGAAGACACGGCAAGTCAGCAAGGCATAACCTATCGGCCACAACTTATCAGCATTGGCTCGAAGACCGTTTCAAAGTACTCAAGTGAATAAGAGCAAAAGAGAACCATCTGAAATCAGGCTTGACGCCCATCTGTTAGCCACAACTCATAAGAGACATGATGGGGTTACTGGATGCTTACCTCATTAAATCAGAATTTTCAGTGTTGTGCGTTCATTCCCGAGCATCCTGCATTAGAGGTATGCCGGTTCAAACAGTGTGAATAGTGTTCATCATTTCAAGAGATGGCCTCGAACGACAAAAAAAAGGAGAAAAGACTTTGCGAAATACCTACATTCACTTCACGCGAGTTAGTCGACAACTTTCATGTACAAATGAAACCGACAGAAGCAAGACGCAAAAAGCGACATAGGCGTCGATGATCAGCTGACGAAGTCTCAACAAGCACTCCCCAGCCAGAGCACCCACAGGGTTTGTACGCCCTGTTGTTTAACGGGTGTCCGGTTGAGGGTACACAGTCTGTCCGCCCGTTCGTTCAAAATTCTTCATTTTATATTGGGTCGGCGCAAAAAAAAAACTGTCAAAGACGACTTGAGATGGAATTACCTATAGCAATAGACCGTTAGCTAATTTTGCTCCGGCAACTTTGCAGAATAAAACAGAATGTAAAGGTAGCAACTGATGTCAGACAAGGCTGAAACTTGATTATAGACAAGGTTCGACATTAATTGTTCGGATTGAGGAATGCCTTTCCGTGTCGTAAGATCATCACACAGTTTTAAGGGACAGAAAAGGAAGAAAAAAAGACAGATAAAAAGACATACCTTTATCACTGGAATAATACGATGGGGTATCTAGACATTATAGCGACATCAACGTCAATCAAAAGCAAGCTAAGAGAGTCCAAGCAGTTAGCGCTCAACTCTCAAAAAGTCATTCATAAGCCATAGAATGCAGATAGTAGAGCTCAGAGTAATTCTAGAGTTTTGGTTTGTCCTGCACGATGCTATCGGAGTTGAATTGTTCGTGGTAAAGAATTCATCACTGTGATGAATAGAGAACACAATGGAGGGGGAAAAAAGGACATACCATCTAAAAAGTTCGAATCAAAGCATTTGATACTCGTCCATGATTCCACCGCTGTCAGACTCTGAGAGCAGAAGCGATGATGAATAGACAAGGCGAGAAAAAGATGAAAAGAAATATTTGTGAAGCTACAAGGGAAAAAGCGAGTGGGAGGAGGTTCAAGTAGTGCTCACGAAGCGAGAAATAAGCTGGAACGCGCTAGCTACGGAGCGCGACAGCTCCTCGATACGATAAATTTACCTAATACGATTCGATCCCCTAACCCTCTCAGGCATTCATATGAAATTCGTCACCAGAGATATTATTCACAGATGATCGTTGCATGACTCCGATTGAAATTGCGATTCAATTGAACATCTGGCACGATGCCTTTGAAATAGACAATCTGGTTCGTCAAATAACGACAGATGTAGCACAAAGCTAGCTGTAAAAAAAAGTGATGATCAAAGGACTAAAAGGTCACTTGAATAAATCCAGATAATAAATATAAAAATTGAAGAAAAAAAGCCAAACGCTAAATTGGAAATTTAAACCAATAAAAAATGCTGCATCTTATTCATCTTCTCGCACTATCACATTGCTCGAGAAATCGATAGATTCCCTCGACCCCTTCATACTCAGAAGAGTCTTTGACCGACTTTGATTTGTTCGACTTGAGACGAGGCTGTTCGAAGAAATAAGATGAAGTCTCGTCGCCTTCACTGCTATGGAGACTCGAGTAGCCTGATGGAGATCTGGTCCAAGGATTTTCTTGAATGCTGCCATCCAAATCGTCGAATTCCAAAGGACTACCGGAATTATGTGAGAAGCCATGCGAGGTAACAGTGCTTGAAGGCGAAATCATGTTTTCCCAATCAACCCTCTCGGGCTCAAAGTACCGTTCATCATATCCATCCACCGACGAAGCTTCAGAGACTGCATGACTGGGGGCGAATGGGAAACGCAAAGCCATAGTCGTCCCTGCATACACATCAAAATCCCCATCTTGACGGATAATGCCGCGCTGGACGCCCAATTCATCGCATAGGTTCTCTACGCTTCGAGCATCACAGCCAGGAAAGTGGACCCGTAATGTCGCCGGCTTCGGAAGAGTTATAGGCAAGTCTCCCAGTGTGGAGATCCTTTTGAGATCATTAAGGACGGCACTCAAGTCCTGCAGCGAGCGAGAGAAGTCGACGGAGAGCATCTCGAGAAGGCCATCAGACTTGAGGGAATCGTCATGAGTTTGCGCCTGCGCAGGAGATCCTCGGCTGAGAGGACCAATTGCGGTGATGGTTGGGCTGAGCTGAAAATCGATGAAAGATCCTGGTGCAGCTTTGGGCAACGAGCTCATTTTCCGCTCTGTCTCATCTTGTAGGGCAGTTATCGCGCGGAACTGCTTTTCTCCAGAACGCGAATCTACGCCGCAATAATGTGCCTTGCTTCCAGAATGCCAAAAAGCTCGCACTGCGGAAGAAACATTGTTGACAACTTGTGCCGGAGCTGCAGGAGTATGGGAGAAGTATCTAGCTCCACCAACTCGACCCCCACCAATAGAATATCCCCCAGCGGTGCGAGGAAGAGCGCCGCCCGTAAGATTGGGCCGAAGTGTAGAAGCGAACGGAGTGCGTAATGTCTGCCGAGAAACAGCACTTCCAATTGCAGAGGCAGGGGGAAGTTTGCCGTCAACCCGCTTGACAGATCGAGTGGCCGCAGACGTAAAACGCCTCACTGTAGCATTGATGGCACTGTGCGTTGTGTACCAGCGACCCTTGCTTTGGCGTATAAATGCAGCCCTGTGCACTGGATGTCGGACAGGATTGTTGCGAATAAGTACTGGTTCGAGTTCAGCACGAAGTGGGCGAGTTGCAAGAAGAAGCTTCACCCGTGCCATATTAGAAGTCTTCTTTAGGACAGTCCTGGAGGCAAAAGTGTTAGTTGGGGCGCTTACAGGAGAGAAGCATGTTGTTGACGCATTGTGAAGCCGTCTAACATAGAACTTACCGTATGGCGTTCCAGGCCACCGGGACCAGCTGATGCCCGCCGGACGGTGGCATAATGCCTCCAAAAACACACAAAATATACGTGTGATTCTGGATTCAGTCTCGAATTGCAGTTCAGAAGAGCGACAATGTAGGATAAGGTAGGTAAGGTAGGTAGAGGATGTGGCAAATATGACGCACCGCCACAGCCCTTCGCCACCCTTTCTCCGAGGCTCGACCACGGAGAGTCGGAACTTGATGTTCCGACGAACCTCCTCCATGTGAGCGAAGAGCAGCAGGGCTGCCCACAAAATGAAATCAACAAGTCTCAAGATGGCTTTTTACAGTAAATATACAGCAATCATTCATATTACTTTCCGATTTTATGTACAAAACCACATTGAGTGAAGCGTGTTCCCATTTAGCCACTTGAATAAAAAAGCAAATCAAAGCAAATTATGGCGCATGAAGCGTCAATCAACGAAACCGTTCAATCATGGTGAAGCAGGACAAAAGATCTCCGCGGGAAAAATGTATCCGCTATGCCAGAGACATGGGATTGAGCAGAATGTAGAAAGTTGAGATTGTAAAGCACTCTTTCCGAGACAATGAAAAAAGAAACATAAAAAGTCGGAGCTTTTCCAATCCTGACGTGTCCCGAAGATTTGCGCCAGGGGAAAAGACAAAAGGAAAAAGGACTGGGTTTCAATAACAATTCTAGAAATTTTTGAAGCACACCGATGGTTAACCAGCTAATGCTAGTAGGAGAGAAATAGAGAAAAACCCGTGTCGACCATGCAATATGCTCTGCGAGCAAAAACTTTTGAGAATCTGAATCAAAGTGTGTGTGTCGAGCCCGGCGCAAATGCAACCAGAGAGGAGTGCGCATTTGATAAAAATAAGAAAAAGAGGCGAAAAGGACGTAGAAAATCCTGGTCTTTCAGAATACTGTTTGCAAAGTTAAACGGAGAGAAAGAGAGCTCGCAGAGACGGATGCGTATTTGACCAAGCACCTTAGCGCTCAAGTTGAGCCTTTAGATCTTGACTGACAATGTTGGCAATCTTCTTCCGATTTTTCATGTTGAGGGCGCCGTTCCTCCAAGCTGCCCTGAGGCGATCAAAGCCAGGGCGATCTTTGGAAGGATCCTCTTTTGAAATTAAATCGACATAATCCCTCGCAATCTCCTCACCAATTGTCTGCTGACTATTAAGGGCTTGATCGTAATACTGTATCAGGTTGGTGAGGCCAACATATGACTGTCTTTGGTTGGCGTCGTCTAGAGCGAGGTGTCGAAATTCGGAATACATCTTCAAATTGAAATTTCTTGGAAGGAAATGTGACCAGAACTGATACAAGACATCCATGTCGTGATGACAGACCCCGACAGGTGTGCCGTCGCGCTGATTGAGTGCTTGTTTTCGAAATGCATTATAGGACTCGTGCGTCAAATCGTTAGGGAGCGAATCAGTTGGTGATTCCTGGTCCTTGACCCAGAACACAGGTGAGCGGTTTCCGCTTTGTGGTCGAGCAGGTGATCTTGGGTCTTTCACGCTCTTCTCGCTGTCAAGGCTAACTCGTTAAGTCAATCGAGAGTTCTTGCCATGTGAAGCTGAGAACTTACTTGTCCGACTTGGAGGATCCATTGACCGCCGGCACAGTGCCGTGTTGCCCTTCCTCACTATTCCTTACGTCAGCAGCCACACCATTAGGGCCCTTGTGACTGTTTCCATTCTGCGACTGTTTTCGTACAATAATCATAAGATTGTCGACTTGAGAGTCGGAAAATGTATTCGAATCATTTTTGGCAGATTCCGGCGGCGACGCATCATTGGACTCCCCAGGGAACCCAGTAGGAGCAAAGTCGGGAACGGTTGCTGAGAGTCCAGATGGGTTTGACGCGCGACCATTTGTGTTACCTGGGACACCGTCTTGTTGCGTGTCCGAGGCACCAGGGACAAAGCCCGGTGCAAAGCCATTCACAGGCTGGTATTGACCCACCTGAGCAGACCAATCACCGTTGGAATATTCGCCGGGCAAAGAACCTTGGCGAGGATGTTCAAAATATTGCGACTCCAGGCCTTGGGGGTGAGGAGTGGGCGGCTGTTGAATCTGGGCAGGTCCGTCATTTTGAGCCGAAGGGTCTCTGTCCTCCATGTTCAATACCCACTGCTGCCAGCCATCTCGGCGCCTGAGTCTATCGATGCCATCGAGACCAGTCCGGAATTCAATTGTTCGTGACTGGAAGCAAACGTAGCGGATAAGCTCAAGGTCCTGGGTGAGTTGTTTCATGCGGTTGAAGTCGGCGATGACGCTCAAAAAGACAAAACCTTGGGAATCCATGTGTTTTCTGAGAAACATGTCTTTGCAGAGGTTGTCGACTGAGAAATAGTATTCCCTGTATCACAGTTAATGCCAATATTCTATCATTGCAGGGGATAATATTTCGAATAAAAAAGATAAGGGAAATAAAAAACTTACAGTTGCATAGAGACCATGCTGATCACGGAATATTGCTCGAAGAAAGGATTATACGGTACAGCGCTCATAGGATGCATCTGGTAATCATAAAATGGACCAAAGTGCGTTTGCAATGGGGCCATTTGCGGTGGACCAGCAGGCATAGCAGAGGGAAATCTGCCCATCATGCCACTATTGGGAATAGACTGAGATCGAGGACCACCGCGATGGCCTCTAGCTTGGGGATTCGGAGCATACTGAGCATTTTGATGAGATTGCTGGGATGCGTACGAGGGAGCCTTCGGAAACTGGAATTGACCAACATTGTGGCCCTGAGCCGCAATACCGTTGGAGAACTGATTAGGGTTGGGATGATGCGGATGCACAAAGCCGTTGTTGCCTCCACCCCCTCTGCCTCCGCGAAAACCGCCGCGACCTCGTTCTGGCCGACTCTCCCTTGGTGCCCCATGCGCGTTCGCATCCTTGCTGAGCTCGGCGGGACGGCTCCATCCATCGGTACGTCTGTCAGTACTTGGATGCCGAGAGTTATTCTGCCGTCCATTGCCTGTGCCTTTTTCGTTGCGGTCACCATTGAGTTGAGAGTTGGCGATTGCATTTCCTTCTGCTCGATTTTGCCATGTGTCATGACGAACCTTGGGGGCGCCGTCAGACTGAGCAACTGCAGATAGTCTGCGAGCGACGGGGGACGTGGGAGCACCACCTTCGTTCTCCTTCGCAGCTACCGCGTCGCCCTCTTTATTCTTGTCTGAACCGGCGGTAGGTCCTGCGCGACGCTGCTCACGTGTCTGGAAGGGACCAGCGCTAGAAGCTCTCTTCGATTTGCCTGGGTTAGAGATCGGACGTTGCTGCGCGCTTTCAGACCGACCTCGCTCGGCAGAGTCGACAGAGATCGTACCGTTGGGTGTCCCGTTAGCGTTTACCACGGGCTTCTCAGCAGAGATATTTCCATTTGCGGAATTTGCGGCACCACGTGCTCCCTCCTTCGTTCCACGAGCAGCTCGACCACCTCGACGTCCAGCCGTCGGCAGCGGTGTGTTATAGACGACTGAAGGCGTATACGGAACCGGAACCCATTTTTCTTTGCCGTGGGTCTTGGGTGCACGCACTGGGCTCCTCTCTTTATCACCAGTTTCCTTGTCTTGGGCCTTCTTTCGGCCTTCATCTTGGGCGCTTTCTGGCGTAGGCCATGACATTGAGTCGTCAACCGGGGGAGGGGCAAGCGAAGCAGACTGATCTCTGGCCTTGTCTCCAGCGACGCGGGTACGAGCGTTGTTCTTTTTGGACTCTTCTCTAGATGTTAGCAAGCCATGCCAGCCGTTATTAAGCAGGTTATGAAATGTCTTACGTTCGTCACGACCTCGACCAACGGCATCGCCAGCCTTCTTCTTCTCCTTTGATTCCTCCGATTTACTCTTTCTTCGTGTATCCGAGCCCGATTTCACTTGACCAGTCGAGGTTGTGGGGTTTGATCCGTCAGTAGACGCGGCTTTGGCAGCAGGAGTTGAAGTACTCTGTGCAGTGTGTTTAGTCTTGGCTTCTTGCGCCTCCTTGCGCTGCTGCCAAAAATTAACCGCCGGAGGTGGTGCCTCGCGCAGTAGCTTTGCAGGTGGCTTGTCCGCATCATGATCTTTTGTTTTCTCCTTGGAGTTGCTGCGGTCATGGGGCTTCTCAGCTGTATTGGAAGCTTGAGATTTGTTATCCCAGGTGGACTCTGAAGAAGCATTTGGGGTTGAAGAAGCATCGTCCTCCTTCAGCAGGGTTGACGCCGATGCTGACCCATAACTAGGTGAAGAGGGAGCCGAGGGGCTGTTCCGCGCATTTGAATTCCGGGCTCGAGATGAGGAAGAAGTTCGATTTCCCGTTGTGTTCGAACGATCCGTTGAGCGATCCGACGACTCGCCAGCAGTCTTTGCAGATGCAGAGCCGGTGCTTGTTAACGGTGTTGTAGTGCCGCTGCTATTGGATTCCTTCGCAGACGCCTTGCCGGAATCCTGAGCGGACTTTCCTTTTGCTGCTTGTGCGTATGAGAAGGCTGAAGATGCCGAAACGGCGTCGGCCGCAGCGTTATTCGATGGTGCTGCCATCGTTCGTGAGGCGAAAAAGGTGCAGGTGAATTTCAAACGAAAGGGAGAGATTATCGGACTGCTTCAAACGACGGTACGCAGGCGCACAAAGATCTTGGCACCGAAATGAAGCGCAAAAGCCTTCGAAGACCTAGCAGTCAATGTCCGGAGAGGTACCACCGCCCTCTCCGTACTTCACGCCGCTGCGGACCTGCCCAACAATGATCCCGCAGTCTTGACAATCAGGCGAATAATTTTTATCGAAAGCGCCGGCGAATGACGAAATTTCCAGGATTTTCAAAAAGGCTTGCAAGAAAAAAAAATGAATAAGACCAGATGTGATGCTGATTTCCGTGGAGAAATTCCCACACGAGAATGGAAAGTGGGGTCGAAATGAAATTCTGAGAAGATGCGAAGTCTGTTTGACGCTCGGGCTGTCCTCACTGGGACTTTAATTTAAGCGGACCGGGCAGCAAATTGGAAAATGCGCACTTTCCACCAGGGAACCAATTCTGGGCAGATGCACTCGAAATACACCGCCAGCTATCTCCTTCGGCTGTCAGCAAGAGCAGCAGCAGCAGTGAAGGATGTCACAGAAGTTGTTCTGGTGGACGACGGGGGTTTGCGTGATCGGTCAACAGGCAGTGATGGAGCCAGATGAGTGAGGAAAGAATGAAGCGAGCGAGACGGGCACGCAGTAAGTGCTTGTGGTAGAAACGTCCAGCCGGGTTCGGGCGCAAAGAAATTGGTGCGGACTACGCGACAGGCGAGGGGCACGGCCAAGCGACGCGGAAATGGCGTCCGCGACGGATTTTTCTAGCCCTTACCACGCACACAATTTATCGGAACCTTGTTCCTTGTAGGCGTTCTGATGAAATGAGAAAAAATAACCTTGTGTCTGCTGTAAGAACTGTAGACGAAGATTGTTTTGGAAATCAATATCTGAGATAAGCAGCACAGGGGGGAAGGACAAGAACCAATCAATAAAATACCGTGCCGGTCATGAGTGATATTTCTTTTTTGCTCCACGAACTCGGTTATACCGTTAGCCAACCTTACGGCTAAATAATTTCGTTGCGGATCAGCGGAAAACTCATTAACTGTCTTTGGTCAGAGCGCTCTACCTTATGTTGACTCCACACTGACAGATACTCGCTAGATACCTATAACTCTCTGAGCTCAGCACCTTGTGACAAGTCTCTATTGGTTGCATAGCTATCCTAATTCAGGAAGGCATTATGCCCGACATCATCGCTCTGCAACAACCACCCAGTAATGAAACAGCGATAGACGTGATGGATCACAGCTTAGGTATGTCTTTACTCTGAGAACCAAATTGACTGTTTAACAGTTGAAGTATATAGCCTGATGAGGGTCTCTATTGAGTCTAGATGCATCATTTATCTCTCCCTTGTCATTATATCCTTAAAGTCTGCAGCTAGTAGCGTAGACTTTTTTACGTCATTGTTTCCTGCGTTTCTGCTTCTCAAACTTATTAGCTCGTCCTCCTTGTAGAAGACAAATACCCCTGATACAGGTCCCTCATCATCATTGAGATTTCCCTTTTTGGCACTTGCATCATATTATTTGTTTTCCAGTCTGGATTGTAAGGAGCAAAGTAACTCACCGCCGCATTAGGCAAGAACACGGATTCACATATGTTAGCACTTGACAATTTTAAAAAGCAATCGACTCGTTCACTTGATGCATATCTGGCCTTTTCAGTACCGTGTTACCCTCACTACCCATGTCGTGATTCTCTCATCGCGTCACCTCTCAATTTGTCTTCACGCTTTCTTGCATCTGTCTTTCAAGCTGCCCATTTCCTCAACTATTCAAATGTCAGACCAACCCGCCTGGGTCAAGAAGAAATGCAAGGCATCAGAAGGTTGAACTGGAAATATAATGTATTCGTCTACACTCTTGGCTCTCGTCTGTCCAACATATGTCCTCCACCTTTGGTGGCGTCCCAATCTTATATCAATAATTCAAACCCGAGCCTGCAAATTATAAAATCCAAGCTCTCGGTGTAATTTCTTATTGGAACTAGGAGATACATTTACAAATATCACTGCTATTCCCAGAGAAATTTATGCCTTAAATACAAAGGCCATGAATAACAGCAAGTCTCTCCAGCTAAGTGCTGAAGCAGATGGCCTTACAACCAAAGAGGCCTTTGAGACAGTTGCTAGAGCTGTAGCAAAGGCTAAAGCTGAAGGGACTTTGTATCTGGTGGCGAATCCTCCAAACATTGTCTTCTAGCAAACATCATTCTTTAAGGAAGAGAATGAAACTTGGACACAGAATGAAAAGGTAGCAGCACATGAGCAACACATGGATGAGACAAGTGAATGGCATCATTGCTTAGTCTTTTATCATAAATAACAAGTAAATACTGTCTTTTTTTAAAAAAAAAAAATTAATAATATTACTAACTAGTTATAGTTTTTTTTATCTTTGACCCAAGTTACCCTTATAACAACACGGTTACACCCCAAATATGCAATGGCCAGAAACATATAACAAATTACAATTAAGCAGTTTTAAGCATGTTGGAATGGTTTTTCAGCTTGTTAAGGAGCTATGAGTCTATGACAAAGATCGCTGTCATGGCCGGCTTCCTCGGGCTCTGGTTCCCCAGCGGTTTTCTCAAGTGGAAGCGAGGCCAGCGTTAGGCAGAAAGAATCATGCCGACGCAGAGTTTGACCACTACCTCTATAGAGAGGGTAGACAAATGATGGGCTAGATCTCCCAAGCGGACAGAGGTCCGTGGAAAGAAATGCAAACATGCTCTGAGCTTAATAAACAACAAGGAGCACATTTGTCTAGAAAAGCTTGCACATGTATGGCATTTATATTCATTATTGAAGGATATGCAGTTGTCGCTATATAGCATGCACAGAGCAGACTACTGCGTTTAGAATTAAGAGAATAGAAACTTCGCTCTAAATTATTATCCACTTTTGAATCGTTCAATAGTCCAAGCTTTAGTCGTTCATCCATGCAGCAATTCTGTTGCCACCAAACCGAGCTGCAAATCGAAGCCCGGTTCCGCCCATGGGGAAGTAACTGACCAGGTACCATAATAAACAGGCTAATTGGATTACGGAGGAGATAAGGGTCAGGATTGTGCTGTGCAACTATCACGAGAATCTAATGTTAGCAAACGAACAGTAGCGTGGGGGGCCAACGATTGATTGACAAGGGTTCGGGATTTCACACGGCGGTTTTCTCCGGATAGGTCCCCCGATGGAAAAGAATAGATAGAGCGAACATGGAACATACCCCAATGGAGAAATACAGGGTTAATCCAATAGATCCAAAGTAAGCGGCAGTGAAGGGTAAACGGGCCCCCGATATCAGGTGCTGCAAGTACTGCCATGGGCCCATCAAGAATGCCCATGATGATAAGAATAATATCGAGCCAACGGTCCATCTGGAATGAGAAATGATATTAGCCATGTATCGCGAGGACAAAAAGTAAGAGACTCGAGAAATGAGATGATGCGTAAGCCGGCCAAAGTCCGATTGCAACAAGCCAAGGCGACGTTGAAGCGCAAACCATGAGGCAAACAAACGAAGCGAGTAAAGCTAGTGAATTATGTCGCATCACGTGGGATACCCAAGGTGTTTTCGAAAGCTGAGAAAGCAAGAGAAGAAAAGCGCTGGCAACTTACAGGATCGCAAATTTACGCGGTCTAAGTGACAGTGCGGGAAACAGGAAGAAGCAGATAACAAAGCAAGCAGCGGCGCCGAGGTTGCAGGCGGCGAAGATGAGGAGACGATCCCATCGGCTTACTATTGGAGCATATCAGTCTTGCATCTTGACATGCACTTGTGGTTATTGGCCAGCGTCCATGCTATGCAGGTTGGCAAGATCGGGAATGCGGGGAAAACGGTGAACGCAGGAACTGAGCTCAGGTCACAGCGGCCACCGTGAGTTTTGCTGAAGGCGCGCCTTACAATGCGGGGTCGTGGCGAGCAGCCGGCTGAGGGAGATAATGGGGCTGGAGAATAGGGGAGCCACTCACAGGCAAACCACGCTTCATCCTCCTCTCTTCTATTGGGTGCTGGCAGCGGGGCACCTGGGTTCTCATGCGTCGGGAGCCGCACATAACCACCACTCCCAAATGGATTCAGCGACTGCAACCTATTGAGAAAAGGTGTTGATGAAGAAGAAGTGTTGACGGGCACATCGGGGTCTCGCCGGGTCCATCCCAAGGCGCTCATCGAATCTCGAAACGAAGCCGAGGCCATAGTTGTGTGAAATGCGGAGCTTTGAGAGGTTTGCTAAGGATTTCCTTGGCCGCGCCAGCCGGGGAACTGACCACCACCACCACTGGGAGAAACGCAACACGATAATGAGCCCGAGCACTGAAGGAAGTCTCGGCACCCACGGCAGATCGTAGATCTCCCAGGATCAGAGCTCACAAGACCGCCTGTCTGCAAAGAATCGGATCCAAGACCGGAACGAAGCCGCTATACGGAATTCTCGATAGGGACGCGCGTTGCTCAAGGACAAAGGAAGTGATGCAATATCAAGACCTGGTAGGTATAGAATACTTTGGCAGCGGAAGATTTCGTGCAGATGATGCTCCAACCGGGGGTTTCGCGGAGGGTGGCAAGCGCAGGATGGTAAGCCGTTCGGAACAGAAGGGTCGCAATGTGACAGTTATGTCTAACAGGGTCCAAGACAGACGAGGGTGCGCATGCGGAACGAAGATGAAGCGAGAAACTGGAGGTAGGGTGAGCACTGTTTACAGTCTGTCGAGCAAGAAGTAGGTAGTAAACGAAGCTTAGCTACCTAGGTAGGCGTGTCGGTAAGGTTTACTAGCTGCTAGCAACGGGAAAGAAACAAGAGGGCAGATACGAAATAAGAGATATGTCAGATAGGCTACAGTTGAAAGGCTGCTCACCCAGTCTTGCCGAGCCTGATTCAACTCTTGTCATGGACAGTTTTGAGGGGGGCCGAGTGCTTGAATGGTTGGTTGAGGTTGGCCGACTCGATGAGATGGTGTACAGTACGAGTAAGTTACTAATAGACAGGCAGAGAGCAACAGGGATTCTCCGAAGTTCCGCCGCCGTGAAAATAGGGTCCTGGTATGTCCTGGTACCTGCTACTTTACCACCTCACCACGATAGTGATAAACAACACACAGCGTATTAAGTACCCAGAACTTCGAGTTCATTATGACGAGTCTCTCTATCCGATTACTGCGAGTACCGCTGTACTTATTTGCTCTAAGGATCGTCCAGCAGGCTTCTCTCTCTTTTTCTGACAGGGGCCCTATCAAGCTTACTACGATAGTTGTCTCAAAGCCCAAAATCCACGGCTATACTACAACGTACGATAGGGAAAGTGCTCCGTTCTATGCAGGGTATACCCGTCACCACGGTACGGGTAAAGACTATCAAGAGGATAGGAAACTGTCACGAGGTCAAGGACGATAGGGAAGAGATAGAGGAGATAGAGATAGTAGGTCGTCATTGATCACATCATCATCTTCATGTTCGTCAAATCTGTGCCAGCCCTTGGTCCATGTCTCTCTTTGCCCTTTGGTCTTTATTTATCTCCGTGGTTTGATGCCGTCGGCTCCTAAATCGTTTCGACCCTTGGGGATCTTCCCGGTTGTTCGTCTCCACACTCGGGTGCAGTACTCCTAGGCTCGGAAGGTTGGCCGGGCACGCATCACGATTGGCCCGTGAGAAGAGAGCAGCATTCGTCGCCCAAGGGTTAGGAAGGTTTAAGGGTATCGTAGTATTGAGAGTGTTTACGAAGCACCACCGGGGGGTTGCGCATTCGAACACTTTGAGGTTGTCTTCCAGCCCTTGGGTTCGCGATCCCGGCTGCCCTTATCCTAATCCTGACCGCTCGGAGCGCTATCAGCTGAGCAACCGGAAGAACGTAGCGCGATCCCACCCGGAGGGCCGATAGGTTTCGATGATGCCTACAGAGCCAAGAGCAGAGCCAAAGAGAGAGAGAGAGAGAGAGAGAGAGACAGAGAGACAGAAGAGCGAAAGAGCTTGGACCGGGTTCGCTGCATCCTCGCGGGTTTCAGAGCCCCCATCGTCAAGGGTCAACGCCACATTCTTGCCAACTTGGGGCGCAGAAACAGTTTAGAAGAAGTCTTGAGCGTCGGCCCGTCCAGGAGGCAGACGCGGCAAGAGAGCGGAAAGGCTATGTCTGTATGATGACTTTCTTGTCCAAGTGGGAAACCTTGAGGACAGGAGGTGGGCTGGTGGTAGCAGGGGTGGCTGATTATTCCCCACGGTGAAGGCGAGAGAGACATGGTCGTCTCTTTCTATTTTCCTCTTTGCTCTATTCTGCTTCTAACTACCATCTCAAGCCTCAACTTGGTTGCGATGTTCTCTCTCTCTCTCTCTCTCTCTCTCTCTCTCTCTCTTTCCCACCCCACCCACACCTGGTTGCTCTCCCCCCTTTAGTTCTCGTCACCCTGACCCTCAATCCTCGTTCACTTGGTCGCCCTGGTCCGCTGAAATGAGTCACATTGGCTCGCGGGCGGTGAAAGCACGCGCTAGCTAGGGCACATTCATGTTTTGCATTTGAGACCCTTGGGAAGAAGCCCTCCAAGTTCAAGCTTGATTGAAGCATTTGTCCGAAATGGTCAGCCAACCGTAGCTGTGCCGCCTGTAGACTGCCATGCCAAAAAGGCTTCATAAAGCCGCTGTCGCTCGCTACCTGAAGAATTGTGCATGATGCTTCCCGCCGCCTTTCCTGAACAGAGCAAACTCCCGAACGTGCAGCTTGCGCAGTGTCATTATTGGACAACCACCGCCAAAGAGGCCACGATTTCTCTGGGGCTTCCATGACCATTCGGAGTCTTTAAGCCTTCTTCTTCTTCTTCTTCTTCTTCTTCTTCTTCTTCTTCTTCTTTTGCTTCTCCTGTCTCCGACTTCTTTCGTCCCTTTTCATTTGCAACGGCTTTGTGCACACACAGAGAGAGAACACAAACTGGAGTCAGTTGCACCGCAGCGCAGATTACCGTTTGGCCACGATTTTGCTTCCCTTTGACAGATTATCTATCTTGCCTGAGGAATCTATTATTCCTATTCTTAGCAAGGTCGTCAGGACTACGGGTCATTTTTCTGGGTTCGCTTCGCGTCTGGTCTCGTCTCGGCGTGTCTAGCCAGTGCGGAACTTTGGACACAAACAATCGCAAGTTCTCCTTGACGTCGTCGTGAACGAAGTCTACTTGGGGAGTTGTTTAGCTCCTGCCAATCTGCTCTTTTCTTCCCCAGAACCCTGCGGGAACCTGTCTTGTCCACTCGGTCGGCGTCCTTAATCGATACTGTACCGCGCCTCTCGCGCCCCTCGCGCCCCTCGCGCCACCGCTCAATCATAAATCATTCCCTAACTTGGAAACCCGAATCGCCCATACAAAAAAGGGCCCCCCCAGGAAGCTGAGACGCTGAACGCTTCTTCGTTGGTCCGAGAGCCTTCAGTTTAACCCATTTTGCAACTCCCCTCCAGCACTTGGGAATTCCTCCTATTTAGGCGTCCCCCTCAATCGCCCCCATCGCCCACCGCCTCTCGTCCTTAACCAGATCGGCAATTTTCCAACCCCTTTCTACTCGTGCTCAGCCTTTCTCGACCTTTCTCTATACGGCTGCCCCGGATCGCACGGTACGAGGGACGCCCGAGCACCGACGGAAATAGCCAGAATATCCAATCGTTGTGGTTCGTCTCTCCGCAAAAGCCCACTTTTTTCGCTCATTTCGCTCCACCTCTTCTTCGCCCATTCGCCAATCCAAGCGACTATTCCCCAAAGTCGCTACCCCAAGTTAGGACTTCCCCATTCGCACCACCCCACCATCGTCATAACATCTTAGCTACTTTCGTACTATAACTCACCGCCAGAGACGACCTTTCTTCCCTTTCCCTAGTCGCACAACAACAGCTCATCTGTCTACTTCTCCAACCGTGGTCTGTTTCTGACTTCTTTTCTGCACCTGCATCTTTCATCAGCCCTCACTCCGAATCGTTTGCGCTTGCTCTCTTGCGTGTGCAGTCTGTCGGCTGTCTTCGTCTTCTGCTTTTTGCCGCTTCCTCAGGGCTTTCACCTTTGCCAAAAAAAAAAAACGGGTTCGAGTTGGCCTCCACACGGACAAAACCGCACATCTAGTATTGCAGAACGAAAGAAAGGATTTTAAACTTTCGATTGTGTGGTTCTGCATAAAGGGCTTTGTCAGCTATAGAGGTGAGTGAGTTGCTTGTGCATTGTCGGAACACTTGCTTTGCGTTCACAAGCGACACAATCCCAAATTGTTGCCTGCTGCAGTTCTGCCTTGCGAGGCAGAAGTTCATGCAAATGCAAATGACACATCCCTCCTATTTTGAGTCATGTTGATATGTCGACACAACTGCCGCCTCATGCGCCTTGCGCGCCGCACGGCACATGAGGAACTTCTACAGCCTTCTGCCTGGAGGCGGCAGCGAATCGGCTCTAGACAGTCTGGCATCGAATATCACTTCCTTCTTTCATTTTTAGACTACTCAATACGTTCTTTCTCATTTTGCGCGTTTTCGAGGGAATTAGTCCTTGGTTGTTTCAAAATTTTTCAATCCAAATTATCCAAACGGGCGGACAAGGTAGTTGACGATTTTCTATATTTAGGATTTTATAAAGAAACGAACCGCCTATACTACTCCATACTCGCGATATTCTGCCGGGGATCAGTTTGTCGAGCAGCTCACCCTGATTCGCGCGGTAAACCATATTTCGGATAGCCCGGTCGCCATATTAGGCAGCCAATGCTTTTGGAAACGTTCAACATATCCCAGCCGTTCCTTCCAATCCACCATACGCTCTCAAAGGTTCGTCATCTTGCGGGCCCGCATGTCTCAAGCAATCTTTCACCACGAAACCCGCGCGGACTAGAGCTGACTTGCTCTTAGTCGAATCCCAAAATACCGTCTCACAAATTCGTGGATGCCACTGATACGAGCTTGTTACCTCTAGAGTTCTCCACTGTATCTACCACCCTGACCCTCACATAATCCACCGAGATCATTCTGAGGCGACTTGAGGGTTGAAAACCTCGACTTACTCACCCTTGAGCGATAATATATACCTTGCGATACAACGTAACTTCAGCAATCCATAACCCCATCACCACCAAAGAACTAGACTACTAGACATCTTTTTATCTGCATAACTTGGCAGATCGGAGGCAGGGATGCCTCAAACAGGTAAGCTGTGCCAGCTGTCGTGTGGGTTCTGCCGTTAAGTGAATCGCTCTACTCACTGTGTGCTCTCTTTTCAGCTAGCAACGCGTACCACAATTTTCCGTCGTTCAACATCAGCAAGGCTCAAGACTCTGCATCGCAGCGTTTACAGAACGAGCATTTTTCCGACGACGAACTTGACATATTCAATAGTAGTGGAAACATGGCTGGAACTGGTTCTCCACCGCCCTTTATCAAAGACGAGCCAGACGAGCAACAATACAACCCCCACAGGTTCATGTCAAACCAGCAAGGCTTCTCGATTCCGCAGCACAACCAGGGGCAACAATTTGGGCACCAGTTTATGGGCGCTCAGGGAGGCAATGCTGGTAGCATTGATCCGTCTGAACTTACAATGCCTGGAAATCACTTGAACGTGCAAGGTGGTGGTTTCTCTCAATTTCCCTTTGGGTCTCAAACGAACATGTCGTCAAGCTTTAACCTAGGCAATTCTGGAATCGCCGATGAAGAGCTTCTGGATCTAGGAAATCTTGACAGTCCACAGACCAACAACACCGGCTTTCACGACAACCAGCCTGGCTTCTCTGGACATGATGACAATCGATCATCGAGTGGTGCTCAAAATATCTTTGGCCGTGGACAGGATGGCATGTCGATGGGCCACCAAGGCCAAATGAACCAGGTCTTTTCTGAAACGCCTGATGGTGCACCCATCCAAAGCCCCTTCATTCATGGTTTCAACTATGACCAGTTCCGGAATATGCATTTCCAACCACAGAACTTTGTACAGCCGATGCAAACGCCATCATCCTACAATGCCTCACCTCACACCCACCCCAATATTGAAGAGCTGCGCGGTGAGATGTTCGAAGGCGGCTATATGCCGGCTAAGCCCCAGCCAAGACCCTTTCACGGCCTTGAGCGCAAGGGATCCGACTCGAGGAGCCCCATGACGCCAAAGACACCTGCGTTGGGAGCTCTAAATTTGGGTACTCCGGAATCTGGAAGTTTCCCTTCCCATTCGCTGATAAACTCTCATCTTGCACATCGGCACAAGAACAGCCTCTCCACACAGTGGGACGCAATCGGAAGCGCGCCATCGTATGTTGACTCGCCCCTGTCGTCATCACCCCCCATGGTTCCCCATCATGCTCAGATATCTGATGTACTCAGGAGTGGCGAACGTGTGCACCACTCTCTCCCCACAAAGGTGGAGAATGGGCCGATTCCCGGATTCCAAACCCAGGAAGCGAAACGCCGAAGGAGACGGGAGTCCCATAATATGGTGGAACGACGTCGTCGTGACAACATCAATGAACGCATTCAAGAGCTTTCGCACCTTGTGCCTCAGCATCGCCTCGAAGATGAAAAGGTGCGCAAGCACCTAATCAACAATTCACCACTCTCGCCTCCAGTCGGTGCTACAGGCATATCGCCTCCGAATGCCACGTCACTTCTTGCGGGAGGTAACGGCAAGAGAGCGGCCGGTAGCATCAGCCAGGGCATTCCGCTCGAGGAAAAGGACAAGGGGCCTAACAAAGGTGACATTTTGAACGGAGCGGTCAGCTGGACTCGTGATTTGATGTGGGCAATGTATGTCAAGCTCCAACAAGAAGGGGAATTGCTTGACTACATATCCTCCCTTGGCGGCTCTTACCCCTTTGAGCCTACGGAGGAGGAAAAGCGGATGCGTACTGAACTCATCGATGCTGTCGAGAAGAACGATCCTCGTAGCTTCTCTTACTCGCGTGGACCTGGGAGTGGGCTTCGCGTTCCAAAGCATACCAATATCGCTGGGGACGCCATAAACGCAAGCGCATTATCGCCGCAGAGCCTCAGCCCTGCTAATCAGAGCGGTGGCAGTGGTACCAACAGCGCCGGCCAGGGGCAAGGGCAACAACAGCAACACCAGCAACCGCAGCAACAGTTCTGGAATGGCCAGGAAGCAAACAACAGCCATGGTTCTCTGAACTTCAAGGAAGAGGATGAATATGGGATGGAAATGTGCTGAGCGCAGTTTCCTGCCATGTTATATCGTCTTTTCCTCTACTTTCGTTGCGTGCGAAAGCTTTATTACCTTCGGGGCCATTTCCGGCGGGGCAGTATAGGTCTTTTCTTTTCAACCTTGTCTCATTTTTCATATAACCTTTCTTTGGTTTTTATGATGGCAGTTTTTACCTCCCCTCATTTTGGCTTCAACGTCAGCTTCATTTCGTGTTTCTGATATTTTGTTCTTAATCTTGTTTGACGAACGATTGCATCATATAATTATTTCCTTTTTGGGGCACGAGACGATTCTTGCATGTTATGGTAGTTTGGTGTCGTTTTGGCGCTGTTTTACTTGGGATTCCACTGGAGGGAATTTCAGATTGCATCTATGGTCCCAGTTGTTGGCTGGAGGTTGAACTAGTCGGTTTTTGAATATTTGTCTTTTATGCTTTTATTGTCTTGATTCAGCTAGCCAGATACCTTATATTGCAGTCAATTTATCACTTTTTTAAATCATAAAATTTGATTGCTCCGGAGAAGAAACCCTACAATCCCTCTATTGCAGCAACGAGTCAGATCAATGCATCGATTCGTTTTCTCAATGCTCCCATTGTATTAAGCAGCTAGGCCAATGGTGGCGCATCCTCTTCCAGCGAATAACAAATATATTACATGAGAGGGGTATCCGTGTGCCCAAGCGTACCTTTACGAGTTATTCGTAAAAGAGCCCATGTTTCTTGTGCCAGCCTTCAATACTATCTCTCCCATAATTGGCGTGTACGCTCTTTTTTCCTTCTGGCCATCTCACCCAATTAGGCTTGGAATTTCCCTTTACGCAAACCATCTCGTCAGGTACCGGTAAGTCGGTGTCAATGGCTGAGGCAAAGGGGTGAATGAGCTCTGGCCAATGGTGATCCCACAGCCATAACATTGTGCTACAATTGCTGCAGAAGTTACGCTCAGAGGAGCACACTTCTTCGTGGCGCGTGCCGCGGTCCTTGATCGCATTGTATTTTCTAAGCCATGCCAAGCTTGCAGATCAGTATACCCGTAGCTTCTTGGTGATGTCTCGGTGTACCGTTTTTAAGGGAAATTTCTTACTTGATCAAGTTCTTTCCTTTCGTGATCTCAAGTGTATCGTTGAGTCCGCCAAGGTTTACGCTACCGCTGTATCCACCAACTTTGCGGCATATGCTGCATGCGCAGAGCTGATATGGGACGGGCGTTTGAGATTCCAGAGTGAATTCAACGCCCCCACACTGGCAGCTTCCGTCTAATTTCCTATATAAGGGTTTCGACTGTCAGAGACATGTTCTTCGTATACCATATCGTAGTGATTGAGGCATTAGGCTCACATGGGCATGTTGGGCACAGGAATTGGTGATGTTTGCAACAGGATAGATATTTGGTCTGATTGCGAAAATTATGGAGATATAGGTTTATTTATAATCTATTCTACACCGAATCTCCGAATTCAAAGCACGATGCAAGAAGATGAGACATCCATGACTACATCATCATGACAGTATTTGAGCACAATAGAGGATGTACCGAGGCAAAACACCGAAGTCAGACAACTTTTCTTTCTCCGCATTTTCTTATCGCCGACGATCAACCGATAAGTACGGTGATCGCGATAGACCCAAATAGCGTCTGGAGGCATCGGAGGACGGAGACTCATTTTCGCGAAGCCCGGGATACTTTCCACGGTGACCTGAGAGCAGAACGGTCTGTCCACGACATCTTTTCCAAGTCAATTGCTCATTATTTGCGAGCCCAGCATGAGTGCCTTTGGAAGACCCCCGGGTATGGTCACCGGGAAGCCTACTCCGTGAGTTCTGAATCCCCATTTTCCCAAGGAATTTAGACTCGCTGACTGTCCCTACCGCATAGGCCGGAGCGAGGGAGCTTTCCTCTCGATCATGACGGTATGAACCTTTGGTCCCTAGGAAGCCGGGCAGATTATTATTTCGATAGTCCTTGTCGGCATCTCCGACCCGAAGAGGTGGCGCAGCATTCCTTTCGATATCACGGCTAATATGAGAGTTTTCCTTATGCATGGCAGGAGAGTGCAAGCCTGTAATGGCCGAATACCTGCGCTGTCTCAGAAGAGTCCGTGGAACCAACGACCCGGAATGCCGACTGTTAGCCAAATCCTATCTGCAATGTCGCATGGAGCAGTACGTTCTTCAACCCCTTATCGCTGAAGGGGAGAAACCAAGAGATTTTTTTTTTGCAATTCTTCAGGATGCAACGTTGCTGCAAGGAGGGGGGGGGGGGGGGGGGGGGGGGGGGAAGGTGTGGTTTACCTTCCTGCCTATGGCTGTGGGGTTTCTTCAGAGAAAATAAACCAGCAGCCCTTGCTGGCCCGTTGCTATCTTTGTCCCTTCAGCCGGGCAGGCCGATGCGCATCTGTGATAATTTTTTTTTTTGCAACCGCTGAGACATATGCTAACGTTTTTGTTCTTCCTTTCTCTCCCTTAGTAACCTCATGGCACCGGACGACTTCAAAAATTTGGGTTTTGGGGATGAAGGGACAAGCGGGGCAAATGCCAGTGGTGTTTCGCAAGAAAACCGGCAAGGAGGACAAGCAGCAACGCCCAGGTGATGGAAAGAGTGGGGTGGTAGAAATATGACCTGACGGTGAAAACCTCCCGGGGGTCACAGACGGATCATTGTCATCTTCCTCCCGCCCTCTGTTTCAGGACTTTGAGACATTGGGCAACATTATATTTTGTACATTAGGGCATCATTATATGGAGCTAAAGGTGCAGGCATTCTTCGTGTTTTTTTTTTAACAGGGGTCCTTTTTTTTAGAACATTGAATGCATCAGTGGCGCGAATAATCCGTCGCTTTTATTTTCCCCCTGCCAGAGTTTGCGATGAGGTTTTGTGGTTAGAGTTTGGTCTTGAAGATTATCGCGGCAAAGGCGCGAAGGTATATAATATTTCTCGTGAACTAAATAAGGTAGGAAAGTTTATGGCCAAGTTAAATCGTGCACTATTTTAGATTATTCACTTTATTTTTCAACTACCCTAGGAATTGCCCGAGGAACAAATATATTGTGATCTATCAGGATGTGATAGTAGGGCACGGATATTTCTTTCATAGCAATATCTAATCTATCTACACGTGATGCTTTTGCTGCCTCCATCGCATCAGGCATCATATCACCATTGAAAGCAGATAAAATGCGCCGCTAATATAACAAAAACATATTCACAATCTCTTTGCTTTTTGGGTACGCAATTGATCCAGATGCTATCCTGCGTGATCCAGCTTTACTTTGGTCAGCAGGCTCCGACTTCCTCCTCCACCTTCGATAAACACCTATCATGACCGGGCAAACAGACGTCTCTTTGCCCATTTACGAGGCAGAAAAGATGCGCGTGCGAATGTTTGAAAATGAAGATGATGTCTTTGCAATGTATCAGTAGACTCTGCTGGTCAGTTGAGGGTGGAATATATCAGTCTTGTAAATACTTTGGATTTCGTAAAGCCATCAGAATATGGCTTTATTTCCTTTAAAATGAGCTAATTCCTAACACTAATGTTTAAACAAATACAATATAAAATTAGAGCTACATTCATTGCTTTAAAGGTCTCTAATATTGTGATTGATTGATATTAATGCTGACATGCTGGTTAAGGTGGTTAAGCATTTCTTCCCGAAGCCCATTGATATAACAGGTATGGTGGGGTCCCCCGGTCCCCACGTCGCGTCCGCTTTATAGCTCCGTCACTGATAATTGATCGAGCTTTGGTTGGTTTTGACGACCCTGGCGACTTCACAATTCCCGTTGACCATTGATGCCATAAACAATATGGCTTGAGCACGTCGACAATAAGCTATCACCGACACGTACTATCGCTTCCACTCAATGTATATGTCGTCTCTTCCCCCAAACCCGTGTCTCGTCGCGATCCTTCTCATTGTCAAATCTCGGGCAGGCCCAAGATTTGTCTTCCACTATCCTCCGCAAATCCGCCAGAGTGGCTCCTCGAGCCAGACAGCCTGGCATGGCGCCTACGGAACAAGCTCATCCATGACGGATGATTCGTCAAATTCGAGCGAGGAAGACGAATGGAGCTCCGACGAGGACTATGTGTCACACCACCGCACTCGACGCGGCGAAGTCAGCGAAGCAGATCGAAGTCTACGAGCGTCGCGGGCGAACAAGCGATCGCGCAACCCAGAAGAGGACGAGGACGACAGCTCCTCGTCTGAATCCGAGAAGAGGAGAGACTCCATCTCATGGGAACGAGTGCTTGGCTTCTCGACGGATGGGCTGGAGAAGATACTCAGTCCGGACAGGATATACCACAAGAAGAAATACGAGTTGAACCTGGATCCTTGGGTCTTTGTCGGCTGCCCAATGTTTGTCAAGGATAGTGGGAAATGGATGAAGAAGAAAAAGGAGAAGCGACGAGAGGCTGCGCGCTCCGAGGCAAAGGACGAGCCGCATTCGCCCAAGAGTTCTAATGCTCCACATCAAGAGACAGACGGCGCACGACCAAGGGCTGGAAGAGCGCATTTTGATCTGGAGGCTCAAGATGATGCGGACGAAGAGGATGATGCCAAGAGTACCTCGACAAACGGCGGAGATAGCAACATGACAATGTTTCATATAGTGTTCGTCATGAACCCTCCAGTGTTGGAATATCAGCTCAGAGTGAGGGAAATGTACGATCACATTGTGAAGAAGCTGGCAAGGGTCTTGAAGTATGAACAGGCCCGGTCGAATTATGTCTGGAGAGAGTCGCAAAATATCTTGTCCATGAAGGAAAAGGCAAAGGAAGCAGGTAAATCTAACACTCCAGATTTGACTACAGTTAGAAGTAACAAAGACAGGCACACCGATCAACACACTTTGGCAAAATATCATCGCAAACTCCAGTCTGGCTCGTGCTATGGGCACAGTGTACGACGCCATCTCTTCTTCCAGAATCGCTCACATTGTCATTGACTCGTCGTATGACACGAGCCTGCAAATCCCACAACAGGTCGCGACTCCGTATCTACCTGCTGCCACCGAGCCCCAAATGCCCGGGCTCTGGCTGACTACAGCCAACAACCTCACCTCGCCAGTCAATCCCGCGGCCGAGGACGAAACGTCGCTCGGGCCACACTTTGCTCTTCTTTTCCTCAAAGACGTCCCGACTCTGCTCAAGGAGATATCCTCCGACAGCACCAAAGACGTGTCGGGCCCACTGGCGCACTACATCCGATGTTCGAAGCCCACCATGTCCTTTCTCCAAGTCTCCAACACGCACAACATTCCCCTCGCCGACATCCAGATCCTCGCGCAACATCTCATCTACTGGCGGCGAGCACGCGCGATCCCGCCACTCCACCAACGAGACACGTACATTCTCTCGCCCAACGCCGACATGAGCAGCCTCACCTCCGCAACGGCCTCCTACGCCGCGTCCTTCCCGACCTTACCAAGCCTCCCTAAAATGCTATCCATGCTCTCCGGCCCACCCAAGCCCTACAGCGCGCTGATCCCCAGCAAGGACCATCGGCCCGCCTATCTCGAGATTCTCGCGTGGTTGCTTCGCGGCGGCTGGGTCACGCAGCTGCGCACTTTCGGCTGGATCCGCGTACCAGCATACATCAAGGAAATTGTCGCGCAGGAACAACACCGCGAACAATCCATGCCCGTCACGCCCGAAGCCACGCCCCCGCCGCCCCAGGCCCCTGGTCCCTTAACAACAACAACAATAACCGACCCCACCACGTCAGCCTTGGCTTCCTCTCCCAACTCCACCTTTCACGCGAAATGGAAAGAAAGATCCGCATCTGCTTCTTCCCCGCGCTCCACCCAGACAGACCATCTCGCGTTTCGCTCCTCCACGCCGACTGCCGCTGCGGCAGACACGTCTACGGCATCCATCATCCTCGACCCGCACAAGGCCAATGCGACAGAGTCGCGCTGGATCGACGCGATCGCCAAACACGCCCTCTCCGCGGTCTCGGAAGAGCATCCGGACCTGCGCACCTATTGGCCGATTTTCGTCCGCTATTTCAACGGCCAGCATGCCCTCGAGAAGATTAGTGCGCGCGAAGGAATCAAGCGCAGGGAGGTCTGGAGACTGCTTGCCGCGGTGGAGTCGGTGGGTGTCTTGAGCGTCGTCAGGCATTGGTGATGATTAGTATTTGGTTATTTCCCGTGTGTTTTATTTTTCCGTTATTCATTCCCTATGTATCTGATTCCCATTCGTCCTATTCCTTTTATTTATTCCCCATTCGTCTTATTTTCCTATGATTTATTTACCTTGTCTTATACCAATTACTACTCGTCTTCATCCTTTTTACATTTCATCAAATCTATATTATATTTATTATTTTCTGACCATGTTAGTATATTGGGTTTTTGTAATTATATAGTCCTAAGTTGTAAGCCCTTTATGATGGCTGAAGAGTTATACATTTCTCTACAAATCTATAATGAATGAAGATCAACCTGTAAGGCCGTGCCTCGTAACTGTGCAGTGATACCCGAGGTACGCAGGGCAGTAGAACGCTGGAATAAAGCGGAGGAGGAGTGAATCGTGATAGCTAAACTCTTTGTAACAAAGTAGAATGCTTGCCCTTTGGTAGACCCTAGAGCGTTCTACCCCACGAATCCCCGATATATATGCAGTATATGGCCGCTGAGCGTCCCTGTGGCTGTCATGCATGTATCATGCCGCATGCGTGTGACGGTTGACCTGCTGGGCGCATGTAGGTTCTGGAACAACGCCATTGTCGGTCGGGCTGGTCTGGACCCAGCCGTCGTGGGCCCGTGACATTCGAAACTTTGATGTTGAAGGAAGTTGTTAGTAAGAAAAAAGGGAAACTATATACTATGGCTATAAGTTATAACATGACCTTGTATACAAAGAATGCTCAATATATATCGTTATACAGACTTTACTACTTTCTGTCTTTCCAAACTTTTGGCATCACTTCTGCCGCTATTCTTTCCTAGCCACTGTGAATCTGTACTTGTGGCACAATATCTTACTAGTCGTTTTCAACTTGGCACATTGATAGTGTTACACTATGTAATACTAGATTATAGGGTGTGTCTCATGTACTACATGCTGCAGGTATACGGCGAAAGGCTCTCAGGAAGAGTAGATACAATTCTCTCGTTGACAGTGGCGTCGTTAAGAGTGTTGTGTGAGCAGCTGGGCTCGTCTCTTGTCAGTAGAGCTTTTGTGGGACAGATTGCTTGATGATTGTCGTGATTCAGAATAAGGTCAAGCAGGAGGATTTGGAGTTGGTGATAGTCCACCCTACCTTGTTGGCAGTCATGATGTGGATCTAGATCAGATGTTGAGAAATCCTGACATGTATATCACAGGTGGTTGTGGTATGCTATTGACGGGCCTCTCATTTGGCAAATGGTGTCGTTGATTCTCTCATCACTCTCTTTGTTGTATTTTCAATTGAACAGATAGCAATTGTTTAGATGGCGGACCACATGGCATCCTTGATATTTTTGGAACAATCCTCTGACTCAAGTCTTTTCCATGGTAGAGTATACCTTTGGACCTGTGCGTGTGGTTTCCATCATCAAAAGTTCAGAAAAATTCAAACGAACCAGAAAAAGAGAAAGGAGAAGAAAAAGAAAATGAGAAGAGAGAGCGGGGGAAAGTGCGTAAAGTCATCATATCCGTAAATCTTCCAGCCCCTCCAGCAACCCAGTAATGACAGCAACAGCAGATTCGGTATTCTCGTTATAGCGCATCTCGTCTGCCCAAGACTCATCCATCTCAAGGCTATCAATAAATTGATCAAGGGGCACTGCATCGGCTTCAGCCAGTATTTGTCCAATCACATCTTGATCGTCGCCTTCCTCTGCCCGCGCTTCGCGCAAAAGACGATCGATAAAGTCACTGATGGACAAGGTACTGGCCTCGGCCACCACTTCATCAATTATTTTCTGATAGTCATCTTTTAACTGTGCGCGTTCCTCCATGATAATGTGATCGATGAACTGATCGAGGGACAAAGCACTGACGCTAGATCCAGTACTGGTCATTATGCCGATTCCGGCACGAATCTCCTCTGCTCGCCCCTCGTTGATGATCCAGTCGATCAGTTCGTCGATTATATATGCACTAGCATTGGCGCGAAAGAAAGCCATTAATTCAATTACGGACATGTCAATGGCTCGGGGCGCCGCCTTGACGTCTTTGTCCTCGCTCTCCGGCGTCTTGTGATGTACCGTCGAAGGAAGATCCTCAGCGAAGACAGACTCTAAATCATCGCAGCCCCAATCGGTTTCGGCAGCGCCTGAGCCGGCCGTACTTGGTGCGGACCTTGGAGTTGGGTCGGAACAGGCCCTGCAACGCACCGCCGAGTTAATATTCGCCGCTTCGCTCACAGTCTCATTGTCCCATTGTCGAATGATATTTCCCAGCAGCTTGGAGGACTCATGGTCTGTACCGAGGACATGGTCTGAAATTTCCATTGCTTTGGCCATCAATATGTATGCTTGAGGCTTGTGCGATGAACGGTATAATATATCTGCAATGTTGCCCATGTTAAACAGAGTGCTCGGATGTGTAGTCCCAAGCGCCTCCCTTTGAGCTTCAAGTGCACGGGAGGATATCATTTTTGCTTTTTCGAGCTGTCCTTGGCTCAAATACATCTGTGCCAGATTTAGCATATAAATTGAGACCCCTGGATCTTTTGCGCCAGTATGTCTCTTTAAATTCTCAAGCACATAGATTAGTAAAACTCTTTCTTTTTCAAGCTGATTTAGCTCGAGATAAGTCAATGCCAGCTGATCTAAGCTTCCCAAGGTAACGGGGTGCTCCATTCCTAAGACGCTTTTCAAACATTGAAAAGCATGCAATGCTGCTTCCCTCGCTTTATTATATTGTGCGTGATGATGATGATAAATCACACCAAGGAAAAGTATATTGTCCAAAGTGTCAAGAGCATCTGATCCGAGGAACCTTCGCCCAGTTTCAAGTACTTGTATAAAAAGCTTTTCCGCTTTGTTATACTGTCCTTGATTTAGATATGTTTCAGCAAGGAGAGCCATGCTTGATAATGTATCTACATTATCATCTTCAAGGATTTTCATCTGAGCTCTCAGTCTTTGAACGAGCAATAATTCTGTTTTCCTGTATTGTCCCTGTTGAAAGTAAAATTGTCCAAGGTAATAAATACTCTTCAAAGTAAACAAACTTTCAGACCCGAACATTCTTTTATCAGCTTTGAGAAGGCCTAATATCTTGGGTCCAGCCTCGCGAGAATGACCATTGTCTACATATGCAGTTGCAAGGATATGGTGAAGGTAGAGCACGTGATGGTTAACATTATGACGTGAGCCATAGTGATGAATGGTACTGAGACACTCTTTTGCCAATTGAAGCGCATCTGCATATCTTCTTTGTTCAACCCTGCTGTTTGTTAAATAGAGTGTTATTATCGCGTGACAGAATGGATCATCATCAGTGAGTCGTTGTCCTTGAAAATTGTATACAGCCTCAGCCTGAGCTATGAGTTCTGTATTCATGCTAGGATGAGCGATGAAATTTTGAGTCACAGCACGTCCAATGATCTTCACTGCTTGCAGCTGATGTATCGCCAACTTTTGCTGAATTTCGAGCCACCTTCTGGTGGCTATTTGTACCAATCGGTGCAAGCTGAACAATGAATTGTCAGGATTGGAAGAGATCAGCGAGAATGCTTTCAATTTTCCAATTGCAAGGTCAAAATCAAGACTCTCATCCTCTCTGCGAAGAAGAGAAGCCGAAATTCCCTGCCGGTCAAGCACGGCCATCAGGGAAAGAATTTCTGCTGCTCGAGGAGATTGTTGCAAGATTTGATCAAAAGAGATTTTCCAAGTCCGCATGACAGAGTTTTGGCTATGCGTGTCGCGCCGGGTGTCTGCCAACTCCTCGCTCAGGTACCTTTGCATTTCTGATTCTGCCTTCTCCAGGCGCCGGGTATATGCAGCAACAGTCATTTCATTTTCGGAGATGAAAGCTGCTGCTTGTGTAACAGCAAGTGGGAGACAATCCAGAAGTTCTAATAATTTACTAGCACTGCTATCATCCCAAGCAGTTGGATCGTGGATCTTGGATTTCAAGAGTGTTTTGGTTTCTCCGAGTAACAGTCTTTCGACTGTTATAACTGGTTCCCGACCTGTCAGTCTTTGGCCAACTTGACGGTCTCGCGTGGTAACAAGTAGTGATCCGTTCCAAGGGATATACTGAGCCAAAGTCTTCGCAATTGAGCCGTGTTGAGACGTCGATAGATGCAGCGTGGTGGAGAATGTTTCTGCGTCATCGGCGTTATCCAAGACTATCAGCCATTTTGACGAACGGTCGGGGTCTGTGAACCACTGGAAAACCAAGTCGAAAACATTCATCTTTGGATCATTCCAGTCTGGGAGGGCCGCTGCCTTTGCTATGTCTTTGTATGCTTGCTCGACTCGTGCAGCGTTGGCAGCATGCACCCAGAAAACCCAGCAGCCAGGATTTTTTTCTTGAAAGCGAAAGCAATACTCAATTGCGATTTGTGACTTTCTATCATTCGCAGGATAAGTACTCAGCCTGAGATTCGCTCGTGTAATGGAATGCCTTACCCAACGCCTCCAATGCCAGCAAGGGCCACCTTGCCCCGATCCTTAATGCGCCCATCAATTTGAGCGAGGATATCTTCACGGCCGATGAAGCCTGGATCCCTTTCAAAAGGGATATGCATTGCGGGCTTTGGGGGAGCTGGCAGAGGCAGCTGGAGTGGTTTAGGACCCGCTCCTATCGCCCCTACTGCCGACAAGTGCAATTGCAAGGGAGCATACGACCTTCTCAGCTTTTTCAAGATTTCGTTAATCTCCTTATCATACCACTTGCTTTGTGCTGCTTTCCAAAAGCGCTGGGGCTTTGAGAGATCTTGGGGTATGACTTTATTAATCGTCTTTTGCAGCAACCCAATTTGCGTTTCGCAGCCTGTAAGAACACCCGCAACGGCGGTTTTGGTGCTTTCTGGAAGATCCCCTTGTTCTGTTTGTATTCTAATCCGTTCAAAAGTGGCGACGATCAATGGTAGCTCGCGCCCAACATCCTCTAGGTACGGCGGGAACTCTTTAACAACGTCCTTGTATTGTTTGATTCGATCAAGAATATCTTTTGAGAAAACAACGATTTGGATAATCGACGATACGAGCCCAACAATATCTGTCGGTGGTAGCATATTGAGAGACAATTTTGATGCTTTCAATCGGTCCCGTGTAGGGCATTTGCAATGTCATGGACTCATATGGAAGGGATCATGTCGACCCTGAAGACAGAGTCCATCTGAGCCGCCGACGAGGCTGAGCAACATGATCCGAACCAGAGTATCATTGGATGTTTTTGCAGGGTATATTTTGTGTAGCATGAAACGCCACAACATGAGGCGCCATATCTAAATGCTCAGCCTTCCGACTGGCGCAAGCTAACTATAGGGAATATTTGTATTTATCGACGATAAATCATGGTTTGAGAGATGTAATAAATCACTAGTATTGGTTGGTTGGCTGTCAGTCAGAAATACTGAAATCTTTTGGACATCAGGCGGGACTTTGGCGTCCAAGGTTATTATTGTCTCAGGGCATTATCCTGTAGTGCATTTTGCCCAGTCAGGCGTCTCTGTCCGGGAGTCCACGCCTGAAAACCTGATAGTCGTAAGCAGGTATCCAAAAGGTATATAATGCATATTAAGATTAATTTCGTCAATTCACCGGGTAACAGGTCGGTTAGCTCAGTTTGTTAGAGCATGGTGCTAATACTTGGCCCTTTGCCCTAGTAAAGGATTAATTAGTTGACGCCACCTGAATCACCAATCATTACCCTGCTTCCAAGTACTAAAGTACCTATTTGCAGTCTACTCCGATAGTACCAGGACACACAAATCCCCATGCCAACCACGTCCTCAGCTCACAAGTCATTACCCTCTTCTAATGTACCAAAGTACCTGGTCCTGTTCAACCTTTGTTTAAGCTGAACCCGGGTCGAGGGGTTCTGATTAGATGTTCAATCTATATCCGCTCAATTGCACCATGTTACCAACCAAAGAAAGCAATTAATCCTTCTTTACAAGCACGCCCGAGACATATGGTAGTGTCGACCATGCAAAGTGCAACTTCAAATCAGGGGTTTTCCAGCCAGTGACATCCTCTTCTTCTTCCTCCTCTTCTTCCGCAATCTCCAGCAACACCTTGTCCGTCTCACGCAACAATTCGCAATCGCCAATAAGATATTTCCAGCCAAGGAACATGTACACGTGCTGCATGGTACGCGACAAAAAGCTTCCGCCTTTGGCCTTTGACCACGGGGATTGAACGTGTTCGCAGACGAGCAATTTACCACCGGGCCGTAACAAGCGGTATAATCCGCGTACGGTTTCCTCGAGATCTGGAACGCTGCACAGAACGCGGCAGCAGATGATGGTGTCAAAGATGCCTTGGTCCGCATTTCCGGTTAATAGTCCCTCCTTGGCAAGGGTTTGAATCAGGCTTTCCGGTGAAGCCGAGCAGGGAAGGATATTGTACTTTTCTCCCAATCCATGCTCCCGCGCTTTTGCAGCTAATTGAGTGTGTAGTCGGACACAGGGTTCCGCGGCGTATACTTCTCGAATGGCCGGAGCAGCTTTGGCCAGAAGAGGCATCTGTGCACCGTTGCCAGGGCCAAGGTCTAGAACGACGCCGGAGGCTTGGGCAAAAAGAGATGGCGCGAGAGTCGCTGAGCCGGTCGGCGGAGGCGGAGGGCTGGTTGGGTCAGGAGCTGGCCTGGCTGGAGGAGGAGGAATGGTGTTAGTGAGCTTAGAAAGTTGCTACCTTTTGGATGCAATCCACGGAGCACGGATTTAGGTGGAGTCGATATGACTGGACGATTGGTTGATGGAGAAAGGACGTCCAAATGAGAGACATACTTGTAAAGAACGTCCAAAATCGCGAAAAGGCTTCCTCGCGCAAATCAGACCGAGGAACGCGGCCGAGTAAAATCTCGATCCATACTTGGATATGGACTAGAGACAAGATGGCAATTAGCAGCTGAGCAGTTGAAATATCTTGTAACGATGGAATTTCATTCGTCATCCAATGGCAGAATCAGGAAAGAAGATCCTGCAAATATCGACCAGGTGAGGGCATGAGAAGGTTAGGATAGATTGATAGCAACTGAAGGGTATGCAGGCAACTCCTACAGAGGAAAAAATATCAAGAACCCGTCTGTGATTACAGTAATACTTACAATATACACTCGAAACAATCAAAGTTCCATGAGAAAAAAGCCCCAGGAACCATTCACCAAAGGATGGTGTTTCTGGCACGACTGTCGCCATTGGTGTGGAATGTGGTGTGCCAATTGGTCTTTTTTTTGGTATAACAAATTCTCCTAAAATGAAGAGTGAATCGGTTGCTGAGAATATGAGCTTATATATCCAAATTCAGGTCCAATATATGAGTGTGTAAACCATGCGAATGCTCGAGACAGAAAATAATGAATGCGAGACAGCTGATTCGGACAGGGTATAGTAAGGGGAAACGTAGTAATGATAGAAAAAGCTGGAATGAATGAGCAAACTAGGAAAATTTACCTTGAGCAGTATTTTCAAGAATATATGATTCAGAGAGGCGTACACGTATGGGGCTTGTAATTTTAAAAGCAAGCGGAAGAGTGGCAGGTCATGGGTAGGGTGCATAAGGTATTTATATTGCGGTACGCGAGTGGAAGATTACTGATTGTGACTGATGTAGATTCGCCCGGCACGGATAAGACACGCCAATATGTTTACTTGGGTAGTTCACTATCAAATTAGCCGCGCACCGCTTCCTCGCGCCAGGCGCCTAGGGAATTCCTCGGATCCGCAATTATTTTTTTCCACGATTAGAGTAGCTCTGGCATTGAATATTGTCGTTCAAGGAAACTTGAAATTGGGTTCAAAGATGCAAATGATTATGATTAAGACAGCCATGTTTACCGCCTCTGTAATTTTACAATATTGATTGATATTTATTTCAGAGGTGATGAACCTGGTCACATCATTGACCTAGAGAGCGTCACCAAAAAAAAGGGCCAAAGACAACTACAAAAGCCATATGATATGTGTGAGCTTTGTAAATTTGAGAAAAGAATGGATGAACGGCAAAAGTCGTAGTGAGATCAAGTAATTGTTTAATTGCCTTGGGAAATTCAATATCTATCCAAATCCTCCAAGCAACAGAGGTGCTCAGTAATATAGTATACATCAGTAATTTCAGAGCGCTCTTTTATTGAACAGTATAGTTCCACACTCGATGGGCGTGTCGAGCACAGTATGCGTAATGGTGGTTATGTCCAGTGTTTTCTATCATCTGTTGATAGACATATTGACTGTAAATTGCCCAGCCAGTCGCGCTCGTGATGAGGGTATAAAATGCAATGTATAATCCCAAACGCTTTTCCTTTTTACAATCCTTCCACCCAATATAGCCTATGCCGTTCTTTGTCTGACGTCCCTGTCCTGAGTATCCGATCCAACACCTCTGACGGCTTCAGTGACCAGTTGCCTGAGTTCTGCCTGCCCAGCCTCAGTATGAAAGTCGTCACGGGCGGCGAGCTCCTCTATTCTCCTCCTGAACTCCGGATCAACGACGTCGTCGGAGTTCTCAGGTTGCTCTTCCACCGTTGAAACGTTGACAGCCATGTTTGCAGGGAGCGAAGGGTCTGGTTGTCCGTTTGCGACGCCAGCAGTCTCTCCGTTCGTATTCGCGGTCTCACCCGATGCGAGCGGCTTTCCAGCCATCCGACGCAGAGCTGCAGCTACCAATGGGAAGTCGCCCTCCTCTTCAATCTTCTCTTCGGCGATTTGCCCTTCGTCATTCTTTGCGTTCAGATCGGCACCCAGTTCTTCAACAAGACATTCGGCAATCTCAGGTCGCTCAACGACAAAAAGCGGTGTTTCTCCATCCTCATCGCGTATATTAACATTGACGTTGAAATCTCTGACTAATGCTCGTAGAAGGGAGATGTGATTGTAAGATGCTGCGGCATGGAGTAATGAGTAGCCAGTGTCGTCCTGCCCTGCTGCTAGAGAAGGGTTTGAGCGAAGCAACGGTAAAAGAGAGGGCGCATCTTCGGCCGCCAGGAGGAACGGATTGGGCTGTGCCATTTTGGGAATATCTGTATGGTTCGTTGAAACCTTGATAGTTGTTTTGTATTATTTCTCCTTTGCCCCGCGATAGAATTTAGTTTAGATTGAATAGGGCTGGTGTCAAAAGTGGGCCGTGCACGCGAATTGTTTTGCTTCGAGATTGGCAAATTTACGTCAGAAGCGTCTCCAAGACAAGAAAACCTCACAAATCTTCGATGTGCCTTATTGGTAAGGGCCCTCACTTTAATCCCCTTGTCAGAAGCTATACCATGGAAGATTAAGAACTCCCTTGAAGGATCCACGCCCCTCTGAGTCACCACTACTTGGCAACCAGCCACAAACGAAGCTCCGCAACGAACTTCAGGCGACCAACTTCAGCCGGCCGCCTGAAAGTCAATCAATGAGTCAACGCAGATAAAATACTATCTTAAAGAGCCACAGTCGACATTTTCCCTTACAAGTTTTCACAACCAAAGCCCATCGCAATAACCAGCCTCTCTGAGAAGGCGCAATGTCTCGTCGTGATACCCCGCCATACGTCCCTCAAGACCCGCAGGAGGTGGCGCAGATCGTGCAAGCTCTCGACACACATTCGAAAAAGTCAGGACATGGCAAAAAGGCAGGCTTTTCTTGTAGAAAGGCCACTTTTGAAGTTGAAGGCACCAACGGACGTACGGTTGATTCCTGGCGCTTCCAGGACTGGGACTACAAGAAACCCGACCTTCCTACTTACGCCCGTGGCCTCTTTACCTACAGAAACCAAGAGGGGCAGCAAGAGATTGTTGTCCGTGGATACGATAAGTTCTTTAACGTCGACGAAGTGAATAAAACGCAGTGGCGAAACGTGGAGAACAACACACGAGGTCCATACGAGCTTAGCGTGAAAGAAAACGGTTGTATCATCTTTATCTCTGGACTGGACGATGGAACACTGCTGGTCTGCAGCAAGCATTCTACTGGTCCAAGGGATGATGCTGATCTTAGCCATGCTACGGCTGGAGAAAAGTGGGTGGACAGACATCTCGAGACAGTTGGCAAGACGAGACGGGATCTCGCTTTGGAACTGCGCAAAATGAATGCGACCGCTGTTGCGGAGCTTTGTGACGATAAATTCGAGGAGCACGTTCTAGCGTACGATGAATCAAGGGCCGGGCTGTACGTTCACGGGATCAATCTTAACCTACCTTACTTTGCGACGTATTCAGGACCTCTTGTTGACAAATTTGCCGACAAGTGGGGAATGAGAAAGGTCGAGTATGTCATGAAGGACGACATCTTCTCTACCCGAAAGTTTCTCGAGGAAGTGGCCGAAACTGGATCTTATCATGGAAAGCAAACGGAAGGCTTTGTCATAAGATGTCAAGCTCGGGAACATGAAGGCGCGCCTTGGGAGGACTGGTTCTTCAAATACAAGTTTGAGGAGCCGTACCTAATGTACCGCCAATGGCGAGAGGTTACAAGAGCCATAATTGCTGGAAAACCTCCAAAATACAAAAAACACAAGAAGGTCACAGAAGAGTACATCCAATTCGCCCGACGCCGATTCATTGAAGACCCGAGTCTTGTGAAGGCATTTCAGCAAAATCACGGAATCATTGCATTGAGAGAAGCATTTCTCCAAGAGCGCGGCCAAGCAGGACATGAAATTATCCGGGAAGAAGGAGAGGCTGGCGCGGATCAGAGTGAGGTGACCCACAATGTCGTACTTGCTCCCATCGCCACCATTGGTTGCGGTAAGACAACAGTTGCTGTAGCCCTTCAAAAACTTTTTGGATGGGGCCACATTCAAAACGATAACATACAAGGCAAAAAGAATCGGCCGCAACGGTTTGCCGCCGGAGTCTGTGGCGAATTGTCCAAACACCCTGTGGTAATCGCCGATAGAAATAATCATCAGCGCCGTGAGAGAAAACAAATCATTGAAGATGTCAAACAGCGAAATCGAGGTGTTCAATTCGTCGCTTTACATTGGGTTCATGAGCCCTCCAATTATGCTGCTATCAAGCAGGCCATGTGGAACCGAGTTGCTTCTCGAGGAGATAACCATCAGACGATACAAGTTGGTCCCAAGTCCAAAGACGACATTCTTGGTATAATGGAAGGTTTCCTGCACCGGTTCGAGCCCCTTGACGATTCCAGAGACCCGGATGACGCATTTGATCTTGTCATCAACCTCGACGTGACGGCGTCCTCGCGCGACAATCTAGAAACAGTCGTCGGCGCTCTCCACAACGCCTATCCGAAGCTGATGACGGATATGCCCACTGTCTCCGACCTCGATGACGCCATCCATGCCGCTATGAACGACTATCAGCCCGACATTAAGCACACTCTCAATTTTGGGGACAATAAGGCGGCCAAGGCCAAAACTAACGCGCAAAATCAGGCCAGTACGCCAAAGAAACAAAAACCTCCAAAAGTTGACTTCTTTTGCATCCGCCTTCCAACACAGCGTATCAACTCAATCCTCGATTCTCTCTTTGCTTCACAGCCGCCCGAAACTGCCCGGTTTTACCGACAACTCCAGCAGACCCGGCGAGTCCAGGCAGCATTCCATGTCACGCTCATCCATCGGGCTGCTGCCCAGGCCGAAAAGGAGACCTGGGAGCTCTTCGATGCGAAATACGTTGCCGCCCTTGCTGAAGAATCAGCACGGATCAAGTCTAAGAACCAGGCCTCGCAGGCCAACGGCACCAATAACGCCAGCGCCCAGCAATTTCCGGACCCTGTCCTGGCAACGTGCCGTGTCCAGCTTGAACGTCTCGTCTGGGATAATCGTGTCATGTGCATTGTCGCGCGCCTTCCTGATGCCGCTGACTCTGGCTGGCATACGGTTAACCCCGTTGCCCACGTTACCGTCGGCACCGCCTCCCAAGATATCAAGCCCAAGGAAAGCAATGACTTGCTCCAGGCTTGGCTCCAGAATGGAAATGGCGAACATAGCGGCATCTCCGAGCTAGCGATTCCCGGACAGATTATTCTTCACGGGGATGTCCATGCTTCATTGCAGCGCAATTAAATCGGGTACTTGAAATAGCGATCTAAAGGCCGGCCATTTCTATAGTCTGGTGACGGATATCTCCCGATAGTTAGAGCTAGGGACGGCCTTGGCTAATGTTATGTGGACAACCGGGATGTTCATACGATTATGCATGGAGATATTGGCATCTAGCTCAAAATAGCTGATTATTATATTTTGAACCATCCCAGACACCTCGTCGCACAATGAAAATCCAATTAAGTCTAACAGTCGCTTATATCTCTAATGCCGACCATAGTGCCCATGTGATGCTCGATCCCAATCTACGCAAATGACTCCCGACAATGCAAGCGTTGTATAAATATGAGCTGACCCATCTTTTTCAAGGACACTGACTTCCTTAGTCTCTCCCGCTAAAGCTCAGCACCCGTTTCTGCTGCAATTTAGTAAAACAGCTCTCTCCAACTTAGACCAAAGTCCTCGATTTCAGACCCGTCCCTCGTCATACTAGGCTGGAGAGTGTATCTCAAAGACCAGAAATCCTCATCAAGTCGTATACAAAGGAGATCAAGGTCCATCCATTTCATTTTTGTCATTCGATGCCTCTTTACAGCAGTTGGTCCGTGCCGAGCGGTGTATACTATGAATCTCTCTGTTCAAAACGACATGTTCATGGATGGAAAGCAACGTGGGACTATGGCCCAAATATTTACGCGTTGCAGGCACCAGCGATTCCAGCGTGAGAAACGAGATCAAGCGGCTGAGCTGCAGGGAAAGCTAAATTATGGAATTTTGAGATTTGGTAAGGTGGTTGTGATGACATATGGTGTTGAGATTGGGGTAAGTCGAGTCGTAGATGTACATCTATAAGTACTGATCGGCATTTGAGGCTCCATTTTGTGTATAGTGGAGGCTTTTGGTATTTCTGGGTCCGTTTGTTTAATTAGTGCAGACATGGCTTTTTCTAGGAAAAAGGTAAAATCAATCCCCCTTACCCTTTTAATAGGACTTGGGACTGGCGAAGGGATAGATGAGGGGGAAAGTGCTGTATTAAGCAATTGGATACTGTCCGAACGACGAGGGGATGAATTGCAAGACGGCACAGTTGATGGCAGGAGTGGTGGAAGGGAACCTTCCATTCACTTCCATGATGATGGTTTATGGAAACTAAGAAGAAGAAGAGGCAGAAAAAGAAACATGTGGACAAAGGAGCAAGAAAAATGTAACGACAGCTCTCCCCTATCAATGGGTAAAGCAGCAAATAAACAACGAAGGCTCTGATCCACCATGGATGGAGTGATAAACAGATTTGGTGGCGTTGCAAACAGGTACAAAGTACCCATCTTTTTCGTCCTCTGAACCGCGCCCTTGACTGAATCAAAGGCAGCCGAAGGGTCCAGGTCCTCAGCCTTGGCACAGTCCTTCAGCGACTGGCTGTTATTTAGGACCTGGCTGTCTTGCCCACAGATCTCGCGGGGCACTACCACCAGTTGGTGGTTCCGCTGTGCAAGCTGTGCGAGATATGCATGCATTTCTGTGACCCTTGAATCACCATGGAGCGACATTATGATATATAGAGAGCGTTCTGCTCGGCCTGACTACCGACCACAGTGCAACGGCAATATGTGAGCGCGTCCTGTCATGATGCCTTGGATCGGTTTGTTCAGGAGATTTCGATATTGAGGACCGCTAGAATGTGGAGATATATGAGCTCAAGGAATTGGGCACCACTGAGTGTGCAGAGAGCCATATCCACGAGACCCTTTGGCCTTTGAAATAACATGCCGTGTCTCTAGGTTCTGTGGAGGCTTGGCTCCTGAATAGTGCAGCAACAGAGCTAGGCTGCTGTATGAGAAGCAAACATCTTCTCTGGTTGTAAATTCGGACTACATGTAAAAAGGGAACAAGTAATAATAGCCCACAGTGCGGGGTGCCGTTGACATATTTGTTCTCCGTAAAAGTCTCGATACCATGAGCCAGTCCAAATACTCGTCAATATCTTAACTGATAGCAAGGGCAGCTGAGCGTGATTTAGCTCAGATCCACCATGCGTGCCAGGCCGTACACGGCAGCCAACAAACACTGGACGATTGCGGCCAGCCCGCAACAAGGAGCAACGGAATGGTCACGGCTCTATATACATGTTAGCTGCGTACACACATGTTGAAGACCGTACGACTCACCTGAACTGAAAGGGCCTGGACATAGCTGAATCGGCCGCTCTCAATCTGTTCGGGCCGTACGGCCCAAAGGGAACGCGAGACGGACTTCAGCATCAAGCCAGTCAAGCAGCTGACGGCCCCCGATCCGCGAGATGAAAGGGTTCATCTATATGGCAGGTCAGCATAGTCAACTAGCAGCGTACGGGATAAAAAATTCACCTCCGTGTTGGCAATGTCCAACACGAGCTTATTCGACCTTGGACGAAATAGACAGGCATCAGGCTGCGGAACCACCGTGCTATGCAGGTGTGGGCAGGCAGTAAGTTTTCCAAGAGCTGGTCTTGTGGAAGCCATTGTTTTTGCTCATTTTGAAGCGCACTTTGAGAGCCCGAACAGAATTTTCGGAAAGTTTTTCTCGACTTGTGTTGGGTCATGTAGAAGTTGACTTGGCTGAGAGCTTGGCAAAGCTTGTGGCAAATTCAGGACCAACGGAGAAAATGTGTAATTGGGATCAAAAAGCCCGGAGTTTCTTTTTTGAATTTTTTGGTTATTCGTGGAGAAAAGCGATGTCACGTCCCGGACGAAAATTGCTAGGAATTGTTGAGAATCATGATGAGATTGTAGCTGAGACATACTGCTAGCCAGTTACTAGCCCTTTGATATTGCCACGAATGGGAGATTCAGCTATTCATTGTAAGGTAGTTCTAACAGCTCTTTTCAAAAGAGCGAGCAGTTGTTCTACAAATCATGAGGGCCATTTACCGCCAAACGACATATATTCTGGTTTCATGATGGCAGTATCTATAGAAAATCTCGATGAGATGGACTGGCTCTGACAAGAGTACTTGTTGAAACTTAAAACATAATATAATAAAGTTTAGGTAAGCAATACTGCAACAAGGTTTGACATTGCAAGGAGAGGATATTCCTGAAACGTTGGTTGATTTGTGTAGTTTTTGATATTTGAAGAAGAACTTTTGAAGTGTAACAAGATATCGTCCTAAGTGTTCTTAAAGGAATTATAGTCTTGTATCACCTCGTTACTAAAAGTGTGACAAAGGGCAAGGCCGCAAGAGAAGTAGATTGCTCTACGATTGTAGATATACAATACGATCAGAAGACATGTAAGTCTGTGTGGAAACATGGGAATTTATAAAACGTAATATAGCTTTTCACAAAGTTAAGGATGAAGGTGACCCGCCAAATTCCCGGAAAAATTAAGTAAACATGAATATAGAATGTGCATTGAATCCTCATGATGAATCCAATCATGTATTGACTTTACAAGTAATCGCTCTTGGCCACTCCATTCGGTGAAATAATTATTGAATAATTACTCGCTTATTGTGACACGGAAAGCCATGATTGGCGTCCTTGCAGATCAATTTATCGTCCTTAAGTTATGTAAAAATCTACGTAGAAGATATCACTTTAAAAATATGGTATAGGGAAAGAGACGAGTTACTTTCTCACACGCCCCAGAATGATATCATCCGACTAGCCAGTCAAATTATGTACTCAACGTCGTAACGGATTTTCAGGTCCATAGACATGCAGATTTATTATGGAGCCAACTTGCTCTTTCCTCTCAGCCACGGACCCCAGATCCGAAATGCCAGAGGAATTGGAATCATAATAGCTGCTAAACAACCGAGTAGAGTACCAGCCCATTGCACACCTAAATTTTTGAACATCTGTTTCGAGAAGAGAGGAAATCCGGCTGCAACGCTGGAGCGGAGGATGATATTTGCGGCTACTGTGGATGCTGCTCTTTAAGAAAATCAGTTTTTCGCTGAATAAATAAATGGTAAATCAACTTACAAAGGGAGATATGAGTCAACCAGATAATTGAAACACGGAAGAAAGATGCATAAGACACCAAATCCAATAAGTACACCCGCCGCAGTTGGCGCCATCCAATGAATAGTAGAAGTAAAACCAGTCCAGCCAAACCTGGCTCAAGTCAGTACATAAAAGCAACGGAAAAGAATTACTCGGGGTGATAAAAATACATACCAAAACAAACCAGCAGTGAAGATGGGAGCACCGACAATGGCAGGCAGAAGGCGCCATTCAGGAACAGGGACATTGTTATTTGCATTCAATTTCTTCACATAAATTGAATGCTGTGAAAGGATAAAGCAACATGCCGGCACTTGGCCAACGATAAGACCGTTGAACGTTAATCCTCCAACGCCAGGGCTCATTCCATATATCGTCTCGAACACAAAAGGGTATGCTTCTAACATTGCGTATACCAGACCGTATATGAAGGACATGTAGAGAGAGATGAGCAGGATGATAGGCTCTGTGACAAGCATTCGTACTGGACGGGTAAAATTATTCTGAATTAGCTCATGAAGGTCGATTTCCACTTCATCCTGCTTGGCGTGAATCCCCCAGTTTAAAGTTTGACGGCGCAGAGCTGCGGCCTTCTCGACTAACAGAAATGGTGCATATGTTTCATTGAGGAGGAGGATGAACAGGGAAAAGCTCGCAAAACTCATGAATGCAGGTATGTAGAGAGTCCATCGCCAGCCCAGAGAGCTGGTTGCAATGAAACCACCGATGAAGGGGGCGCTAAAGGGACCAACAAACACGGTCAGAGAATAAATGGTGATTGCTACCCCTCGATGTGCATTGTTGTAGATGTCGGATAAAACTGCTGGTACGACTGAGAGTTGACTGGCACCGAACATGCCAGCAAAGAAACGGCATAGGATCAATGTTTGGATATCTTTTGCGATCGCTGATGCAATAGTAAAAATGGCACCGCCAAACATTCCAATGGTCAACGGCCAGCGTCTTCCAATCAACTCTGAGGCAGGGGCCCATAGTAACGGACCCGAGGCAAAGCCCAAGACATACAAGGTGGTACCGAGTGTAGCAACCTCTGAGCTGACGCCAAAAGCTTTGCTTGCACCTTTAATGCCAGGAGCAAATACTGCACTTGTGAACGAGGCAGTCAGCGTGCCAAAACAAGCAATCGAAGAAAGATATAGTCTGAAAATAGTCTGTCAGAACTGGTCCAGATACAACTTTTGTCAGGGTTGCATACTTGACAGGAAGACTCCAATTATGAGGATGCTCTGGGTCATCGCTCCCATCAAATTCAACCACATAATCTTCTGGATCTGGAAGAGCAGGAGGAAATGGCTTTCCATCCCCCATTTTCAAGGGACGGTCATGTCCTGTCTCTCTGCCATGGTTTGAGCCCACAGTCAATTTTTGTTGCAGGCGATTGGTGGTGATTCGAGCCAATTCCAAAGCATCCAAGTAGCGGTGATCTGAATTATTTGCCTGTGATGGTTGATTATCAGCTTGGCTGGATTGAGGAGACTCCATTCTATCATCGTACTCCAGGATAATGGGATAGGACTACTCAGCTGAGATGGACCATGGTGGGCGTAATTTGCTATATATCAGCCTGAAATTGCTCAAAACAATAATTTGACTCTAAGCTGAGTATGTGTAAACTCTTTTAGTTCGTGGGCCCTGAGGAGTAGAAGAGTGGCGTCGTGGATAACGGATGGTGCGGTTGTTGCGGAACCACTAAACTTGAGATGCCAGTGATTATAGCATCCGGTCAAACAATGCATGATCAACGTGTGGCGATACTCAAAATCTTTTCTTGAATAAGATACATTATTCTATCTGCCTCTATTTCCTTTCATACACGCGCAGCCCCAAGCCACGTATATAGGATTCCTCGGAGCTTGAATGACGACAACCAAGTGCCTGGTGTGCTTAGGAAATCTCTACGGTCGAGACTGCTGATCACTAACCCATCTCGCGTCCCGCAAGTACCGTAATTACCGCAATATCCGCCACAGCCATGATATCCTCCCGTTGCCTTACGTCGTTCATGAAGCTTATTCCCATATCGCAATTGATTGGATAAAAATTTCTTTTTACTCTACATTATCATGGCATCCTCCACCGGACAGCTCAAGCGCAAGCGCTCTCGGGTAGCGTGCGAGCCCTGTCGAGAACGAAAGAGAAAATGCAATGGAGGAAACCCTTGTCTGACATGCACTGAATGGGGATATGACTGCTTCTACAAAAACCACCATCGCGCAGAAGCCCAGTCGTCTTTAATTCCAGCTCCACCTGAAGATCTGCAGGATGCTTCTGTTGCCGAAAGATCAATACCGGACACCGTACGGTCTGAGGATCAAGACGTCGCGCAACGTTTGGAAGCAAATTCCGGAGCTGCTTTTGTGAGAAAGCTGGGCCTCAAAGTCGATCCGGAACATGCACCCAAATTGAACCTTTTTGGATGGAACATCGGCGCGCGTCAAGGACTTTTAGGCGCCGAATCTGCCTCTGCTCTGCCTAGTCTCAATGTTATTCCTCTAGCAGACATGCGGGAATTGGCATGTGTCTACTTCGCAAAGGTCGACCCATGTTACGGTTTCATTGATTCCCGTGTTTTCTATGAGCGCTTGGATGCGCGTTGGCGTTCGCCTCTGACAAGCAGCTCATATGATAGTGTGCTGGCTGGAGTTGCTGCGCTTGGATCACTTTTCTCTACCAGGAATCTCGGCATTACAGAACACCATCTGGTGAAGACAGCTCAGGTGCAATTAGAAACGGAGCTTTTGATCAAAGCTCCTTGTCTGGACACACTTACCGGCTGGACGCTTCGAGTAATCTACATGAGAATGACGGCATCTCCATATCCTGCATGGATCGCAAGTTGTACTTTGATGCATTTGATTGAAGCTGCAGGTTTCCACCTCAAACCATCTAGCGACACAGTCCTTTCTTGTGGCGTACAGTGCGATCCCCAGATTCGAGGGAGACTAATTGGGGTAGCACAGCACCTCAACATGTGGATTTCTTACGATCTCGGCCTCTCAATGGTTCCACTACACAACGAGAACCCATTGACTTTATCTCCTAGAGAGGGCGACTATACGACCGAGCTTCTTAATCTCTTGCCAGTTTCATCCAGCCTGGCACCAGACAAGACTCGAAATGACACTGATCTGCAATCACTTCTTTTACAGATCTTGAATGGAGCACACAGTCAGCCGCCATCTGTTCTCGCCCAATGCAACCTTGTCCTATGTCTACTTCGCCGACTGCGAGCCTTGAATTCCAACCTTTCCTCTCTTCTTCTCGAGAAAGTCCTTGCGTTATTCAAACAGGGCCTCTGTGCCGCGCGCACCATGGCAATGAGCTGCAATCCCTGGCACCACGTAGCCAACGTACCTTTTCACATCATCAGCATTCTCCTCGAGATGGACAGCCGTGTCTCATTTGCTTTACTCCCAGAAGCAATGCAGACATTGCGACAGGTCGCCAACACGTACAACACTGCAACTATGCGCGAGGCTCACAATACCGCCTGCCTGCTAATCTTTCTCTATCAACGACGCAGGTCCGAAGATGTAAGCCTCTTTAGTTCTATTATGGGTGTTCACTGTCAGCCTTCAGAGCTCAGACCGTCCCCACGACAAATGACACCAAGCTCTGAAGGAGTTTCCTGGCTGGAAGGTTTGGTTTCCGAGCTTCCCAACTTGCAGGGGTTTGACTTCACGCAATTCTTGCAAGACATGAATGATTTGTCTCAGGATGTAGACGTGGTCGACGGGATTAATTTTATGTAATGTTAGTGGAGCAAGATATCAAGTGCATGACATTGGAGATAGTAATGCTTTCACGAAGTACATGCAAGCTGGCAATCCATAAAGTTCGTCTTGTAAGAGTACTGAAATTAAATTCTAATTCCTCTTCATAATACTGGAAAAAGTTGAAACACTATACCGTTATGTCATACTTCTAACTAATCCGCGGAGACAGTTGGTGGCGGCTACACAACAATGATCTTCCCGCAATTCCCGCAATAGCCGCTACGCCCCGCCCGCGGCCTATATAAGTGTCGAATGTGGAATGCTCACGGCTGATCCTTTCCTCCCTACGTAACAATATATCATATAGTCTACAAGTAACTAAGTGAATTATCTTCTTTCCATTCAACCAGACGAACAATAAAAAAATAAAAATTAAACATGTCATCAGCACGGCATTTGGCTAAGAATCTCATGTCACTCTACCCATGGGTCACCAGCCCATTAATAGTCAGCGCTCCCATGCGCGTCATGTCCGGCCCGGTGCTGGCAGTAGCCGTCTCTCGCGCCGGCGGATTGGGATTTATTGGCCCGGGGGTCAAAACTCAGGACATGTTCAAAGACCTCGAGGAGGCATCAGCGCTGGTCAAAAATCCAAAATGGACAGCACGACCACCACCCGTAAATTCGACGCTTCCTGTCGGAGTAGGTTTTCAACTGTGGAGTGATGATGCCGAGATAGCAGTATCTGCCATACGGCAATTCAAGCCCTGCGCTGCGTGGCTGTACGCGCCGAGAGAAGGGCAAAAGGAGTATGATCTCTGGTCGACGAAGATTCGCAAAGCGTCGCCTCATACGCAGATATGGATCCAGATAGGTACTCTGGCAGAGGCAGTGCAACTCGTCCGAGAAGGTCCCGCTGAGCAAAGACCTGATATCATTGTCGTGCAGGGCGCAGAGGCTGGCGGGCATGGTCGGGCTAAAGACGGAATGGGTCTCATGACTCTCTTCCCGGAGGTGGCGGATGCCTTGGCACACAGCGAGATACCGCTCTTCGCTGCTGGAGGTATTACTGATGGACGAGGAGCAGCGGCTGCGTTGTGTCTCGGTGCTTCGGGCATAGTCATGGGTACGCGGTTCCTGGCTTCGACGGAGGCACGGATAAGCCGGGGGTATCAAAATGAGATTATACGGGCTAGTGATGCGGCTACGTCAACCACGAAGACCTTGCTGTACAATCATCTGAGGGGAACGATGGGGTGGCCAGAAGAGTATAGTCCCCGAACGATTATTAACAGATCATTCATTGAGCACCAAAAGGGGTCTCCATTTGAAGAGTTGAAGAAGCTTCACGATGAATCGCTCAAGGCTGGTGATAGTGGCTGGGGGCCAGAGGGCCGGCTGGCAACCTATGCTGGAGCTGGCATTGGATTGATTCACGAGGTCAAGGATGCTGCAGCGATTGTTCGGGAGACTCAAGAGGGAGTGCGAGAGAGACTGAGCTCCGGGAATAAATATAAACTATAAGTTGCTCTGAAAAGAAGTAGTCAAAGGACAAGCAAGAATGAAACATGGGCGTACATATGCTTTAAAAAAGCGTAACGTCTAGTCTAGGCGTACAGTTCTATATCTACAGGTACATGCCGAGGTATATCGAAGCTCAATGCCAAAAGCCGCCCCTCCCTTGCCGTATTATTTTAAGTCCCAAGAAAACGAAGAAAATGCATGACGCTCGTGCTCGCTGCGTAGGTAAAACCGTCAACAACTTTTTTTAAGCCTCCTCTCCCCTCATCTTGCGGAAGAAGTCCATCACACCAGTGAAGACGACCAGCAAGATACCGCCACCAGGACCCAATCTCAGGACCTTGGGCACGAATCCCTTGTAAAGTGCACCGAAACCCTCTTCCTTCATGACGGTGCCAATAGCGGGCCAGGCCCAATTGTACTTGGGCGCTTGACCAGCGATCTTCGGTGAGTTCTGAATACGCGACTTGACGACGTCCATGGGGGTGTTGAGAATGGTACCAATGGTACCACCAATGGCACCGGAAATGAGATCGTTGCGCACTTTCTGACCCTTGGTCTCGGCCTTGGGCAACACTTGACGGATCTGGAAGATGACACCAAAGTAACCGGCGTTCCACAGAATGTGTCGCCACAAAGTACTCTCGAGGCCGTTATACATGGCAAGAGGACCCTCCTGCTTGACAATCTTTGTCACGCAGTCGACCATGCCATTATATTTGCCAGCCGACGCGCGGTCTTGCAGCCGAATCTTGACGAGTTCAAAGGGGACGACGACGAAGGCTTCCGTAGCACCAGCGGTAGCACCGGTTAAAATCGACAAAGGCTGGCTCATCTGTGCGACACCAAACAAATTCCGGTAGAAGTTGCCCCATTGGTCGTTGGCAGAGAATTTGATCGCTCTGAAGAGATAACGCATTGGTAGCTGTCTCTTAAAATCGAAAAAAGTTATGTTCCACTTTAACTCACCGCTTAGGCGCCTCCATCAGAATGGGAGCATTGATTCCTCGGTACAGCCGAGAAGCACTATTATTCCAGTGTGAGCGTGCATTCGATAGCGCAGGGCCGGGCGGAAAGATGTATCGTACCCCTCGTTCTTGACGATCTTGCGGAGGCAATCGAACATGCCATTGTATGCTTCCTCGCCGACAGTTGTTCCTTGCTGCAATTGACTGGCAATTCGTTAAAAAGGCGTGCAATGACTTGTGGTATACTAAACGCTTACACTCTTGTCTTGACCACATCTAGAGGATACCTTTCTGCTATCAGCAACTTGGATTGTTATGTCCGGAACATGACTTTTCTTACATGACACAAATCTACCCGAATCACCGTTAGCACATTTCGAAATGCTGCATTAAGGATCGTCAGGGTATGCTCACCTCAGAAACACCAGCCACCGCACCTGGTTGAAAGAGCCAGTCAGCAAATTCATCATGACAAATCAAAGGTAGCAACAAGAGCCATTAGTTTTCGTACCTGCGGCGAACTGGTAAATAAAGGGAAGCGGCTTCTGGTCCGACATTTTGCTTTGAGGAAATTATGTGCGGGTTGCGACGGATTCCCCAGTTGTATGATAAAAATACAAAAGTTTCAAACGAAGGCGAGATGAGGTCCTGGAGCGAGACGACGTTGGCCGGGCTCTTTGGGTCTCGGTGACAACCGAGTTTAACAAAGTTGCCGCGAAGGACGGGGACGCGGAGGTGACCAGGCCAGGGGGATGTGCTGCCGGTCTAGAGGATGAGCGAGGACGATGGGGAAAAAATCGGCTTAGCTGATAATCTGAGGGTCGCCACAGGGACTTTAATTGATCTGTTCCCGAGTCTTATTCGTGGCAGAGCGATGGAACTAAACGTGGGGAGTGTTAGTCCAAGCGTCGCGTAACTGACGGCGAGAAAGAGAGCCGAGATCGGAATCAACACTGAAAGATAAGGAAAATCTTCGGGAAGCGACCTGCCAAAGCACTTTTTGGCTCGGACAGGATGCCCTGGAGAATTACCTCAAACCCCATTAGCCAGTCAGTAGAAGATGTGGTCAGTAGAAGATTAATCATCACAAGCAAATGGAACCAAAAATTTAACGCCGAAAATTGTGTCTCTTAATATCTATGCGACGCCTAGTGGACGATCATCGGGCCCTTCCCAGGAAATAATTGTACCGGCGGTTGGGATATTCAAGTCACGTGCTTTCGCGTACCCGCGCGGGTACAACTGTAGATATGACAGCGCCTGAACGTGTACGCGTCGTGTCTGGAACATCTCCACATTGAAACCTCAGCCTTGCTAGACAGTTGCTGAGCTTGCTCCACAAGAATCTTGCTCAACTTTTGTTGGGAGAGCTTCAGATGGCCTGCCATCATGTCCAACAAACAAAGATCTTTCTTCGATCAGGTACCTAAACCGGCTGCTGTATGTTACATGTTACGTTTGGATGTCGATACTCTATAGAGGCCGAGCTGATATTGATATCATCACTTTCGCAGAACCGTCGATGGCAGCGTCATACCAGTACAGGAAACCTTCCTTCACATTCCAATGCCGTCCCTTCTTTGAAGCACTCGACAACTGCCCCGCCTATTTCAGCTTCTACTCAATCGCGTTCAAAATTGAAAGCATTCATGTTTGAAGATAGCCATGGATCAGTGACAAAGCCAAACGCCGCACACCAATTTGAAGTCCAGGACAAGGAGAATTTGCATTCTTGGAACCCGGATGGCCATGTCGAAGACTCAACTCACGTCCAATCTGTTCCAGTGGAGGGCCCGAAAACCGGCAAAGAATGTCCGCAGACTCCTGGTCCTCGACTGCTCTTGGCGGGTCTTCTAGGAAACAACGAGGATGCTACACTGAGTTCTTCACAAGCCAAAGATTCTACACCCCACGAGCGCGTTTACTGGGATCATTCACGGCGGTCCCCCAAAAGTTCGAACCTGGGCAGCTCCTTCGATACCCCACTCCCGAAAATCCGCGAAGAAGGGAGGACGCGAACACCCTCCCCCATCTCCTCTTCTCGTCCTGACAAAAAGATTAAAGCCGCGAATAGAAGGGAATCGCTAGACTTACAGACACTACAAGACTCGTTGAAGACGCCTCAAGCCGACCCTGCTACCGAACTGTGGAATCGCTATACGGTCAAAACTGGAATGAAGAACTCGCCAAGTGCTTCTCCGGTTCCTCCATTTGCACACCTTATTGAAGCTTCTTCGCCGCACTGTGGATCTGCTTTGCCTAGGGGTCTCTTGAGAAGATCACTCAGCTGTCATAACGAATGGCCGACGTCAGCCTCCAAGCGCAGGCGAATCAAGGGCCCGCAAGAAGAGAAAGACAATAACGATGTTTTTGCTTCTGGCAGCCCGGGAAAGGAGCGGTCGAAGCTATCAAGGGTCAGCATGCTCATGGATCGCATCCAAGAGAGCTTTACAAAAGAGGGTATGACGGGAGATCCTGCTGAGCCGTCTAGCTCTTCGCCACTACCAGACAGAAGTGATTCTCTTTTTGTGCCTCCGCCCTCGCCCCTTCAGCGAAGGGCTCAAACAACCGGAGCAGACTCATCCAAAAGCGCGGCTGCCCTGTATCAACGCGAAGAGATAGCAATGAAGTCACTTGCCAGGGACGAGACTGAGATGAATCCCAACAGATATGCAAAGCACCATCCAAAGGCTCTGGCATCTGACGCCGGTGGGGAAGCTATTAATGAAAACAACGCGAATGTCAATGTTTCAGTGATGTCGGCTGCGCAGTCAGCTCCCAATGAAGATTATGGCGAGGATATCATGGAGGCTCTTGTCGAGTCTGATGATTTTGGAAGTGATGAAGACGACCTCTTCACAGCAGATTTGGAGCATATGGCAGCTCGATATGACCAATCTGAGGAATTTCTGAGCGATCCGCCAGTCCATACACTTGATACCCTTCCACAACCAGCGACGGAGACTGGCACCAACCCTGCCAAGTCAATATCACAAAAAGGCTCGACCCACGCCATCATTGATCATTCATCAGATGACGAATTCGGCGAGGACGATATTGAATTGGAACAGTTCGTGGCTGCAGAAGTTGCTGCAACCCAAGCAAGCAGACCGTCTTCGAATCATCAAAACTTCGTAAGGCTCCATGTACATCCCCAATTATGATCCGGTGCTAAAAAATCTAAGAGTGAAACGGAGCCGTGTGCAATCAAACGATACCTTATCACTAGTCTTGCTGAGAGCTCTTATAACACTTTTGCTGGTAAGGAGCAGCCGGAGAAGGTACCGAAAAAATAACCAACTCTTTTCTTGGGTGGCAGGCTGCTAAAGTTGCCCAACAGATACTCATGGTGTCCGACGAAAAGACAAAGGCAGTTAAAGTGATTGCACTGCGCCAGTCTTGGTATGATACACCTTGTACGACTGGCTCTTACATTCATCTTATCGGTAGATTTGACCGCACGGGACATTGCATTGTTGACGACGCTTCTAATATGCTTATCTTACATCCGGATCACCTCATTTCTGCAACGGTTGTAGCTGATTCCTTTGGCTGCATGCGGCGCGCTGTCTTGCAGGATCGAGTCAAGGCTACCAGTGATGCCAGTGCACCGCAGGTCTATGGCCATATGCTTCATGAAATCTTCCAAGAGGCTATGCGGGCCAATCAGTGGGACTTGGAATGGCTAGCCAAGACAATCGATGAAGTGGTTCTCAGATACATGGAAGCCCTTTATGAAATACATTTAACGGTACCACAAGCATCGGATTACCTTAAAGGCAAAATGCCCGAGTTGCAGTCCTGGGCTGAGCTGTTTATTTCAGAAATGCCAAAGGTAAGCTCGGCGGGCCGTTCATGCAACAATCATGTAAACATCAGCTAATCTCCAAAGCCCAACGCCATAGTAAAAGACAGGAATGAACGACAGGTCAAAATGAGCATCAATAAATTGCTAGACGTTGAAGAGCACATATGGTCTCCCATGTACGGACTCAAGGGGAACATTGATGCCACTGTCCAAGTTGTCATGCAGGACGGTCCTAGCAAGCGCACTCTGACGGTTCCCTTCGAGGTGAAGACTGGGAGAAACGCCAGTAATGCTCAACACCGAGCCCAAACAGCGCTTTATACATTGCTTCTTTCTGATCGATATGGTACGTTTTGACAGGATTGCACAAAGTGCACTTGCTGACTTTAATTTTAGATATAGAAGTCGCTTACGGTATTTTATATTACATGGAAGCATCGGATATCTTTAGAATACCTGCAATTCGACATGAAATTCGTCATATGGTGATGCAACGGAACAGAATCGCGTGCTTTGTAAAGGATCGGCTACAGCTCCCGCCGATGCTTAAAAGTTCACATCTCTGTGGAAAATGCTATGCGAAGCTTCCTTGCTTTGTATATCACAAATTGGTAGACGGTGGAGACGGCGAGTCCAGCGGAATGAAGGAAAAGTTTGACGACGTCGTCCGACACTTAAAGCCGGCTCATCAGGAATTCTTCAAGAAATGGGATGGCCTTCTCACCAAGGAGGAAAAGGACTCCATGAAGTTTCGGAGAGAACTGTGGACCATGTTGAGCCAGGAGCGCGAGAAACTTGGGCGATGCTTTGCCAATGTGATTATCGAACCGGGATCAGCTTTCGAATCAGAAAGTGGTCCCAAGATCAATCGGTTCAGATATTCGTTTGTGAAGCAGAAGCCAGCTGCCAGCTTTTCTTTTGTGGAATCGCAAATCGGCGTGGGAGAGCCAATTGTGATATCGGATGAAAAAGGCCATTTTGCTCTGGCCAACGGATATGTGACGCACGTGCGGAAGCATAGAATCTCGGTGGCTGTTGATCGCCGACTGCAGAATGCGCGAATTAGGCGGCCTGGTTTTGATGCAGAGTCAAATCAAACGTTTGCAGGCATCATGGAAGTATTCGAGGATGGACAACCACAATCTACCATGGCCTCTATCGAATCTGAGGAACCTGTGCTTTATCGCCTTGATAAGGATGAATTCAGCAACGGTATGGCAACTGTCCGTAACAATTTGATCCAGGCAATGGCGGTGGACGTCTTTCACGCCCGAGAGATCCGGGAACTCGTTATCGAAGGCAAGGCACCATCCTTCAAGCCATCACCAACAGCATATACGTTGCCTGGTCCGTCAAGCCAGGCCACGTTGAATGTCGACCAGAAACGCGCCATCGAAACAGTGATGAGTGCCAGGGACTATGCGCTAGTTCTAGGCATGCCCGGTACCGGCAAAACAACGACGATAGCTCATATTATCAGAGCTCTAGTTTCTCAAGGGAAAAGCGTGCTGTTGACTTCTTACACCCACACCGCGGTCGATAATATTCTGCTGAAAATTCGCGATGATGGCATCCGGATCTTGCGCATTGGAGCAATTGCCAAGGTTCACCCCGAAGTCCAGGAGTTCGCAGAGCTTGCGAGCCAGCCAAAAGGATCGATTGAAGAGGTTCATCAGGCCTACCACCGTCCCAGTGTCGTTGCAACCACATGTCTGGGCGTGAACCATTCAATATTTAATGAACGGATCTTCGACTATTGTATTGTAGACGAAGCATCCCAGATCACTCTTCCTGTGTGCCTTGGCCCCATTCGCATGGCAAAGACTTTTATCCTCGTTGGCGATCACTACCAATTGCCACCTCTCGTCCAAAACGAAGAAGCAAGAGAGGGAGGTTTGGACGTCAGCTTGTTCAAATTGCTATCGGATCTTCACCCTACATCGGTTGTCAGCTTGGAACATCAATATCGCATGTGCGAAGATGTCATGCTCTTGTCTAATACGCTCATCTACGACGGGCGCCTCAAATGTGGAAATGAAGTTGTAAAACGACGATCCATTGCCATACCAAACATGGATGGCCTCAAGCAGCATCATTTCACTAATTTCAGCATGGACCTTTTGTCTCCAGGGCAGAAGGATGTATGCCTCGGACCTCATCGAGGCAGTTGCTGGCTTCGAGATCTTCTTGATCCCAATGTTAAAGTCAGCTTTGTCAATACTGACCCTCTTCTTCCTGCGTCTCGGGAAGAAGTGAACGGGTCTCGAGTGGTAAACCACATTGAAGCGAATTTGAGCACTCAGCTCGTCGAAGCACTTTTAAGTACAGGCGTAAATGCGAGCGAAATCGGTGTCATCACTCTCTACCGCTCCCAGCTTGCGCTGATCAAACAGAATCTTCGCCATCATCCAGATGTTGAGATGCATACTGCGGACCGATTCCAAGGCCGAGATAAGGAGGTCATAATCCTATCACTTGTCCGCAGCAACGACAACCGCCAGATCGGTGATCTCCTTCGCGACTGGCGCCGTGTCAATGTTGCTTTTACCCGCGCTCGGACCAAATTGCTAGTGCTGGGTTCTCGCACTACGTTATCAGGCAACGATCTCCTGGCAAATTTCCTCAACCTGGTTGAAAAGAAGGCTTGGCGATACGATCTACCGCGGTCCGCTGTGACGGGTCATTATTGGGATGAAGCATTTACACAAGCAAGCATGAGCGCTGTTGACGCTGCTCCTGCATTGACAGAGCAAATGATGCAGCAACAGAACCAACAGAGCATATCAGTTAAATCGAAGCAGACACCTTCTTCCAAGGAAAAGTCTGCAGGGTTTATGCGGAAATTTATGGAAACGGGAAAGGCTGGCGTTAAGACTGGAAAGGTATCGGAACGCGTGCTTTTGGGTAATCGGCCTGTGTTACGAGATATCATCAATGATGCGATTTAGTATAAAGAACTGCTTTTCTTTTTTCTCAAGGAAATTATATAGCATTCCAGGATAAATGTCAACGTTCAATTTTATCCTCGCATTCTTCTCCACTTAAACTTCAAAGACAATACCTTCGAATCAGGTAGTCCGGCATGAGTACTTGCAGACGCGTGCGAAAATCCTTGCGGGGCAGATAGCGAAATGTTATTTAGCTTTGTCAAGATGCAGCTGGACCGCAAGAAGACAAGTAACATCATTGATGACCTGATCAAAGCCTGTCTTATGGAATTTCGTGTCTGTACAAGCGGGATGGTATTCTGTGGCTGATGCAGGGAAGAAGAACAGCCAATCATCCATATGGAAAATCAGCCTCTGTGGAAGCTCACCGTTGCTGCCTGGGCGGGGACAGTTGTAATGCGGGGAAATATCTACTCTCCTTTGCGAAAAAATAATATATGATCCAAACCAACAAACTATCAGGGCAAGAAGGTCAACGACGTTGATGATTTCAGAATTGGCAGGTGAGAAACTGGCACATTCATTGCCTGGTCTACATTCATCTTTATGAGATTGCTGCGCGATGTCATCGTGGGCCACGAAACTTGCCGGTCTTTCTGCGCCAATGAATACTTTTGCTGAGAAAGCAGTGATTGATAGGATGGCGGCTGTATGCGGCACCTTGTTCGTGCTATTGATATGCAGTGTAGCTTACAATGTCTAGAACTCGGCGATCAAGAATATCAAGCTCAAGTGTGGATAACCGCTCTTCTCAGATTAATACTGTTTCTCATCGCTGTATAGGGGTACGAAATTACACAAAAGTCATGATGGCTCCGGCAAGAATGTTATTTCCATCCAGATGTTGAATGAAAAGAATGCGAGGGTTGAGACTATACATGTGGACGAGAACGGCGACGTGGACGTGAAGAAGAAGTCGCAGTAATGCGGCCATGTGGATTGATGGTGATCAGAAACTATTCCCCGGTGCGACCAAAGTATCAGAGTTTACACGAAGCATTTTTCGGTATTTATTTGATATGTGATTGAACTCTTGGTACCAAGTTTCCGTGTCATCAGTTGCCCACAAGTCCGGTCCATGTTTAAGCTTTGCGTAGTGCGGACTACTTTAACGAGCTAGCCCAGTGGTGAGTGCTAAGCGCGTAATCCGTATGCCCTTCCGACTCCCAACTGGTTGACGGCAATGGGATGGTTTACTCGTAACGCCAAATTTCTTCCTTAGCTCTTTTTTGCATCTTCTATGTTCTCATGATATATGACTTGATTAATGTTATGATCCTGCTTTCTTCAAACTTTAGTCGTGTGTGCCGCACCCATTTGCTCAGAAGTAGTTTCCGGTCACGACATCCGGCATTTTCGGCCATGCTTCATAGTTCTATGCTTTTTTCTCGGAAAATTGAAGAGGAATCACTCAGTCGTTTTAATGCGCTGCGGTACTATCCAGTACACATCGGCGAACAGATACACAACAGATATACCCCCGCTGCCAAATTGGGTTATGGAGGATATTCAACCGTCTGGCTCTGTCATGATACGTTGTGCGTTGCCCATGGGGAAACCGAATTGATCTTTGATAGTTTGCTGAAAAAATCGCAGAGAAAGTTCCTACAAGACTCTCAAAGTCGGCACGTTACGAAAAGAAAACGATAAAAGTCCCAATGAGATTATGGTCTCGAAGTATCTTAAATCCAAATCCTTGGATCACAACGGACGGTATTGTGTTAGAAGAACATGTGATTATTTCGAAATCGAGGCTCCAAACGGCTACCACCCATGCTTTGTTTACGAACCGCTCGGAAACAGCCTATTGGAGTACGTTGAACTGCAGCCCGAAAAAGTAGTTAATCTGCCTCAAGTCAAGTGGATTACTACATACCTCTTGCATGCGCTAGATTACCTCCATCAGTCGGGTGTGGTGCATACAGGTATGCGAGTTGGACTTGTCGAATGAAATCGGTTGCTGATAAGTGTCATAAAGATGTCAAACTCAATAATGTCCTATGTACACTACCAGAAAATGGCAACGAGATCCTGCAAGGATTAGTTGACAATGAGAGTCAGAATCCAAGCCCTCGCAAGGTAGTGGACGATGGATACACGATTTACGAGTCTAAAAAGCTAAGTTACGATAATCCTCTCGGCTTTCCCATCCTTTGCGATTTAGGAATGGGTGTCTACGGCAAAGAAAAGTATACTGGGGTTGTTCAACCCATCCCGTATCGTGCTCCAGAAGTAATCTTGCGGATGAGATGGGATTCCAGCATTGATATTTGGAATTTGGGAGTCTTGGTAAGTCTTTTGGCCGGCTATTTCTCAGTTATAGAATCCTATCTCGCTGAATGTTTCAAGGTATGGGAGCTTCTCTGTGGAGAATTCTTATTTGGGCACGATAACGAGCGCGATACTTTGTCAACAATGATTTCATACCTCGGCCCTCCTCCAGAGCGCTTTATCGATGTCAGTCCTGTACGCTCGACGTACTTTGATGATCGCGGTAAGTGTGTGCGAGCTTCGTGTCTGAAAAGTATTAATAATAGTTGACAGGGTCGTGGAATGGTTTCGTAATTGAATCAATTCCGCTAAAAGAAAGATTAGAAGGCACTGGTGACATAGATCTTTTTCTCGATTTCTTGATGTCTACGCTCGACTGGGAGCCCGGGAGGCGAAAAAGTGCTGCGCAACTTCTACACCATCCATGGCTTAGTCCTGATTCATAATTCATGAAGAGGATAAGCGTGCACAATATGGTCACGGCTTGGGAGGTGTTAGAAAATCTAAATTATAAGAACGTTTTCTTGTGCCAGTATGATTGTATTGTCATTGTGACTAGTCAATGGAGAAAAAACGATTAATCTGGTATATATTTTTATTGCAATTACCTATAATATTCACTCAACCTCTACAAGATTATTTTGACCATTGGATATGTTGATGCCATCCAGGGTGCTGAGCTGGACCGACTGAGTGGAGTCATTGGCCTGGAGGAAGGTGACGAGGGAGAAGAGCCCCGGTTGACGCCAGGCGGGCCTGGCGTAGTGAACCCTCACGCTGACCAGTGGATAAAGTGGTGAAATTTCATTGTTGTTAGATTACGATTCCAAGCATTTGGATATTCCTTCTTTTATGTGGCGTAGACTATACAATGGCATGGGCAGACATGGGAGACCCTTTTTTTGCACTCAGCTTTTGTATTCGTTTACCAGCAGTGCATAGCTTGAAGCTAAGTACAAACGCCATGAGACTTTTGTTTAGTTTTCTCTAGATGTTTTAATCTAATTAATTATTCCTTTAAAGGCTCATTAGTTCGGAGCCATAGATGTCAGGTAATATCTCTATGCCATTGGTATTGAATACTTTGATACTTGAGCACATACGCCTCGGAAATTACAGTTCCAGAGTCTCCTTGTCCATACTATCCTATTGCATAATCTTTGATGGAAACAGTGCGCAGTAGTGCCATATTTGCTGTCGAAAACGGAATGTTCCATTGACTATCTGTACTGCAAATATTCATGTAGATGCAAATTTTTCTTGATGTCCGTTGATATTTTCAGCTACTCTCTATTGATCAAACTCTGGAGAAGTCAGTCTAGACTCTTAAAACGAAGCAAAGATAAAGAGCTGGTAAAAATGCTGAGGGAGATTAGAAAAAAAAGTGTAGAAGAAAAGACAGGCGGAAAAGAGCCTGATGATCGATTAAAACAGCTCTAGCAAAGGGGTCATGCATCACACCAGGGTCTGCATACCTATGGTAAGGACCATTGTTGATCATCTGACGCCAACATGCCTAGGTACCATAGCGCAAGCAACACGGTAAGTCGTGGCTGATGTTGCGTCCCTTGAGCACTCCAGGGGATTGATTCTGACAGCTCCATGCTGCCGGCGTTATCTAGTCGCCGAATTGCGACAAGTTCACGGTCGGTAAGTATAAACCCAAAACGAGCTTTGTGTTGATTCATGTAGTAATTGACTTGCGACAAAGCCTGCTTGAATTCTCTTGTCTGCTTAGAAGCCGGACTGTCTCTGAGAGAGAGTGACCACTTGTAAGACGGCTTCAACTCACCAGGCGCTCGATTCGGCCTGGTTAACGTGGGGAGATTTGAGTCAAAGTACGCAGTGTCCGGTCTGTATGTATTGACCATTTGAGCCAAGCTCCCTTCTGCGAAACTTACGACCGTATGATTCAGGAGCTGGTTATTCGTAGCCAGGTAGTGAAAGCCAACGCGAAGTGATCGTCTAACTCTTGCATTTAAATAAAATGAGAAGCGTTGCTGGAGACCTGTCTCTGAATTGATTGCTTGCGGAGGAGAAGTGGGCATTGCCTCATCTTCGATCCGTGCATTGGCCAGTAGAGGCTGGAACTGCTGCATGATGGTGTTCAAGTTGAAAGATGACCAGACTCCGACCTGAGAAATATCCTCCGCAGAATAGCTTTTGCTTGTTGTATTGTCATGCGAGGATCCATTGTCGATGACTGGTAACGTCGGTGGGCCGTGTTGCAGATAGGCAAGAAGGGTAACTTGATTTGCCATTCTATGTACAGAGTATCTTGTCAAATCACTTGGGTGGTGAAACGTGGGAGCGTTGATAGCTTGGTAAACGTAGGATTTTTCCGCTGTTGCTGATTCTCGTTCCAGAATTGGCCAACGTTGGCAAACTTGTATATATGCTCAGTTTAGGGCTGCTGCCTAATTTCTATTAGAAAGTACAATGACTGGGATTGCGATTGGTTGCAATTAGATACAATGTTCTACTATCAACATTGAGAAAAATACTTTGAAACGTTACTATATTGTAGTCCCAGAGAGACATGCTTTGCAGATCAAGCAATATATATGTGAGCTGGGTCACATTTTCATTTCATGTGAATATAAAATCAGTTACACATGATAGATCCTTCTGCCACGTGAATGAGCCTTGTGATGATCCATCCGTTTGGCACTTTGTATTTTGTCCTTTCTTGCGAGGGTCCGGCCCTCTTGTAGAGTTCCATCTCGGCATAGAAGAGAGAGGCATTCAATCGGACAGTTGTTTGCTAGGTATTTCCGAGAAAGAAGTTATGTCAAGTAGAGTTAAAAAAAAAGACTATTTAGAAAAAAAATCGATGGCGTAAATTCAAATTATGAGCATTATTGTTTATGGCTGTACAGTACCAACTTGATAGGTGGAGATGGAAATCTTATAGCGCGGCCCGGGCGGGTGCGCTAACTGAAACCCTTTATTTTCGCTTAGATAACTCTAAGTACTACATAATCACTACATCCATTAATATGACCACTTTGCGGAGATCCAAGCCTCTCTTCTCACGTCACCCACAGAAATCATGGACATCAAACTGTCAGAGGTGCTCTTCGTGGAGGAACTTAAGAAGTCTGACTCGGGTTGTATCTTCCGAGTGCGTTGGCGTGGCATGGACTGCGTGATGAAAGTGGTACGCAACCTTGACGGCCTTCTTGACACTGGTCTCTAACGATGCACTGTATCCGTTTAGTTTCACACTGTTGTCCTCTCTTTCGTCCCGCCAGGTCGCGAAGTCGACAATTTCAAATGTGAAAGCCGGGCCTATTCTCGACTCAAGGCGAAAGGATTATGTGATCGCGGAGACATCCCTGACTTTTACGGCACGATAGAACAGATAGACCCTATGGAATGGCAACCACACTTGAAGAGATTTCTCAACGACCGTTTGCGCCCCAATGCTGTCTTGATCGAATACATACCAAATATGCGGCGAATAGATCTATCTAATTTCACAGAGGAGAGGGCCCGCAAACTGCGTCAAATCCTCACTGAGATCCATGAGGCCGGTGTCTTCCATGGTGATCTGTATCCGCGAAATATGATGGTTCAAGAAGTTGATCATTGCGCAGGAAGAGCCCTGTGGATTGATTTCGACTGTGCTCAGACGTTAGAAGTCGGTTCGCTTACGCCACGTCAGCAGCAGTGGCTGGAGGAAGAAGACGAGTTGATGGATGAATTTGTCGATGGTCTAGTAGGGCTGACTCTCCGGTTTGAACTGGGTTACTGCTGACTTTAGTAGGCAAAAGATTACAGGGAGGGCAAAATCTTTCACACATGGATCTACTATTATCAGTACGTCCCATATTTGCAAAGACCCTATTAGCAAAGTGATGGTAGTATTGACTACTGCGATTTTTAGGGCTATATATCCATTTTCTTGACCACCAGTACCTTTATGCTCAATGAAGATACATAAAAGTGAAACCGGAAGGCCTGACAAAAGGGCTTTGTCACTTGAGGCAACGAGTTTACGGGCTATGAACAGGTTTCATTGGAATCCCCGCCGCCACGAACGGTTTCTTTCCTTTTCTATTCCGAGCGACGTTGTCTTCCACATGAAGCGAGCAACGTTTCTGCCTGAGTTTCTTATTTTAATCCAGCGCATTGGCGTCATTTTCTTTCCTCAGGGACGTGGATCACATCGCGTCGACTGTGCCCATCTATAGCCTCAGGAATCCCGAAAGTACTACATCTACTCAGACAGAGAGCCAGCCTATTTTCGAGGGTCTTGCTATTTTTATTCCATAAACAACGGCTTTTTCTTCATGGAGATCGGAAAATTTATTTGGTATGCTCAAACACTGTCAAAATGTCTTGACTAGACGCGACTAATACCCGTCCATTAAATTTAAAAGAACACGAATCACTCATATCTTCCAGACGTCATACAACCATATCGTTCTTCCTTGGGGATAGTATTCGTCCGTCAGAAGGCCACCTTTAGAGAGACAAGACAAAAGGGCAAGGCCGATAGGAAAAGATATGAATGTGATTCTTCGCTACCGAGGCAAATTACTCCTCTATTCTTAGATGATGTACCAAGTAATTCAGATTGTCAAACCCAAGGCTTTTCTAAAAAAAAATGCAATAATACTTTAATAGATCAATGACGGTGGGAGGTTTGGTTCAAGATATGCCGTGTCCGAGGTGGATACATGAATGAGATCAGCTAGATTTCCCTGCTGAAAATTCAACAATGATATGATTCAACGGCCGACCGTTTGTAATCAGATAGTAGAAATTACTAATGACCGAGCTTTAATTCCCCCATAGGAGACGCAATTTGCCAATTTGTATATTTCCACCTCCACCTGTTCCCACGAGAGTTTGGTAGTTGGATCGTATCATAGAGGATGGCACTCGGTATAAATATAAAGTGGCCTTTGTACAAAAATGCCTGCAGCCTGCAGTAGCTACTTGTGGTATCCGTCCTTGATTTGATAGCTCTTGGGCCTTGGCTCATTTAGACACTGTCACGCTGCTAAATTTCTTGTTGAGACTGGAGTTCTACTGGTAACTAGACCGTGCTATTTTACTATACTTCTCTTGTGTTTGTGTAATGCTTAAATTCATCAGTGACATCCCAGTCCCTTTATGAATGGACTTTTCTGGTACGGCATGACGCCATTTTGTTTCTCATACATATATGGCAAGGTAGAAGTATTATATTATTATTAGAATCAATAGCTTTTGTAGCATGGTAACAAACAAGGGTAAAACTTATTATTATATGTTTTGGAGTCTCAATATCACCCCAGATTTCGCAAGTGCAAATGTCAGGAACGGAAACTTTCTGCTATATTTTTTTACTTTCCGTTTCAAGAGCACTCTATAAAAACTCGTAGCGGGTAGTATCATACTCACCAGACCCCAGCCACTCGTACCACTTCCTTAAGCAGCAGTCTTTGGAGCCCCATAGTTCGATAATGCACTTAGTGATTAGATTCTGCCAGGGAATCTTCATATCAAGCGCCTTAGCCATCATATCACAGCGGACCAGGATCTGCCAGCAATATTTAAGATACAGGGCTAGTTCTTCGCTGTTGGAAGGGTGGAACGGATCGTGTGGCACTTTGAGGGTCCCTTTTGGCACGTATTCGGCAAATCTCATTATCTCTATTGACAGCTCGACAGGGAGTCCTTTACGACACAGCATCCAGCGCACAAGACAGACGTCAGATAAGTTCGGCTGGTGCTCGGTCGAGCCCATTAAGGCGAGAAACTTATCGAACGGAAATTTTCCGCAGCGATGATTTTCATCCACAGAAGCCAACCTGTGGTTGATGGCACCGAAGAACTGTTGATGTGGATACATCACAACATCTGAGGTGATGCCAACCTCCGTGCACATCATGAGCGTATGTTGGTAGAATTTGGTATGGCGATAATCGGTCTCTTCGGTTTTACCAGACGCCACATCCCACATCTCCGGGAAGCAATATGTCACATTCAAACACATGTAGGCAGCCAGTGCCTTCTCGCAGAGTTGGTCCCATCCGAGATCAGGATCCTGTTGGTAGTCAGAATGAATTTAAAAAGTGCGTCTGATCAATTGGTCAGTGGTGGTGGGGGGGGAGGGCGCCAAAGTGTCTTGTCAATGACTTACCATGCACATGCATTCTCCATCGTGCCACCAATCTTTAAGGCTCACGCGGGGATGGGCACTCGCGCGTAAGATAGGGTCCATTTCACCGTGCAAAATCAAGGTCTTGACAAGTTCAAGGTTGAAGAAACCAGCCTTGTTAACTTCAAAAAACTTATAGCAGTCGTTCATGACCCTTGCCCGGAAAAACGCGGACACTCTTCTCTCCTCGTACGGGAGAGCAGGGCATTGACACTCTCCATCCTCATGAGGTCGGCAAGCATTCCCGCCGCAACAGTAGTCCGACTCACGCTCGCTGCGCCATCGGCGGACAGTTGGAATAATCTTCTTGACAATATCTTCATCAAGTATAACGTCCGTAGCGCTTGGCTCATCATATTTTTCGGGGTATTTTCTGCGCTCGCATGCTGAATGCTCGGCAATATTCTTCGCAAAAGCGTTGGCGAAGTATGTTAATTCCTTGCCCTGATTGGGTCTCAATCTGGGGCGAAGATTCGTGGCGCCGCAATTACAAGAACCAGCCGGGGCCCATTTCAGATTCGAAGACAAGAGAGTCCATGGGATGTTGTGTGCCTGATGGGCCATGGGTACGGGGGAGGCCAATGTGCCACAAATCACAATTACTTTGGCTTCAAGAAGGCCGTCTGCGATGGATGTTAGCCTGCTCAAAAGCCTCTTTCATATCAGATTACATACCTATTATTTGTTTTCTTGCGTAATAGATATGGGTAAAGTTCGAATTGTCCCTGAAATTTGTTTATATATTCTGATGATATTATTTCAAGTGAGTCATTGCACAGCGGCTCAGCCGCACAGCCCCAGTCATCAACATTTACCCATTTTGGGGGATCTGTTCATCATTGTGCCTCTATACCGCATACTACCTTTTTTTTTTTTAGAAATTTATATTCATTATACATCTCTTTTTCGGATGATTGAGCTTGCTTCTTCTCTTTTTTTGTATCCGCTCAGTTATATTTATATTAATATAAGGATATTTCTAATATCTGACACTATTAGTAAATAATTTCCAAGTCTAAATAGACAGAGATAGTGTAATTCATTTCCCATAGCGCTTACCCTGAAAGCAACGACACTCCTTTATGTCTCTTATTGATTCTTCAATATCAGATATAATCTTATGGTTATTGATCTTTCTTTGTCGAGCTATATCACCTGGCGGTCAAAATGACTGGTGGATGTTGTCGCTCTACGGAGTAGTACCGCAGGTGGATATTATCATCGGCGTAACTAGAATTTAGCTCCGACTTCCCACTACGCAATGAAACCACCGAGAAACCATAACACGCTCCACCAAGCTACAACACATCAGCCCCGCGTCTTTGCAACGTCACAAAAAATCTCCAATTGAGATACCTCTCGCTGTCTTACGAAACATAAAATACACGAACCCGCAGGTCGCATCATAACGCAGTATGTCCTCCGGCTTCGTGTCCGGCGGGACCAACGAGCAGCCGATTGAGCGTGACGACGCCTGGCTCGAGGCACAGCAGCAGATCGAAGAGACACGGCGGCGAAAAGAGGAAGAAGGGAAGCAAGATGGCGGAAAGAGCTTATTCGAAACCCTACAGGCCAATAAAGGTAAATATTCTGCCATCCTCTCAGACAATCACAGAATTTGCCCATTTCAAAGTCCAATCAAATCCATTAAATATACCTTCATTCTCCCGGCAAGAACTAACGTACCAGCTCCATCTTGATCCGATATAGCCGCCAAGCAAGACGCCTTTGAAGAATCCATCAAGCTCAAGCACCAATTCCGCTCACTAGACGAAGATGAAGTCGAATTCCTCGACTCGGTGCTCGAATCGACCCGCGCCCAAGAAGCTGCATTGAAGAAGGAAACGTCTGAACAGCTCGACTATTTTCGAAAACAGCAAGAACAAGCTGACAAAGCTCTCCTCGCGGCTGAAGGAGAGCAGGATGCGCAGACCGGTGCAGGAAGCGGTAGTCCCACCGCCACGGCCGAAGAGGAGAATTGGGCGGTCAGTGGCAGGAAGCGCAAGAAGGGAAAGGACGGCCAAGGAGGGTTGAGAGGCGTGAAACTCTTGCGCAAATCCTCCTCTGCGTCGGGCGCGAACGAGAAGCAGAAGAATGCGGCGTCTCCTGGTTCTGATTCGCCGGATACAAAGGGGGTATCTTCTGCTGCGAAACCTGCGCAACAGGGAGGAGAAAAGCCTACTGCTACAGAAAAGGACGAAAAGGACGAACAGCACAAGGCGAACGCAAAGAAGGAGTTGAATGGGACTACACCGCCTGTTTCCTCGGCAGATGCGAAGGCGAATGGGACAGTCCCGTCTCAGGATAAACAGAATTCACCGTCAAAGCCGGTATCTGGCCCGACCAAGGCTCCAGCACCTGCGACTAGTGGTTCTTCGTTAGGGCTACAGCTCGGAGCATATGATTCTGATGAAGATTGAATTGTTATCTGGATTGTACCGGCATGGATTATGTGGAGTTTGGCGCATGCAATTCTGCTCTTGAGTTTCGGGGTTATTCTTGTACCAGCATTGACATGCCAATGGCTATTTGACTTGTCCAGGTTTGATGGTTTGATGCATGGCGCAGATACTATGGCTACTATGGTTTTGGACTGGGTTAAAAGCACTTTTTTTGCGACATTGTGCTGTGAAATTTCTTTTTGTTTTTCGTTTCGGGCAAGACAGGTCGAGATTTCGAATCTTTCTGCACCTGCAGTATGAACACAGCTCAACATATTTGATACTGTACAAAGGCCTGCTATTGAACAACTAGCATTGAATCTCCTTGCTGATTGTACGTAGTTGTACGTAAGTGGAGATGTAGAAGAACAAGAAAAGAAAAGAAAAAAAAAAATGAACCGCTTAATATATACATTTCATAAACCTACAAAACCACTTATGAATACAAGAGATGATCGAATAAGCAGCCAAGAAAAAGGAAGAAAAGAAGAAAATAATCAAATGTTCAATCTCTCATTGAATTGCAAGATCAAGTTTTTTCAATGCTTTTGTCTCGTCTGGTCAAATCCCTCGAGCATCGTTCGTGTCATTTCACTCTTCTTCGCCTCGGAGCTTTCTCCGCCCTCGGGGATATCTTTCCATTCGCCCTCTCCGTACTTTTGCACTTCGTCTTCGAGACGACTTGGATCCTGGCCGGCGTGAGACGACGGCACGTTCAAGAGCTTGGCGGCCATGGCCTTGCTCTGGCTATCGCTCACCTTGCCGTACACTGCCATGGCGCTGGCAATCATGGATCCAATATCGCCGACGTTTCCGGGCACAACGACCGAGGTGCCCTCCTTGGCCAGTTTGGCAAAGGCATCGACGTACTTCTCCGCAACGCTGAGGCTGACGGCGCCCTGGGCAGACTCCTTGCCCTCGGCAATGCTGCGAGCAACTGCATCAATACCGGACGCAGTGGCGCGGGCCTTGAGGAGAATAGCCTCGGCCTCACCGCTTGCCATGTTGATCTGTTCTGCCTTGATGGCCTCGGATGCAAGGATCACGCTCTGTTTCCGTCCCTCGGCGATGTTGATTGCGCTCTGACGCTGTCCTTCAGAGTCAAGAATCTCGGCACGTTTGCTCCGCTCGGCGGTCACTTGTCTGTGCATTGCCGCCACGACGCCCTCGGGGGCGTGGATGTCTCGGATCTCGTAACGCAGGCAGACGACGCCCCAGTCTTGAGCGGCCTCATTGATCGCCTGGGTGATGTTCGTGTTGAGTGCCGCGCGCTCTTTCAGGACGTGGTCGAGCGTAAGTTGGCCGATTTCTGAACGCATCGTTGTTTGAGCAAGCTGAGAGATGGCGTACTCTGCGTCTTCGACACCGTAGCTATAATCGTCTTAGCATTCAATTGAAGGGGCTGAGAAGGGTATAACTGCAGGCATACCTTGCCTTGTAAGCATCAACGACCCGCGTGTAAAGCACACCATCCAATTCAAGTGTCACATTGTCCGCGGTGATGGCGCTCTGGCTGGGGATTTCAATCGCAGCTTCTTTGAGACTCTTGACGTAGGCAATTTTGTCGATGAACGGAATCAGAATGGCCAACCCGGGATCCAATATCCGGTTGAATTTCCCCATTCGCTCCACGATCCATGCTGTCTGTTGCGGCACAAAGCGGATGACGGTATTGGCGGGGAGTGACGGGCGCTGAAAGTACGATGTCGGAGCCGACGAGGAACCTACGCCAAGCAGGCCGCCTCCGGGGAATGACCGCTGAGGGGTAGTGGAGAGTTGTCGACGGTTGAAGCCATTGAGGGAGGTGGATGTGATTGCTGGTCTAGCAAGGCGTAGAGAAGCTGGGGTAGCTGAGCTCAACGGGATCAATGAAGAGGAGGATGACGCCGCTGCCGGGACTCGGCGCAGCGACATGCTCGTGTTTGCGACGACCTTCCCTACGGGCGCCATGATGGGATTGAGAGGTAGGCGCACCTCCGGATGTCTAGGGAAGGGAGGAGGAGGAATTTGGTTGAGGAAATTTGTTGTTTCGTGGAGTTGGGGTTCAGTTCAGTAAGGCATTTGGAGATCCTTGCAACCAGTTGCACGCAGCTCGGATATATGTCAGTCCCTCTCTGAACCTCTCTGATGTACTACAGAGTTACCGCCTACCCGAATTGTTTCCAGGAAAGGCTCTTCTCGGCCCCATAACATCATAGCGAATCTTCTTAGCGCGTCTACCTGACAGCATTCACAAATCTCTAATCAACTCTGCTGATCTGCTCATCGACAATAGGAGGGTGCAATATTCATTCTTCCTATCTTCAAACGGTATTGAGATATTTGCCGTGATCTCTGCCTGTTTTGCCTCTTTCTTTTCCCTCTTTCTTTCCCCTCTTTACCGGTTCGGCAAGATGTCTGAATACTGGAAGTCAACTGTGAGTATACTTGCAAAATACAAGATTTAGTTATTAGACAGCTTGGATACTAATAAATCATAGCCTAGATATTGGTGTAAACACTGCAAGATTTACGTCCGTGACACTAAATTCGAACGGCAACAACATGATGCTACGGGGCGGCATCAAGGAAATTTGAACCGATTCTTGCGCGATCTTCACAAGAATAATGACAGAGCTGAGCGAGAAAAGCAACGCGCTAAAGATGAAGTGGAGAGATTGAACGGAATCGTCTCGGGCACCGGCGCGACGAAACCCAGCGGCTCTAAGCCAGAAACGATAGGCAGGCGTGTCCCTGGTCCAAGGCAGGCCACCGTCGAAGACAGAAAGCAGCAAATGGCGCAGCTTGCTGCGATGGGAGTCTCTGTGCCCGACGACTTTAGACGCGAAATGGCCATGGCAGGGGATTGGCAGGTCATGTCAGAGACGCCTGTAGCACGTTCGGCGAAAGAGGAAGACGGTGCAGAGAAGAAGTCAGACGTCAAAAATTTTGGCGTTCATAAAAGGAAGCGACCGGGAGAAGAAGACGTGGAGGATGAAGAAGAAGCAGGAACTACAACGATACGAAAGAAATGGGGCACAACGATTAAGACCTACCCAGGTGCTACGGAAGAAGACGACGATCTCGATGCCTTGCTCGAAAAGGGGAAACAAGCAAAGGCGGCAAAGGTCAATGCCGAGGAGGAAACAGGCGATTCAGAAATCAAAAAGGAACCTGTCGTTAAGCAGGACCCTGATTCACCTGCCGCTGAAGCTGAAGCCCCGGTTATATCAGATGTACCACGAATCAAAAAGGAAGAGTCGGATGCTGATTTGGGCATCTCGAACTCTGTAAGAGACGTTGGAGATGCCTCAGACCCACCGATCAAATCAGAAGATGGCGCTGCGCCTGGGGCAGGTGTAGTATTTAAGAAGCGTACCGCAAAGAAGATTCGACAAAAATGAGCTCTGAACGGATCACACGAGCCCTTCCCGATAGATTCGCCAATGATACATACTTCGCTCAGCCGAGATTGTACCAGGGGTCAAGTGCACTACATCCTGTTTACTCACCCAAATGGCGCTCCCGAGATCCACCGAACCATCATGTCAAGAGCTACATCAGGTCGATCTTGGGGAAGCTTTTCGAATATGACGGGTTAGTGTCCTGAAAGTTTCTCCCGTCTCTTAGAGCGAGGGATGCCTACCAAATGACCAGCTCCGTCCACAGTCACAAATGCAAAGCGCGATTCGATATCTGCACTGTCACTCATACGAACTTGGACTTCCTTTGCGGATCCAACTGTCTCTTTCTCGCCCGTCGCTGCAACCACCGAGGTCCACGGCCGAAGCGATTTGGATGTAAACTCCACCTGTCCTTTCCAGGAAAGTGCATGCGCCCAGCGGAGATTCCCAGCCGTGTTGCAGGCAAGGTCGAGATTGCCTTGGTAGGCGAGGAAGTGCACCTGGTTTGCGAGTAGAAAAGCGACCAGATCGGATTGAGACGTCATACCGTCCGAGGTCTTGTCGAACGCGTGAATGACAGAATCAGCGACGAATTTGTATTCCTTAATTTGCTTGGGAGGCGAAAGAGCGTCCCAGACAGCTGGGCTATTCAGATATTGCTCAATACGCGCTGCTTGAATGTAGCACATTTCGTCGATTTCGCAAGGGGCCGTGACTGTTTACCCACGCATGAGCAAAAGCTAACATCTTGACTTGCTTTGTTATTTGACTTACTGTCGAACCTGTTGCGACCGCCCTTGCCGGCTTCGTCGTCGTACCATCCAACAACACCCTCGTAGCAAACGGAGAGAGCAGCGTGGCAGACGGCAGGATCCGGATTTTTTACGCATATTTCGGCGACGTCCATGCATCGTGGCATGTTGGCTGCCATGATATCACACCTGGTCTTATTGAAAACGGGCTCCGAAACCCCGGGGTTGGTGGTGCAGAGTGTTTCCCAGTATCCGAATGCCGAGTCTTTCGGCGACATGAATCCGTTGCCCACCAGGCACGATTTCAGGCGTACCTGGGGCTCACTGGGATAGAGTTTGTTCTGCTGCACAATCTGAGCGCCAAGGTACGGGATGTATTTGCCCTGGAGATGTCAGTGCGGTGCGCATGGGGGTCGATTTGGTGGGATGGAGCGCCGCCGCCATTCTCACCGCATATGATTCGCCAGAAAGGTGGATGGATGCAGACAGCTTGTGGGGAAAGACTTCAGAGATAAATAGCTGTAGGAATCTGTGCATGTCGACCGCGGCCTCCTGAGAGTCACGTGGCAGCTCATGGCCTTCATCGATGTAAGAGAATCCGACATCAACGGGTTGGTCGACGAAGAGCAGCGACGAATTCCTGGACCAGGCCCACGGATTGTGATAAGTGCCATTCCCGTGCTCGTTGATCAGACAGGGACCAATCTCCTCGAACAAACCGATCATGCTGGAGTCGCCAGGCCCACCCGTCATCCACAGGGTCAGCGGGTCGCTGGCGGGGTCATTTTGGCTCTCAAAATACCAGAAGAACAAATGCTTGGGCCCTACATCGAGCCAGCCGGTGTATTGTGGAGAGCCAGCGGCGCAGATGGAATCGTTCTGCTGCCGGATCCGAATTGAATGGTTGGGCGAATGCTTGCTCTGAACCACGCGAAAACCATCTTCGGGGACAACAGACAGCAGTGGCGCCTGAGTGGCGGCGTAACTCAAGCCGAACAGCGCGATCCAGCAGAGAAGCAACATTGGGGGTGAGGGGCTATGGGTGTGAGAGGACGACAACAACAAAATATGCTTCGAGCGACGTTGAATATGTGTGTATGCAGGAAGTAAACAACTACATGCTGTGCTGTACGTGGGCAGCTACTCCATAGAGTTCAATCAATGTGATTCCTGACTAAAACACAACTGGCATATACAGTACATTGCCATCGCTTGACCTATCATCTAGGTAGTAATTGTTGTACTCGTAGCATATTGTGCCATTCTTTCTTCCGGGGTAAATAGGGATTCATTGGCTGTGGTTGGTTCATCCCCTGACACTTTTTTACGTGGATCCTGCTTTGTCAGCCGCTTGCAGTCTGGGGAACCAAAACGGCGGGACCCTGATGGGATGTTGATGTGGTGACGCCATAACAAAGAATGCCTTGACAACGGCAATAACTATGGGGAAGTTGTCAAGGAATTGGATACACATTTAGCCGTATCATTTTCTTCGCATCTCGGGCATTATTAGACAAGCTGCATACATTATCGCTCCTTCCTCATCGATGGTATTCTATAAATTGGGTGAAGTACACATAAGTTATGAGAGCATTCACAAAGTCATTCGTAACGGACTTCGGACTTAAGAGCATTCGTCGCCCTTTGAAAACCACATATACCCCCGCACTTCTCCCTGCTACTCTTCTACCAGTGTCTTGCACTGCTCATTGCCCATCTTTCCCTAATATTCGATATCTTCATACCACGTCTCTACGCTTTTCCAACATGAAGGAAGCTATCGTTCATCCTGGGCCTCGCAGCGAGCTCATAGAATCGCCTATCCCTAGACCCAACGCCGACCAGGTCTTGATCAAGGTTGTGGTGTCGGGCTGCAACCCCAAAGACTGGAAGGGAGCTCAGAATGAAAAGAAATCGGCCAACTCTGGTGACGATATTGCTGGGATCGTGGAAGCCGTAGGAGAGAACATTACCGAATTTAGGCCTGGCGATAGAGTTGCAGCTTTTCACCATATCGGAACTCCTGGAGGCAGTTTTGCTGAATATGCCATCAGCTGGGGTTATGCAACCTTTCATATTCCCAAAAAGACAAGTTTCGAAGGTACGTCTTGTAATGGGATCTTCATTCCATACGCATTCTGGCTTTCTCGGGCCAACCAGCTGATGAGTACTCATGCTACAGAAGCTGCTACGATCCCACTCGCAGCCATGACCGCTGCAGTTGCTCTCTATCAAGAATTACGACTTCCGCAGCCGTGGCAAGCTCCTACCGAGCCGCTTCCGCTGATTATATATGGCGGTTCTTCTGCGGTCGGGGCCTATGCCATTCAACTGGCCAAAGCGTCCAATATCCATCCGTTGATTGTCGTTGCAGGTAAAGGAGCTGATTTGGTGGAGAGTCTGATTGACAGAAGCAAAGGCGACACTGTCATCGATTATCGTGAAGGCTACGACGCAGTCGTTGCGGGTCTCAAAAACGCTCTCAAGCAGTCCGGACAAAACCGTGTACGATATGCCTTTGACCCGGTTAGCGACAAGGGCAGTTACCAGGCCATCTGCGAGGTTTTGGATCGTGAAACCGGCAAAATCACCTTTGTTCTCCCTGGAAAAACGTACGAGGAGGTGCCCAAGTCGATTAAATGGACCTTGACAAAGGTGCCTACCTCCTTCCTGGATGTCGCTCCAGATTCTCCCCAAGGCAAAGCGGGAATTAAAATCAGCAACAAGGACTTTGCCTTTCTCTTCTTGAGGTTCTTTGGACGAGGTTTGCAGGAGGGATGGCTCCGGCCGCACCCCTACGAGGTCGCCCCGAAAGGATTGGAGTCGGTTGGCGAGTGCCTCAAGAATCTGTACGAAGGAAAGCTGAGCGCGAAAAAGTATGTCTTTAGGATCAGCGATACTCCCGGTTTAGAGGACTCGGCGTGGTGATGCACTGCATAGTAGCGCCTGTTCTCATGGGTGTTTGAGCATCCACAAGGAATCTATTCCGCCAGTGAAGCTACTCCCGTTGCTCCAGACCGTACAATTATTGCTCTTAGCATTGAACTCTCTCTTGTCATGAAAAGAAAAGACGTATGATCAGGTGGACGTTGTTGCATCATTTATCTTCCGATAGGATGAAACTGCTAGCCCAAGTAACAAATAGCTAATGAAATTGACACGTTTAAAATCTTTGATTGTGCTTGCTTTGAGTTAATGGCTTCATAGAAATAAATAAGATTCTGGCATGTAGTAGAGATTCATTCAACTACCTAGTCCTTGGGTGGACGTAATAATAAGCATGGAGATGGAGCAACCCCAACTTGGACAGGATGAGACTAAGAGCTGCTCCGGTCCAAGCACGGACCCTTTCGGCCAATTTCGCCCGTGACGACGCGAACGAGAAAGCTCCCCTAGTTGGTCACTGCGTTGCGCGTTGTCCTGGTTAAACACATTTCAACGCCGATCAGCGCTCGGTTCTATGCGATCAACCTCTGCCACCAGGCCCCTACTATGACACGTCTATTTCGCCTGAATAGATAGCAAAGATGCGCTTCATTAAGCCGTCCTGGCTAACTCATGGAGGTTTGTCCTAACCTCCTCCTTGTCCTGGTCCTTTACAGCTTGGACTTTGGAGCTTTTTGGAGATTATTTGAAGACAGCGTCACGCTGACAAGAAGTAGGAGAGAAGAAGGACTTCGAAGTCTACAGCTGTCATGTTTCGCCCGATGGAAGTAGACTTGTCACTGCTGCTGGAGGTAGGACGGTTCGACAATTTTTTGTTGCATTTATGAAGTCGCTTCCTCCTAACTGTCCCGCTTCGCAGACGGATACGTTCGAGTTTGGTCGACTGAAGCAATATACAATGCTGGAAATCCCGAATACACCAAACCAAAGCAATTAGCGTCCATGAGCTACCATTCCGGCACTATCCATACCGTGCGCTTCTCTCCGAACGGGAAATACCTGGCTTCTGGTGCCGACGACAAAATTGTCTGCGTCTACACGCTTGATCCAAACGCTCCGTCTCACGCTTCGACATTTGGTATTCCACCATAATTGGAAGGAGTCTCTGAAATAATTTGCTGACATGGAGCCTAGGCACCAATGAGGCGCCTCCGGTGGAAAGCTGGCGAATCTTTCGACGCCTAATCGGCCACGACAACGACGTACAGGATCTTGGTTGGTCCTACGATTCCTCAATACTTGTGTCTGTTGGCCTTGATTCCAAAGTGGTCGTGTGGTCAGGACACACGTTCGAAAAGCTAAAGACCCTCTCGCATCACCAAAGTCACGTCAAGGGTTTAACATTTGACCCAGCGAACAAATACTTTGCAACTGCCAGTGATGATCGGACAATCAAGGTCTTTCGCTTCACACCTCCGGCTCCAAACTCTACGGCGCAAGATCAAATGAACAACTTTCATATTGAATTCACTATTATAGCACCTTTTGCCTCGTCACCTCTAACGACATATTTCCGAAGATGCTCATGGTCCCCCGACGGAAACCACATTGCCGCCGCGAATGCTGTGAACGGCCCCGTGAGCTCCGTGGCTATTGTAAACCGCGGCAGCTGGGACAGCGAGATCAATTTAATTGGACACGAAGGACCGGTGGAAGTGTGCGCCTTTTCGCCACGGCTGTTCTGCAAGGAGCCCCCTAGTCAGGTCAACCAGGATGGAAAAGGCTTCAGCACCCAACATCTCGTGACGGTCATCGCTTGTGCTGGTCAAGATAAAGCTCTCAGCATCTGGAATACTAGTCATCCAAGGCCCCTCGTCATTACGCAGGACCTAGCAGTCAAGTCTATATCCGATCTAGCATGGAGCCCAGACGGTCGACACCTGTTTGCCACTAGCTTGGATGGCAGTGTTATCTCCGTCGTCTTTGAAGAGGGCGAACTGGGCTATGTTGTCGGATTAGAAGAGAATGAGAAGGCGCTTGCAAAATTCGGTGCTGGCCGACGCGGTGCAGGAGTCGTCGAGGGAACTGATGGCCTCTTACTTGAAGAGCGAAGCAAAGCCGGAGAACTAAAGGGCGTGCAGGGAAGGATGGGCGAGTTGATGGGAGACAGCCGAGATGTAGCAGCGCAAAAGTCTAAGAAGGGTGGTCCCGATGCATCTACGAGCACTCCTGATCCAGCCACAGTCCAAGATGGTTCAGCGAATCAATCAGGGCAACAGGCAGCAGATGGTACGCCTGCTGGTGGCCAGACGCCGCAACCCGACCAGCATACTGCCAAGTTGGAAAGACTCAAGCAAAGAGTGACCATCACCAAAGATGGAAAGAAGCGCATTGCGCCTTTGCTTGTTTCCTCATCTGGTGGTGCTGAATCCTCCATGCCTCGGCCTCAATTGATGGCTGCTACGGCCAGCGCCCAAGCAAAGGCCGACGCACCACAATCCATTGTGGATCTGTCCAAGCCATTTGACGGATTACCAAAGGGCGGCCTCGCAGCGCTATTGCTTGGAAACAAGCGCAAAGCGGCTCATATTGAAGGAGATGAAGACGGCCATGTCGAGAAGCGGCTAGCAGCTGCAAGCCGTGGAGGCGCGGTCCCCATTCTCGTCAATGGTGTAGATGGACTTGAGCCTGCAACGCCAGCGCCTGGGGCAGGAGGCGTCCAGCCGACTCCTGAATTTATCCGACCAGCGGTTGTCAATCCGAGCTTGGCTATAAGTCAAGTGCGGCTGGCTGTGCCCAAAGTCCGTACTCATATTGTACGAAGCCTTGATTCTAGTGGCAGGCCAACACAGAGCAATGCCCAGCCAAACGGCACCAACCCAAGTACGAATCAAGCTTCCGGAAACACCTCAGGCGATTTGGTGTTCGAAGCGCGCAACCCCTCAAGCCCCGCTGCTACTGCCCGATTGCACGACCGCGACCCGGCCAAGTTGACAGTTACAAGGAAAGGCCAGACAATATGGCAAGATTTCCTGCCCCGGCCTGTCCTTTTGACCTCTGGAAACCGGAGTTTCTGGACTGCGGCGTGCGAGGACGGCAGTGTATATGTATGGACCCCGGCAGGCCGACGTCTGCTCAACGCTCTAGTCCTGGAAGCTCAGCCCGTTATTCTAGAGGTTCGAGGATCCTGGGTTCTGTGTATCACGGCCGTGGGCATGTGTCATGTCTGGAATGTCAAGACGCTCTCCTCGCCACATCCGCCCCTCTCCCTCGCTCCTGTTCTCGATATTGCGATTCACAACCTGCAAACACATCCTACAGTTGCACCGGCCGTGACTTCTGCGCGATTAAACTCGAAAGGGTACATCATTGTGACCCTCTCAAATGGCGACGGCTATGTCTACTCTCCCTCAATGTATGTCTGGCAACGTCTCTCTGAAGCCTGGTGGGCCGTAGGCAGTCAGTACTGGAATACCACGGATGCTACTGTTGGCAATCTTCGGTCGGCTGCCGACTCTGCGAATGCTCCGGGTTCACTTGAGGACGACATTGGCCCAAACAATCTGTCGGCAGGCATTATTCCGCATGTAGAGCGCAATACTACAAACGAAGTGCTTCTTCGTGGCAGAGCCTACTTCCTGCAACGTCTTATCAAATCGCTTCTTTCACGCGAAGGATACGAAGGTTTCGAGTCTAGCGTATCCATTGCTCATCTGGAAAATCGTTTATCAGCTGCCTTGCACCTCGAAGCAAAGGAGGAGTTCCGTACGTACCTTGACATGTATGCGAAGCGGCTTGGCGCCGAGGGACTGCGCACAAAGGTTGAGGAGCTCTTGAGCGGTCTCCTCGGCGGTGTCTTCCGAGATGGTGTCAATGGAGAGGACGTGTCGAAGAAGCGCTCCAAGGAGACAGGTCATGGATGGTACACTGAGGATGACGAGCTATGCGGATGGAACAGGGAAGACTTGCTTCGTAGCGTCCTCTTAATCTTGGGTATGTTTATTTCATATTCTCCCCACTTCGCCCCTTTGCGTGTATCTTTGTGGGTATATGATCTCGGGCATTTCTGATATATTGCAGGCAAACATCGCGACCTTCAGCGTGTCACAGTTCCATACGCAAAACTGCTTGGAGTCATGGACCTCGAGTCCACATCGGCGACCGAGGATACGCAAATGACTTGATCAGGCGGATATTGTTGTAGTCTCAACTTCATTTTATTTTTATTTTGCATCTGGAAAACGGGAAACGGTTTCATTTCAATGGCACTGTACATCTTAAGGGGGTTTTTATTTGCAAGCTTTTGCTTTTCGCATTTGTACTATACCAGTCTCGATCAACAAAAGAAAGGAATGATTAAATACATAAACTTTGGACGCAGCGATTTATTTGTGCCTTAAGCACCCTGTAAAAGGTCTGAGACTCCATGACTAGTAGCGAAATGACGTTCACGGACTGCCGAGTCGGACTTGTTCAGGGTCCGACCGTTAGCGTGTTGCCAGGAGGTCGGAATAGCTCATAGCTCAACCATACAACTCCAAGACGGACCATATAGACACCTACCTTATATTCACAACTTCCTCTCACCGTATACGCTCCTTTGCTAGTTTATTCAAATCGTTGGAGTCAGCATGTTTCCGTTTGTGTAAAATTCATGTCCGAACCCAAATGCGACATTAGATTCCAAACATTTAATGCGCGATGTATTGGCCCATTGGCGCCCCGCGCATTTATAATGCAGCAAACATAACACCTCGCACCCAGCTCATTGAGAGCGCAGGTGTTGAGCCCGTGGTCGTCGAAACAGACGATATACCTGATACCAGCACGATTGCCTCTACTGTCGACAACAGTGAAGCGGAAACCCAGTCAATCGCGGAGGAATCGGACGGGGGAGAAAGCGTGTATCCTGGCACGAGGTCAAATTCTAATGGCGTTAAACAATCGAGTGGAGAAGACTTAATTGGTGGACTAGAGAAAGAGGGGAAGGTGGGACGTTCTGGTTCTGAGGAAGCTGTAATAACAGGCGGCCAATCTGGGCGAAGTCGAGGGTCAAGCTTGAGGGGGGAGGATGCCGAATCGCCTGCTCGGCGGAGGGGTTCAAGCTTGAAGGAGACCCACGATGGTAACAGGTCAAAGTACACGGCTAAGCGCCAGCGGAAGCCATCTTATCATGGCTCTGGAAGCAAACGTGGTAGCGCAGCAAGCACGACACAGAGCGATGAGCCCTTACAGGAGGAGAGAGACTATCCCAGCACGGACAATGCGCGCATCCTTGCCCTCCAGGTTTCACGCAACGGACGAATCTTTGCGACAATAACATCAAATTCTCTCACGATATGGCAGGCAAAGGTTGGCAGCTAGCACCTATTGCAAAAAAAAAGGTTCTTACTAACAAGCTCTTACGCAGCCAACTGCTGTTCTTGCAACCGTAACTCGGCCCGTTAGCTCGATTGATGTCTATGGAGAAAACATTGCGCTACTCCTTCGACCAGATTCTGCTATCATTGTCGTGCAGACTTCTTTAGGCTATCTCATCACGTACTCGCTTGCCACGGACCCGAATTCTCGTGTCTACAAACTTCATCGACTGAATGCCGGAGGCGGTTCATCCCGAAGACAAAGTGTCAGCGGATATGGAGGCTACCACTATGGCGAACGTCAACAGCGACTGGAAGAAGGTGTAGGCATAATGGAGGTTAGCCTGAGGTTTCGAATGGTGATCAAAATCGACGCGGGTATATCAAAGGCGCTGGCCCTCGACGACGAGTTGGTCGTCGCAACGTCAAAGCCTGCTGCTGTGCAGTGCATCAGATGGACACCAGACAGCAACGGCACGCAAACGAGCACAGAGCTACTCAGCCGAATGCAGTGGTTTGCGAGGAAGACAAGGGTCGTCGACATGCTGCATGATCGGCCGATGAATCTGTCTACCTGGATCGCGTCTGACGGCAAGGCGTACGCAGTTCAGAAAATGCCAAACAGCATGCAGGAGCCGGGCGCTCCCAAGAAGTTGTTCCGTGGCTATTGTTTCCATACGCCTGCTAACCGGGATGAATATGCGGTCAAAGCCGCGATAAACGCGAGGTTTTCACTCATTGCGATTGGTTGTGCCAACGGAGGCGTTATTGTCTACAATGCTCGCGACTATGTTGGGAACATTCCGGTTTCGCATAAGCTTCAATTACCAGTCTCATTGGCATCTTCAGGCCCAATGACTTTCTTGTCATATTCGCCGGATGGATACTGTCTCTTTGCCGGGTTCGCCAAGGGCTGGATGATGTGGAGCGTCTACGGGAAGCCTGCTGGGAGCAGCTTCTCCTCTGAGAGATTATTGTCCGAAACGAATGAGGAAGAGTGGTTACTTGGAGTTCGCGACGGGAGCTGGATTAATGGAGGGTTTGAAATCCTTTTGCTTGCGGCCGGACAAACCAATTTGTTTGTTCTGGAAATGGCTAGAAGCGCATTGACGACACTATTTTCCTCGGCCAACGTTTCTCACTCTTTGCTTCTGACTGATACGGGACTGATGGTATACCGAGGGCACAACATGTCGGATCTGACAGCTATTTCTGCGGAATCGTCTGTCTGGCACAATGTCCAGATTCCTCCAAGCTATCTCGTCAACCAGTGGCCCATACGGAGCGCCGTGGTCTCGCCGGACGGGCGATACATTGCTGTGGCGGGTCGACGAGGGCTGGCGCACTACAGCGTGCACAGCGGTCGGTGGAAGACATTCAATGACCCGGCAATGGAAGACGAATTCATCGTCCGAGGAGGAATGTGCTGGCATCAGCATGTGCTAATTGCTGCCGTCGAGACGGGCATGTACTTTCAGTTGCGTCTCTACTCTCGCGAGCTCGCACTGGATAATTCCCTCATTCTTCACACCGAGAGCATACCTGCGCCAATCGTACTCATTGCGAGATCTGGAGAAGATTCGCTCTTGGTGTACACTTATGAAAATATCCTCTATCACTATATTATTGCGGCCAGCAGCGGGTCCATACGGCTGGTGCAGGTCGGTCAGATTGCTCTTCACGGGATAATCCGAGCACCTGCTCGAGTTCGAGCCGTCAGTTGGCTTCTCCCAGAAGCGCAGATCCGTGAGTATTTGTTTCGTCGTATCGGATATACTTAATGAACCAGGAGACTGACTCTGAACAGAAGACGGCGACCCGTCACAAGACGTCAAAGTGGCAACAGTACTTTTTTTGGTTGATGGAAAATTGGTTCTCCTCTGTCCTTCGACGACTGAAGCAGGCGGCTTGAAGTATGACATGCGGATCATTGCTCAAAACATCGAGTACTATGCGCTCATGCGGGATCAACTGCACGTGTTCCGCGACGAGGGCAGGGGGTTAGGAACACCATTGCTCGAAAAGTCATTTGGCGGGTTTGACCTGGATCTCGGCAGCGAACATGATCTGCGGGATTCATTGTGGACGTTTGACGGCGACAGCGTCAAAGTATGGCCGGATGTCAAAGAGGTCCTGCAAGCCCCCAGCAGTGTTCACGCAGCTGTCAATGGTGTCGGTGAAGCAGCCCGAAATAACCTCCCGCCCACCGTGTCGATTTCCTTTGACTTTTACCCGCTCTCTGTCGTGCTAGAGCGTGGCGTCATTATCGGACTCGAAGCCGATCTCGTTCAGCGACGAGACATTTCCTTTGCGTTTTTCCGAATGGCCACTCGCGTGAGTTTTACGTTTATCCTTACATTCCTTCTAACATTCTCGCTATATGTTTGCCTTATTCTTATTTTTCTTCCAATGCTAATACTCTGCAGACACACCTCTTTATCCCCCCTCTGCTACGGCACATCCTTACACATCCGCATCCCGACCACCCCAACATGCTCTCCCCCGACCCTGACGCATCCATTTCTCCCGCCCATCCCGACATTGACCTCATATCCGACTCCGCCTCTTCCAATACTCCTAACCCCGTCTCTCCTCATCCCGTCTCTCCTAACCCCATATCTCCCAATCCCTTCTCATCATCTCCCTCTCCCTTCACTGCCCCTACCCCTACCACACTCACTACCGCTCCTAATCCCTCAACCACGACCATCCCCGCGGCGCTCCACATGGCCAGTTTCTTCCAGCACCTGCCGTACTTCCCGCACGCGCTCGAAATGCTGCTGCACAACGTCCTCGACGACGAAGTCGACGCGCCCTCCCCCTCTCCCGAGACCGCGCTCCTCCCTGTCGTCATTTCCTTTCTCGCCATGTTTCCAGATTACTTGGACATTATCGTGCAATGCACGCGCAAGACCGAAGTCCGCTCCTGGCGCACTCTGTTCCAGTACCTCCCGTCCCCGCAGACCCTGTTTGAGGAATCCCTCGCGAGGAATGCGCTCAAGACTGCGGGCGGGTATTTGCTTGTCTTGCATACTTTTGAGGAACTGGGTCCGCTGCCTAGTCCAGGTTCTTCCGACTCTCATTCCGTAACAGTATCTTCCAGTGGCACGTCATCCCAACTCGTCACCCTCTTGCGCCGCGCCGTCGACGAGCAAGACTGGGATCTATGCAAAGAACTCGCGCGCTTTCTTACCGCCCTGGACCCGTCTGGATCCACCCTCCGCGATGCCCTCGAAGTCGTCAGACTCGGAGATTCTCATCCTTATCCTGGTCCTCATCCTGATATCCCTGAAGGTCTTGAAAACCGTGAAGCCCATGAAGGTCCTGGAAGTCCTGACGCTGCAAGAAGCGTGCAAAGTGCAGGAAATGCAGGAAATGCACGAAACGCTCCAAGTGCGCAAGGAAATCCGTTCCCGTGGAAAAATACATTTCTCAGTCCGACCTCGCCTGGCACGACAATGGCTGCGCCGCTGCGCATACCCAGGAGTCGAACAAGTCGGGCCAGTGGGAACGGGAGCGAGAACGGGACTGGGAATGGGAGTGCCAAGGGGAGTAGAGAACCGATTGGGTTGGGAATTGGCAGTACCGGTGGCAGTGGTACCGGTGGTAGTGGTACTGGTAATGCGAATCGAGGAGGAGGTGATGGTAATGGGAGAGGGCGAGGGGATGGGGGAGATGGGGGAGATTACTTTTTTTCTTCGTCTGTCGATTAACCCTCCTATATTTTCTTTTCCTTTCCTTTTCCTTTTTTTTTTTTTTTCTTTTCTTTTTCTTTGGTTTGAAACTGTTATTGTTGATCTGGTCAGGGCTATCGCGAGGTGGGAGAAGTATGTCGTGAAAAAGATGTTATGTTTGCATTTGCTGTATCTCATTTCAGAAAGGGTATATACGTATTTCCCAAGCTTTGAAATGTATTAAGATAATTAATATAAGACTTGACTCACACACTCACTCACATGAATGCGTCCAATCTGCAGAAAAGTTTGTAGGTAGGTAGCGATTATTCGGAGTAAGTGTAGATAGTAATTCTAATCATGAGTGTGCGGCTCAGAGACCGGAGTCAAAACTAAATCCATCCCATCATGTCAACCAGCAAAGTAGTCAATTTATCCTAACTCAATTAATCCGAACACCCAATAACCTAACACCCAATAATCTCCATCCCACAGATGAGTCGTATGCGTAAGACAGTCTATTCAAAATTGTATACCAGGGGGGATATCTCAATACGTGACCAGCAATGAAGAAGCAGAGGAGGAAAGAAGGAAATTAGGGGAAGAAAGAAGAGAAACAGAGGAAGAAAGAAGAAAATTAGGTGAAGAGAAGGGAAAGAAAGTACAAAATGAGGAGGGGGAATGAAGTAGAAAGAAAGTCCAATCGAAACGCCGTTTTCCTTTACTCTGTATCCGTGACCGTGACCGTGCCCGCGTCCGCGTTCTCTCCGATGACTCCGTGACAAAACTCCAAAATTTGAATCTAGTAAAGACGTTGATATATAGAATGGATGGGGGATTATAAAAACGAAGATAGGGGAGAAATGGGAGGAAGGTGAAGGATAGGAGAAGAAAAAGGAAATGGGAGGGCGAAAGGAATAAATCATGAAGTCATGGCGTTAAATTAGTTGAAAGAGTGACTTCCATGCCAAATTGGACAAGTCTCGGACTGGCATGTGGACAATCGGGCGGTGTCTGCGTATGAATCGTTAGTTGCTATTTCTTGATATAGGTAGCTTTTTCGCAGGATAGAGGTCGTCGGTCCAAGGGGAATACTTGAGATGATATTGAATGTAATAGAATAGAATGGAATAGAGAGGATAAAACATCAAAAGATAAAATTGAAAGAGACGAATAGAAGTGAACGTATGAGAAAAATTTAAACGTACCAGTACTCAGTCGGTGTTCTCGGATAGTCTTACTTCTGCCATGTACGCAGAAGACTTCTCGAGAGGGACAGGGACGCCATGGGCCGAACCAGCTTTGGCGTCAACTTTGGCTTTCGCTTTGGCCCCAGCTGCAGCTCCAGCTCCGGTATTGGGAATAGGCTTCTTAATAGCGACTTTCTTTTGAACGGGTTGATGAACTGCTGCTGGACGTTTAAGCGCAGCCGGGGTAGCAGTCACACGGGGCTTCGGCGGCGGAGTCGCAGCAGCAGCGCCAGCTAAAAGGGCAGTCGTGTGCAAAGGGTATCCCGTCTCCCAGGCATCGGGCTTGGTAATTGCAGGGACATCTGAGTCGGCCAAGGACAGTATATTGTCTGGTTCGGAAGAAAGTGCAGCCGCTGGAAGAGACGATATGTCGACCCAGCGTCGCAAATGGAGGAACGGCGGCAGAGCATGTGCGAGCAGAGCGCAGAAGAGCGGGATAAGAATGTGAGCGAGTCTCATTGTTGCTTTGATGGAATTTCGAGTCCTAGCGATTTTTCTTTGTTCTTCTGGGCTTTCGTTCTGATCTAGCTGCTGGGTTTTCTTTCAAGAGCTCAGATCCTCGCAATTTTCGTAGGTTGACAATCAAGCAAAGGTCAATGTCATGCAAATGTAGGACTGGCGAGGAACAGAGACGAAAGAAGAAGAAAAAGGACAGCAGTCACGATAGATGAGCTAATTTGTAGGAAAAGGTTGGCATTCTATAGTATTTTATTGCATTCATGACCGATGGGCCCTGCGGGCAATGATGCTGGGTGGCATTAAGGCGCCCCAGCTACGCCTCGTCCATACCTAGGTAAGTAGGTAGCGGTATCAGTAGGGAAAAATTCAGGTGCAAAAGGACAGCCAGCATGAAGACCAGGCGTTCCAGACCAGCCAGACAGAAGCAGTGTAGCTCCAACGTGAATGGCATCCTCCACCCTCTTTTGATGGATTTTTGACGTGACAAGAAGATCCGATGAGAAGAGGACAGCTCTGGATGTTTGAGCCAATCACAGCGCGTATATCCCTCCACGTTTTATTCGGAAGTTTGCCGTTTGCGGACAGTAAGAGACCACAGTACTTTAGAGCACTTTTATTTACTCGATAGATACGAGTGCGTAAAAGTAGCTTGAAGTAAAGGATTCAGTCGGAATGTCTAAGCTTTTTGGCGCCGGAGCTCAGCGAGGAACCCCCACTAGCCTTTCTTAACCAGGCTTAGTGGGCTCTTAACCGGGTTTAGTGAGGATTCACCTCCTGATGGCGAGAAGCCACCCAGGAAGACCCTTTGCGAGGAGAACAGGGAGCCTGGGCGGTTCGAATAGATTAAATCGGAATGACACCATTCTGGCTTTGCATTGTCAATAACGTGACCAATTATTGTTTCTCATTGCTATACCTTTGTACTTGGCTGTGAAAGTGAAGGAAAGAAAAAAACTTGACCAATTGCATTTGAACTTTTTGTACAGCTCTTTCCGCTAGCTTTGCACTGTTTACTTGGTCAGTGTTTGTCACTTATTTTCTAAAATCTCCGATTGCACATTTACTGCAGTCATGGCGGAAGAGTAGAGAAGAAGAAACACTGGGCTATAAAGGGTTGTTAGACTCTCAGTTCAACTGCAGAAAGAGCAGCAATATATGCATGTTTCGCTTGATTGGATGTCTGAATCTACTCTGCTGCTTTTCAAAGTCACGGTCTCATCTGCTCTGACTATCTGAATGATCATTAGGTCAAGTACTCAAATTAATGCCACAGCTGTTGGACGCCTTTGACGATCAAATTCAGCGAGGATACTGCGTAGTCGAGCGATGAAGGTCAACAGTAATCTTATCTGATCGATCTTAGAAATGTTGTGCCTCTGCTCTGTTCGTTGCTGTACGCACATATCAAAGAAAATATCTTATAACATTTGGTATAACTCGAATATTATAGTTATACCTAATTTATGAGATTTCTTATATAGGGAATATATCATGAAAAGTAATATCAAGTGAAAGCATTCGAGCTGCCTGCAGCCACTATATATTGAAACTGCTTAGTCATCACGTTTCGACGCTCAGCAGATCAACTCCGCGAACGCGAAGTTCGAGGCCTTGGCAGACTTGGAGTCTTCACTCGACGTCAATAGACATTCCCTGTTCTGCTTCTAAGCGTCTGAAAACTGCATTAGATCAGGACAGAGGAATCCAGCTACATCATGGATGACTTCAATAGCGAGACCGACAGCGATTACACCAGTTACTGGAGAGATTGGGTAAGTGGTTCTTTCTTTTTCAATTGAGCGGGGTCTGCTTTTTCATTTTTGCTTTGGGAAGGCGCCGTCTTGTTCACCCTTTCGCAAAATGGTATCCTTACATAGGAGATGATCTCATGCATCCTCCATCCTTTTGCGCTGGCTACGTCTTCTTGGTGGGGGTGCTCGGGAAGGATCTGTCATCTGGCCATCTATTCCCAGTCTGTCAATTGAATTCGCCAATATGTACGAATCGCAATTCGTTACGCAGCAGCTCCATCTGTGTTCGCCGTCACTTCAACATTCTCCTCATCTGCAACTCCAGCGTCGACACACAGGCCACGAAACAACTCAAACGGTGCAGCATGCATTCTATCACCCGCCGCCCTCACAGCACCATTCGGACTTTCCCAGTGACCATTCTGTCTATCAGATTATGCACTGGCGGCCTTATGAGCACTATACTCAAGCACGAGGGCTAGGAAATGCGGCCGCTCTGGCAGATACGGACACTATTCGAGACGTCGAAGAGGAGTCATTGATAACTTCATCGCGGGAAGACAGCTCAATATCTGGACAGCACCCCATCAGACACGAGACGGCCAAGAGTGATTTTTTGGGCCTGCTTCGTAAAAGACCTACTATGTTTTCTATATCTGTTGTTTGCCCAACGTTGGCCCCGCTCATCTAATCTTTGTACTCGGCCGCACTTGGGGCTGAAAGCAATTACTAACACTATTGTTTACTATAGTTTATCTCCTCTCGGGGAAATGAGTACTTTTGCGAAATTGACGAAGAGTACCTCACCGACCGCTTCAATCTGACTGGTCTTAATACCGAAGTACAGTACTATCAGTATGCTTTGGATCTGGTTACGGATGTCTTTGACCTCGACTGCGACGATGACATGAGGGAACAAATTGAAAAGTCGGCTCGTCATTTATATGGTCTGGTTCACGCTAGATATATTGTTACGACGCGAGGACTGGCCAAGATGGTGGGTCCTTTTGCCTCTCTATGCTTTTTCTTGAGCCGCCGCTCCTAACTCGCGTTCCTCTCTACAGCTTGAAAAATACAAAAAGGGTGACTTTGGCAAATGCCCCCGCGTCATGTGCGAACACCAACCCCTTCTCCCCATGGGTCTCTCCGACAATCCCAATGTCAAGCCGGTCAAGCTTTACTGCTCCAAGTGCGAGGATATTTACAACCCGAAATCCTCGCGTCATGCGTCCATTGACGGCGCCTACTTTGGTACTTCTTTCCACAATATTCTTTTCCAAGTGTACCCCGCGCTAGTGCCTCCAAAGTCAATCCGGAGATATGAGCCCCGCGTATTTGGCTTCCGCGTTCACGCAGCAGCAGCATTGCAGCGTTGGCAAGATGCTCGGCGCGAAGAGCTCAAGGATCGTCTGCATAAGCTGAAGATTGACTCGGGCTTTGAGGATGACGACGACGGTGAAAGGGAAGACGAAGAGGAGGAAGATGAAGCAGGCGACATGGACGTTGTCGCCACGAACCCATAATCTCCGTCCTGATCAGCGTGGTCACTTTTGCCCTATCCTTTTCTTGTTTTTATTTTCTATTTTTGCATGCATGGTTTTGGCGCAAGCTGGCGAAAGGTTCATCAGTTTAATGCTCTAATCAGTTGACTGATGGTGATGTGGTTTGAGATGATATCACGGGAGAGCCTTATTGTTTATGGTGGTATTTTATTTTGTTATCAAGTCCTAGTTGCAAAGCCAAGCATATAATGAATATAGCGGGCCTGAGATTGTCATTTTGTAACATCATCTCAAATGTTTATTCAGTAAGCAAATACACGTGCATAATGTATCGGGAGACGCTCTTCCAGAATATGAAGAAATGACAAGAAACATGAGACTCATCGGCCTGCTCCGCATCGCCCGCATCCGTGCGCGTCAATGCGTCGTCAGAATGTCGAAGTACTCTTGTTAAAGGATGGCTACTGTAGAATCCGGACCCCGACCGCCTACGTCATCAACCGAGGGGAACCGCCCCCCACTATCAGGATAAGCTCGATAGAACCCCAGGGTCCTATTCGATCAAGGATCAAGAACGAACAGGGAAAACAGCAGGCAGACACCAGATAACCAGACGCATTTCCCCCCTTGACCAGATTCGCTGATACCACTCCGTACCTACGTATATATTTCCACCCATTTGTTCAACAACCCCCTTCCTCGTCTCTTTCTTCCTACATTTTATCTATCGCCCGCTCATCGCCCGCTCAACTCTTCGACCTGGATTTTAATCCTTTGTGGCAGTGTCGTTAGATACCATACATACATCCTAGCAAGGCTTTCTTATCATACAGAGTTTATTTGCTCTTTGCATTATCATACAGAGTACAGAGTACAGAGTACAAAGTACTAAGGATCAAATACATATACAAGATGCCGCTCGTCGTGCCGGGAATCAACTCGAATGACGGAAGCAAGGAGGACCAGAAGATGCAGTGGATGAATAAACTCGTGGGCAAGAAGATCGATGAGAGCTCGCACAGCGAGACTGTACGTTGTCGTTGTCGTTATATTTAACCCCCTCCTTTCCCCCCACTCTCCCTCTTGTCGTCGTCGTCGTCGTCGTCCACCGCCCCACTCCCGTTCTTCAGGGGCTTCGGAGGCTTCGTGGCGGGTTCAGAGACAGTTGGTGGCTAATATCTGAGTTGCGGTTAGACGTTTGCAAAGACGGATCTGCCAGAAGAACACCGCATCATTGCGCCCGGATCGATGGTCACCAAGGACTTTAGAGAAGATAGGTGAGTTTGATCTGTGGATGGGGCTGGGGTTGTGGACCCGAGGTGTTCGGTGTTCGGTGTCATGGGAAGTCAAATCGGACAGCAAAGAGAGGAATGGAGGCGGAGGGGGAAGGGAGATAAGAAGTAATAGAAGCTAATGACTGTCGAGCAGACTGAATGTGCACGTCGATGACAACGGCACGGTGACGCATGTTGATTACAACTAGATTGCATCCTGCATGCATAATTTCCTTTTGGTTCTAGGCTCAGCATAGAGCACATGTTATGCAATGCCAGGGGGTTTTTCGATTCTGGCAGATAGGACTGGGTTGGGATTTGCAAATGGAACACATATACGTCGTTAGTCAGGGTTCTTTGTTACTTTACATGATCCGTTGTGCCGGGATGATTACTTCAGATTTTAATTCAGTTCTGATTTCAGTTCCATGTCAAATATCACTCCAAATCCATTCGTCTAGTAGGTAGTGTGGAAAAGCTCTGCCGTGGAAAGACTCAAGTACTCCAAATGGTTATTTTCTAGGCTGGTCAAAGTCAGTCTGTTTCTTCGGCCCCCATGAAGCTTCAAAAGCCTCGATGGCGTTGTGTGGCACACTCCCATGATACATGTTCGTATGTTTACGTTTCCAAAATCAAATGTTTCATCGAAATCACACTTCCTCCTCCCGAAATTGTGTTTAACCCAGGCCTCGTCTGATGAAGAGCTCTCGAAAACATTCGATCCAGATCCGTCGAAGAATGCTGCTATCTCCTCCTTGACAAGGACGTACACACCAAAGGAATGTCCTGAATCCCTCCAGCAAACAGTTGGCCTGTCTCCTCGCCAGCCAAGTTTGTCACGCATTTGCGTTAGAGCTTGCCTCCAGCCGCCAACCACCTCGACGTCATGGAATTCAATCAGGCCAAGGCAGCCGGGGAGGAGTGAGAGGAAATTTATAAATTTGTCAAGCCGTGCCGAGATTCCGGACAAGCGCAAGCATTGCAGATGCGGCCACGATGATGCAGGGTCCGGCAGCGCAGAGAGGATAGATAAGCGCTGAAGAACTGCATCCCCATCGTCATCATGAACACTGGCGCCAAACTTTAGGACTTTGAGATTCACAGCAGCGGCCAAGATCTTGCTAAAAAGGCCATTCTCCAAGGAGTTACCGGCTTGCTTGCTCCAGCCCCCACTGTTGACAGATAATTCCAAGTGCTGCAGACTAGGCATTGCACACAGCGTCCTGAGATTCTCATAGTCGCGACTCATACCGCTAAAGAGCGGCCAGCCGATTCCTCTTGCGCTGCGCTCTCCAAAATTAGCTTCAATGCGGAATTCTGAAATAGCAGTCGGCCGATCTGCTGCTGATGATGATGGTCGAGTAAGCTCTGAAACCACAGTGCAATATCCGTGCCAATGATGACGCATCTTCTCCCAAGGACCGGAAAGCATTTTTCCATCAAGCCACGGTTTGGGATGCGGGAAATTGAACCCAGGAGGAAATGACCGAATCAATGGCGTGTGGTACTTTGGATTAAGATAACAGCGTCCATACGTGTCAACCGTGACCGTGACACGCTTGAGCGCAGGGAATTGCTTCAGTCCGAGTCGAAACGCTGCGGCGTCCTCGCCGCTGGAAATAATGGCCTCTTGTTCTTTGTATAGCTTTTGGTATAAAGCAAAACTTTCCTCAACACTCAAATACTCCCTCGTCGGCACACCTGGCCATACTCTCTCGGCTTGCTCCAGCCAAGTTGCAGCTAAGCCGTACCATGTCACATACTTTAGATTTTTGTCGCACTCTTTGACAAATTCACTGTATGATTTTGCTGCATCATAATCCCCTTGCGAGTTCGTCTCTGGCTTGGACTCGTCTTCTGCCAAATAATGATCGAATCGGACGTCGTCCCAGATGATTTCCTTGACTTGGTATCTGAAGATTGGATGGTCTGCTATAGCCTTGAAGACTTCGAGGTTGCGTTTGCTGGGGGAAATAAAGACTCGATTGATGTGAAGTAGAGGATTATATCGAAGCCCCCGTGCCACAAGACGAAGCCTCTTGATATCCTGGGTCGAGAGGTAGAAACTAATTGCGAGAATTATCTCTAGTGGTAAATGGTTTAGAGTAGGCATGTTCTTGTCTAGCCACTCTTGCAGAGATGCAATTGAGCCGAGATCGATCTTGAATGAACTGTTCGAGCGAGCAGACGGCATCAGGTGGTGGGGTTCTCGCTCTATTTATGCACTTACTTGCTCACCCCATCCCTGCCAGCCTGCAGGGTTCACTAGCCCTAGCTTTATTGCCTTATCATTAAGCCCTATTCAGGCTGCCAGATTGAGCGTCAGGGTCTCTTAAGGCTTCCGACAAGCCTTTTAGATTTATGATAGCAGCTAGTCCTATATTGTTCATGTAGATTATATGGATTGCAAGTCACCATGCATCGGACGTTCTGTATTGACCGTGCACTTGAGTTCAAAATAGACTGGAATCGTCAAAGCCCTGAAAAGGAGATATCAAATCGTTCTCTGATTTAGAAAAAAAATGTCTCATGGTCCGTATACAGACCTTTTGTACAAGGCCAGTGTTTGGTGTGGATTAAGGTCGAATCTGTAGATATCGTTAGCTGACACTTAGTTGGTCGTAACTAATCAGAAAACAAGTCATGGTCCATGAAATTATGAGCGTGCCAACATCTCTCAGCACCATCCCAATACCTGAAAGGTTCTTTACAATATGCGTTGTCTGGGTCCGCAATTGCTGCTCACTCCACAGAAGATACGCTTGAAACGGAGCCATTGGCATATGAAAAGGGGCCTGGTGTCTGTATGATCGGACTTTTGTATCTGCGCAGCAGGTTTGAGACTTTCATCTCAGCATAAAAGGTGCGAGATGGAGAGCCAGCCTTCCATGAATCGTGCGAGACCTGGTCAGCACACGATTGATAGTCAAACATAGCTGTGGGGAGATTTGTCCGGCCGGATACCCCGTGGAATCATGGACTGATACGGATCAGTTATCTTCGTCTGAATTGATGATTAGTTGCTTCACACGACATTCATTGTATAAAAGGTCCGAGAACTAACCTCGTTGTATCTCAAGGATGCCGTGTGCCATTGATCTTTATCAGCACCATTCACGTTTTGATCTTTGGGAAGACAGCGATGCAGGGTTAACCAAACCAATCAATGTATCTTTGATTTTCTTTTTTTTTATATTGTAGGAGCACTTCTGTCATTTGCTGGCGTATTAATGATATTGGGTACTTGTTTCGTGTGTAATTAACAGTCACGTTGTTTACTTGTGGTCACGAGAGGTTAATTTGGTTGAATTCATAGCTAACAAATGGTTAGCGGTTATTACAAGGCAGCGTTTGTCCAAGTGTCCAGTGGCGAGCTCAGTTAAGATTCAGCGACAGATTGCCGAACTCAGACAGGATTAGCTTGTCGCGGAGATGACCAGGATGGGACTAGCTCCGGGATATTTCAGGGCCCCGCGAAAGTTGCATAGTTGGCTTTTCCGATTGTCCGTATAAGAAGCTTCGGCGTTGTTCCAAACTGCGATTCCATGTGAGAAGGCATCCATATCAATAACCCCCGGCCCCAGTCATTCTTCCCCACACACAACGCGGCAAGATGGTATATTCTCTGATATTACTGAATATCTCACTGAAATGTGTTGCTAATATGATCTAGGCTACCGAATCCAAGAAGAGACTTGCGCTCGCAATCATCGACTTCCTTTCCACTTCGCTCAAGGATGGGACACTATCGAGTGACGACGCCGAATCGGTGGAAGTAGCACAGTCTTGTATTGCTGAATGCTTCAAGGTCGACCCTACCGACAAAGCCGCTGTAGAAGATGCCATCGGAAACCAAAACCTTTTGAAGATATACAGTGTGTACGAGAAGCTCAAGGGCAAGAGCACCGCCAGCACCGAGGGTGTAAGCAGCGCACACGAGGGTCGTCCTTCGACTCCCGCCACGCCTTCTATCCCCAAGGCTGCCGCGGCTGCCGCGGCTGACCCTCTCTCCAAGTCTGCAGAGGCCGACGCCCTCAAGAGCAAGGGTAACGCTGCCATGCAGAAGAAGGATTACCCGGGCGCCATTGATGCATACACCAAGGCCCTAGAGATCTCGCCTCTCAACCCCATCTACCTTTCCAACCGTGCGGCCGCATACTCGGCATCGCTTCAGCACGAGCTGGCCAAGTCGGACGCGGAGATGGCAGTCGCCGCGGACCCCAAGTACACCAAGGCCTGGAGCAGACTAGGTCTGGCCAAGTTTGCGCTTGGAGACGCAAAGGGCAGCATGGAGGCTTACCAGAAGGGTATCGAGTACGAGGGCAGCGGCGGAAGCGAGGCCATGAAGAGGGGATACGAGACCGCGAAGAAGAAGGTCGAGGAAGAGGGAGGCGACGTTGGCAGCCCTCGTGCCAGTAGTCCTCGTGCCGCCGGTGGTGCCGGAGGCGGTGGTATGCCCGATCTGTCAAGCCTGGCAAGCATGCTTGGCGGCGGCGCCGGCGCCGGTGCTGGCGGACGTGGTGGAGGACCAGACCTCAGCTCGATCATGAACAACCCCATGTTCTCTCAGATGGCGCAGAACCTGATGAGCAACCCGCAAATGATGCAGAACCTTATGAACAACCCTCGCCTACGGGAAATGGCTGACAACTTTGGCGGAGGCGGAGGCGGAGGCGGCATGCCCGACATGGCATCGCTGATGCAGGATCCATCCCTTGCCGAGATGTAAGTAACCGTTTTCTTTTTTCTTTTTTCTTTTTTTTTTTTCTTTTTCTTTCTTTTTTCCCCCCTCCTTTGAATTCTTTTCATTTCACGTGAGCTAACAGTACGTAGGGCAAGAAATTTCATGGGCGGCAGAGGAGGCGCTCCTTGAGTGAATAGCGACATGGCATTTATGCATTGAAACATTCCCTGATACTCAATACTCACAGTTTAGAAAGCATTTTGTTGAGTCGATTAGTCGATTAGTTATTCAATAAATGACCACAAATTTTATCGTCCATTGATATTGACTCTCCTGCTTGAGCAGTCGAGTTGTTTGTATCTACGTTCCCGGACTAATATCTGACAAGAGTAGATGTGAAAATAGCATTGTCTTGACTCTTAAGAAGTCACAAGTATCAAATTAATATCAAATAAAGAATCGAGCCTACGCTGGGAACTAGGTATATTGGATTAGTGATTAGACCAAGTGCAAGTCAAGCAGTACAAGACTGAAATGAAATAACAATTATACAATGTGCGGCCCTGCAGCCTGTAGGAATGTACAGGTTCTGGATAGTCCACTGGTCCTCGATTGACAGACTGAATTCATTAGTGCTCGGGGAGACTTGGTCGCGCAGCATCATCCGCGGCGCCATCCAAATGTAAGCCGCTCTCGAGATCAGGGTCTACTGCACTAGGACCAGCACCAGTACTGCCACGAGTACCATTACCGGTACCATCGCCATTTACGGCAGTCTTTCTCTCCGGAGAATGTCCTGCACTCGACGCAGAATCCCATCCCTCGGGACCGACATATCCCTGTACACCCACGCCGATGCCCCAGGCGCGGTCTCTGCTGCGGGCGCCCCATGCCCAGCCGCTGCCGCGGGTAATTGGCAAATGGTACCATCTGAAGGCGAACCAAGCGACGACGAAGCCCATGATGGAGCCGAACAGGATGTCGAAGCCGTGGTGGCGGTAGTTGTAGTACCGCGAGGCAGACACGAATATGGCCGTGCCAATGGGCAGTGCAATGACGACGAGGACCCATGTGGGTGGCGCAGCTGCCGAGTTGCGGATCTCGAACGAAGCATTGTCTGCGGGACTGGCCCGGTTGGTTGATTCGGTGGGCAGGGGAGATTCGGAGCGGGGATCGTTTGCGTAGGGCTTGTCTGACCTAGGAGTGGACGTGGTATTGGACGGGAGGGGCGGAAGCCGGGGTGCGAGAAAAGGAATGGCAATGGCGAATTTGGAACATAGGAAAAAGGTCAGATATATGAGTCCTGCCCACGATGCTGTTGTTGTCATTAGTTATTCATTACTCATTGAGTCATTCACGGCGTCTATTGGAATTGCAAGGGATGTGGCAGTAGTACCCACCAGATGAATGCCCGCTGGGAAAGCTCTTAAAGCCGTCATCAAGAGTAGACTGTTTATCCGGACGACAGATACTTGCTGTGACGAGCGCGCCTCCGTCCACGCCAGATACGACATAGCGCCCAGCGTCCACGAGGACCGGGTTGCACCGCATGATGAGATCAGGACGGGGTTTGCCAAAGAGATTCTTCATTCCCTCAGTGAGAAGGAACGTGACGGCGAGTGAGAGCCCAAGACCCATCCACCCCACGTTCCATTCCCAGAGTTTGCGCCGCCATATGACGGCGCGGAGGTACGGTGAGTGGCGCGAGGAAGAGTTGGTGGAGTGGGCGAGCTGTCTGGTCACTGCTGGGCCAGGGACGAATAGCATGCATACGAGGAAAATGATGATTCCGGGCGCAACGAGACACACTAGGAATAATGTGCTGGTGGACACGGTCTCATGTTTGAGGTGTGGAAAGGATATAGATCCGTCGCTCAGTGAAAAGGGGCGCGTGTTGGGCGAGCATGCTGAGAAGCCGCCCGCGACGGCAGCAATGCCACTTTGTTTGTTAGTATCGCATGTTTACCAGAAAAGCAAGTTTGGCAAGGTATCAGGTATTGCTTGCAGCATATGGCGAACGTGGTAAGACATGGTGATATTGCCATGAGAGGAGATGTAAAAGGATAATGGAATGAAAGGCTTGCTTTATTAATGCAAAGACATTCTTGCAAAATTCTGATATTAAAAAGAGTATTCAACATGTTTATGCAATGCAAGATATAAGATGACAGCAGGAACGGACAGCTCAGATACAATCAACACGCATTCCTCTTATATGGAAACTTTCATTGTCAAAAAGGAAAAGTATGAGAGTAAACATAGCAAAGGAACCTAATTCCACTTACAGTATAATAAACCAGTCAAAGATATACGACAAGATCAGGCGTTTCGACGGAGATCCCGCCGCACGCGACACGCTTCCCAACATTGCGGACATGATGATATCGTATTAAGATATCAACTCCTTTAAGACTGATGTCCTAATTGTGCGATTGATTCTTGCTGTGTTCTTTCAAGTTTTGGAGATTAGATTCGTGACCCCAAGTCACATGAGTAAGAGTAAACCGTTCAGTCGACGTCAAAGATTTGGCTGCGGCAACGTGAAGAGTCGAAGCGCTGCGGAGCTGATGCTGAATATGACTCTGCTGGGCTGACGCGGAATTACTTATCGTATGTAATTGTCAGAGCGGCGCGATGAAGCAATGAGCATGTGAAGAAATAATGGTTGTATATATTGCACATGGTCATCTAGACCACAGCTACCTACAGAGTATAGTGATGCCAAGAAGGTGTTTCTTCAAAACCCTCTCATGCAAGAGACGAAGACGAGAGATTCGCTGCATTCAGTATAAGCAATTCGAACTCTCAACCCTCTATGCCAGTTCAGCGTAACTTGCTATGGTTAAGGAGGGTCTCATTGAGTTCAAAGGTCTCGCTTGTGCGCCAAGCAGCCTAGCCGGATGGTCTGGCCATCCCAACCTTGGTGATGCTGTGCAACATATTGTTTAGTACATCTTACTGTTATGATTAAGACTCAAAATGATGGCACATTGAGAAGGGCAGGGTCAGTATTCTTTAAGAATAAAATCTTTTATAAATTCTATGTCGTTATCTCATTAAACTATAATGGCCATGCACAGCATTAGACCAGACATGGTATATATATATACACACTCAAGAGGCAACACTAAATCTTACAATCCCCGATAAAATCCTTTTGACCTTCTACCTCTAAGTCAAAATCATTTATTTGCCGTCCAAGTCGGTGAAGAAGGGGTAGTTGAAGGCCTCGGAAGAGTCGTTGAAACGGAGCTTCTTGTCAATGTTGTCAATGGCAAGGACGTCCTCGGGCTCGAGCTTAAAGTCACCCTCGTAGTTGGCGACGATGCGCGAGGGAGTCTTGGATTTGGGCAAGACACTGTGGCCGTGGGCAATACCCCAGGCGAGAGCGGTCTGAGCGGCGCTCTTGTTGTACTTGGCGCCAATCTCGGTCAGGACGGGGTCCTCGATGAGCTTGGTGACGTGCTTGCCGGCGTACAGCTCGTTCTGGTTACCAAAGGGGCTGTAGTGGGTGATGTGGATACCCTTGCTCTTGTTGTACTCGGTGAACTCGGGCTGTTGGAGGTAAGGGTGAAGCTCAAGCTGGTGAGCAGCGGGAACAATGGTGGCATGATCCAGCAGACGGTCGAGCTCGGCCTTGGAGAAGTTGGAGATACCGATAGCCTTGGCCTTGCCGGACTTTTGCAGACGCTCCATTTCCTTCCAAGTCTATATGACCCCAATTTGTTAGTCATTTCGTCCAAAAGCATGTATGAATCGCAGGAGACACGTACGTCAATGAAGTCGATGCTGCGGTCAATCTTGATCTTGCCGTCGGGGCCCTTGGGCATGGGGTCCTTGCCCCGAGCAAAAGGCGAGGGCCAGTGGATGAGCCAGAGGTCGACATAGTCGAGGCCGAGCTGCTGAAGCGAGTCGTCGAGAGCCGGCTCGACATCATCGGGGTGCTGCTCGTTGTTCCACAGCTTGGTGGTCAAGAAGATTTCGCTGCGGTCAATACCGCTCTCACGGATGGCCTTGCCAACAGCGTGCTCAGTGCCGTAACTATTCTTCCGTTTTAGCCAATTGATCCTCGAAGATGGGGCTCAGGGAGCACCGCGGAACGATGTGATCGTCTACTTACATTCGGGCAGTGTCAATGTGACGGTAGCCAGCCTTCAAGGCGTCGGCAACAGCAGACTCCTGGGAGCCAACATCCTGCCAGGTACCGAAACCGAGAGCGGGAATATCAGCGCCAGTGTTGAGCTTGAACTTGGTCGCATTGGCAATCGACCGAGCCTGAGTAGGCTGGACGTGCTTTGAGACCTGAGAAAGACGGGCAGCGGCAGAGCGGGCGAACATCTTGTCCTCTTATTTTTCTGTTCGTCTGGGGTATATTTTTTTGGGTATGGAGAATAGATGGGAAAAGAAGAGAAAAAGGTTTAGCAGAGCAGCAGGATGCAGGCAGGATATATAAAATTGGAGGCCAGAAGGGTGAGCATCCCCAGCGTTAGGACCGATTAGAGTTGCGTAGGAGGGTCGGAAAGGCACGCATCACCATATAGCAACAAATACGTCAAATTGGGTCCACTTGTATGACGTCGAATCATGATTGCGGGATCCACCAGGTGAACCTTAACTACACAAGGACAAGCGACTGTTTAAGTCCGTCGCGAAGATTCTTAAGGGGTAAGGGAAACATGATGGATGGACGGGCACATCATCCACGGCGATGAATGGTAATCACCTTCTGCCAATCGGAAAAGGCTTTTTTACCCCTGACACACCAATCCATCCTGATGGGAAATCGTATGAGACCACAGATGATGCAGATACTCCGTATTGTACGATGATGAGAGGTACACAGGTACGTTACTCTGCAGGTCTGTACCTCGTTCGGCTGCCGTTCCGTTCTAAACGAGCCAATCAATGAATCTCAATTCTTTCGACCGAGTACAAGTCCAGATGAGAGCTTGTACTTTTCTCACCTCATCTGTTTACTCGCTGAGAAAAGTATTCTTTCTCATATGTACCTACAACCCGACATGAAGAATCAAAGTGTGGCTTGCAGCGTACTTTTAAGCCCAAGCCAGTGGCGTTGCAGAACCAATGACGACATGGTGATTCTGCAGTTCTACCATGAAAGGAGCGAGAGTGAACATCGACTTCATCTTTATCAGCCAAGCACGATCATCGTCACGGAGAGGTAGTATACTGCTATGCCTCCGTACCTTGTCCTTATATATCAATGGAAAAAATGTCAAACGCCTTAATTAGTCATGTTTCAGAAATGGCTCGATATGCCGCAACCCTACGCCACAGCCGGCGCTGCGCCTCACTGCCGACGCAATCTCCAAATGCAGAGCCAGTGTATGAGGAGTAATACCCTGCACTTTAGCTGGAACAGGCGTTGAATACCCGTGCCTCATAGGCAACAGGGCAACATCTCTTCGGCTTGTGTTCCGCCTTTAAGTAGCGCGCTATAGCTCGGGCTGCTCTCACCCGTATGGAAATACAAAACAGCCTGGAAGAAGAGATTGTGCGCCACCTCTAGCATAACCTCTAACGCTTTTTTGCCGCGTATTTCCGCGATACCCCGGCTTTCTCGCGCGAGGCGGTGCAGGGGCCGTTTCTTTGCTCGTAAACATGACTACCGTTGAAGTCTATCTGCTCGTATTCTTAAATAGCCTCTCATCCGCTTTATAATAGCCACTGTACCTGACAGTAATCAATCATTACCTTTTCAAGTGCAGCACTTAGATACCATTGCATCTCACCACCAAAACCAGTGGCATCAAACGTCACTGTGAAATTAGAAAAAGAATCAAGATGCATTTCCAAACGGCTACTCTTCTCACTCTCGTCGCTGCTGCTCTAGCTTCTGACGCACAGCAGCCTCAACGCCGTCAAGGTGGTATTCTGTCCGATGTGTACGTCGTCTCTTCCCTACCCTTTATCTCTCTATCCTACGCCTGCATCTCTTTTCTCTTTCATTTAATCCTTGCAACAACTAACCTCTCCTCTCTCTCTCTACAGTCAAGGCCTAACCTCCGTCGGCAACGGAATTACTTCACTCGGCGGGTCGATCGCCTCCGATGCTACATCTCTCGGCGAGAGCATCGCCACAGACGCCACGTCTCTCGGCCGGTCTATTGCAACCGACGCAACCTCTGCCGGCGGGGACGCTACCTCTGTGGGAGGATCCATTGCCACGGACGCCACGTCGCTGGGCCGATCCATTGCATCTGCGGCGCCGTCCGTCGGCAGTTCGATTGCAAGTGAGGCGTCGGCGCTCGGCAACAGCGTGAGCTCCAAGTTTGCCAGCATTTCCTCGAGCGCTGCGGCCGCGGCCAAGACGGCGGGCTCGACAAACTATGCGGCCATTACCAGCGCCGAGAGATCAGTCGTCTCTGATGCTTCGACCAAAGCGACTTCGTTGGAGGCAGCAGCGACCTCTGAGGCTGGCAGCGCGTCAAGTGCGGCGTCCAGTGCGGCTGCATCGGGCTCGAGTGCGGCGTCTTCGGCCGCGTCTTCGGCTTCAAAGGCCTCGGCTCACTCCACCACCTCGAGCCATACCTCTTCAATGACCACGTCGACCTCGACTGGACTGGCGGCGAGACCGACCGGTGCCGTTGCAGCAGGTCTTGCGGGTGCCTTGGGCGTGCTTGGTTTCGCGGTTGCCCTGTAGAAGGCCTCGATGGAAAGACGATGGAGTTTGCTCATGGGAAGGAAGAGTAATCATCATTCATGCGTAACGCTCATTGTTGCTTGAATCTGTTAGAATTTCATTTCTCTCTCTCTCTCTCTCTCTCTCTCTCTCTCTCTCTCTTTTATTCTTCTGCTGTATCATCTGTTGAAATACTCCTGGCTGGGCTATTTGGCTGCTGGCGTTGTAATCTGGACTTGCATCAAAATGGTAAAAGGGAAGCCATGAAAATAGCAATGAACAATAACAATTTACTACGGCTATGAATTCACGACAATACGATATCATTGGAGTAATTCAAATGAGTGCCTCGAAGAATCATGGCATGTTCGTTGTAATAGTGTCACCACTAATCGTCAATGCCTCGTCTAGGCAGTTCCCTTCCGTGCCTTCTCCAACTCCAAATACTTTTCATACTCCTTCTTTGTCCCTTCAAACGTCAATTTTCCCTTGGGATTCCATCCCAAAAGTGTTTTCGCACGCGTACTCGTCGCGCGCGCATTCGTGGATCCGACAATCGTCAACAGCGGTCCAACGAGATCGGTTGCCTCCTGCACGGTCCGGCTTTTGACCTCATCGGTCTTTACGACACCGAGCTGTTTCAGGACGGTCGCTCGCACTTTTGCCGCCTCCGCGGCACTCGATTCTTCTGCCGCGCCAAAGTAATACGCCTTTGGTCCCCAGGTGCCCTGGGGACTGTCCGTTCCGGTTTCGAGCTCCGCAATGGCGCGACCGGCGAGAAGAACGTACAGGTCCGCAAGATCGCTGACGTGGACAAAAGTGAAGATATTGGCGCCTTGGTTGGTGACGAATACGTCGCCGGTCTTGCGCGCCCCGTCGACGAACCACGGTACGATCAGCGTATTACGGTGGAAGGGGGAAATGCCGACCCCGTAGACGCCGCCGGGGCTTATGATTGCGGTTTTGACGGTGGGTGATGATGCGGATAGGACCAGCTGATAAATGATATTGTTATTTTATTTCCTTTTTGTTTGGAGGGGAAAGGTACAGTCATCAGGGCGGGGAAAGGAGACCAGACACGAAAGGAAAGAATGGTAACTGGCATACATACCTTATCGGCAACAGCATGCATAGCGGTATCCGGCGCATTGGTAATCTCCTCAATGTCCGCCACGTCGTCCCAGATCTTTGGGCTGGCAACTCCAGCAGGCGGAGTGTCAAAAAGTAGGGCAACGCCAGAAGTATGGATGAAGAAGTGCGGCTTAGAAGAAGCGGATGAGCCTCCACGCTCAAGGCCACGAGTAATTGCCTTGATGGCTCCCAAGTGGTCTGCGTCTGCGGTATCTATTGGTCATAGGGTCAGAGATGCGCGCGAGATGGGTGGAGAAAAGTAGCGTCGTAGCCATGGAGACGCACTGATGACAATATCGGCATTCGCGGCCGCTTTCTCGATTACTTCAGAATCATCTAAGCCACCAATAATGAATTCGAGACTAGGATATGTTTCTTTGAGCTTATTCGCACTCTCGCGGGATCGGATCAGGGCGGTGACCAAGATATTGCTGGGATTGGCCTTGTAGAGGGCGTCAAGGACTTGTCCGCCAATGTAGCCGGTGGCTCCTGTACTGTGGAGGGTCACATAGGATCAGTAGACTGATTTGAAGCTTGGTCGGTTGGGATAGACGGGATTCGTACAAGAATATTTTGACCATGGTTTCAATGGACTGGCAGGTTGGTCTTCTTTGTGTTCTTCGCAACCGACGGATATTCGTAATACTCTCTGGATGTCCTTCTCTCAAGACAGAAGATTTAGATGTTTGTTCCACGGTCGACTACATGCTGACATGGCAATGTATAAATAATAGACTGTAGCTGAGCATTTCCAATCGATTAGAAATGCACACAAGCATCAATAAGGCGTGCTTGCGCCATATTGGTAATCTGACAATTCCAGTCTGGTTTCGTCCGGAAATTGATTATACAATGCAAGTAAGGATCTTTCTAGCATGGCTTGTGTATACAGAAGGAAGAATGTCAAGTCTGCTGACTTAGTCTGTGCCGTGCTTGAGAGATGCTCCTTTCGAATTGCGGCCGTGTCATGGATGGCATCATACCGGCGGCCGCATTCTCCGGCCGAGATCACTCCATTATACTGTAATACTGCCCCTGAAGAGCGGTCAATTGTGGTGTTGCGGTCATGATTTTCCCCACATTGTTGTTAGTGTTGGTTATCGAACCCTGAGCGGACGAATTCGCTCGGACGAGCTGAATAGTACTGTATCTTTTGTTCTGATTCGACTGTCTGTCTTCGCTTATTAAGCGTTGTGGACAAGATAATAGAGGTGCTCAATCCCAATGTACGAAGTAACACTCGATCCACAACTCAAGAATAAATAATATTATGGATTTACTCTGGCATCACCGATTTCAGCGGTCTCTGAAGCACATATTTGATCTAGTATAATAGAGTATTTTGTATAACCGCAAGGACAGATAGACGTCCGATGTTTTCGTTATCGGTACCGGGTATACCGATGTCATCGATTGCAGATACTCATGTGCGACAATCCTCACGAGCATAGGAAAGTTATGAAGAATCCCCATTGATGGATTCCAATGCCGAGAACATCGATAGGGAGCTGATGTCGGTGTATATCTGAGCGTGTCGCGGTGATATCCGAGTCGCTACTGGATCAAAGGTCCTCGGCCATTCCGGGTAAATACTGTTGCTCAAATCTAGCCTTGTAACCAAAGATTCAGGGTTGGGAGAACAAAAGGGATTGTAGCTGACTCTCCCTCGAACGGAGAGAGCCCCAAAAAAATGTTCAAGGAAGCCATCTTGGCTCCGACTTCAGATTTTTCAACATGCCTTCCGAGCCTAGAAACCTCACGTTCAAAAAACAAATCACGTTCAAAAAAGAAGCGAATGCTTTTCGTCCATCATGCCATAGGTTCACCCGGTTGTCCGGTAATACCCCTGTACAAAACCTCGTATATTAGTCAATTTAATTAAGGAAGGTTTGCACTCTTTCCAAATCCGTCTTGTATTCCCATCCCTGGCTATGAAATGGCCCACAGTCCACTGCAAGGAATCTTGACGGGCGAGCGGGTGGGAACGTGGGGTCCAAAGAGCGGACAGAAGTGCTGTGCTAGTATTTGACGTTCAATCAATGATTGTGTTGCACTTTGACTCTTCCTATCTCGGCGGTATTATTATCACAACTTTTTGCCACGGCAGAAGAGAACACACTCGTCTCTTACATACGAAATTCGCCTTTGCAATGATGATTGCGAATCAGAAGCGAGATAGACCAAACGTAGCGTGAAGAGCTCATTCTCCTCTAATCTTGAGGTAGGCCAGTACAGTATTGGTTAACGAACAGAATTACAGCTCCACTCTATCCAAATATCGAAAAGTACCCTCATTTTGGCTCAGTTCATCTCAACTAGGAGAGGGGACTCAATTGATTTTACGCTGAAATTAGTGGCCTTTCCTTTTTGCTGTTCGGGGAATTCCTCGTGAAGAAAATTTTCTGTGCATCTGTCAGCCGGCATCTCGGCACTAATAGTAGACGGCAATCCTCACTCCAATCTAATGGGGTACCAACTGAGAGGTCAAGAACATGGGCCCCAGCGATTAATTACCGACATCGGTCAATGATGCGTTCAAGGCCGAATAGTTATCGACTGCATTATTTGTAATTTTCTAGAGCTCTGTCCTCTCTACTCCGTAACGAAATCGGATCTCCACTCTCCATGGCCATCCGATCATGATGTCGGAGCAGCTGCTAAACTACGTCGCTGAACCCTTTTGTTCGGGCGGAGTCGCCATTTTAGAGTTATCAGATGGTCTACAACTGTCGGCACTGTGAATTCTCTCGGTCCAAGCGACGCAAAGATCAGATCATCAGATACAAATCTTCCTAAACCTCATAGCTTTAAAGTGGGCGAGCTATCGGAGTATACGAGTGTCAAGCTCATTAAAGCAAATGGATTATTGCCATGTCCACGTCATGCACAGTGCTACGGATACAAAGACGGTACCATGAGCACTGCTCACCCGTCCTTCCCTCATTAACCTTGGCCCATCATAATACCCACCGATGCAATGATTGAATTTCCATGACAAGCAACAACGGCAGTCCTGTATGTTCTCCACGCTCAGCCTCGCAACGTGGAAGACTAGCATCTGGCGCAGGATATAGCTCCCTCGCACATCTCAGAGCGTGTCGATCATGCGCGGCCAAGCATTACTGCCAAGACCTGCTTGCAACAATTCCAGAGCAAGCAGAACAAATACGGAGTAACTCCGAGTTGCATGCAAACTAGCGCATGGTGGATTTTGACATTATTTTCCGCCTTCTAGAATCTCAAAAAGCGTGTCCTGGTGTGCCCATTTCCAGCAGATCCACGCTCTTTGCTTGGCATTTGATCTGGATACCTTTGGAGTACCTAGACCAAGTACGATATGCTGGCCTGGGAGGTTCGTTTGGCCAACCCTAAAAGGCCATCGGCTCATGGTTTCGCGCGAAACAGCTTTTCCGAGCTCAGCTACAGCTGCTAGCGAGACACAATTTTTCTGCCACTACGGCACAGTTACAAGGATCTCATGCAGTTCCGGGCCAAGCTTCCGCAAACAGTCAGTGCCTGTCAAGGATCTGATAACATCTGATTGTATCCAGGCCTTGAAAATTTTTTTAATCTATAATGACGATAGGATCAACAAGTCCAATGGATTTTCTTATCAAGGTTTACTGCATGGTTGGCTTCATTGGCTCCGTTCTTGAGAAAACCCAAATACTGTACCTCTCTATACAGGGATGACCGAAGGGACGAGCGAGCAGGGAGATGATCAATCTCGTCGGCGGCCAAGCGAGAGGTCATTTTCGTCGATGACATCTCGATCAGTTCATGAGCGGAGACAGCGAAAGAAGAGTCGATCTTTTCTTCTTGCACCTTGGTGCGATGACAGTTATTTTATCAGATGGGGCCCAGGACTGACTAGCTAGGCTGGCGCGTCAGTCCGTCTCCGAGACCATTTCTAGCGCGGCTAGGGGTTCAGCGACGATGATTGCTTTCTTCGACGGCTCATGGTGGGAAAGCTGTGCCGCACCTTGCCCTCGTTGGCCCTTTCAACCTGAACAATAATCTCGTTAAAGTTATCAGATTTTTCTCGCCTCCGCCTTGGTTCACTGGCACTTGACCTAGTCTAGCATTTGCGTCCGAGCCAGCTGCGACCCTCGCTCTGCCTCTTTTACGAGTAACTCACAGCAAAAACTCTCTTGCAACCCAACTGATCCACAATCAATTGTTCCAACCACCAATGAGCGACCAAATACCTGCGCGTCCCGGCCAGGGTCGACGAGACACTAAAGTGTGGAGCAACTTATCAGATGTGCCAACATGCCCTTCTGCGTCCCCTCTCTCAAGGGTTTTCCCTTCCCATGTGGTTCGCTCTGGGACGCCAAGTCTGCGCCATTTCCCCTTCGTCCCACCCCCCCATCTCATATGTCTTTGGGTAGCGTACCCGTTTTTTTCCTCCCCGGCGAGGGTTGGTTTTGCTGTGGAATGAGAAAATGTACTGTTGCACTTCGATCTCGCGAAAACCGGGGCCACCATTTGGAGCGCCAGTGCGTCCCTACATTAGCTTCTGGTCAGATGGGATAAAAAGCTCTTGGACGCCTCTCCCGCTGCCAATTTCATTTCTATCATCGCCTGACGACTGTGCAAACATTGACTGAACCCTGTAACTGCGGGTTCCGAGGGAACTAAATTACGACAACTTGATTGCTTCGTCGTAGACTGGTCTTCCCTTTTGCTCACTTCAGTCTCGTCGCTATGAGATTCCAACCACCACGCTTCATCAGTCGCCCAAGGGCAAATGATGCTGCTGTGCATCAACAAGAGCAGGAGGATTTGGAGAAGAAGAATGCACCCGAGGTCTCTTCGGCGGCAGCTTCTGAACTCAACCACCCCGTGCCCGAAGAGGAAGGTGTTCAAAGAATTGAAGCGTTGACATCGTCATGGACCTGGCGGGAGCTGATCCTGACCTATCTCGCGTTCGTATTTCCTTGTTCAAGACTTGTAAATGCGCTAGACTTGGACCAACTGACAAACAAGATAGTATCTATCTCTTCTTTTTCATCCATGACTTGCAACAGTCGATCGTCGGCACTTGCGCCCCCTACATCGCCAGTGCGCTTGGAGACCATCATTCTCTGGTCGCTGCTATCCAAATTGCTGCCCTCATCATCGGGGGTGTTGTCAGCTTCCCAATTGCTCGAGTCCTCGACATTTGGGGCCGTCTGCCGGGCTTCGTGATGCTCTTCATTCTTACCGAGGTTGGCATGATTATGATGGCCGGTGCCCTAACCATTCAGACATATGCTGCTGCACAGGTACTTTCTAATTTTTTTTTAAGTTGCTTCTCTTTGTCTGTTTCAATTCTAACTGTGTGGGTAAGGTCTTCTACTGGATCGGACAGAATGGAACATCCTTATCCCTGCAAGTCTTCCTGGCAGACACTAGCACGCTGAAGAATCGTGCAATTGTCTATGCTTTCACCACCAGCCCTTACATTATGACCCAATTCGTTGGTCCCCTTGCCGCGACCAACTTCCTGACCAAGTACGGACCGAGCGGCATTCGATGGGGCTACGGTACATTCTGCATTGTCTATCCATTTGCTGCTGCTCCCGTGATTGGCACACTCTGGTACCACATGCGCCAGACTGAGAAGAAGGGTCTCATGCCCAAGAGAGAGAGCGGACGTACCTGGATGGAGTCCGTCAAGCACTACGTGATTGAATTCGATGGTAAATCCCACAATATATCCTCTTGAGAAATTCGTCGACCTCGCTGACAGTACGTAAAAGTCGTGGGAATGATCCTGATCTGCGCTGGATTCGTTCTCTTCCTCCTTCCCTTTAGCTTGGCTGGCGACGAAGCCGGCAAATGGAACAACGGCTCAATCATTGCCATGATTGTCGTTGGTGGATGTCTGCTCATCATTTTCCCATTTTACGAAAAGTTCTTTGCACCGCACATGTTGCTGCCATGGGAGTTGCTCAAGAACCGAAACGTTTGGTCCACCTGCATTGTCGCTGGCACTCTCTTTGTCAGCTTCTAGTAAGGACCCACGTCAACTCGCCCCATTGACGCTCGTGAATATCAAGCTAATACTTCTGCTAGTTGTTGGGACGCGTATTTCTACTCGTACCTCCAGGTTGTCTTTCAGCAAACTATCCAGAATGCTTCGTACATTAGCAGCACCTACACTGTGGGTTCATGCTTTGTCGCCTTCATTGTCGGAGCGTAAGTATTTCTCAATCCAGTTACATGACTCGCCCTCTTTTTTTCCTTGGGGAATGTGTGCCATTCTCTGACGGGTTCTTTACAGTCTCATTCACGTCTCAAACTACTTCAAGTGGATTGCACTTTTCGCTATCCCCCTTCAAATTCTTGGTACCGGACTCATGATTCACTTCCGGCAGCCTGACCAACACATTGGTTACGTCGTTATGTGCCAGATTTTCATTGCCTTTTCTGGCGGTGCTATGAGTCTGCTTGACGAAATTTCTGTCATGGCCGGCACTTCTCACGACAAGGTCGCCATTGTGCTTGCCCTGCTCAATGTCGCTACTCAAGTCGGCGGCGCCATCGGTCTCTCCATCTCTGGCGCCATCTGGACAAACTCGATGCCCGAAGCCCTCATGAAATTCCTGCCCGCGGATGCTCAAAAGGACTTTGCTTCCATTTACGGCAGCATCACCACCCAGCTTAGCTACCCCATGGGCTCGCCCGTTCGCGTAGCCATCATCAAGTCTTATGCCTTGGCTCAGCGCAGAATGACGATTGCCGCTACCTGCGTCTTGGTCCTTGCCCTTTTCGGTGTCCTCATGTGGCGCAACATTAATATTTCCAGAGTCCACCAGACCAAGGGCACCGTCTTTTAAAGAATTCCCTTTTATTGGTCCCTTTTTGGGCTGAGCCTCACCATGTTTCTCGAGTGTTACCACTCAAAACTATTGAGGAGGGTTGTTTGGTTCGGCCGTTATAGTCCGGCATGACTGCCTATATTTTGTATATTCTGATATCCATAATGTTAATAGAGAATACTGGTCTTCTACACTGGCCCGTCAAAATTTTGTGACCGGTCGGAAGATACCTCAATACCCCAAAATTTCAAATATTTGTTCGCCACATCATGCACCATCAACCTGAATACGATATGTGGAGATTCTCTGGTTTCCTTGAAGAACATGCCATCAAACAATTTTCAACTACTGTAGATTACGGCTTACATTACTGTAGTATAATTAATCCAAGCTTCATGATACGGCAGTTCTCAAAGAAGCTCTTGTGAGCAAGATGTGTTTATAAGCAACTCTCTTTTCTCCGCGATTTTGAAATTTTTCAACTTGGTTGGTGTCATGATGCTAGCAATTATTCACGTTAGGCAATTCAGTATTTCTTGAAAGTGCCATCTTGACTGTTTTTGCATAATTAAGTCAAAGGAAAACGTAAATTAGAAACCTTCAGGAATTTTTCTACTTTCTGTAATGGCCATTAGCCTCTACAGTTAATCTTATCAACAACAAACGTCATTGCGACGGAAAAGTGGAACACGCCATTTCACGCGCCAATTAGACGCCATATCCGCGAAGTTGCGCCAGCTTCGCTGCCACTTCTAACCCCACATTCCTAAGGCTCACAGACTCGATTTGTCTCCATAAAATTGCCGGTTATCCACATAATAACTTCGCTTTCCGGTCGATAAAGTCTCCGCTCGAGTCAGAAATCCAGAAACGCAAACCCGCTTGGTGTTACCTCCCAATACTTCTCCTCAAAAAGGCCCCCGCCGGTCGGCTACAGTCATGGCGACGGCGCAGCAGCAGCAACACTCGCATCCCGCCGCCGCAAAGACCCAGGTACAACCATGCAGATATAAGACAGGAAAAACCTTGGGTGCTGGATCTTATTCAGTGGTAAAAGAATGTGTGCATATCGACACAGGGAGGTATTACGCCGCCAAGATTATCAACAAGAGATTAATGGCAGGGAGAGAGCATATGGTGCGTCCTCACACTGCTGCAAAAATGCCTTCATCTGCATAATGACATTGTATGGAGCTGACAAATAATTCTTTTGATTATAGGTTCGAAATGAGATTGCGGTATTGAAAAGGGTGTCAATGGGTCACCAAAACATCCTAACCCTCGTAGACTATTTCGAAACGATGAATAACCGTATGTGGACTTTACCCCTCGGGTCTCTTTCTGTGTTATTTTATTCGCACTTCTTACTCAACGGAGGAACTTTATAGTCTACCTTGTCACGGATCTCGCACTTGGTGGCGAGCTCTTCGATCGCATTTGTCGAAAAGGGCATTACTACGAAAGTGACGCAGTCGATCTGATTCGGGCGACATTGTCCGCAGTCGCATATCTCCATGATCATGGCATTGTACACCGCGACTTGAAACCCGAAAACTTACTTTTCCGGACACCAGAGGATAATGCCGATCTCTTGATTGCGGATTTCGGCTTGTCACGTATCATGGACGAGGAGCAGTTTCACGTCCTCACAACAACGTGCGGGACACCGGGTTATATGGCTCCGGAAATCTTTAAAAAGTCTGGTCATGGAAAGCCTGTGTAAGGAAAATGTTCCTTTGGGGTTCTCTTAAGAACCCATCCAAGTCACTCTTGCTAATTGCGCCTTTTCACCAGCGACATATGGGCAATAGGCGTCATAACATATTTTCTGCTTTGCGGCTACACTCCTTTTGACCGAGACTCCAACCTAGAGGAAATGCAGGCTATCCTTGCTGCAGACTACTCTTTTACCCCCATCGAATATTGGCGCGGCGTAACTCTGCATGGTATGACGTTTTTCCTTTTCCTTTCACAAAACTGATTTCTCTTGCGTTCACGGATACTGATAATTGTTTTATAGCCCGAGACTTTATCAAACGTTGCCTGACAATCGACCCGACAAAACGAATGACTGCACACGAAGCTCTACAGCATCCTTTTATATCCGAAGAGTACGGTGCCAACGAGGCAGACCTGCTCCCCATTATCAAGAAGAACTTCAACGCACGACGAACACTGCATGCAGCCATCGACACCATTCGCGCCATCAACCAGCTGCGAGCCGGGGGAGGCGCGATGATGGACGGCGCCATGAGCGCGGACCCACAAAAGCATGGAGGAGAAAATAAAGCAGCCAACACAAGTCCTACTTCCAACGCCCCTGCTGCTACTGATGGTAGCGGCGGCACCGACGACGGCGCAGACAAGATGGAAATCGACAGTCATGGCGACGCCCGAGGCCAGACGGAGCAGCAAATCAAAGACCAGGAACGCAAGATTCAAGAAACAGCCAGAGGTCTCTGGAATGCTGCGCATAAATGAGCGAAACTCATTTATGTTACTTCTCCCGCATTTTAGATTGTTCTTCCCTCTTGTTCTTTTTTTTTCCCCTCTGGTGCATCGGTCTCTTTCTCTTCCCTCTTCTTTTCTCTTCCTTTTTCATTTCCTTATTTTTCCTTCTTCTTCTTTTCTTTTCTTTTCTTTTGTGCCTACATTAGTACCTTTTGCTTGTTCTAGGTCAGTAGGCTTCTCATCCTTGCCTGCCTGTCTGCCTGCCTCATAAAGTGTCATGATGGATGAGAAATGATGCTCCAGCCCGAGGTCAATACACAGAGATATACACTTTCTTCGCACTACCATAATCTTCCTTCTCCTTCTCTTTCCCTTTTTTCCCCCTCTTCTTTTTTTTTATCTTCTCTTCTTCTTTTTGAATTTTCTCTCTTTTTTCCCCTCCCCCGGTAATAAAGCAAGCGTGGCTTGCCATTTCTTCTTTCTTCTATTATTTCCTTATCTAGATGGGTTTAGTTACGAACAGAGTACGTTACGAACAGAGTACGAGTACGACTAAAGACGTTACTATACCGAGTCTTTTCCTTTTTTTTTCCGCCCCCACTCTCATAAAAATAGCTTATCATGATATATCAAATTAATTGAGCTTCTTTGGCTTCGATAAATGAATTTCCAGATTGTTGTTGTGCATTATTGCCATAAAATGATTTATTTAAATCACCTTTGAAGGTTATAAAGGTATAATGTATTGTCCCTAGATTATTTATTTGATTATGGAAATGGAAGGGGAGGGGAGCTATATGACTAAATTTGTCTATAAAGTGTTGACGCCTACATTGGCGCGCCATAATGGACGGTGGGAACGGAGTGGTATCGAAATTAGAGAGATTAGAAGAAAAGAGACTTTAAGGGGAGAAACCAAAAGAAGAGAACTATCCAAATTATGTCGTCCCAAGGGAAGATGGTGTTCCAAGTACATGTCAAGATAAGAGAAGAGACTATAAGAGATCAAAGATGATGTTGCTCCTCGACCCAGTCTCTCCATTCTCGCCAATCAACATAGGGCAGAGAGCACCGCTTCCCCTGGTAACGAATGACTTTGAGGTCGACGACTTTGCGCCACTCGTCGCGCCGGCCGCTCCAGCCTGCCTTGCGCATCAGGCTGACCAGCGTCTCTTCCTTGGTCCAGCCTTGCTCGAGCGCGACGTCGGGAAGATAGGTCGCGCCATGGCGGCGGCCGTGGTAGGTGAAGGAGATGCGTAGGCCGTGGGTGCCAATGTCCCAGGCCATTTCAGACGGCGCGGTCTCAAAGTTGGTCAAGAGCGTAACGCCAACTTCGAGAGTCGGGAGCTCCTTTTTGGAAATAGGCATGAAGCGAGAATCGTCAAAGGCGCTGCAGCCCAAGATGTGTCAGCAATTCTTGTTTAGCAAAATATTTATATGAAGAGGGTAGGGGTGTGAAATGAATGCTATGAAGGGAGCGTTGACGTTAGGGGAGTGCTTACGATGTCAGGGCGTAGCTCTTCAAGCCGTACGAGAGTTCCTGGTCTTCAAAGGTTCCGATGCAGCCGCGAAGGCTCTTGCCGCCAGATTTGCTGAGAATGTTCCACGTCACAAAGAGAGGAGAATCCGGCAAACGGGGCCGAGACGAGGATGACGAGGAGCCACGTCCCAGAGAGAAAAACGATGTCCGGGAGGAAGCTTTGGAGGTTTGGTCAAAAAGGCGTGACGAGGATCTGGTCGATGTAGACGAAGCTGTTGAAGATGGAGACGCCGAAGAACCAGAAAGCGAGGAAGGACTGGTTAATTTGGCCTTTAGACGACTGACGCCAGCAGGTTTGAGAGCGCTGAGCGAGTCACCGGGTGCAGAGGAAGTTGGAGTTTTCTGCGATTTCGAAAGTTCATCCTCGGAATCTATCTCATCCGCGTCTTCTTCGTCTTCGTCTTCGTCCATGGAGACATCGCCATCTACTTCCGCCACATCACTATCTGCTCCTTCATGGCTGGCAGACGCTGCATCTTTCAAAGACTCGGAATACGCATCCCAAAACTTCTCGACTTGGGCAAGGGTTAGAGCGTCCCTCTTTTCGAGGCTTGCCGCAAGTGTCTCGAAGCAGTAGAGACAATGAGCTTGAGTGGCCATCGCTACGAGCAACACTGGACGATGACCGTAATACAAGCTGCAGGCCTCTGCTGCTCTCAAAAGACCAAGACAAGACACTTGAACAAGCCTTGGGAGGGGGAAAGAAATGTAAGAGGGGTAATTGGATTAAAACTTGCACAAGAAATACGGTCTTGTATAAAATTCGGTAGAGTAGACGAGGGGTGTAGAATGGGATTGACTAACTACTGTAATTTGTACACTGGACGAGCAAATGCCAACAGAATGCGGGCGGAATCCAAGTATGAATACGAGAAGCTGGTCGCTATGACGAGTCCCAAAACCCCCTCGCAGGTTCAACGGGCCGAGAGGAGCACCCGGGCCCTATCGTGATTAGACTAGATCAAGAAAAGGCTTAGATTCGCACCGATAAGCCTTTGGCCAGATAGGGCACAAGGGGACCAACGTGGGGTTCTGCTGGCCCCTCACAATCCTTAGCCGCTCTACCCAAAAACAGACGTCGCTTGAGCCTTCCAAGTGATCATGGAGAGAACCTGTACCTTTTTCCTATAGAGATGTTTTGTAGAGCAATTTGTATATCTTATGCAATGAAACACTGTGGCATCTGCTGAATCGTTGGCGGCTTTAAGCTTCATCTTACCTCAGACTCGGATGATTCAAAGACAATGCACCGTACTTTTCTTCGAGGGACATTTCTAACCGTGTATTACTCTCGTTTGAGAACTAACTTATACAATCCAAAGTTCGGTCTAATCATTGCAGATGTGCCCGACTATTCTTGAAGCGACATACCTTCACTGTTGTTGTTGCTACGTCAGCTTGAGGGTTATGCAGGCCATATTATTGGCAGCTAATTAGAGGGCAGTTTACTTTGCCTCGTTTCTGGGATAAATTTGTACTTAACTCCTCAATGAACACATGTGAGCAGAAACATTTGGAACCAGGAATATTTATTTGTGTAAAGGTTAAAGACTACTACCTTAGGTAGGTAGCTACTTTTAGCAACGGCGAAAGATCACTGTAGCATATTTCCTGTCACCGTCTCCCCAGATTTTGCAGCAGCAATTTGCCATTGTTCAAGTTTGTCAGCTTCGTGATAGGCAAATACCAATAGCGGCAGAAATTCCCGAGAAACCCCTTAAGCAAGACGACGCCGAAAAAGAGAGTGCGTTTCATTGGCTATCGAGAGGAGTGCAAACAAATCCTCAATGCTGAGCCCAGGGAAGCTGTTTGACCCACTTAACTAGAAAAGCTAATTTTAATAGAATAAGAAAGGGCAAGTTGCGCATTCGAGAAAAACATCAAACGCTTCGTATCTTAGATGAAAAAGAAAGGAAAAGAGACCGTCTGGCCACTAGATTTATTTCTCGAGACACATTTCCGTTGATACGGTCGTCGTAGAAATAGCCACCAGTTTTGGATGCTTAGACATACCACATGTCCCAGGCAAGGCGTCCGATGTTGTTGATCGGCATCAATGGAAGACCGCCAGTGGGTGGCTTCTCCGACTCACTTTTAGCCTTTGCCGCTAGGGCAGCAACTTTGTGAGGTGGCTTTGAGCCGGGACCAGACTGCGGACCGGAGCTTGCTGGGACATTCTCGTGGGAGCGAGCCCGATTAGACGCTAAATGAGCGTAATAAACCGCGGGGACTAGAAAAGAGTTACTTTGAGCTCTTCAACCGACGATGACTTTGGGTGAGAACTTACATAGGGAAACTGGGGTAGTCGAGCGGATATACTGATAGCAGTGCTCGTAGATAAGATTCTGGAAGTAATTTGGCTGCAACTTAGCCTCATCCAAAAGAACATGGTAATGAACTGGGCGAGCTGTTCCCTGGATCGCCGAATGCGAATTGAGATCTAAGTCGAGGTTAGCGCATGCGGGAGGGGGGAAAAAGAGAAAGGCGTGGACAGTGGAGGGCGGCGAAGCAGCGGCTAATAAAAATCCGCACTTACAGAAGTCGTATTCATACGGATGAGTGACGTCTTTCTCGACCAAAGTGCCAGGAACCGGGTTGCCATTGCGGTCAGACGCAACGCGGTCGCCAAATTTGGGAAAAAATCGGACATGGTGGCGCTTCGAAGCCACAACGACGACAAATTTGGGTTGCTGTGAGCTATGAGCCTGAATTCTACTTTTCCCAGTCATTCTGTGACGTACCTTTCCACCTTCAACCAATCTCTTGAAGAGATTCCGGAGATCCTGAACCTCCTGCTGGAGGACCTGCAAATATTGACCTTCCGAAACGCCGTCACGGAAATAGTAGACGTGCTCTGGTAATCTTCCTTTGCCAACAGTGGTCATCCACTCAGTAATAATTGGCTGGAGTATGCCATTAATGTTGCCACCAGTGATGAGTTCCACACGAGGTCCATTGGTATCGCAGCCGGCCCAGTAGCGAGTAGCAAATTCTGTCACGCCGAGCCAGTCAGTAGAATTTATAATTTTGTGGTATCATAGTCACTTACCATCAGCGGAGACCGTCATTGCAGCCATAGAAGGCTGTTCGCTTCCAGGAGAGGCGTGAGACACGTCTGCTCCAATGATCATCGTTGGCACAGGAAACGCTCCGCCCTGCTTCTAAAGAAACTGTCAGTGAAGGCGATCATGTCGGATTAAGATTGTTAAGGCTTACGCTTGAAACACGCGCAGTGGCTCCGCCAAGCTTTGCATTGATCTTCATGCAAACATTTGAAATATATTGCGGATTCGCTTTTTGCACTTGCGCATTTTGCATGACTACAGTATGTTAGAGCAAAGGCAGATGAGTAAATGAATAACCGAATAACATACCTTGGGATGCAACACCGTAGCGGCAATCGCAACTCTTCTTAATCCGAAGATAGTGGAAAGAATTTCTGTCAGACACCATGAACAACAAGATTTGGGGACGTCTGTTGACTGCAAAGATTCATGTTAATAGATTGCTATCGTTGACGTTCTGCATTTAACCTACATTTATTCCCAGTTGCTTGCCACAGTTGCTGGACAGCTTCGGCTGGGTTGTTTGGTGCTGCCATAATTAAGGGTTTGAGTGTGGCAATGTTACCACCATGGCCGATATAGATTTTCACAAATTCTCGTACAAAATTCTCAACTGTCGCCTTGTCGACCTTGATGCGCCTAGAAATCTGTCAGATAATCCCTCTAAAAAGTCTACAGGGAAGGAGACTATTTACGCATTGTTGAAAAATGCTACGCCCCAGGAGACGAGCGGTTCCTTGTTTGGCTTAATAAATTTCTTGCCTTTGAGGTCCCATCTGCCAGAGACGCCAGGGTCATGGGTGTTGCTGCCAAATTGAATGACAGCATTTTTAAGAACACGGGCTCTGGTCTGTTGAGCGAACGTTAGCGGGGGTATGCTTGGAGGCAAGGATGCATGGAGACGCAAGAGCGACATACTTGCACCATCTTTGTGTCGATAGTCATGCCGTAATTTCTCAAATACACATCTTCAGGCCATTTAAGCATTCCCAGACCGTGGTTGATTGCCGCAATGCGGTCGTTCGGTCTAGTGACGGCAAATCTGATCATCTTGGCGGTCTATAGATTGCAGTTAGTTTATATTTCTTGTATTCGTTCAATATTTGTAACTAACCTGGTCCTCATCGGTTTTAAACGGATACCGCTGGTTTTCCGCAATTACCACGCACTCCATGGGGAAAACAACATTCTTCTTGGTGGTCTGAATAAGCGGAAGGTTCCAATATTGGAGGGTAATGTTATATCGCCGCCGGAAATAATCGTAAATAGAGACATCTTGAGTGATTTCTCCAGTCTTCTTATCCCTGACAGGGAATTTGAAACTCTTGGCATCCTCTCTCAAAAAGTGATCGATGATAAAGACTTTGTCCTCTAGAAATTTCGCCATCAGCGCCTGAAAGATATTTCCTAATGGGCTCAAACTTACTCTCCTCTGAGCCACGGTGCTTGGCATAAATTCCCACCTTCTTGAGGCGACGAAGCTCCTTGAAGGCAGGCGAGTCTTGCATGGGAGAGTCGGGGTCCGCTGGGTGAACCTTAACTTGCTTGAGCTTCCAAACCAACTCCGTATAGTCGGCTGCAAATTTGATTAATACAGATCCAAAGGTCAATCGGGAGTGAAACTTACCAGCGTGGACAAGCTCTTTAGCTGTTTGGTGAACAACGGATTCGGTCCAGAAAGTCCCGTTTGCAACATCCACATTTACCGCCAGCCGGCCGCCCTGTAATGGAATGTTAGCAAATCGTTTTATGCGCCTGTAGAACTTGGATTCTCACCTGGCAAGTGCGGATTGATTGATAGACGCCTTTGAAGGCCTCAATTCCGCCACCCAGATAATACCGCTCTTGTCCTCGCGCGAAGAATGAGCGCTTGATGCTTGTATACTTCATGGACGGAGTCTGGCGAAGCAAATGGTCCAAGAAATCTGAATCGCAATGTCAGATCCGAAAATACAGTCTAAGAGTGTGGGAATTTACTAATTGCCTCGAGCACCGGGGTGTCAAAGCTCATCTTTCCAGTAAGATAAGCCCTGATTGCCGCAAGATTCACTGTATTGGTTTTTCGAACGCAAACTCTGTGCTTGTTCGGTTTTCCGGCACGTGGTTTGAGACCCTCATCTTGATCGAGATCAATTTCGGTATTAAGTTCGCCTTTCATGTCACGTAGACACCTGGATATCAAATCAGTAAAACGAAACCAGGATTGGGGGAAAGGTGATTGTACCATGCGATCTTATTTCCGTCAAAGATCCAGCCGGGTCCGAGCTTGTCGGCCATCGATTTGGAGTTCCAGACTCTTTTAATTAATCCTCGCTTCTCAACCCCAGAACCAATTTGCACCTATCATGATGTCAGCAGATATTAAGTCATATTAAGCCGTAATGCACTTACATCATATTGGTAGACAGTCTTGTCAGGGATCTGAGTCACATTGAAAGAGTTGATAGCAATGGTAACCTCTCTCCCAGTCGTGTTTCCCTGGGCCGGGCGTTTCTCTAATTCCGTTGCCATGTCGGTCTGGTCAAAGGGGACATGATCAGTAACGCGAATGGTAGGAATCCGGGGTGGCGGGTTAACGCCTTTATCCCCAGTATTCTGGCCGAAAGGTTTCGACATGGCGAATAGGGTAGGGGAAAGTATTCAAAGTTAAGGTGAGAAGCAAACAGAAACAAATTATTCGAGGTGGAAATGGCTTTGGGGATAACAGGCTCAAATCGAAGCTGCGTTTAGAAAAGCGATGAAAAATGAATGGACAAAAGGTAAGAACAGCTGGGAAGGCGTTGGCTTTTTATACTGGTCTCGTATCCCGGGTGAGGCCCGGAATTACAAGAACCAATGTCCATGGTGAAGGTTGTCTTGGAAATACCTTCAAGTGACAGAGGCGTACCAATGAATCTGCACAAGGTAACACAGTTTTGTGATGAAGGAGTTGTGAATAGCCACAAACAATTGAGGAGGGTAATTTTTCCGGGCAAACATTCCAGGCAGCAATAGCTAGGATCAAAGCATTCGAAAGGGGAGCGACGCAAAGATTGCAAGTTTCAGAGAGAATGATAGCAGCCAAAGACAAAATAGGGGGATAGTGAAAGATTGAAGACTCACAACGCGATTCAGATTATATGCCATGGCAGGCAAGTCAATCCGTTTATTAAATTCGATAACAGGAGCCGAAATCGACTGGTCCTTTGCAGCAGGCCCGGACACTGACCGTTGCGATGGTCCTGGCTCTGAGGGCGGAGGCGATCCTTGGCCATCGAAGCCTCCCACCTCTGCGGCTTCCTCACGAGGACGGGTACCAGAAGGACTTGACGTTCGCTGACTGTCCGCATGGCCAGATGAGGATCCTTCTGCCCTCTGTTGACGACGTTCTTTCGTCTGACGCTTTTTTGCAGCGCCAGCCATTGTTTGGATATAAGTTCAATACTATTTTCGGTATTTCTAGAAGCAAGTTAGTATGGCTCTCGAAGAACTTATCAAGCCACAAGAAGAGGACGATGATGACAATGATGATAGCCAGGGATTCCAGAGATTACACCTCGACGCGAGCCCTCTGGGTCACGCGAGATAGCCACACGGAAACCGTGGCTGAAGTATCTTCGAGTAGAGAGAGAGCAGAAATCTCGACAACGGAATTTTTTTTAGCAGGATACAACGGTCGGGCTGGGGTAGAGAAGCATGAAACCCTCGCTAGAAAGCTGCAGCAAGTAAGGGGTGCTGGCTGAGGCAAATGAAGAGAGAGTTGACGACGTTGGCGAAAGTCGTTTGAAAGGAGACAAGAAAGTAAACAGAGAGGGATGAAGAGGAAGCAAAGGTTGAGGTTTGAGGAGAGATTTAAGCTTTGAATGATCCAGGACAAGTCTTGGTGTCAAGCTATTGATTCTTCAAAGGGCATGGACGGGAGGCGCTGAGAGAACCAATCTCAAAACTGCGATAAGCAACTTCAGAGATGCCACCAGACTTACTTGCAATAGGGAAGAAGCTTCAAGGAGAAGTGATTTATCGGTAGAGTATTACTTGACGGTGGTAGGTAGATAACATGAGTTGAAACGAAGTTGGAGATGATGAGAAGTAGAAACGAGATGAAAGAGATGTGAGGGAAGAAAAGTGGAGACAAACCAAGGGTAAACAGAGGATATTTCCGAAAAGAGCGACGAGGGTGGTTGCGTTCACCTAGTGACCGAATGGAAATGGATTGAGCAAGCGGCGTTTGTAGAAAGAGCGGCCCTCTGTCAATCTCGTGTTGTGGTTGGTAGTGAGTGATACAGCTCTGGCCAAATTTGAACCGTCCTTTCAAATTCCGATTGAGGGCCACTGGAGTCTAAATTGGAGCATCGACTACGGAGTGGGTGCACGGTCAGGAGCTCTTTACTTTTTGGGCTTTAATAATTTATCTGCCTCTTTCCGGAATGCAGATAATGGTTTGATCAACGTTGAGTTTGAGTGAGTTGATAGCAGCGGGCCACTTCCGGGAGGCTGGCACTAAAACGCGGGGTGCCATTAGACGAGGTTGTCTCGCGTGGCGCCAAATTTGTCCAGGATAAGGACGGGAAGGCAGGGGCTTGCAATCTCATCTTCATTGTAAGTTAAGACAATGAGTTGTGACACAAGTGTCTTTTGAAATCAAGGTTGAGGCAGATACCCGTTTTCTGTTGAGTAACACGAAAGAGAGTCTGGATCATGGTTCGAAGGCCTTCTAAATTTACGCGGTCGCGAAGATTTGTCTTGTACGCAAATAACGCTTTGCCAACTTGAATACTGGACTCCTGCACGTCACGGCTGTTACTGATTATGGATTGTTTCTGTGTCATAAATGGATGCTTGAACTGATTGTAAAAAGTAACAGAATCAGACTTCCAAGAGCGAGAAATCAGTTTGCTATCCTTGCAACTCCAGTTGTAACTGCTCTTCCCAAAAAAGTACTGGCCCCTTTGAAAGGTGTCAAATACCTCAAACGTGTATTTCGAGACACAAAAAGACAAAGCACAAACAAGCTCGCCCATTTTTTCAAGTCTCCAGACGCCAGTGTATGTACATGAAGATAAATCACAAAAGCTGCGTCAAACAAAAGGAAAAGAAGATGCAAATTGATAAACGCAAAAGGTCCGAGGTCACAATCCTGCATATCCCTCTGCCTAGGGAGAGGAGCGCATTTCATCTTCCAAATTGGTATGAGCCTGAGGAAATTAGTTCAGATTCGCATTACGCACAAAGACAAGGGCGCCAGTAGATCAAATCATTTAAGCATCCTCTCGGAGCGATTGATAAAACTCTGCTTAACTGGCTATGGAGGAGCTCAAGGGCATGGAAACTGACCGTTCATGTGTCCGGGTGGGATCATCGGTACCGGCCTAGAAGAAGGTAGTGACGTCGGAATGTGTGCATCTCGAAGAAGTCGGACCATTCCCTCTGGTTTAAATCTTGTCGCATGGTATGTTTCAGCTCGAGGAATTATGCTCAGCAGAAAGAGAACCTCCCTAGGGAGTGCTGGTGGCGGAACAGCAGCAGAAACTAGCTGCCCCTGGCTGTCAATCATCTCTCGCTGACGGTTTCGTTTTTGTTGGTCAAGTCGCCGCCCTGCTGCACCCTTAAGAGGCGATTCTCCTCTGTTGAGTTTCCGCGGTCGATTCATTTCAGTGTCTGAATCGTCAACCGGAAGTGGACGTTTGGGTGAATTTGCAACTTGCGCGAATCGCACAGGCGGTGTATTTTGAACAGATTCAGGAGGTTCAATGGAAAGTATCGCCTTGGGGCGTGCCTGGGTTGCTGGCGATATTAACGGCCGTATTGCCGTAGGATCAAACCCCTGGCCAACAAAACGCCGAGCGAAACGCTGGAGCTGAGGATCCTCTGGGAATAAATCGCTCATACGCTTCTCCAGCTTACCGACTTGAGAAAGTTCTCCATACTGCGACTCATATTCGTGGAAGAAAGCGTAGATAGGCTTCGCTTTTTGCAGAGTCTCCGCTCTCTGTGCCAGCTTATTGACAGTGGTTTCGAACACGGCCCGAGCATCTATAAGCTACTGTCAGCAGATAATTCAGAGTAGAGAGCGAATATTTGAGACAGACTAGTAATATCATTGATAGCAATAAGATGTTTGAGATATTCTAGCGCAAAGTCTTCATCCTCGGGGAATAGCTTCATGCCCCGTTCAAATATTTTGGTAGCAGCTGGATCTTTGTAACAGTGATACTCAATGAGGGCACTCGCCACATAAACATCACTAGTAAGTCGTCCCCTCTTGCGAGCATCTGTAAAAATTTGTCGCGAGCCCCCAACAACATCACCAACTTTACCTTTCCCCTGAATGCGACGCATTGCCCTCATCAAAGCAATCCAAGCGAAAGACACTGTCCTAGACAACAGTCGAATTTGCACGAGTGCTCCATTTTGAACTGCTTCTTTTTGGGCTTTTTTGGAAGCGTCATAAGCTGAAGATTCGGGATCCTTAAAATCGTCTTCAGCATCAGCGTCTTCGTCATTTTCTCTTGGCTGATTGATGGGAACCTGGTGGGGAAAGGCTTCCTCTATCCGCGCAAGGTCTTTGGCTTCTCGGGCCTTCGTCTTCGCAATAAGCTCATAGAGCGCATCTAGTACTCTGTCATAAGGCTCGCGGACAATGGCTCCTCGTCTTTTAGCGGTATCTTCACCTTCATCATTTAGGCTCTGAATCTCCAGCCAATCAGCATATTTGAAAGCTAGCAGGCAGCTTTCCGGGTTCATATCAATTCCCTGGGATATGAATTCATTTCCCTCTTTGTCCAATTCATTTTGGAAGCAGAATTCAGCAGCTTCAAACCACATCTCAGGCCAGAAGCTCAATGCCATTACTGACTGTTTGAAGACATACAAAATCCGTGCCCTGTAGGCACTGATGTCTTCCTCTTTCAATACCAACGGATCATCTTTCTCCCATTGAATCCACTTTTTCCACAGCTCGATTTGTTTCAAGTATTCCGTGTCCCCTTCGAAACCTAAGGCTGGCGGCAACCGCGGAAGCGTCGTTCGAACAAGGTCTCGAGTTATATTTTGAAGTTCTGTAAATGAGCTTCGTGCGGAGACATATGCCGGAGACTTTTCCTGGAGAAATTTTCGGCCCTGCAAGTAGTAGTGTGAGTATCGTCTCCTTTGTTCATTGGCCGCAATTCTTACAGTCACTTTATTTAGACCCATTTCAAACGAGTCATACTCCTTCCAAATAGCATTTACCGCTTGATTAGGAGCACAAATCGCACGTTGATAAGTTTTCCTGAGCAGATCCATTTTTTGTTGATCCTGCCAGCTGTTGCCGCCGATTGTCCCTGGGCCGGAACGAATGAATCTTATGTGATCCTGCCAGATGGCACCGGCATCTTTATCGATGCCAATATTTTGCAGGACAAAATCATAGGCTTGCGCGACAATCTGACGAGCCGTCCCCGAGGAGTCGGTTGTGAGATTATTGCGTCTTCGCACATAATCAAGATAAACGGACCAAAGCTGAACGTTCGGAACTGTCAGAAGAGACTTGCTGAATATTTGCTCGACAAGATAGAATTCGTTATTTTGAAGCTCCATTTGAGCGTAAGCAATCCATTGCTCGGCCTAAATGCCTCGTTAGCGAAGTTATAAATCAAATTATTACGAGCAAGCTGGTGCCCACCGCTAGCGGAAAACGCTTGAGGAATCGCTCATAGACAGTCCGAGCTTCATCAATCTTATTACGACGACGGTGCTCACTGATCAAGCTAAGCCAAGCATCCATATCACCTCGTGGATCTTCCTTAATCCTGTCTTCCAAGATTCCCACACGGTCATTGGGTAGACGAGCTTTTGACGCCGTACCGACCGAGATCGTCGGATACTGTTGTTCATTGACTGACGTATTCGGGGCTGTCAAACTCTGGGCGGACTTGCTAAAGCTATCATCATTTGATGAGACATCAGGAACACCAGCAACGGAATTAGGAACAGTATCAGGAGCGCCTTGCCCATGTGCAGCATTTTGTATTGATACATCTTCTGATGAATAAGCATTGATTGGAGTATGAGAAAGAGAACGTTGAGGCGTGTATGATGAACCCTGCGCAACATTCAACAACCCACTTTCTCCGGCCAAAGGCGGCTCCCGTCCATCTTCAAATCCCCCGGGTTTCTCGTCAACTATGTGAGAATGGTCAATCGGCTGTGAAGCTTGACGGGTAGGACTTTGGGAAGTTTCTCCAGAAGACGCTTGGGAATGCGCTGATGATACCAGTTCGCCGCTGGGAGGGCTTTGAGCTTGGCGGGAGCCCAATTCGGCTACCTGTGTCACTGATGCAACATTCTCATGGGCATCTTGTTGTGGGCTCCTCTGTTCAATTCCAGAAGAGTTTTCGTTCGAAGGGTCGTTAAAAGATCGAGACGGGTCATATTCATCTGACGAAGCTTCTTCCCTTTGTTGATCGTCCTCCTCGAGACTCCCATCAAAGTTTCCTGCGGCCTCGTTCATGGCTTGCATTGAGTCCAAAAGGGCCAATTCCGCATTGATATCGCCCATCTCCTGAGATGACTTTGCCAGAAGATGAGCCTAGACTGGAGCTAATTAGTGACTATGCGAAATCCGAATGGCCTCTATGGGCTTCAATGTCCTTTCTATATTCGTGCTCCGATCAACAATATCGTGGCGGTGGGCGATGCCGGAAAGTAGACTGTGTCATAAACCACGATGACAATTCAGGCTATTGCATTTGTTGAAGGTGAAAGACGGAGATGTCGGTGCCTCATTCGTCCGTCATTTGCAGCTTCAGCAGCCAACGAGCTTTGGTGGAATGAAAAGGTCGCTTACCTGTTATGGTAAATTTTAGTTAGCATAGTTTCAATTCAACCTGCTTAGTCATATTTCAATTATCGTAGGACGCGAACAAGACGCGTTCACATCTGGTTCATTGACCCGTCAAAATCCGTTTAATTCAGGAACTTATCGAGAGCATCATCGCTAACCTGAGGCAAATTGCAAATTCTCAGCCCGGGACTGGTCTTTAGATATACCAGTGTCTTCTTTCTCTTCTTCTCGACGTGTACCTCAGAACTGCAAAGGCTGTCGCTGTTTATATATACTTTACGCCATGTCCGTCGTGTCCTTGTTGGGCGTCAAAGTGCTCAATAACCCTGCCGCTTTCTCCGACAACTATCGCTTCGAGATCACCTTTGAATGCCTCGAGCAACTGCAGAAAGGTTTGTTGCTTTTAATGCTTTCTGTTACATCGCTTATCAATTCTAACTGAAGTTACAGATCTGGAATGGAAGTTGACATATGTTGGATCGGCTACGTCGTGAGTTTTCGGCGAAAATTACGACAATTTGGTCAAAGTCTAATCGCTGTACTTAGCTCTGAGCATGATCAAGATCTCGATTGCCTCCTTGTCGGGCCAGTTCCAGTTGGTGTCAATAAATTCATATTTGAGGCTGACCCGCCGGACCTCCGCCGCATCCCGACATCCGAGATCCTTGGTGTTACTGTTATTCTTCTGACATGCAGTTACGATGGGAGAGAATTCGTGCGCGTCGGTTACTATGTCAACAATGAATATGACTCTGATGAGCTCAATGCCGATCCACCTGCCAAGCCTATCATCGAAAGAGTACAAAGAAACGTTCTGGCAGAAAAGCCGAGAGTAACCCGGTTCGCTATCAAATGGTATGTCTTGTTAAGACCAACTTGTAATATCCGTTTTCTGACCGAGCCTGTCAAGGGATTCTGAGGAATCTGCTCCAGCCGAATATCCTCCGGAGCAACCAGACGCGGATACTCTCGACGACGATGAGGATGCATATGGTGCGGAGGACGATGAGGGTGGCGAGGAGGTTGATGGCGAGCCTGGAGAAGATGCTGAAATGGAAGGTGGTGAAGACATTGCTGGTCCACCGAAATCGGCGCATGAGAAGAATCAGGATGAAATGTCAGAAGCTGGCAGCGAAGACCTCGAAGCAGAGAGTAGCGGAAGTGAGGAAGAAGACATTGAGGAAGAGGAGGGCGAAGGAGACGCCGATGAAGACATGGATATGGGCGATGGTGGAGACAAAGGAGCCCCCGAACCATCAGCAAAGAGCCACTCCATGGGCCAGTCGCATTCAGGCGACACAGTTATGGTTCACTGACAGGCCTCTCAGCTATTAAGAAGAACGTTTTGCTTATCAGTTTTTCATGATTTGCTCTACCACGGCCATCAGCAATTTTTTTTTATTTTCTTTTATCAATTAGTTATTAACGCATGTAATAGCAGCGGTCCAAATAAGCGTTGGCGTTTCAATTTTTTTTTCAAAATGGTTTCCCCCATCGAGCAGTCTATTTTTATTTTCAAGATTTGCTATGGGACAATTACTACCGTTTCTTCATTCGTAGAATTGAGGAGATTAGATAACTTTCGAAGTCCTACTTCCTAGATGACTACAATCGAATACAGGATTGAAAGAATAAAATTGTGCACTTTCATTGGCAGCAATAGAGCTTCTTATTGACCCTTAGTTTAAGTTAGGCGGTGTAATCCATAGAGGAAGTTGCCGAGGGCGGTGAGTCGGTCTCTCTCATCGGCGTGGGGTGGACAGCTAAGGAAGCCAAGCTTACCCATTACGAAGGCCAAGGCCGTTTGCGACCTATGCAGGCTCTCACGGCACAACTCATGCCAGACGCGAATATATGCACAACTATTGTAGAATCTTCCGCGAAGCGCGGCAGTCTTCATCATACTGTGCCTTAATTATTAATCAATAATTTCGACGCCTCACCATTGAACAACGGAACATGGCTCATTTTTTAAGAGGAAAGCAAGCTGGGATCCAGAACGACTTCTCCTCCGGACTCGGCCCAGAGCTGTTTTTGCCGGATGATGTATATCTTCCCTTTCTTTTTGATATTTTGTCAACCTTGCTACAGCTTGGCTGATTCTTTTGATCGATGCAGTTGACTCACTACGGCGTGAGCTCCCAAGTGTCTACGGTGGCCTATGATCCAGTACAGTCCCTCCTTGCGGTGGGAACCAATGAGTCCAAGTATGCTGGTGGCCAAATATATGTCTATGGCCAGAGAAGAGTTTGTGTATCACTTAATCTCTCGCGTCGAGCCTCAGTAAAGTCGCTGCGATTCTGTGCCGACAAACTCATCTGCCTCGATTCCAAAAATGAGGTTACAATCTTCCTGCTCAATGAGAGGCGACCTGAGGCCAAATACACACCTCCGTCATTGGTAACAGCATTGTTGACAGATCCGAGCATGGACTGGATGTTTTTGGTAAGCTTACCGCTATAAGTACCCTTCTCTCACTTCATGATATGCATATTCATTATGATCTGTACATCAGGGTCTTCAGAATGGTAGGCGAACTTCTTCTTCCGTTCCCGAAATCCTCCAAGCTGATAATCTCCAAGGTGAAATCGTTGCATATGATCTGGATCGTAATGAGCTTGCTCCATTTAAGCTGCCCAACTTCTGGAGGTCCCGCAGTCCTCGGAGCCGATCTCCGCCAATTGTATCATTGTCACTGCATCCTCGAGACATCGGGAAGCTATTGATTGGTTATACTGACGGTGCCATTATTTTCTCTTTCAAAGAGAACCAACCGATAACATATCTCGAGTATGAGCTGCCAGCCGGTGCACCGGGAGGTGATGCCGATCCCACATCTATGAACACCATTCGTCGCCCCAGGCTGACCCAAGCTTTATGGCATCCCACTGGAACTTTTGTCTTGACTGGTCATGAAGACTCCAGCTTCGCCATCTGGGATCCGAAAGACGGGCGTCTCATCATGGCGAGAACTCTTCAGGATGTAAACGTTCATAAGCAAGGGGCCCCTGTGGGTTCTTCGGGTTCCAGTCCTGGAACATTTTCTGTCAACGCGCCTTTATTTCGAATAGCGTGGTGCTCGAAACAGAATGCGGATGATACTGGTATTCTCATTGCTGGTGGCAGGCCAACGACGCAGCTGGGGAAGGGTCTCACTTTTGTTGACCTTGGCAAAACACCAAATTATATGACTTCGTCCTGGCAGATCCTCTCGGATCATTTTGCGTCTCCGAAAAAGCAGCATGTTCTGTCCACCCCCTCGGCTGCCGAAGTGATCGATTTCTGCTTGGTTCCTCGAACATCCCCGCATTATGAGGGCTGCCATGACCCAATAGCAATTTTGGGTCTTTTGTCCTCGGGCGAGATTATTACGTTAAGCTTCCCTAGCGGACATCTTATATCCCCGTCAAACCAGCTGCATGTGTCTTTATCTTTTGTTCATCCATTCATCAACAAAATCGCCTTGTCTACCGTTGAGAGGACCCGCTGGTTAGGAATGGTGGAAGCCAGAGCCCATGGACCTCAATTCCTGAAAGGAGGTGCGGAAGCAACTCATCCTTTACGTCGGTTTGAACGCCGAAATATTGTATTGGCGGCGCATGCAGATGGCGTTATCCGAATCTGGGATGCTGGACACGGGGATGAGATCGAAAATGCGAATGTTGTTCAAGCTGACGTTCCTCGAGCGGCTGGAGATGTGACAAACGTAGAGGTTGCTGCAATGTCCATGTCTGGCGTCACTAGCGAGCTCGCTGTTGGGCTAAAGTCTGGGGAGATTTTGGTGTTTCGATGGGGTGTCAATCAGTTCTATGGATCAGAGCTAGCAGATACGAGCCAGCAAGCCAGCGAGACGTCCGTTCTAGATATTCAAGACCGGGCGGACCCTTCTCTGAAAGAGGGTCTCCTCCCTCAGGTACTGCTCCAACTGGGACTTGGACCCGTGTCAGCCATTAAAATGACAGATGTCGGCTTTGTGGGGGCAGGGTTTGAGAATGGAGAACTGATCATTCTCGATATGCGAGGTCCTAATGTCATCTACCAAGCAAATTTGAGCTCTTTTGTTCAACGAAGCAAGCGCTCCAGCTTCTTGAAAGGAGAAGACTTGGTTGGAGACAAACCAGAGTGGGCGACTACAATAGAATTTGGCACCATGTGCCTTGATGGCGAAGGTAAGTGAGATAATGAGTATCCTGCTCTGCCGTGGCGCTGCTTACAGAACCGCAGATTATACTAGCCTCTTATGCTTTGTTGGAACAAATACCGGTCGCGTTGCCACTTTAAAAATCCTTCCAGGGCCAAGCGGAGGCTATGCGGTGCAGTTTGCTGGTTCAACCGCTCTTGATGATCGCGTTGTGTCCATTACACCATTAAATATAGACTCCGGATATGCTACATATGCTACGCAAGCGGCAGTGGCCAACCTGAGGACCGGCTCCAAAGTGAACGGGGTGATTGTTGCAGTCTCTGTGTCCGGTGCTCGAATTTTCAAACCGACATCTGCAAAAGGAGCTCATAAGAGTTGGGACAAATACTTTTGTGACACCGCCAGTGTTGTTCATGTGCATGACCGTGGTGCTGCTATAGTCGGGTTGTTTGGCGACGGCAGCGCAAGAGCATATTCAATACCAGGAATTAAGGAGATTGGAGAAGCTAAGCTTGATCACAAGCTTGATATCAGGCGGTTTTCCGATTCCGCCATTTCACAAAACGGCAATCTCTTCGCGTGGGCTGGTCCATCAGAGTTAGCCGTGATCGATCTATGGGGAGTCGGAGAAGAGAGGTTGGGCTTACCCTACCAGCAATGCGCTTGCAGAAGCTAATTATTTCGCTAGGGTCAAATGTTATGACAAACTTTACAATCCCGATGCGCTCGTCCCAGCTAGACCGACAATCTCAGGCGTTCAATGGATCTCAGGAACTCAATACGTTACGCCTAGTGACATGGACGTTCTCAGTATGTTCCTGCTCGTCTCATTTTACATTTGTCACCCTTCATTAACATTTCCCAGTCGGCGGTCCCAATCGCCCACCTTCGCGGCGAATGGTTGAGGAAGCAAGACTTCAGCAGGAGCAGCGTCATCTCGCTGGCCCGGGCCGGTCTTCGTCTGCATCCGATGAAGGGTACTGGGCATACATGCAACGCCAGCTAAGTGAAAGAGCTGAACAGCTGGGGATTAGCAGCGATTCTATGGATAGATTGGAAGAACATAGTTCGGGTTGGGCCGATGATGTCAGTAAATTCGTTAGCCAGCAAAAGCGTAAAGCAGTCTTTGGAGGTAGGTTTCCCCCTTTGCTTGCTTTTCAATTACGTCGATGCTGACTGAAGAGGCAGCGCTCTCCAGTAAATTTGGGCTCTGAAAGAACTCTTCGTAAGGGGATTTTTTGCTATAACAGATCCGTTGAAGCCCCATGGTTGCCCCACTTAACGCCCTGCTTTCTCTCATTTCCGTTCTCGACCTGTCTTTATTTCACCTCCCGTTCCGATCCTGATTTCGGCCCGCCTTGGGATGATAACGGACAAACTGACGGTCTGCATATTGGCTCTATTATCTTGTAGATGCTTGAAGCATTTCATGGTGATGTATATAGAATTACGGTGTCTTGTTCTGTGGTCAGATAGGACTATTTATTTTCACAGCAACGATATTGACGACCCAGAAATTGATTTAATTTGAATGCCCAAATGGATAAAACTCCTTGAGAACATGGAAACAACCGATATACAAGTTTAATATTAAAATTAATCTCAACTGCAGGAAATAAATTTTAAAAGTAGTCATGGACAAGAAAGCACCATAATGACCAGTTGTTGAAAAATACAATGAGCTTGTCAATATAAACAATGGAATTTAATACCAAACGGGATGGGCATTGAAAGTATTCTTGCCTATGTCATAAACAGTAGCACAACTAAAATAATAGTCAGGTAGCATTAAAAATGTCTAAAGTAGGTACATACACTAAGCGTATTAAATCGTCTCACCTATTAAAATAAATGTAAGCTGTAATTTATAGAGAAAGCTGCATGGCGTTGCATCCAGACTGGAGCAAGGCGAGTGAACAAGCGGCCGGGCTGGCACTGTTTAGGCGAGCAGCGATTCTATCGGCGTATCGCAACAATATCAATTTTTTTTAATTGAACACCGCCAAAAGCGCACATACAATCAAAGGAAGCTACTCTTTGTGATAGATATATATTGAAATAGAGCCCAAAATGGCGTCCTACGACAGTGACTCGAGCATGGACGACGAAAATTACACTGAGACAAACGTTTTACTGGGCTACGCTTCCAAAGAGCCCACAGACGACTCCGAGAGCCAGCTTGGTGGCTATCCTGTATGTCTTTGCCTGCTCTTCCCTTCGAACAAATTTTTTTTTTTCTTTTTTGGTGAATCAAACAGATGTATCGAGACCTGTGGCGCTAATTGTATTTCTCTTTTTCAAATATATAGTCTTGGCTGGATCCGTCTGTCCCTCCTTCAGCCGCACTCGCGCGTTGCAAAGTATGCAATGACCTCATGACGCTGCTTCTCCAGCTCAATGGAGACTTGCCAGACCGATTCCCCGGCCATGAGAGGAGGCTGTACCTGTTCAACTGCCAGCGGAAAACGTGTCGACGGAAGGCAGGCAGCGTGAGAGCGATCCGTGGCGTGCGAGTGCCCCCGTCGTCACAGTCCCAAAAAGCCAAGTCCGAGAAGGAAGCGCAGGAAGAAGGAAAGAAGTCCGAGTCTACGAAAGAAACAACACCGGCTGAGCAGAAATATATTGGAGAAAGTCTTTTTGGAGCACAGCCCACGACACTCTCATCAAATGCCAACCCGTTTTCGACAACGGGCGCGGGCCAGTCGTCAGCGACGAATCCCTTTTCGACGGCAAAGTCTGAGCTCCCTCCTCTGTCATCCCTTGCCGCTAAGCCACCGCAACGTCCTGAAGACGAGACCCTTGCGGAGAGTTTCGCCGCAAAGGTCAAAGTCTCTTCTGATTCTGCCCCTGCTTCATCTCGGCCGAAAGTCGCTCAATCGCCCGTTCCCCAGGAGGCCTGGCCTGCCAATGACAAGTTCCCGAAACCGTATCCTTCGTATTACCTTGATGCGGACTATGAGGCTCTAAGTGCTGAGCAGGAAGCTCCGTTGCCTGCGCATCGGATTGAGGAGATTGATAGCGCAGAGGGCAGTTCCTCGGGCGGGGGTTCTCGGTCCGATGACAAAGAGGGATTCGAATCTACCATAGACAAGACGTTCCAGCGGTTTGCGGACCGTCTGGCTCAGAACCCTGAGCAGGTGCTGCGTTATGAGTTCAGCGGTCAACCTCTCTTATACAGCAAAACTGATGCCGTTGGCAAGCTGCTGGCGCTGCACCAAGGTCACTCAGAAGCAAAGGTTTCTGTAGTCAAGCAGCAAGGCTCCCTCGGCCTGCCAAGATGCACAAATTGCGGGGGTGATAGGGTGTTTGAATTGCAGTTGACACCTCAAGCCATCGCAGAGCTTGAAGCTGACATTACGAGCTTGGATGGCATGGATTGGGGAACGATTATTGTTGGCGTGTGCAGTAATGACTGCCACGCCCCGGATACCCGGGAGGCACAGTCTGGCTACGTGGAGGAATGGGTTGGGGTTCAGTGGGAAGAGCTAGCGGAGCGGAAATAATTTATTTGATTTAGAATCGGATATCAAATACGCTGGTATTGACGATACGATAGAGACGCGAGACGAATTTGAGATTCTTTTTTGGGTTCCTATATGCCCGTTCTCTCCCAAAAATTTACAACGCCTTGCTACCCGTAGCGAGTATCATGTAGGAAAAATTAAATGAAAAAAAAAAATTGAAATGGCATACGTCGTCATGCAATGAAAAAAAAAAAAAAAAAAAAAAAAGAGGCGAAATTCCATTATGCAGGCTGCTCATAAGCCCGTTTGACCATCCTTGAGAATTCTGCGCATGCCGTTAGTAAAGATTCGGTTTCACGCGATTGCTTTGTAGAAAAACTTACGGTCAAACTTCACGTTCTCTCTCACGACAGTGCCCTTGGCCTCGTTCTCCTTGTTCAGAGGTACCCGGACGGACTTGCCGCTGATCTCCCAGCCACAGACTTCCTTGACAAACTTCTCGAACTCCTGGCCTGACAGTCGCAGCCAGCTCTCCAGAACGTTCCTCTCAATCTCTCTTACGCACTGGCTGACAGTCACAGCGATCCGAATGCGCATGAGTTCCTCAAAGCCGCTGACGTCGGCGATGAGATCAGCATAGAGGTCGTCACTGTCGAGTGTACTCCAGAAGCTGGCGTAGGAGGCAGAAGAGAGGTGGTTGCTAAGGATGTTGAGCTTCTGCACGGCCTCCGAGAGAGGAGCATCACCGGCAGCAGGGCTGAGGTTGGCGGTTGAGACAGGTGTGAGGACGTGAGGCGGGAGAAGGTGGAGGCACAAGCTGAAGTCAGGAGCAGGGAAGACGGTCAAAGCTTTGACGAGGATATTCGTGATGGTTTCATCGCGGGCGAGATGAGGATTGAATTGGTAACTATCGCACAGAATCACAGTAATGTCAGCACGGTTTGATGTTATCAAATATATGCAGACATTTCCAAAATAGTACAAGACAGTGAAAAATCAGATAGAGCTAATAACGTCGCCTCAGCGGGGGCAGAGTGATTCATGTTCCGCGACCCCTCAGGTAATAGGAAACGTTTTGTGGATTTGGTCATCACATAAGAAAAAGACGTCGATGAAGGGTTTGTCGAGAAATTTTTTGCGTCACTTACAGCTTCAGCAGAGCCAGATTGGCGTAGGAATCGTACGTTCTCTCTTCGCATTGCTGGCTCACGTAGTCCTGGAAGACACCCGTAGTCTCCGGATTATATCTGTCCAGACCATTGAGAATATTGTCAATGTGCTCCGGTCGGTCCGGAGAATAATCAAATGGTACACCCATGTTTGGCAGCGTTGGGAAAGTTCTTGATGCTGCTGCCGTTAGACGAAGGTTCTCGCGTTCTGCTTTGTCTCGTCCGGTTGACAAAGTTCCCGAAGGGCTTGACCTAAGCGAATCTTTCTGAACCAATCACAAGCCACGAAAAGGAGGACCTTACTCTATGCTATACTCGTACGTTACGGAGGAGACTCAACACGGTGGGTAAGGTATCAAATTGATCAAATTAAACAGGGTAATATCTCTCTATCGAAAAATATCGAGCAGGATATAATATGACATTTGGATCCTCCTGAAGTATCGTCCTTGGAGCCAGAAAATACACCTAGAATTTCATAAATCAACGCCGAACCCATGACCCCAAGTTATCACCCTGCCAAAAGTAGTCATAACAGCGCTCTTGAACGCCAAAAAAAAATATTATATATAGCCTTTGGTCTTAGCAAAATGATTCAACCTGGTGACAAAAAGTTCCCTGCTTTAAATAGCCCAGTTTCAAGATTCAATATGGCAAGCCTCGTCTCATCTTACGCTTGCTGTGCTCAAGCTGTGCTAGAATGGCGTCTCGAAGTTGCTTGTGTACCGACCACTCTTCTTGCAGCTTCTTCATTCGAACGCTGGCCTGAACCATACGAGCAACCACTCTGAAAGTGAGCTTCTTTTCTGGCTCCTTCACGTCCACGACAATGCCCATCTCAGCAATCATCTTCAAATTTAGTTTGTTGCTGTTCATCAATTAGTTGAATTCGAGGAGCAAGCAGCAGATAGGTCAACTTACCAAGCATTGTACATATCAATCTGCCTCTGGTAGTACTCCTTTGAATACGCCAAATCGGCTCTAAATCCTTCAAGCCTGGCACATTTAGCATTGAGGAAGTGTATACTCTTCATCAACCCTCGCTGCTCTAGCTGATGGCGTCTTTCTTTTTGCTTAAGCTTGTCCATACTGCGCTCCAGTTGCCGATTTGCGGCCTCTGCAACTTCTTGCTCCTTAAGATTTCGAGCATGCTCTTTTTTGTTCAACTTCGCCGCGTCATGATGGCGGGCTGCGATAGCATCCTTCGTCTTTTCAACCTCTTCCTCAAGATTAAGCTCAAGAATTTCAACCTCATCCTCTAGACCCTGAATCTGGTCCTGGAGAACAACCTCCTGGCGTTTGCTCGAAGCAAGTTCTTTCTTGACCGCAGTGACTTCTGATCTCAGCTCCATCCAAGCTTCATGGCGTGCCTCGAGTTCAGCCGATAGTTCATTGATCTTTTCTTCCATACCACGTATTTCACGTTGGTGTCTTTGCTGTTCAACCAAATTGCTTCGTTTCGTAGAAATTGCGTGTTGCTCCTGCAGTTCCTGTATCTGTTCCTGCGCTGTAGCTAGTTCCTCTTGAAGTCTGGCTACAGAACCGGAATCTTTGCTGGTGGCTGACTTCATTTCATCCTTTCGACTATGTTAGCTTACAATGTCAATTGCAGCAGGAATAAACTTACAATCAAATGTTGTTTCCGTGAGATGGCGTTCTCTTTCTCTTGTAGCAATGATTGAGTTTCTTCGAGCTCAGTGCGTGCCTTCTCGAGCTGGGCAAAAAGACTATCGGCTAACTGCAGCTTCTTTTTGAGAATGCTGAGCTCTGCATCTTTGTCTCGATTTTGTGTCCGAAGATGCTCAACCTCCATTTGATTGTTTTCATCCACCTCATTATTTCTTAGCTGCTCATGCAGGTCGCGTAGCTCTCGCTTCAAATCACTATTTTCCGCTTCTTTGCCGCTGAACTCTGCTCGAAGGCGCTCAAGGCGCTGGTTTTCGTAGTCCAAATTGCGCTTCACTCGGCTTTGTGTCTCCTCGACCTGGTTCTTGAGACTCTTAATCTCAGCTTCCTTTTCCTCGACAGTAGCCTTGAGACTGGTTATTCTCTGATCTTCCGCAATACCCAAGCGCTCATTCAAGCTTTGAGCATCCGTGGGGTTGCTTTTCAGCTCTCTTATCCGTGTTTCCCTGTCCCGAACATCATTTCCCAAATGCTCAAGTTGGAGGTCCTTCTCTGAGAGTCTCACCCTGAAAGCGTCCTCTAGCTCTGTGAGCTCCCGCCTCAGATTTTGGATCTCTGCATCCTTTTGAGGAACGACAACCCTAAATTGATCCAATTCAACGATCTGTTGTTTGCTGATAGTTGTGTCTTTGGATGTGTTTTCTGCGTGACGCAACTGGATCCTCAATCTTTCAACTTCTGCCTCGGTAGCTTGCATATGCGTTGCAAACTTCTCGAGTTGCTGGCGGTCATCCATCTGCATTCGCTTGAACCTCTCCTGTAACTTCTCCTTCTCATTCTCGAGCTGTTCTATCCTGTCTTGCTTTTCACCATTGTCGTTTTCAAGCTCCTCTAGTTCGGCCTCTTGTCCTTCCTCGACAGACTTCAATCTCTGTCTCAATTCTTCGATTTCAGCATCTTTAGAAGAGACATTTTCTCTTAGGTCTTCGAGCTCATCCTTTTGTCTCTCCCGGAGGTCTTCAAGTTCGTCTTTCAATTCATCCATCTCCGCGTCCTTCTCTCGAATATCATCTCTGAGGCCTTCTAATTCATCCTTTCGATCATCATCAGTAGCCCCCACTTTTTGTCTAAGGTCCGCAAGTTCGTCATTCTTCACATTTATTTCTTCTCGTAACCGCTCGAGTTCCTCCCGTTGTCCGGCATCGGCATATTTACGCTTCATTCTCTCCTGCATATCCATCAAGTCCTGCTTGTATGTTTCTAATTCGTGCTCTGCGGAGCGTATAGTTTTCCGATACTGATGCAGCTCTTTCTGAAGAGTGACCTGGTTGACTTTGAGCTCCGTATTCTCCTTTAACGCGGCTTCACTGAATCCTGGCCCAGCTTTGCGGAGAGCATCTTCGAGGAAATGAATCTTCAACTTAAGTCCGAAGTTGTCTTTCTCGATTCTGTTGATAATCTTACACGTTGTGAGTCATAGATCCTGCCATTTGTTATATAAAACTTACATTCTCTTGTTCTTTCAATGTCATAGCATTCGCACCATTTGCCAAAACATCCTCAGCATCCCGCCTTGGCAGAGTAGCTATTGGCGTTGACGCTGCGCTGCTGCTTGAAATGTGCGGTAACGGAGTTCCTCCCGCAAAAGAGCTCCTGGTTTGTTCATCGTAGAGACCCGAACTCTCCATAGGCAATGCCGGACTTTCTGAAGGTTGATACCCAGGCTTTAGGAATGCTGGAGTCTGAGGAATATCAAAGCCCTTTCCATAGCTTTGACGGCGAATAATGTTGTTCCTTGTAGCGCTCTTGAGCAAGGGCGTGAACTCAGGCTGCCCACGGGCTCCTCGTGATCGGGGAGTTTTCAGGTTCATCCCAGCGCGACTAGCCTGTATTTGTTTGAGGAGATCATTCCCTTCTTTAGAAGGCGAGCGAAATGAGTTTTCAATCGAAAAGTCCGGTTCATTGATACTGTTTAAATAGGTTGCGTTGCCTGCCTCCGTACGCGGCGTATCAATCACGGGGACCACCATTGTGTTGGCAGGCGTGAATGGATCCAAAGAAAATTGAAAGTACAGACAATATCGAAAACATCAACTGATACGCGTGTGGAAGCAGATTTGAGATGTGTATCGCGTTGCGCCTTGATCTGTCCGCTCAGTTCGAGCTGGCGGAGATGAACCGGGAAGGGACTTGGTTGTTTTGTTTACCTGCCGCTAAGGTTGGTAAGGCGGACTCTAATCTTCTGCCGAGTTTCACGCGTTCGCTTGAACACAAGCTTCCCCGCCGTAGTTCCCGCGAGCGCACGTGATATCAATCCCTCAAATTTCCATTGCCCGGCAGATTTTCTGGGTGTAATCACGCCTCTTCTTCACCCAGTATGGACAGCTCACAAGATGAAGTCAATTGGTTTGGAGAAGGATTTGGCGGATACCCGAGACGACTTCCTGAGGATTGCGTAGAATACACCCTTTTCCTCGCGGATTTCGAAGACAAAAGCCTGGGACAAGTCCGGTCAAGTTTACAAGCTATTCAACGAGCAGCCACGGAGCTTCAAAAACGATTGTTGAAAGGATACATCTGGCAAAGAGACGGGTTCACGCTAAAGTATTATCATGAGCTTGGTATAGTTTTGGAAAAACAATCTCCGCTCACGCGACCGTGCTGATTTTCTTGGACTACGTAGGCCGATCTTTTCTTAAGGGAAGGACAAATTTCGGAGATTCCGTTGAAGATGAATGGCTTATCGTTTACATCCTTCGAGAATTGAGCAAGGAATTTCCTTCTTTGCTGGTTCGAATGACTGATTCTGACGGGGAATTCCTTTTGATTGAGGCTGCTAATGCTCTCCCCGATTGGCTTAACCCGGAAAATGCAGATAATAGGGTAGGTACATCCTCTGATTACAATGTCAAACGTTTAATCTAAGCTACCTTGTCGATTGAAAGATGGGCTGCAATCCATTAGCAATCCATTGGAACTTAGAATGAGGCGCAGCAAAATGAATGTACTGATATCTTGAAATATGTGACGCTGATAAATCGGCAGGTTTGGTTGCGTAACGGGAAGATTTATATTATTCCCCTAGAAAGCCCGTCGCAGAAAGCCGAGGAAGGTCCTTCATTTCCTGCGCAGTTGTCCTTCGAAAAAGCTCTTGATATAGTCCAAAAAAGAAAGCAGGAACTTTATTATTCGGCATCTCTTGAAGAAGAAGCCTTCTATCGACTTCGAAACTATCCAGATCAGATATCAAATAATTTTCACAGCGCTCGCATTCTTGTTCCCCGAAATTTAGCCTATATCCTCCACGAAAGGCCCGCACTTATCAGTCCCGCGGTCGAAGCCTTTTATCTCCGAGACCCAATTTCTCTCCGTCCGCTGCAGGCAGAAGACGACGGGGACCTCATCTTTCGTCCAAGGGATTTGGTTACGATTAGTACGAAATTTACCAAAGTAGGGTTTGCACAGGTCAAAAGCCAGCACTTTCCCGCGCCTGCTACATGGGTAGACGCCATGCCAGTAAATGACGATTCGAGATCTGCCAGTCATGCTGAAATCGGCATGAAAATTAGCTCCGGATTTGAAATGCTTTTGAGAGATACTCTTAATCAGGATAAAACGTCTGTTCGGGAAATCAAATTGCTACTAGAGGAACTGAGTGCTGGAGAAGATGTTCTCCCTTCAGATAGAGAGATATCCACTTGGGACGACAGGGAAGATGACGAGGACTGGTTAGACATCGATTTTCGAGATTTTGAGGAGGAGCTTGCGGGGAAAAGCACAACCAAAGACGAAGAAAATCCTGATGCTCATGCAACTTCAGGGAACGGCTTCGGAGACAAAACAGCACAAGAGAATCTACGAAAAATGGTAGAGCGGTTCGAAAATTTTCTGAACGACGATAAAGCTGGTGCTGAAGGAGCCCAGATGCCGGACGACATGGATTTTGACGATGATGACGATGATGAAAGTGACATTGGCAGCGGAGGAGAAGATAAAGAGCTGTCTTTCAATGAGGAGGAGTTCTCCCGGATGATGCGTGAGATGATGGGCATGCCACCAGATTCCCATATGGCCAAGAACAAAAGCGAACCCCTTTCGCACAAGCAGTCTTCACCCACAGGAGAGGAAGCTCTTCCAACCATCCAGCAGCAGGACGAGCATCGGCAAATCCAAGAGATAATGGATGGTATGGAAGCTGAGCTCAGGGAAGCGGGCGCTTTAGAACTTGATTCCGCCCCAAAGTCAAACAATGCCCGACGCAGCTTAAAGTCTGAGAAAGAACAAAAGAATGGCGACAAGAGGCACCTAGATCAAAAGCTCCAAGAAGAGCTAAATGAAGACGAAATAGACGAAGAAGATGAAGGGGTAAATATCGATTACAACCTCGCGAAGAATTTATTGGAGAGCTTCAAGAGCCAGGCTGGACTTGCAGGTCCTGGAGGAAATATTCTCGGACTAATGGGCCTCCAGCTGCCAAGGGATGAAGACGAGGATCCATCTGCCTCCAAGAACAAAATAACCTGAAAACACTAAGTCATCCTCCTTCTTTTCCAAACATTGCTGCCTAAAGGTAGACCAGCCATTCGCTCCAGAGCGACAGTTAAAATCGTGGAGGCTTTCGTCATCAATCATGGAAATGCCAGCATGAAGAGCCTAGTCTTGCGATTCCTTTATGCCAAATCTAAGACGGTCTTTTCTCCCTCTAAGGAAAACAGTATAAAGTACGGGTTCAAAACAGATGATACGACCGGTGCTTTCTCGACAAGTATTGTCCTCTTATCGCGATACCGTCAGAGTTCCGCGGCCAGCTCACTAAGCACTGTCGTTAGAACTTTTCGTTGCTCAAGCTCGGAGTGTCCTTCGCAAGGTCTGTAGTAATTCTCCACGATCGATACGAGCGACCTGTAACACGCGTAACTGCAAACCAGTTAGCCATTCAATCCTCCTGGGCCGAGATCCGCCAAATCCTTTCTTTTTATTCCCCTACCCCTTCTGTGCAAAGCTTGGAACTCAGCATTATGCAACGGCCCAAAAGCTGAGCATGCTCTGTTGAGGTTGGTAAACTCACAGCAAACGCCGACAATTATGTGGTGGCGTTGTTGGTTGGCAGACACCAAATCCTCTCCAAAAAGCGGCATTTCCAAGGCCAAACACGTCGGACATGAAAACATCACCCCAAAGACAGGTTGAAAAGTCGGCCAAGTTGTTTATCTTGTTTGTCTGCGAATCAAGTATGATGTTCGATGGGTCGCAAACGGAGATAAGCAAGAGTCGAGACTCTGTTATGTCTTCAAGCAGAGGCATGAACCGACCTGTCAGCTCCCTGATTTGCTCATATGGCAGCAGAACGAGCATATCTTCAGCATCACGAAGGATAGCCTCCATCATGGAGGCAAAGGCTTCGCGCCAAGATCTGCTGCCCGACCCAGAGAGTATCGGCGCTGCTGGGCCAAAATAGGGGGATTTGTGTTGGCTAATCCTCCTCACGATATCCCCTAGTTCAAAATAGATATCCTCTTTTTCTCGTGCGGTCAGGAACGGCTCTCTATCGCGGAATGATAATCCAGGGATATAGGTCGTCAAGATGAAAGGAGAGAAGGTCAATGCCTTTCCAGGTTCTTTATTTAGGCACTGTGCTACTGGCAGCTCTCCATATAATTCCCCACAAAGCAAATCCAGAACCTTGCCCTCTGCCTCTAAAGCGCCGCGTTCATGCCGCAGAAGCTTCCCACTTGGTGTTGGTCCCAGCCTGAGCACAACGGCGGACCCATCTGATATTCTCAATAAAAAGCGGGAGTAGCGGGAGTCTTTAAGCTTCTCAATCTGTTGAATAGTGACCTTAGATGAATGTAGATGTCGACGCACTGTTTCCTGGACGATTCCCTTGTCCAAGGCTAGCTGCCAATCAAGAGATGAAGAAGCACGGATAGAAATATCAGGTCTACTGAAGTCGGAGCTGGGAAGATGCATAATTAAACAAACGCGTTATAACACATAGTAGCGCATTCAGAAGCAAAGCGGATGCGAAGATTTCAAATGTTTGAAAGGACCGGAGCTTTTGGCGATAGAAACATTATTTATCACGGACATGAAGGGAGTCAGGATACATTTCAAAATACGAACGGTTTCCTTTACATATCATCCTTGTATGTAGGAAATAAACAAAAGCTGCCTGCATGGCTTGAAACAAAATGAACCATACGGAAACAGCTACAAAAGACGAGGGACGCCATCTTGTCAGCATGCATTCGTACTGGAAGGGCACAAGACGAAGCAGAAAGGAGATTGGGGCAAAATTAATAGGTGTCGCCTGCAATAACATGGCGAAGGCGGTCGTCATTCTCGTCAACTTGCGCCAGATACGGCAAGGAACGTTCTGCTCGTTTGCAATTTGAATGCCCTTCTGGACTACTCCCGCCTTCGTCTCGGCTACCGAGGCCCAATCACAACGAGGATTTGCCGTAATCGGCTTGTGAAGCTCTTTGAAACATGCTTACCGCAACATATTCTCAATTTCTAAAGGGAATTTGTATTCGCTACTGAAGGATCTATGATTGTATCATGTGGTTTTCGGTAACTTTAGAGATACTCCGATCCAACAGGGATTGGTTTGCGTTTCATAGCTAGTCAACAATCATGGGTTGGTCAAAGAATTATCCGGCATTCCAAATTCTCTGAATTGGGGCTTATCAAATGCCGAGACCCCTTTTGGCCCACTTCTGCGGAGATAGTCACGAAAGAGATAATATAATTCACCATTGCATAATCAACATGGCGGTATGAAAAGGCGGAAGGAGCCAGAAGAAATGTCTTGGGTGCTTAGTCCAACCAACGGAGCCGTCTGAATGACCGAAGAATTAAAACAGTCCCTTATTCAATTTAGGCTCTCTAAGCAAATATCCACAGCGAGTAAGAGAAATTAACCGCACTCTGCAATGATAGAAGGTAGTACAACAGAAGCACATAAGGTAGTTTCCGTTGTACACGCACGCACGCACGGAGTACTTCGTAGGAAGAGAGGCTCTAAGAAGGTTGCAGATCTTCCACCCTTGCGCTATCTTGGTCGCTATTGCTCGCCTTCGCCCGAGGAGCTCGGCAAATTTGCCGTTGTTTTGACACGCGATGTCTGATTTGACTCGCTAGTGTCACTGGGTTGACCCGCTGCTGTGGCGGGGTCAAAGAGCTCGGACAAATTGTACCGCTTCAACTTTTCAAAGTCGCTAGGTACAACGCTCATACCACAGATATTCTATTTCTATCAATCAGTCCAGATAGTACAACCGCGTTATTGTGCGTTCTTCCGCAGAGATGTTGAATGGGCCATGAATTGGGTGAATACTGAAAATGATCATTCAACACACCTTGTAGACTTCCACCAGGATAAGTAGATTGTATCCTTTCAGATCAACTTTGTGCCCTGGGCCGACAGCGGCGGCCACTTTTCGGATGATCCCATCCCTTGTCAATGTGTTGTGGTTTCTTATGGTCGGACGAATCGCGAACTATTGCGAAGTCAGTAAGCGATTCTGCAGGCAACCCCCGCCGAAGCTTTCAACTTTTGTCGTTGGTTGATGTTCGTTACAGAAGCTTACTCTTTTTCCGCGTCCTTCGTTTCGATCATGATCATAATCATGATCGCGATCGAGATCAAAATGGAAATGTGGTGCCAATACTTGCTGCGCTACTTCCTCAACACCTTTCTCAGTTGCCTTGCCAATTAACGTCACTGGGGTCAGTCGCTTCACCCAACGAGTCCGTTTCTGGCCTGGCAGCGAGAACGCATCTTCGCAGATGGCATGAACCAGTTTGACTGGATCGACAGGCTTTCGTGTTCTGAAGAACATCACTGTAATACAATTAGATTTAGTGCCACAGTTGACATATTGATCGTCTTGTGATGTACATACCACATTGAATATCAAGTCGCACATGCTCAAAAAGCTTCCGTGAGGCCGGCTTCTTCATCCCATGCAGTTCCCTCTTGATTTCAGCCTCGATGTCTTCATCCCCTGACGGGCTACCTTCTTCATGTTCTTCATGAGATCGGCCCTGGCCTTGCCCTTCGGCGCCATAAAGTCGTTCAATATACTTCTCTCGTTGTTAGCCCTCAACCAGATACAGTGCTAGCTGGATTCTAGATTGATGGTGAACCATTTAGGGGGAAGAGCAGACCTCATCGAATAGACTTTTCAATTCCATAACACATTTGCCTTCCCTGCCTAATTCGCACGTTGCCCAAACACCAGCATCTCCTGGCGATAAGCCTACATTGCCCTCAGGCTTCTGCGGATTGGAATTGGACTGGGCATGTCGATTGACGCGCCATTTCTTGCCTCCACCCTGTAGAGCGCTGATCAATAATTATATCCCGCTGATTTTGCAAGAGCGTTTCGGTTCAGCCCAACCCCGATAAGAGCGAAAATGGGAAAAAGCAATCTAACCTACCCGAGACCTTTTGGCTTGCGTATTGATATGCTCATCTGAGGCTTTTCTCTTTCTTTCCTCTGCCATCATGCAATTTGCGTGACTTTCTGCTTTTTTTGACCAGTCTATTGGACGTGTCGTGCACGTTCCCTGCCTCTAGATTGTCGCAAAGTACGTAACACCACCTTGGCGCGAAGCGAGATATTATCGCCGAAGCTCTACTAGTAAAATACAGGTAGGTTTGCACAGTCAGAAGGTACGGTATTCAAGAATCCTATCATGCGAGTTGACTGCTTTTTGGGAATGAAGCTTATAACTTGATTACGATAAATTTGAGTTAATAAATTTAAGAGTAGATTCGTTGATTTGCCATAAGCTCGATAAGTAAGAATAGCAATTTTGTACAGTCGTGAAAGGAGATGATTGTATGGGGTCATAAAGCGCTACCTATTGAAGAAAAAAAAATCCCCGCCTAGGACAAAAAAGAGAAAGGAGAAAAGGAGACTGGAAGAAATTTTCTACTGCTTCGCGTTGTTCTTAGCAGCAACCTCGCAAGTGATGGCCAGAGACTTGGGCGCATCCATCTTAGGCATGTAAAGCTCAACAAACTGCACAATTTAGTTAGCTACCAGGACTGGATTGAATGGGCGATTTGAAAGGGAATAAAAGGATCATCCATACCTGAATGTAAGGAGCAGAAGAGAACTCCTTGTCAGCGAAGAGATCGAGCAGCTGCTGCTTGGTCTTGACGGTGAAGGTCTTAGACTTCTTTGGATCGGCACCAAAGACGTTAAGCAGCTCTTTGTTCTTCCACTCCTGAATGTCATTGTATTCAGCATCCTCTCCGTGGATGAATCGCTCAATAGTGTAACCATCGTTGCAAATGCAGAAGATGATAGGCTTCAAGTTCCGGCGGATCATGGTGCTCACTTCCTGAGCACCGAGCTGGAAAGAGCCATCACCGACGAATAAGATAGTACGGTTGTCACCCAACTCTTTAGCAGCAAGGGCAGCACCCTGGCAGGCACCAACGGACCAGCCAATGCTACCCCACAAGACTTGGCTGGCTGCGACGACGCCCTTGGGGAAACGAGTTTCCCAGATACCGAAGTTGGCAGTACCAGTCTCAGTGAGGACAACGTCGTGCGGTTGCAGCCACTGGCCAACAGTGGGCCACAGCCAGGCCTGAGTAATCTCGCCGTTGAGGTCTCCCTGGTCGACGGCGGCGACCTTGTTTGAAAAAGCGGGGGTTGGGCTAACATTGAGCTTGCCCATGCGCTCAGTGACCTTCTTCAGGACGCCGTTCATCCGGATTCCAGGGTATTCAGACCATCTCACCCGAACGTAGTTGCTGTGGAAGTCAATGGTCTGAAGCTGGCTAATTTGGTAGGTGAAACCGGTGGTGTTGAAGTCGGACTTGATAGCACCAATGCTCAAAACAAGGTCAGAGGACTCGACAATCTCACGGACGTTCTCATTAGAGCCGTCACCAGCGTAGACACCGCCGTAGTTGGGGAGGGTCTCGTCAACCGCGCCCTTGCCCATGGGGGCACAGAAAGTGGGAAGACCAGACTTCCTGACGAATTCATTCGTCTCGGCAACCGCCTGCAATTCCGTCAGCATTAACTTATTTCTCCAGGTCGCTTGTCCGGCATGCTTACTCTGTGGCGAATGGCGCAAGCATCAACGAGAATGACAGGGTTCTTGGCAGCGTGCAGATACTTGAGAACAACATCGACAACGTACTCCTCCTTCTCCAGATCGTTGGCAGGGTAAGAAAAGTCAATGGGAGTCTTCAGGCGTTCACCCTCAACCTTTTTGCTGGAAAGGTCGGAGGGAACGGTGATGTAGACAGGTCGGCTCTGGAGCATCATTTCGCGCAGCACATTGTCAACCTGCTGAGCAGCATCGTGGGGCTCAAAAAGGTTGGCCACGGCACAAGAGATCTGCTTGCTCATGTTGGCGAAGACATTGAAATCGCCGTTGCCGAGGGTGTGGTGGAGGAGCATGTTGTTACGGATGGAACGAGTCGAGGGGGTGCCGACAATGTGGGCCACAGGCACGAACTCGGAGTAGCAGCCAGCCAATGCATTAACGGCGGACAGCTCACCAACACCGAAGGTCGTGACAACACAGCCAGCACCCTTCACACGGGCGTAGCCGTCGGCGGCGTAACCTGAATGCAGTTCGTCAGAACCAAAGCAATTAAGGCCAGAAGCTTCCAATGAAGCTTATGTCAAAGTCAGGAACATACCAGCATTGAGCTCGTTAACATTTCCAGCCCAGGTGAGGCCAACCTTGGGAACATAGTCGAGAGTGACCAGGTTGTAGTCACCGGGAAGTCCGTGAATAGACTGGATGCCCAGCTGCTTGATACGAGTGAAAAGGTACTCGGCGAAGTCAATGGGCTCCTTGAGGTTGGCAAGAGGAATGTCAGTCGCCATGATGACCAACAAAAGCAAATGGAGAAATGAGAGGTAGGATCGATTAGATGATTTGATGAATGAATGATAATGATGAGATGAGAGGCGGGGGTCAGAGGGAACAAGAGGGGAATTTATTTCAAAACAGACGTAGGGACCAAATGTTCCGCGGCCATGAGCACCAATGACCTAGCGGGTCTGCCCATGGCCGGATGTCGCAGAGGTGGTCCGATGGACAGGAATCAGGCTACATTAACGGAGCAGGTAAAGCACCAGAGCGGTCTTCTGGCGGACTGGAGCGCGCGGATTCGGCATTAGGCGAGGCGGTTAACTTCCCTTCAGGGCGATTCATGACCGCAGGAGGTATTTCGGGCCTAATCCCGGCACGCTCTACCCAGACGAGACACCATGAACTGAGGACAAAGCTACAGTGGGGGGCTTACTACAGGGCGAAGATCGACAACGCCCTTGGGCCGTGGTCGAGAAGTCTTACTGGATCCCCGTCGAGAACGTGGAACGTGGGTCACCGCCACGATCAACGCTTACAGACTACGAGTGCATGTATCCAGACAGGATAGTACAATGGTCCCTCCTTGTCTCCTTTTCGACAGCTCTCTCAACGAGTGAAAGTGGCGAGTGACGTAAGTCCACGCATTGGGGTCTTGAGATATGACCTTTCTTTTCCTCCTCCCAGGTACATTCACATGGCTGGGGCATGCCTGTACCTGAGGCATCTCTGCAGCAATTGTAGCATATTTTTAACGTTCTAAAGCTATGGGTCACTTCAGGCCCTAAGATCGGGCTGGATGATTTCTCTTAGATTTGTTGTTGCTTCTCACAAGTAGCAACACGCACTAAATTCGACCTACCAGTCATAGTTACGGTGGAGAGTTGGGCCTTGCATAATCTTCAGCATTTCCCTATCAATGCATTTCCTTTTTCTTCTCCTTTTCGTGTTATTCATTTTTTCTCTCATACTAGAATATTTTTCTTTTCCGTGCTAGTTTCCTGCAGCCAACGAAGTGCCCGAGATTTTCTCTTCAATGGTTGCCTCATCGACCACGAGAGAATCTCATGTTGCCTGGAAATATCGAGCGAGACTTGCGGCGAGTTGCCGGTAGGAATCGGGTCTGGTTGTCTTCTAGATCATCTAGTGTTCGTGTCCCAGCGCAGCAACGAAATGCAGTCGGAGACGCCGGAATTTGTAGTGCCGCCAAATTAGGCAAAAGTCGGAACAAACCTGTCTCGTCCACCCCAGCACGGGAGAACTTTAGCTGTATTGGACCTTACATAATCTTCCGATTATCCGCAAGCCTCACCCACCTGCGCGCGCAAGTAGTCTTGGCGCCAACCGGATATGCGCTCATTTTGGACAGCATCGATTAATGCACCGATCTTAGAATTTGACAGCTAAGCAAGCATTACCGGCGGCATGGCTGTCAGGGCAAGAAAGTGTAGAACATTAATTTGTTATGTACTCCGTGATGAGAGTACGTAGTCAGACAGAAAGGAAAGCTTGCTGCTGAGCCAATGAACTGAAATTCCAATCTGACGGATACAAACAAATCATCCTCGCCCGTTCCATGAAATAACATACCGTATAGATTAAGTTGTCTTTCAGCCCCCTCTGGCCCCACAACGACGAAAGAATTATGCTTCCCAAGCAATAAAATATTACTTGAACTCTACCATTGACTATCGCCGATAAGCTTCGAGCAGGATCCAAGGAATCAGTAGTGCCCTACAGGCCTCACGCATGTTTTCATGCGCGTGCCTGCCAAATCTCTGGTAGATGCTCACAAAAACAATCGCATTCGAGGAAAATTGCCGTACAGCATTCACTCTTCATCCGCTTCTGTCGTCATGTTATGGATGGGACTAGATCAATACGGAGACGATCGGAGTAAGAGGTCAGAAGCTGCTCTGCCTGGCCGGCTTGGAAGCCTATCAAAACAGCGCTGCTCCTGTAGCCTCCGTACTTCAGAATTGGTACTGGTACCTTTGGAACGCGACTGAGGCGGCCTGGCGATGCTTTGAATCGCCTATTTTCTTAGCAATGGTACCTTTATGAAAGTAGCGATACGACCTCCTCAGGCTCGTGTACGGCGTGCTACCTGGCTACAGAGGCCTAGCATCACTGCACAACATGCCAAAGATACCCATCTGGTTTATTCAGAGCTTCAGTGTATTTCCATACACTCAGTTTCTCAGCTCTAATCATTTTCGCATTTGGTACTCCCTTTATCACAGGTACGTATAAGCAATTTTATGATATTGTGAATGCTCATATAGAGCAATCATTGATCTTCTAGTCGCAGTCTCATCTCCTCTCGCTCCTCGTCAGTCCCGCAGACGCCTTGCCCTTTGTCTGTTTGATGCTTCACGCTTTCTGCAATTTCTACACCTTGACTTGAGATCGCGCATAGACGGCACTGTATATTCGAATCAAATATACACAAGATTTGTTGCGGACGAATACTACAGAGTTTTCCTATAGGTGGATGTCTGATCAGACATTAGACTCTTTGAAAGAGGCTGTTTGCTCGGCGCCAGGAACCTCTGCGTAAGGCATATCATAGCTTTGGCATAATGAGTATTCAATGGGCATTCAGCAATAATTGACCTCCAATGCGAGTCTGCGCTTTCCAACGGTCGCTTGGTTCGCTCTACGATGGTAAATCCCCATCGGTCGTCTTCCGCCAGGTCAGAAAATTCCGTGAGGACCACCTCTCCGGATCGACCCTTGTCAGAGCAGTCTTCTTGGGTTGTACCTGACGATTTAATATTGAATGACGTTCCTGGATATAACGTAGGAGCCTCAGCCTCAGCGCTTTTGATACCCTCGCATGGTACAGGCTCGCCCTATCCTTCCATATCAGCCTCCCATCACCAGTCAAATCAGAATCGCACCTCACCGGTACATCGAAATCGGGCCTATTCGTCTACTGATCCCTCAAAGCATCAATTTAATCTTTACAGACCCGGCAACAGAAACTCTGTTGGAGAGCAAATGCAGAATTCCTATCAGCCGAGCCAGCGGCATGCTTCCGCGTCACAGGCGCTTGACATGCAGCGACAACAATATGTGCCTGGCCCTCCGCCACTTGGCGTGTCAATTTCCGGTTCTCAAGCACATCTAATATCGCTTCCTCCACCTCCGCCGCGTCCGCCTCCAAATAATCCTCATGGCGTCGTGATTCCTCCCCCACCGGGTCCGCCGCCAGGCGGGTCATCCCATGGCCTTGTGACCGGCTGGCAATCAAATTGGCCAAGAGCCCAAAATTTCCCGCCGCCGCCACCGCCGCCACCTCCTCCGCCTATGCCGACGCAGGCTTTGCCATATAATCCTAGCCATCCCTATCATGGCCATCAAGTTACGCCGCTCTCCGTTCCTCCTCCGCCACCCCATCCAGAGTTACAGCCCATGACCTCTGCGACCTATATTCCTCATGGAGAGTCTTTTGGTCCTGGGGTCGGTATTCCTCCACTACAACCGCAAAACCGTACGCAGGCGGAACAGCAACCCCATTTTATCAGAGGTGACATTTCCGACTTGTCCACGAATTCCGAGACTGCCAGGGCGCCCTTTAACACCCGTCAAGTTGCTGATTCAGTACCTTCCGGCTCACACCAAGACGCAGGATTTGCGGAGACTGGTAGTAGGCTTTTACATGGTGTTCCACAAACCCCGCTATCGCGTCATCATCATATGGTCCTCCCGCTTCGTGATCAGCAGGATCTCCCCTCACCCGGTTCGCATACTGCGATGCTCTACAATCAGCAACATCAAAACTCCAATCCCAACTTGGCAAATACTCTGAACAACGACACCCAGCTTACCGGCGATGGCGTACACGAGTCACCGACGCCTAGCGACCCAGCTCCGAATTGGTCCCTAGAGCGAGTGTTACGATGGCTGAGTTCCAATAGTTTCTCCAAAGACTGGCAGGAGACATTTAAAGAACTGAATGTTCATGGCTCTGATTTCCTCGAGCTGGGCCGAGGCCATAACGGAAGAGGAAATTTTGGTATGATGCATCAACTCATCTATCCACAATTAGCGAAGGAATGTAGCAAGAGTGGTACAGGTTGGGATCAAGCAAGGGAAAGGGAAGAGGGCAAGAGAATGAGGCGACTTATACGCAGGATAGCGGACACAGGCAGTACAGGCAGCTCCAGGATTGGTGCTCATAGACGAGATTCGTCACAAATGCTTCAAAGTGCGACCTCGACAGAGGGTGGGGTTGAGGGCTCTCCAAATTTAAGCCGCCAAGAAGTTTATGCCACTACCCCAACGACCGCCGGTGGGGATGATGAAAGCCCTGGTAGGCAGACGTTTATGCGACCACCTCCAATTCCAGGCCTGGGTCCCCGCCGATTTTCGAATCAAAGGAGCAGTGCAGTGCCCTCATTTCCTCAGGCGATCCCCCGGCCAAGCGGTAGCCCCCAGAGTGGCAGTCCTGGTCCAAATCAAGTCACTATGGCCTTCCCTTCCACGCTTAGTACATCTTCGCCTCACGGCCGTTTCGAGCATAATAAAAGTAACAGTGCAGATTCAATGGGAGGCATCAATATTCCTTCGACACCATTTGGCGCGGGAAATGCTCTGCGCACCGAGGGCTCTGGCGGCTCAGTGCCTGACATTAATAATAATGCCGCTCAGTATCAAGAACCGCGGAGGAAGGCTGAGGATGGCACTCGTCTTCAACAATTGGAAGTCTATACTCGACAATCAAGCAACGATGCTCCTTCAAGTGCTAGAGACCACGGAAGAGGCTTTTTAGGCAAGTTCAGAAAACGTGGGAAGAAGGAAGATGGCTTGCATCCTTCACCTGAAGACCAAGCTCTTGAATCTCCTACCAGTCCGATATATACCAAGCAAGCCCCACCAAGCTTACCCTACGCTAAGGCTGGGGTGAATATTAGTGACTCTTCATTGGAACGACCTTTGTCTCAAGTCATCATGAATGATCATGAGAGATTGATCGCCAATGGTGGACGTAACAGAGCAGTTATGCGAGGAGTCAATCCTAAGAAGTATGTTCTGGCTACGCCAGATGGTTGGAACTATCGGTTGGTCGATGTGACGGAATTCGACTCCGCGGACGTTCTTCGGAACCAAATCTGTCTCAATTTGGGAATCACCGCGAGTGACTACGCCCAGTTCTATTTGACGGAATTTGGGCAGTTAGATCACGAAGAGCCACTTTCTGATTCTATGCTTGTGCTATCTCGACGAACAAAAGCAGATGCAAATGCTGGATTGAGACTTTTGGTCCGGTCACATTCGCCATTTCCAGATAGTTCATCTGCTCCTAGCTCTACAGGCCTCGGCATTGGACTGCCGACCAAAGCGATACTTTCACCTCCAATTTCAACCTCCATATTACCAGAAAAGTCAGCGGAAGACCCATCTTCTAATCGTCATGCCTTCTTCCAGTCTAAATTCGCAAATAGCCAAACAAACGATTTGCGACCTGCTGGGTTGCAGCTTCATCGGAAGGAGGAAAAAGACAACCCCAGTAACTACAAATCGTCCCCTCATGCTGCTTCGCCAGATCTTTCGAGAGACCGCCCTCACCTCTCTGGCCCGCTCACTGAGGGTGGCAATTACCTTAGTGGAACCGATAGCACCGAAGCACAGAAGGCAGCATCACTGGAAGTGGCTGTCGAAGAGCATCGTCGAGAGAACGAAAGAAAGCAAAAGGCTTACCTACTAGCTAAACAGCAGCGTTTCAAGGATTCGCACGCTACTGACAGCTCTACTGGTTATAGCATACGGAGGGACGGGGTCATTGATTTTGACGTACCTCGCAACTCGCCTTTTGAAGACAAGAGGCAGGATGCCTGGGTCCCCCTCAGGAAGCCTCCTCCTGCCCCTTCTGAGTCAAACACCCTCATCAAGGCAAACTCCCTTAGTCGACGACCTGTGGATCGAACAAAATCGTTCCAGGTGATTTCGTCCACCGACGATACGCCCCAGAGGTCTGGCGCACCGCCTGGATTAGAGGCTGGCGAGCATACGCGACGCAAGCCAGTAGGAAGTTCGGCGTCGTTTGGGATCCACACATATTCTAGTGCTGGTGACACATCTCTTCAAGTGCGCAATCCAGTTCCAACATCAGAGCAATGGCATCCACGAGATGCTATCGAACCTCAAAGACAAGCCGAACATGCCAACTATATATCTCAACAGTCGCCTACGAATCCCGCCGCAGCGAAGTCTTTTCAGCTTGCAGACATGAGCTCACAGCCCAATCGTGTTCCAATGGTCGGCAATGTAGGAAACATCCCGTCGCGTGCCCCCTCTCTGGAATCTCGTGGAGCAAGGCCAGAATTCCTTGAGCCAGAGATCACATTTTCTAAATCGCCAGACATACCGCAGCAAAGCCCAGATGAGGATTCTGATGACGGGCTTTTCGCTATACCGCTATCAAAGAGGAAGGAAGGCTCCGGAAACGATGTCAATTCCTCTCTACCCCCTGAGCGGATCGATACTGACGCCACACGTAAAGATGAGCGTCCTACCTTAACGTTAAACACTAGACGTTCAAAGAAGGGCTTATCTGTCTCCTTCGCATCTCCTCAAGCTTCGGCAGTCAGTGCTAGTACTTCAGCCAGCCCCTTCGGAGCAGCTTCCCCGGCACCTCCCCAGGAAGATAGGACCAACCTGCCGACTAGAATCGATAGGCATCACCCGGAATCGGCAAATTCAAGCACTTGGTCCGCACAGTCTCCCGAAGAGATGACAAGACTTTTGCGTCGGGAGTCTTTCGCACGGGATGATCTATGGGCGAGCAGACCTCCTACAGAAGCCCTGATTGATCACTTGGATGACTTCTTCCCGAATCTAGACCTTGATCAGCCAGTTGTAGAAGAACAGGCCAACTCTCCGCCAACGTCACCAGTTCCGGCCTTAGACAAGGGCATTGAGTCAGACCTGCCTCTTGCAAAGCCTTTAACAAGCCAAAGTCATGCAAATCCAAGTGCACAAGGCCCATTTGGTATTACGGGTCCCAGGCATGCCGAGACCATTCGTGAACCCGCGCCATCCCAGACCAGTCAAAAAGAAATTTCGGCCCAAAGTATTGCTCAGCGTCAAATAAGAAATGCGGGCGGATTGGGACGAATGAAGTCGATTCGTGAGGTTGCCAAGGGTGCTCACGAAGCAAATCGCAAACGATACACTGCTCCATCGCAAAAGTCGGGTGACATCATTCGGCGAAAAAGCACGAAAATGTTTGGTGCCAATATTGTGCAGATTAAACCCACAAGGGGTAATCGAGTTGGAAAGGTAGAGGCACTTGCACACGATTCTCTCCCAAAGCGCCAACCGACTTTTAAGTGGTTCAAGGGTCAATTGATTGGTAAAGGAACATACGGTCGTGTTTATCTTGGAATGAATGCCACGACAGGGGAGTTCTTAGCCGTCAAACAGGTCGAAGTTAACAGCAAGGCAGCCGGACAGGACAAAGACCGCATCAAAGAAATGGTGGCTGCCCTTGACCAAGAAATTGACACGATGCAACACCTGGACCACGTAAACATCGTGCAGTATCTTGGATGTGAAAGAAAGGAATATTCTATTTCGATCTTCCTAGAATATATATCTGGTGGGTCAATTGGCAGCTGTCTTCGGAAACACGGGAAGTTCGAAGAAAGTGTGGTCAGGTCGCTCACACGACAGACCCTTGACGGACTCGCTTATTTACACAGAGAAGGAATTCTTCATCGAGACTTGAAAGCAGACAACATTCTTCTGGACATCGATGGTACTTGCAAAATCTCGGATTTCGGAATATCGAAGAAAACAGATAATATTTACGGAAATGACGTCACAAACTCCATGCAGGGCTCAGTATTCTGGATGGCTCCAGAAGTCATACGCTCACAAGGTCAGGGCTACTCTGCTAAGGTCGACATTTGGTCACTAGGCTGCGTCGTGTTGGAGATGTTCGCTGGTCGACGACCCTGGAGTAAGGAAGAAGCTATTGGAGCCATTTATAAACTAGGCAGTCTGAATCTTGCCCCTCCCATCCCAGAGGACGTTTCAGTCACAATCAGTCCCGAGTCTTTGGCCTTTATGTACGACTGCTTTACGATGTAAGTTCACATTCGTATTTACTATTCCGCGCCTGGATATCTCATCTAACACATGATAGCGACCCATCTGAACGGCCCACCGCAGAGACTTTACTTTCGCAGCATCCTTTCTGCAACCCAGATCTGCATTATGACTTTTTCACAACAGAGCTCTATGCAAAAATTCGCGGCGCATTTTGATATTGGTAATATGGAGCGATCTGTGTCTCTTGTAGTCATTTTGTTGGGAATACCTTTGCCCTTGGTCATCGCTTGTGTATAATGGTTTTGTCTTCTTCAATGCTTGTAACTTGGCCTAGATGCCAAAGAGTTTCTCGTCGCATAACCCGGGAAATTAATGCACCTTAGATACCATCCTCGCTGTTTGGGCGTTTCAGGGCTCTTTTCCTTCTTTTGTGAATTCTTTTGCCCCTTTTGGTTATCCATGCTGCCAATCTTCCCTGCACCATCTATGGTGGCACATTATAGCTGTTTTTGATAGTATCGTCGTCTTCTTATCTTTTCCAACAAGTCGTCTTCGAAGATGAAGAATTTCCTCATTTCATACGGAGTTGACTGTCTCAAAGCTCGCCGGAGGAAATCTTGAATCAATATGTTTTTCAGTATATCATGGCAAGGCCACAATGTGTGCATTTCTACTCATGAGCTCTAAATCGACAATGTATCGTTACCATCAGCAATTGGGTTAATATAGGTAATTAGTGTAGGCTTCACAATTATACCTTCGACAAGGGAATTTTCAGCATTTGCTTCTGTAAGTGGCAAAAATAACTACTTAAATACCGGAAATATGCCTGGAACTGTTGTTACTTCAACTCGAGTCTCCTGCAGAATGAAGCTCAATGTTGAGGTTGAAGCTCATTACGCTGTCAATTTAGGCTCTACTACACATTGGCGGTATATTACAGAAATTTACCGTGGAAATTTTTGATTTAAGCCCACTATTTCATCTGAATCTTATTGTATCGACCGGCTCAGGTTTTATCCGCACATTGGCAGTGACAAAATTCACTTTGCAAGGTAGACGAGACCAAGAGTGACTTTCATCTCCTCCCATACAAATCAAGCCACACACTACTGCACTACCTAGCCGACCCGCCCTTACCAACTCACTTGCATCCACACATCCTACTACGATCCATCTTTCCCACATCAATCATCTCACATTTTACCTTACGAATCTCGTCCGCAGTGCCGGTGAACGGAGCGCAAAAGGTCGCGCAAGATTATTTCTCGTATCGCTTTGTCAGGTTGATCTTCATAACCTCCCCAATATCGACGACCCTCCCCCAGCTCAGTCTAAATTAGAGGCGAAAACGACTCTCATAATACCCCCCATCATTCCACCGAGTCCTTTCGCAGAATCGAAATAATGGCCGGAGCGCTGGCCGATCAGCTCAATGCTACAAATCTTGGGTAAGAGCGTGCATAAACTAAGAAGTTTGAGCTCATCTGATTCTTACTCCGCTAGGGACGATACCTCGGACCTCAACTGGAAATCGAAAATGAATGTCCCAGCTAAAGATTCTCGGCCACAAACTGAGGTGATTCAGCACAGATTCTCTCCAATGAATCATGAAAAAGAGATGCTTACCTTGATTTAGGATGTCACTGCAACTAAGGGTTTGGATTTCGAGGATTTTGTAATCAAACGAGAGCTCCTTATGGGTGTCTTCGAGGCTGGATTTGAAAAGCCATCGCCAATTCAAGAAGAAACGATTCCGGTTGCTCTTACGGGGCGCGACATTCTTGCACGTGCCAAGAATGGCACCGGAAAAACTGCTGCCTTCGTCATTCCTACGTTGGAACGTATCAACCCTAAGAGCACGAAAACTCAAGCTCTGATCCTTGTACCCACGAGAGAGTTGGCATTGCAAACATCACAGGTTTGCAAAACGCTTGGAAAACATCTAGGAATTAACGTCATGGTCTCAACCGGCGGGACTGGTCTTAAAGATGACATTATCCGTTTGAATGAGGCGGTGCACATCATCGTTGGAACCCCTGGCAGAATACTTGATCTTGCCAGCAAAGGAGTTGCTGACCTAAGGGAATGTCCAACATTTGTTATGGATGAGGCGGACAAACTTCTTTCCCCAGAATTTACCCCTGTTATTGAACAACTTCTCGCGCTCGGTCCAAAAGACCCAAAGGATCGCCAAGTCATGCTTTTCAGCGCTACCTTTCCCCTCATCGTCAAAGACTTCAAGGTATGCCGATCACTCTTCTTCGTGGCCAGAATGGTACTCATGAACGCAGGATAAACACATGAACCAACCGTATGAGATCAATCTCATGGACGAGCTCACCCTCCGTGGTATAACACAATATTACGCGTTCGTGGAAGAGAAACAAAAAGTCCACTGCCTAAACACTCTCTTCTCCAAGCTGCAGATAAATCAGTCCATCATATTCTGCAATTCCACAAACCGTGTGGAGCTACTCGCTAAGAAGATTACTGAGTTGGGCTACTCCTGCTTCTACTCGCATGCCCGCATGCTACAACACAACCGTAACCGTGTATTCCATGACTTCAGAAATGGTGTTTGTCGGAACCTAGTGTGCTCGGACCTCCTCACGCGTGGTATCGATATTCAGGCTGTAAACGTGGTTATCAACTTTGACTTTCCGAAGAATGCCGAAACTTACCTACACCGAATTGGTCGGTCTGGACGATTTGGTCATCTTGGTTTGGCCATCAACCTTATCAATTGGGATGACCGCTTCAACCTGTACAAGATCGAACAGGAGCTTGGGACTGAGATCCAGCCGATCCCCCAGTCTATTGATAAGAAGCTCTATGTCTACGATTCTCCAGAGACCATACCCCGCCCTGTTTCAAATCCTACACCACAGCCTCATGTTCCGATGCTATTGCCCAATGGCACGTCGTCGAGTCATACTAGGCCAGGTGGCGCGCCTCACCGTCATTACGGCCAAGGCCGCCCTTATCATCCGGGTTCACAACAACGAGGTCCTCGCCACCACAAGCAGTATCAGGGTCAGCGTCGTGGCCCTCATGAGCACCCTCAGCAGGGTCGGAGCAGCGGGTACCCTCAAGCTTTTACCCAGTCTCCTGCTGCTCAAGCTCAATAGGCTCCTTGCTCCTATCTTGTTTCCCTGTTATTCTCAGAATTTTCTTGGCCAACATCACAAGTGAACACCAAAGTTCATCTTTCCTTGCCAAGTTACTCTAGAATCTGAAGGGCTATAGTCTCCAGTCTCGATTTGTTTCCACTTTTCCTGCTTGATTTTATCATTCTTTCTCAGCGTCAATTTCAAGATTTGCACATTAATCCTTCCATACCGGCGAGTTTTTCTTTATGCTGTACTATATTGTTTGTCAGTCAAAGGGCTGTGCATTAGCGGCTGGGTAATCAGCTCGAGTCCATTCTCCCTACTTTCCTTACTTCTATTTGATGTTGGTATGGATTGAGATAGCGTGGACGTTAACACGGAGTTCGGTTGATGAGCAGCTCTGTTGATCACGAATATGTTGAAAAGTTGCGCTTTTCTCCCTTCGAGAGGGGGAACTGTTTTGTGGATTTCTTTCTGATATCCTGGATTGTTAGGCTCGCTTTATTCGCATCCTGACGTCCTGTTGGTTATGGGGAGAGCTCAAGCCATCGAAGGAGTATGGTGTTCGCAACAATAGCTTCGGCATTCTGATGCAGCGCAATGGGTGTGCATTGTGTCCTTTTGCGGTGGAGATTGCTCCATTTGATAGAAGTACATTTCAGCAGGCGCAAGGTCTCGACTTTACTTCGACATGAGTCCATATGAAGTCCGTCGCCAGGACATACAATGACTGTGCGGCACGGTTGAAATATCTGATGCGGTTCGATTATCGTCATGGGTGGGATTCGGTGTCCAATACTGGGATAGCGCTTACCCCAGAACCTCTGACGATGTTTGATGGTAAATGAGCTGGGAGGCAAATGGAGAAACAAAAAATTACAAAAAAAAAATTTTTTTCAAGAGGCTCCGATGTGAGCTAATGGCGTGGTTCGAGCCAGAGGGTCTGGCGCTATGTAATTAGTTCCCTGAACAAGATTTTTATTCTCTTGATTGATTGTTTGGTTGCACATGTGTTGAAGAATACGTAGTAGGAAGAAGGTTATTTGCTTTACTGCCAGATCAGTTCATTCGTTCCTCTGATGAGGAGGGAGGAAATTAGTCTAGCAGCACAATTTGCCTATAAGCTAAGATCTCCTCAAAGTAGTACGGTCAGTGACGATACTGTATAGAAACGCAATTGTTATGCCTCGCTGTTATGATTAGCCTCTTCTAGTGTCCTTGGTAAGATCTGGCATGATATCGGGAATTATGCACAACACACATCTGTGCACAGCAGAACCGGGATAAGCAAATGACACGAAAATATGAGAAAAAGTGATTATATTATATTATATTATATAAAAGCCTTGATCATATAAAGTTTATATTTTATGCTTAGAATAGCTCCAATATTATTCAAGCAGTCTTTAATTTGCATTTTTGATAAAATTGAAATTAGTCAATGTAGAAAAAGTATCTCTTGACACAAGTCACGAACACAAGTCTGACAAGGCTATTAGAATTAATTGTTAACTGGATCTGAAATTTCTCCGCACCAGAACCGTTGTGTACGGAGTAACTAAATTAGAGGTTCTGGAGACGACTGGAGAGACGACTACTGCCTATCCCGATAAGGCTAATGCCGAGGTTAGGAGTTCGAGGCTGAGGTCACCGTGAGGTAAGCGACGAAGCTCTCAGGGTCTCCCGAGCCCGCATGGGTGCGGGGTGGTTGTAGAGACTTGCATGGATAGCAATGTGCGCTTGCGTTTAAAGCATCAAAGTTATGTAAAAATCGCCCCAATATTCGGCGCCAGATCGAAGATCATTGCTCCGCACCTAAAATAATCCATTTCTCACTTACAATTCTTCAAGGTCGCGCTGTAATTGGCTTACTATATCCAGAACGTTGCACAAGCCTCTCGTTTGACACGGGGACTGCGGAGCATTAACACTGTTTACTCATTCGCTAACATATATCCAATATTCGGTCATTCGAGATCCGGAGGTCATCTTTTCATATTTTGCATTTAATCCTCTTCATAATCTTAGTACTTCGCTTGGACACGATGGCTTGGATGTCCGGATCCACCTCGAATGCAGGCCTGGTCAAGAAACTAGCTTCCAATGGACTCATCTCTTCTGATAGGGTGCTACAAGCCATGACTTCTGTATGCTCTTTGACAGCGTGTTTTTATTTGTATCAAGGCACCTCTGACGTGGTTGAACTGCCAGGTTGATCGAGCTCATTATGCGCCATCAAGTCCTTATCAAGACTCTCCGCAACCTATTGGATTCAAAGCGACTATTTCAGCACCACATATGCATGCTTCAGCATGTGAATCTCTACTGCCTTTTCTAAACTCAGAGGCGCGAGTTCTTGATATTGGCTCTGGCTCTGGTTATTTGACACATGTTCTCGCAAATCTAACGGCACCAGATGGAGTGGTCATCGGAGTTGACCATATTCAAGGTCTGGTGGACCTGGCAAATAAGAATATGGGGAAAAGTCCGGAGGGAAAAAAGCTCCTAGAATCAAAAAGGGTGCAATTCATCAAGGCAGATGGCAGGTTGGGCTATCCGGAAGGGGGGCCATATGACGCGATTCACGTCGGGGCCGCGGCTGCATCGAAACACCAGGCTTTAATTGATCAGCTCAAGTCACCTGGGAGGTAAGTATTTTTAGACCATATGTATCTGGAGCTCAAAAATTCTTATTTCTCCCTGAAAAGACGAACGGGTGAGAAGCTAATTGAGACGCTCAGGCTCTTCGTTCCAGTTGAAGAGAATTATCTACAGCATATCTGGGTCATCGATAAGAAGGAGGACGGATCCGTCGAGAGTAAGAAGATGTACGGTGTTCAGTATGTACCCTTGACGGATGCACCTAGCGAATAAGCCAAGGAGCTTGTGCCAATGCGAGCTCTTCAGGGGTAGTTGTGCTTTGAAACGACATAATCCACCTGTCCTATGATATCATTGCGCTCTTCGAAGGGAAAAGCCCCAAAGTAAATGAAAAAGCGAAGTCGGGCTTGTTGCGAGGCGCTTCAAATTGAGAAGTAGGTATTATTATTACTATTATTATCAAATTAGTGCAATATAGGCATCAATAGCAATGCGATCACTCAATAAGTGCTACAATAAATTGAGCTGTCTTCACTGCGCCAACTTATTCGTAGAACTCTAGCGAGGCGTTGAGGGGCGAGGATATCGTCATGGTGGTCGCGTATCAGATGGGATAAGTACGCGTCCGCTCAAGAGACTTATCATCTGCCCATGCTTTTTAGATCGACTCTATTTATAAGTCTATGAATTCAAATCAACATACCAATCCGCCCTAAGAATCGAATCCCACATGGCAGATCCCACAAGATCCTCCCCAGACCCATCTACAATGGCTTCCCCGCCGTCGCGCGATGCATCACGCTCTTCACAAATCAAGGACGCTTCTCTTCGATTCAACCACGTCCCAAGTTCGTCGGGCACGAATCGCCAGAGCTTCAGTGAGAATCTCCGGGGAATTCCTCCATCTCCTCGCGCTCAACGACAACCGTCGCTCTCCCAGGCCGCTGTTCAAGAGCTCCTCAACCACCCTCCAGTGGCCAAGTCTGCCGACCCCGCCTTTGATGGAAGGGATTGGCGTACAATCAGGGTTGGAGAAATTGTGAAAGATGAGGAGGTTCACTTTGTAGAGCTCGATACCGGAGTGGAGCATGCAACGAAGGTGCAGTAATGCAATTTGTTGAATACTTGTGCACGGGGGCTTATAAACAGCGTAGATTCTTATCGAGTCAGGAAACACGGCGATTCTTGTGCGACAGGATCCGACTGAGCGCTCAGCAATTGGAACGTTTGACTATAGTGATTTGAACGCTTATTTACTGCTCGTGGTCGGGCTTGCTCACCCCGATGTGGAGTTTGGATCCTCGTTCCAAGAGCTTGCCAGAAAGGCTAGAGAAGGAAATAAAATCCCCCTCAAAGACGTCAAAGATTTGGGAAGAAAGGAACCATTTGTTACGCTCCCGCATACTTTGAGTTTGGTTCATGCTGTTGAGATATTCGGCAGCGGCGTGCATCGAATAATCATTGTTGAAGAAGACACCACGAACGTAGTAGGCATCCTCAGCCAATTGAGACTCTTGAGATTCCTTTGGGAGAATGGACGCAGTTTTCCTGCCATCGATCAGCTCTATGCGCAATACTTGAGAGATCTCGCTATTGGATCACAGCAGGTTATTACCATCAAGTGAGGACTGATCCTACCATTGAGTCGAGGTCCAAGAGGCATTGCTAATCGGCAATTGTTAGTGGGGATCAGCCGTTGACTGATGCACTAGAGCTTATGAATGATGAAGGCATAAGCTCACTCGCAGTCGTGGATAACCAGCTTAATGTTATTGGCAATATTTCGACTGTTGACGTCAAAGTACGTCCCAATCATAGGCTTTTGACGCTGTACTAACTAGGTCTTCTATCTAGCACTTGACAAAATCCAGCTCTTTACCCCTGCTTCGGTCTTCCTGCACTCACTTCATTTCAGTCATACTCTCCGACCGCGGACTCAATGAAGGCAAGGATTCTTTCCCGGTATTCTACGTAAATCCGTTCTCAACCCTCGCGCATACTGTTGCCAAACTCGTTGCCACAAAGTCCCACAGGTATAGTTATTCTAGGCCCGTCACCGGGAATTCGATTAGGGCGTCTCAATGACTGAACAACTCATTAGGATGTGGGTTGTCGATGCACCTTCACCGGCTTCATCCGGACCACCTACGCCAGCGTTCCAGCCTGCTGTTCTAGTACCGCCGTCCGGCGTATCTCTCCCGACCAGCTCGACAGCACCATCAGTTTCGGCCGCTGCCATGCCAGGAGCGCGCATGTCCGGACGCCTTTCAGGTGTAGTATCCATTACAGATATATTGAACCTTTACGCACGCGCAAGCGGACTCAATCCGAACGATCCGAACGAGACGCGAAAATCACGAAGGCGTAGTAGCAGTAGCTCTATGAGGGTCAGCCTCGACTCTGGAAGGAGTGCTAGCATTGACCTCTCTCGTCGGTGAGGAAGCTTTAGGGCCAAGTCACCACTCGTTATTCATTTTCATTTTCATTTTCATTTTCAGTTTTTTCCCTTTCTCCTAAAACCACAAGGAGACTGGAATGCGCAATCGCGAGGGTGGTTGTTGCCTCCAAAGCTAATTTGTTTTGCTAATCCCTCTTATATCGCTCAGCGCCCTTTATGTTTCCTGATCTTTCAGTTCATTTATTTCCCAAATGGCTATTGCCATAATTTTGTTGCAGTTCGTCTACCTACCTAAGCGGTTGGCAAGGTTTACTGGGTACGGTAAGCTTAGTCTACTCAGCAGCGCTTGCTCTCTCTCTTTTTCTGTGTCTTTGCACAGCATAAAATCAAAATGCGTCCTCAAAAGCAGACTTGTCGTGCAATTGGACTATTCCACGTGTTGCAACGAGTCCCATGAAGTAAAGCAGTGCGATCGTGCCGGTTAGTTCTAAGAATTTACCAATAATACTTTGCTGCAATCTTGACCGTATTGCAAATAAGCATTTTTGGTTCAAGCAGGAGGTTTATCAATTATACTAAAGAAAGACATTTACGCGGTCCGGTTGTTTACGGATACGAACTTGTTTTTCCATGTATATACCTTGTGATGTGTTCCAGGTCACGCCGTAAAGCCATCAGTATTCAACACCCTTGAACAATATTATGCTTACCAAGCGCCGTGTTACATTATATAAGCATCAACGACTGGTTAACAAACGAAGTACTTCGCTGCAATATAAACTGTGATAGGAGCAGAAACAAGGGATGCTACTTTTGACGCGTTGAGCAAAAAGCTTGGCAAAGGGTGGGCCGTTTCCTCGCCTTGCGACTGGGCCAGCATAATAAAGAGAGTCCCCCCTCGACGAGCTCCGTCGACGTAATTTGTAGCTGCCAGTCGTACGAATTGACCCCAAGGGCTGCCATCAAGCACGTTGTACTCCGTATCTTATCTTCTTGAAGGATTTGGGTTGGTCCCTTGTCTTCTCAGACAAGACATGCGTGCCGAGTTGGGATAACGACATTTTGTTATTCAAAAGTACGGGAGACTGCACGTGAGATGTAGCTTAATCAGATAGTTCTCTTTACAGGGAAATGGTCAGGCAGACCGTTGTACTCTGTCATCTGGTGGGCCGGGGGTTACAAGGCAAACAAGCAAGCATTGCTTGTTTTGGACAAATGCTCTCGCAGTCATGCTGTTCTGGAGATCGGAGTAAACCGCCATGAAGCAGGCCTTCTGCACATACAATGGGGACCCGTCCATGCGTCAGCTTACGAATGGTGCGGATCGAATCATTGTCCACAGAATGGCTGTAGCTGGCCTGTCATTTTATGACGTTGATTCTGTTGGAGAACAATTGCAAGATAAAGAGAGAGAAAAGACGAGTCACGTAAAAGATGCAAAGCACGGAATCTCCTCATCAGGGAGCCGAATATGGCCTGAGAAAAGTCGAACGTGCGCTTTGTGTCTCGAACCGGAAATTACCTGCATGGAATCACCTCCGTCATCTTCCCAACCATGCTCTCAGAGAGGTCGGCCCTCCACGAGTAACATGGCTGCACTGACGCTTGGAGGGGTGGGAAGGGAATATTCACGTCGGTGGTTGGGCCGACAATTTAACTTACGGTTTACGAAGAGCAGAAAGATGATCAGTCATCACCCTGTTAATATTCTGGTCAAGTTCTCGCTAACTTCTTCTTTCATCCTGCTTGGCTGGTTCCCAGCGACGGCGTCACAAACGCGGCTTGCAAAAGCCCGTTACTTGTACTAGTTAACCATCCTGGTCCCCAGCACGATGGCTTTGTCTCTCGCCAGCAGAACCGGTCCTGCTGGAGAGCTGTTCCGCTATTGATGGACACTGCTTCAGCCCTGGGAGGGTATGACGACGTACCATGTTGTTCTCGCCGTTGCATCATGAGCCTAAGCTCAATCCTACCTGGTCAGCTACGCCGCATGCTTCACCAAAGCAGTGAGGCGCATGGCTTATCACCGTGTCGCAAGGGACGCCCTGGCAAGACCAGACGTGCTCCCCACCTCTTCATTTCAAAAATTCTGCTCTGGGTAGGCACCGAGTTAGAGAAATGCTTTGAGTAATGCCGATTGAAGATAATTATATGCCAAATACAGGTAGAATTTGGCAACCTTCCGAGGCACACACAGACAGAGACTCCGTTCGCTCTCGTACGAATTACCGAGTTTATTTGTTTTCCGACACCCTTATATCCCACTGCTGACCGTCGTTGCCTGTCTCTTTGTAATTCTTGATTCCGGGGCCTCGACTTGTTCATATCTCTTTCGCCGGACTGCTTTCGCTGTTGAGCAAACCCTAGTGATGCCAATTCAACAACCATCGCCCCCTATAGAACCGGATGGTAATGCTCGAAAACGCGTGTGTAAAGCTTGTGACAGGTGCCGATTGAAGAAATCAAAAGTCTGAAACTCCCCATGATCAACGCATTCCTTGCACTGACATTTTCCCAAGTGCGACGGCGCAAGTCCATGTAGCCGCTGCCAGACAGATAATGCCATTTGTGTATTCGGCGAGCGGAGAAAATCTCACGACAAGGTTTATCCAAAAGGGTCGGTCAATTGCTCTCTTCCCGTTCTGGACGTTTGTTGACAGCCGTTCTCTTTCAGTTATGTCGAGATGCTGGAACGCCAACAGGCCCAGCTTGTAGCTGGGCTTCAAGAGCTCTATAAGCGCAGTCTCAGTGGTCAAGGCTGGTCGGGTGCTCCGTTGCGAGAATCAACCAACGGTCATCCTCTTACGCACGATATCCTCGAGCGGCTTGGAGCACTGAAACCAAACTCAAAGGACTTTGAGGAAGAATTTGAAGAGGATCTGCTTCTCCTGCAACGGCGACTTTTGGAGAACGGCGCTGGGCTGGATTTGCGAAGAAATTCCTCGGTCTCAGAGTCGGACAATTGTAGCTCGCCTTTTGCAGACATGATGTCCCCGGAAGCTGCTCTGCCCACTCCGTTCTCGACCACGTTCACCCCTCAACAACCTCTGCCTACGCCTCCGAACGATAGTCCTTTGAGTTCAGCATCCCGACCACGATCCCTGCCAAAACGACCAATGGAGTCTGAGAGTCCAAATCCAATGAAGATACGGCTGGAGTCGGGACCAGCACCCGGGCCAGCTTGGTTGCCATCGTCGACCGCAATGACTGAGGACAATATGGATTTCATTCGAAGATACGACAACAACACGGCAATACTTCCATCGACAACCCAGCTTGATCAGCATGTTGCGCCCACAATGGTTTCTAATCCTTGTCTGACGATGCTTGATTGGAATGATGATGAGGAATTCAGGGCCTTTTTAAATCCAAGCATAGTCTGATGATGCGTCTTTGGATGGGTTATTTGTCACGAATTTCCTTGCATACGGTCCAGAATTTGACGTGCCTGACTGGTTGCAAATTTGCGACCGGATTTGCTCATCGGTAGCACCTGACAATGGCGTGGGTCTTACAGTTCGGTTCAGATGGCGTTTGGTGTATCCTTTGAAGCTAGAAGGTCCATTGGTGTTTCATTCGAGCTACGAAGGTATATGCGGATTTTTTCTCATCTCGGCGAGAAACCAGAACGACGCTAATTAATTGTGCATCTCTCTTGAATTGAGACGAGGAGCAACTTCGGGACACATAAGCTCTTGAGAGAAGTTATATCATCCGCTTTTAGATGGGTAATCTAGAAAGTTACGCTAGTCTATCATTTGTTTTAATTGATCTCGAGGTTTATCCCTTTCCCATAATGACTTTTTTTTTTTTTTTTTTTTTATCTTGGCTCTGTTTGAGGTGCAAATTTTAAAGCTTGTTAAAGAAGCTCCATCGCCATGCGTCATCTATACAAATTTCCACATTGGGATTGGTTAGGCCTGGGTTGCGGGGATGTCAGGCAGATCGCGGGGTTCCCCGGGCCCGCATTAGACAACTATGGAACACAGTTAGGACAAGTCGGTTGTGGAACTCCGTTTCCAAGCATAGTTCAGAGGGCACTACGAAGGGCTCTTGTACCCTAGAGCATACACGTCACGCACCGCAAGGATCTCGCTGACCAGCTTCGAATATCAAGTGCTTTCTCCTCATTTGAAGGCGATTGAGTGTCTCTCGTTGCTATCCTACAATGACAGAATCCGCCTTTAGCTTTCTCCCCCAGGGAGCAATAATACAGGAATTTCGAGTTGCTGGACATAATATTGTCCTGGGGTTCCCCTCAGCTGAGACGTACAAGACAAATAATACACCATACTTTGGAGAAACTATTGGAAGAATAGCCAATCGAGTGTCCGGCGCGAAGCTCAAAAACCTGAATAACACAGAATACACCCTCCGTGCAAACAACGGGGCAAATAGCTTGCATGGTGGGGAAGAAGGCTGGGGCAAAAAGATCTTCGATGGCCCAACGCCCTTCCTGAAAGATGGAAAGGAGAGCGTGCGATTTAAATATACCAGTAAGGATGGGGAAGAAGGTTACCCTGGCACGGTCGACTTTTCTGTCTCGTACACTGGAAGCATAGAAAAGCACGGAGACATTGAAAAGACAGTATTGGAAATTGAATATGAGGCCCGACTATCCGACTCTGAAGAGCCAATTGAAGAGACTGCTATTAATGTGACAAATCACAGGTAAGACAATCTAGCAAATTATTTACCCATGTTCGTTTCAATCTGTTTATTGCACAATGTTGGACAATCTCCCATGGCTGAAATCAATTCAATAAGCTATTTTACACTTTCGGGCGCGGCTACTATCGATGGTACTGAAGCGGCCTTGGGCACAAATCTACATTTACCATTCAATTCCGAAGGGATTCCAACTGGATCTATCGAACCACATGCCCACGTCGAGGCTGGTAGACGGTTCGTTCTAGGGTCTACTAAACCGGTCTTTGATAACTGTTTTGTTCTGGATCGATCACCATCCACGTCTCCAATTGATTCTCGATCTCGAACGCTTCAGACTGCCGCTACATTCTATCACCCTTCAACCCAACTGCATCTTGAAATCCTGACGACGGAACCCGCCTTCCAATTCTACACGGGAGACTTTATCGACGTTCCAGCCGTTGGTGGCGCGCCAGCAAGAGGCCCTCGCTCGGGCTTTGCCATTGAGCCGGGGCGATTCGTCAACGCTATCAACTCGGGAGATTGGAGAAACTCTGTGATTCTCAAACGGGGACAAGTCTATGGAAGTCGCATTGTATACCAAAGTTGGAAAGGATAGACTGTACCGCACCGGGTACTCCCCCTTCCCCTTTTCCTGCTCTCTTCTGGTCTCGAGGCATCATAGAGCACAATAGATATGTCACGTCTCAATATATATTACATCATACAGTATGATTGAACAATTTCCACGTCTCCACCGTAGATATAACCTTGTAAATCTGCACCAACCCTAACCCGCAGGGCGTCTATTCTACAAAACAAAACAAGACTGTATTCCTATATGCCAAGTATTTTTCTGGGTCCATATCACACAGCTAACCCCCGTAGATGACTCTGTAACTCTATATCACTTTCAGTACGTCATCACTTTACTTCACGCTCCCCAGGATGCCCCCCTTACCTGCCATGCACCCCTCGGAGTTAAGGTTGGTATGCATGACCACACGCGGGCATGGTGCGAGGGTTGAGAGCCGCCATGATCCCTGTCTTTCTACCACGCCTGCAATCAAAAAAAGTTCGCGGTAAAAAGCTGGGACTGGACCCGAGTAAATATCTCCTGCTAAGTGCTAGCATACGGAATATACGCGGCGTACTTGAATTGAGCTCTTGTACATTCCCTGTGTATTGGCAGTTTCTCGATTCCTGCTTGGTTGTCCCGCTCCGGAGCACTTTCCCCCGCGAAGCAAGGTAAACAAGAAAATGCTCTGGTATCAGCTGAAAGGGTTCGTCACCTGGTGATCCAATAAAAGGTATTTAAAGCGGTCAGAGAGGGACTGCGATATGTTGAGAGCTCTGCACAGACACAATGGAGCAAGATATAATGGGAGAATAAGACGTTAAAGTTCAAAGGTGACGAGGCTGGCCATGGGTGATACAATGCAGTAAGTGGTTCTTTGACAGTAAATAGAGAAGTAGGATATTGCTATTTCTGTCTTCAGATGAATTTAATTCAAAAAGACAAAGGACAAGCGAATAGCCAGGGGACAGTGTTTGACTATAGTTTGTTTGAGCGCGTTGTGATTCATAAGGTATGTTTCAAGTATGTGCAAAGTATATACGTAGTAATACTCCGCGTGTACAGCTCATACTCACACGGGGCCAGTCTCGGATGTCCGAATGGCCTTTGCGCGCTGGAGGGAGAATTTTGAAATAAGAAGACAAAAAGGTGGGGGATGATGAGAGAAAAAGTCACATAAATGAGAGCGATAAGGCGCTTTCTTTAAATTATTTCCGCGGCCTTACGGAGGGTCGTTCATAATTAGAGCGGACACTTATACACCAGTCATTAACAGGGGAGCTTATTGATATAACGCGCCAGGACGCGCGCTTCTACTAAAAGTCACGGTAGACGCGGAGGAGTAAACAACGGCCTCTCGGACCAAGCTCCAAGGTGTTCTCAGAATATGTAGAAGAATCCTAGCGCCCTGAAATAATAGCGCGCTTTTTGGACGGCACTCTCCGTTTCCCTCGCATCCTATCGTATCGAAGTACGAAGTAGATTGAGAGAAATAAGTCCATTTGAAATAATTCGACAAGGGTTCTTGTGCGTTTTCATCAGATAATTGCTTTCGCAAAGCTCTTCGACGTCAACGGAGTACTAAGGGCCGTTACTTGATCTATATTCGATTTCACTGTTCATCTCAACCCGTTCCGCCGAAAAAAGAACACAGACTACATTTCCACCATGGCTTCGGAGTTCGGCGCCGTATCTCATCTGTTGCCCCCTTCGTATAAATCCATGGTTGCTTCATGGATCGAGGAAGATACACCGAGCTTTGATTACGGTGGATTCGTTGTGGGTGAAGCGCCTGGTGAGGCGAAGCTTTTGGGCAAAAGCGCGGTAGGTCTGACTTGTCGTAGAGACATCCGAGTCACCACAATGACATTGTGCTTGAACATTCGATACCACCAGTGTCGTTGACTCGTATTTATTATTGTTTTTTGACCATTTGACGGGCCTGCACATCATTACAAGCGGGACCGTGTGAATTTTCTTGCCTATTGGCTCTTGTGCCCTCTTGATTTATTTATGGTCCCGGATGATGGACAACATACAGCAAATCACTCTCTGTTAGGGAAAGATAAACGTCAGAAAAAGCAGCTGATGACTCTAATTGATGTAGGGTATCGTTGCCGGCGTTCCGTTCTTTGACGAGGTTTTCCGTCAACTTGACTGCAGGTTAGATTTGTTTGCCGTAGTTTGCTTTTCCCTTAGGTGCTGCTCTCTAGAGTCTTATTACTGACACTTCTTGTATCTTTTTTTAAAGCGTGGAATGGCATGTGCGAGAAGGAGAAGCGTTCGAACCGGTAAAGCATTGTGCTACTGTGCGTGGACCTGTTCGCAAGATCCTCTTGGGCGAGAGAGTAGCGCTGAACACTCTTGCGCGATGCTCTGGAATCGCGACACAGTATGAATCCCTTTACCCGTTTTTCCTTCCCTGCGTTGTCCTTTTGGTCAAATCCTTTCATAGTTGATCGGTGCTTCAACCTCCAATTCATATGCAACATCCGATTTTGCGATGCCTTCATCGTGATGTAAGGCTAAAGGAGTTTCGGCTATTGATACGGATTCACCTTTCGTTTTATATCTTTTTCAGTCAAACGTTTCTTCAAATATGGGAATCATTTTCAACTTTTTCTAATCGAATCTACTTAGATCGAATCGGCTTTTGCGCCTATTGCGCCATGCTGGGTATAAGAATGTCCTTGCTGGAACGAGAAAAACGACGCCGGGCTTTCGTCTAGTCGAAAAATACGGCATGTTGGTTGGTGGTTGTGATCCACACCGACATGATCTTAGTACTATGACTATGCTCAAAGATAATCACGTTTGGTCCAGCGGCTCCATTTCCACTGCTGTTAGAGCTGCCAAGGCTGCTGGCGGCTTTAGTATAAAGGTCGAGGTGGAATGTCAAAGCGAAGCCGAGGCTGATGAGGCCATAGAAGCGGGTGCTGATGTTGTCATGCTGGACAATTTTACCCCTGAAGGTATAAGGATTGCGGCCCGAAACTTGAAGACTCGATGGGGATTCGGAGGTCAAAGAAGCCCTCTGATTGAAGTATCGGGTGGCTTGACTGAGGGGAATGTCGAGCCATACGTGAGCGAGGACATTGATATTATCAGTACAAGCTCGATACACCAGGGAGTGAAGCATGTCGATTTTTCCCTCAAGATCGTGCATTAGAATTACATTTTTTTCACGATTTGTCTTTGAAGAATCCCTGCGCAGAAAGTAGAGGATATGAATCAGAAAAAAAAGTTTTGCTGAAATTGGCTCATCATGCAAATGTGAGAGTTGTCTGTCCACGTTCTGGGTCGTTGAGCCTATAACATTTATTTAGTGACTGGACCAAGAACCATCATAGATTGTACTCATACTTAATGATTTTCACATCTGCGGCAAGATTGACATTGCTCATTGATTGGGGTGTTATGAGAATGAATTGCCTGCTGACCGAACGCCTTGCAGCAGCGATCTATACCAAGGAAATGAGGGTCAGCCTGGCCTATAGCCGTTAATTACCGAAGTCAAGTATACATACCATCATTCCCATGCTGACGTCGCGGTTTACATTGTCCATAAAAACGTCACTATTACAGTCAATTTCTCAAGATCATGCCTTTCGGAAATAATGTAGATCACGTACAACTCATCGAGGCATCGGATTGGCGACCCCATTGCTTCCCATAGCGACAGAAGCAAGCAGATGGTCGAGAATGATTTCTCTCCGCCCGACAAAGTCTTAGTTTGACGACCTTTGCCCGTCTTTGTTTCATCTGGCTCGACCTGAGAAGAAAAGGAATAAGTATTTTTCTCACTAAAAATGCGGCTGATCGATCGAAGAGATGTCCATACATGAAGATCCAATACATGATTTGTATGATCTGTTTTTAAAGACCCGCGGAAGCTGCGTTCGCTAAGAAGATAAGTAAATGTGGCTCTAGCTCTGGAAGAGATGAATCGACGGAATTTCTTCCAACGCTCTTGGCGATCGCCTAGGGCGTATTTGAGTATCTGCAGAGAGATCAGCGAGGAGGTTTAAAGTATGAAGGACGAAATGACACGGTCTTACCTGAATTAACTCTTCCAAATCATCGACTTGGACCTCAGCCCTCTTGTAAACCTCGGAGGCAGTCGCCGCTCTTTCAGCGATGTCTTCTCTTGACCCGCCCATTCTAACCAGCTGTTAGTCGCGATGAAATGGCAGCATTACAGAGATCATGTTCCTTACTCCTTGGAAAACCTTGCCAGATCCGCTGATAGTTTTGCAAGCTTTTTGTCGATACTGTCTGGTGTCTCCCCAGCATCAATGGGTACACGGTCAGAAACTCTGCTTGCCTGAGAGATGAAATGCTGAACTGTATCTGCTTGACCTTTTAGCCGGCTCTCGGCGCGATTCTTTTCCGACTTCGCATCCTCTATCCGGTCAAATGATGCATTACACTCTTCTAGATTTGTTTGCCGAGCATCGCCCAGACGCTGGGATTTGGTTTCCGCTTTCCTGACTACTGCTTCCCCGTTCACGATGCCCTCGTCCATGACGTCAAGCTGGTCTTGCAACTGCTTCGACCTTTGGTTTAGTCTATCTTTAGTGTTTATTGCGTCCTCATAAGAGTTCTCCAAAAGGGCCTTGTTATCTTGCTCGTCCTGCAGATTTGTCTTGAGAGCCTCCAATCTTCCATCCTCCACGTTTTCTTTGTCGAGTTCATCCTGAAGGCTTTCAAGATGTTCTTCAGCTCGTTGGACGTCTAATTGTAAATCCCTCTGGCGCCTTTTGTGTCGAACAATTTCTTGGTCACGTCTTCGAACGCCCTCTTCCAACTCCCGACGACGAGCCTCGAGATCATTCAATTCGCGTTTCAGTTGGGTCAAGGTCTCTTTCTGGTAGCTTTGAGAATTGTTAGCAAACAAGTCTAGTAGAGAAGGCATGGAGAGTAGCTAACTTGATTTGGGATTCGATATCAGTCTTCATCCTGGGCTTTCCTGGCCTTGGTTCTATTGGGCTAGAATTAGGTTCTCCACTTCGGCCAAACGCAAATCGTAAACCCCATCCTCGCCGGTTCTCTTGCAAACAGAAGCATTGTTTAACGTTTCGTGGTCGAGAACCGTCGTACATCACTCGGACGGCTTCTTCGCGATCTTCAATGAGCAAGGTTTGCTCGATTCCCTGGTTTATGATCAATTGACTGCGAACAAGCTGATCTTGAATCTATATTGGACGTCAGCTGATGACTCATGGGAGCTTAGAGTTGAGATATCTACCTCGAGAACTCTTAACGTTGTGTCAAAATCTGGATCTGGTTCGTGTGCTGACGTATCAATTGGTTGCTTATTACCTATCAGAATGGGGCAGACACTTTGTGTTTGTGAGTAATGTACTTTGGCAAAGACCAGACAAGTTACGAACCAATTGACTCTTCTCATCAGCTGGGATAGGATAGTCTGATCCTGTTTGCTCGTGACAATATAACTGTTTAATGTCCCGCCAAATGACCTTTCGAGGGCGTTGGACCAAATAGGCTTCAATAAACGAACGTAATTTCCGACCGGCCCAATAGGCTTCTCTTTAAATCCACTCTCATTTTCGATACTGCGAAGTAATAGCTGGGTGTTCTCGTGGAACGCGCCATAGCGCTGACCACGATCTCGTAGAAGACTTTGCAGGAGGGTTTCGCCTTGTTGAATCTCAGCCCTCTTAGTCTGCAAAGGTACTTTGATAGCTTCTGCGTCATCTCTCTCTTTTCGAAGAAGCCTTTCTAGCTCTGGCAAACGATCGATATGTTGGTCGAATGTAGCTCTCGCATCTGTCGCTCGCTTTTGGGCTTCCTCGATTTCGAGTAGTTTTCTGCTGTGGCTGCCGCCATTGATGTCCTCCAACTTCTGATATTCGGCGCTGATCTCTGCCTGGGCTTTCGTGATCGTCGCTTCTGCAGTTTTGAGGTGGTCCCTGATGGACCTTTGGTCTGTCTTTGATGCGCGTGTTAATTTGGGTCTTTACAGGAGACAATACACAAATACACCAACCTGAACGGACAACAGATCAGCCTTGTTCTTCTCGAATTCTGCCTTTTTTTGTTTCCTTTCTTCTTGTAGAGGGAGGAGAGAATCCTTGGCGAGCTTGACCTCGTCTTTAGAGTCCTCCCACTTTCGATGCGCATCTTGTAAGTCGTTCTCCTTTCGACTGGCGCGAGCTTGATATTCTTCGATTGCCTGGTTTGCCTCATCCAATTTTCTCTGGAATCCTTCAAGAGCCTAAAACGGTCAGTAATTGAATGTTGCTTTAAAAACATTAAAGCTAACCTTTTCTTGCTGCTCAACTTGCGCCCACGCCATTTGTCTGCTGAGATTTCGTATCTTCTGCCGCACAGAGTCATGTTTGTCTGATAAGGCTAGTCTGTCTCGGGCTCGATCTGCATCTTTCTTCAACGCACTTAGATCATCTTTCTTGTTGTTGAGCGTGGTCTCAACTCCTTCTATTGTTTCAGCCAGCAACTGGTAGTCATGATCGAGATCTTCGAGGTGCACACCCTTCACAAAAAATTTATATTTCTCGCTTGGAGAGGAGCTGTTCAGAAATTGGCGCGCCATATCCTGAGACAATACATTCATTGGGTTATCGATTTGGAGGCAGAAATGATCGCAAATTTCTTCGAGGTCGGACTTCTTGGTGGAAATGATACGCCCAGAGGCGCTTTTCAACTTGAAGCCGCTGGCGCCAGACTTGGAAAAATGGCGTTCCACAATAATAGAATCGCCGTAGATGTCCTTTTGGTAAGAACCTTCTCCTCTGTTCTTCACACGCACGGCCAACGTCGCGGACCTGGCCTGGTTAATTTGGGCAATCGAGTTCAAGGCATGGATACATACTCTTGTCCCTCTTTGATGAAGCTCTTCAGACTCTGACCACGGTTCGTCGACGTAGCCTTTGCTCCGAGGCAGAGCGTGAGAGCAGTAAGCACTGCGCTCTTCCCACTCCCATTGTGCCCAATAATAAAATTTATTAAAGGTCCAAGGGAAACATGAAGTTTTGTGTGGCACATAAAATTTATACATGTAATTGCCTCCACGACTCCATTCTCTGCGGCCATGTTCTCCATGTGGAGTCGATTTCGTCGCTGGATTATTTGCGTTGCTCTTTGAGTATCTAAGTCCTCATCCTCAACGTCTTCGAAACCCTCACCCTTGTTCGCTTCAAAAGCCGGTCGGGTCCAAATACCGGATTCCGTATACGTGTCGGACATGCCATCGCGCTCGTACCCATCATCTGTATCGGCAGTTTTTGATTGACGGCGTTGTGGTTGAAGGGTCCTTGCCTTCTTATGCTATTCGCCGTCAGTAAAGACCCTGGGCTATAACGATGTTGAGAAGCCAAACCGAGTTCGACCCGTCGATAGAATGTGGACTATAGCCATCCTCTTCATATTCGACCGTCCGGCCACGCTTTTGAGAGGACATCTCTGAGCGTTTCCCAATGCCAAACTTGTGATGGATGAGTTTAAGTTTACGAGAGCCGGGAATACAATCAGGCGGCGCGTGCCCACGCGACGCGAATGTATCCCAAAGGTAACTAGCCGTTAGCGGTAACTTAATTATATATAACTAGGTAGACTCAATTGACAGCCGACCCGAGTTCTAATTCACAAAGCTACAAGCCGAATATCGTGGACCTCCGTCCAAAAATATCACTATACGATAGAATCTATTGTCAGTATTCAACGTTATCTATTGCCGACTACCTTACCTTTTCGTGGTTGCGTGGTGCGGTTTGACAGAGAAGAAAGCGGAGGCCTAGCGCAGTTTTAGAAATTCAATATCGAATAGATTTCATTGAGCTTCTCGGAGATGACAATATTTCTTTATTCATCGTCCACCATGGAGTACAAAGTATATAAATTGCCTTTATTTTGCAATTTGGGCTTGAATATTTAATAAATAGAATCCTGACAATTGAACAGTGAACCTTCCAAGCAACTTCGCAAGCAACTTCGCAAGCAACTTCACTTCGACAAGGAGCTCGAAGAGGGGCCCTTTTGGAAGCAAACCCATTGAATAGATCACGCACAAAAAAATATGCCTATGAAGATCGAGCAGCATTTGTAAGAAGTCCTATGGAATTTCTTGGCTCCGGACCATTAGGTACATATCACGAAAGCCCAGGAGTATAAGGAGAATGCATCGCCAGAAAACTGGACGCCCTCTTGCGCTCTCTTATCCTCCTCTTTCTGATGGACAAGTCTCGATCGTGTTGTTGATATTTATTTCAGGCCAATTATAAAGTAGACCACTAGAAGTCGCAAGAGGAGAGTGGTGTAGGTTGAAATTCTATTACCCAGGAACCAAGCATATGAGATACATGCGTCAATTTAAAAAGAAACGCCGTCAGAGCACTGCGTAAATTGGCTGAGGGAACATGGCGGACGAAAGGGGGTTCCGTCCCTGATCAAAAACAAACATATCACCATATACATTTCTCTATTGGCCACCAACATATAAAGACTTATTCCTTGTGATGTAGGGACGTATAATAGATTACAAGAAAAACGTATATTCGCCTCTTGCGAGAGTGCTTAGAATCACTCTTTCCAATCGACACCGACACCGAGCTTCCATTGCCCAAGATTTGGTGGTCTCCAAGTCAGAACGATTAGACTGTTGCGCAGAGCTGCTGCGTCTCCTATTCGCCCTTTCCGCGCAGAGCCACGTTGAATGGCCTAGAAAGATTTCAAGGCATATCTACAAGGTCGCGGCCAATATTCTAGAACTGTTTTTCGACAGATTCAAATGCTCAAATTTTGGGACAAACATGAAACATGTCAATGCTCTGTTTCTCCTTTCGGGTAGCCAAGTCCGTCCAGTGCCCGTTGCACTCTACATGTCAGATCTCCTGAATCTTCGAGCCCAACACTTATCCTGATCAATTCTTTTTCTACACCAAACTCCGCGGCCTTCCTAAAATTAGTGAAAAGGAAAATTATTTGGCACTTTGGGCTGAACTCACCCATTCAAGCTCAGTATAATGCGCTAACAAAGTATAGAGCATACTAAAAAATATTAGTCCAGAAACAGATGACAGAGATCGGACTCTTACCAAAGGGTAAAATTAGTTCCAAGACTAGGGCCCTTCGCTGTCTCAAGGCTGTCAAAGAACTTCATTGCATCGTCGCTCGAGTAGAAAGTGGCGGACAAGAGCCCACCAAAGCCGCCATTAGGTGTTCGGCAAGAGTCATAGAAGGGGCGCGTGGAACTATACTTTGGATAAAACACCTCTTTCACTTCTTTGCCATCAGAAACGTTGGATCTTAAAGATACATGTTTTGGTGACTTACCACGAGGGTCTGCTTTCAGCACATCGCATATAGCTTCTGCATTAACGTTTATTCTGTCGATTCGCGAGACGAAGTCTCGACTGTTCCTTTCCATAAAAATCGCATCTTCCGCCCAGTAAGTGTCTTCATACTCGGCTGCAAGCGTCGTCCTCAACGCGTCGTAATACTTGCTCCGGGGATTCAGAACACAACTGTTTCGTTAGCCCGAGGTCCAACACTTCTGAAAGGCACCTTACCTGCCGCCCATCACATTACTGTCTCCGCTGAAGATCTTTGTTAGGCTACTGACGACAATGTCAGCATAAGGCAGGACCTGCACATTCAGGAAATTTCCAATTGTCTCGTCCACTACTACAGCAAATTCGTATTTGTCCGCAAGCGACCTTATCCGTTGGAGATCTGGCGTTTTCAAAAGGGGATTTCCAGGAAATTCGCAAAAAAGTGCCAGGAACCTCTCCCCTGATTGTAAGCGAAGTTCAAGGTCATCGAGCTGCTCGGAAGAGCCATGACCGTAAAACAAGCAGCCCGGTCCCCATTTCTGAAGAATTTTGAGAGTATCGACATAAGGAAAGCTAAACGGTTTTGCAATTAGCCTGGATGGTACCCGCTTATAACCTTGAGGGCACTTACCCGAAGCAGATGCTTTTTAAGGGACCTCGGGTCTTTAAGAGTATCCTATGTGTGTTGAATATTGAACTCATTCCCGTGGGATAGAGATAAACATCGTCTTCGGAAAACCCGGAGCTTTGACGAATCCGCTCCTCGTCTCTCGTCATTGTCAATGCATCCGTCAAGTCGACATCAGCCGTTAATGAGCCGGCAATCCGTTTTCTTATTGCAAGTTTTGCATTTGCAACAAATGAAAGATCCATGTTCCTACCAAACCTCTCTTCTACAAATTGATCTGCCTCTTCTCCGCCATGACTTCCGTTCAATGCTGAGGTTGATGTGCTATTTGGCTGACGGGTGAATTTGGAGACGCATCTTTCAGTGGCGTCCCCTCTCTGGTAGCGCTTTGGACCTTTCGAGAGTCGCTGAGGCTCTCTCTCATGATCTTGAGCGACAGATTTCTCAACTAATATACCTTCTTCATAAAGTCCCATGCAAAATTCGGCTCGTCGGCTCGAGATTCCATCCCCAGTATGTGCCCAAAAGCTTTTGGTAACAGGGAAGTGCTCCTTGGGGAATATAACGGCGAAGATCTCTGGTGCAAGTGCGTGGAGAGTTGTGTCTCTGGAAGTTCGAGGATTCAAAACCAGCTCGACGATGCGGACCCTTTGCCCGTGCAAGTCGGCCGCATGAGTGTAAAGAAACTCTGCACATCGAAGCGCAGCTGCTCGGGAAGGGAACAAAGCAGCAGTTTCGGCAGGACTGGCATGACTACGGCATATAATTTCTGCGAACCGTTTAATAGAATTATGGATGAAAAATCTATTTGGTCAGGCCACAGGTCACACATTTGAAGGGCATGATTGCAAGCGCGCACCTCGGATATCCATTCTTCATTTTGTTTATGACCCAATCTTCGCCCTCCTCATAGCCTATGTTGGCCTTCCATGTTGGCAACGATACGCTGACAGCCTAGAACCAGTCACGGTGAGAAAGAGATCAAGCAATAAAGGTATGATTTCAATTCGTACATGAGCCGTATCTGGAGGAATGGATTGACCAAGCTCCAGATTCATGTTCAACCAGGTGCAAATTCTACGCGAGAGATTTCTAAGCTCAAGAGTGATCCGTCCGTGATCCTAAGCTTTCACCGCTCGTGTAGATTTATACATTGTACTGTAGTCATAACCTGCAACTTGATGATGTTTGCCGATCTCGGATCTCTTGATGTCGAATATTTTGATTAGATGAGATTAGATTTAATCTGTAGCCTATTAAAAACAGGCTCCGGGAAGGCGGGTGTGTTTAGGTAAGCATTCTGCTTTTCGGTCTAACGCAGTTTAACACTTCATTAGCTTCAAAATTTCCTGAAAATCAATGCGCGCGACTCTTGTGTTTATCTCGATTGACAAGTCAAAACCGTGGAAACATGGCATCGCATATTCCAAAGCGTAGGAAGTTGGATCATGCTTCTTCCAGTGAAAATGAGACGGATGAGGAAAGTTTTGTCGACGCTGCCAAGCAGATTCCTATCAAAACAGAAAGCATGCAACCGTCATCGCAAAAACACGCACCTCAAAACAAAAATCGTGAGCCCACGGATCCTGCGCCAGCATTCTCCGCAGAGGTGTACAAGAGCAATCTCTTCAAACTCCAAACCGATGAGCTCCTGGCAGAAGTACGACCAAACTTTGCCGAACGATTGGTGGCTGTCGACAATGCGCTCCGCAAAATTAAAGGCATCATTGAAGAGATACCTGACAGCGGTCCAATTACTGTAATTACACTTGAATTTTGGGCCTTTGTAGCGACATGACTGTTAACTAAGTGATCGATATAGTTTAGTGAGGCTACAACGAAATTCCAGAAACTTGACAAAATTCAAGTGCCTTTCCCTGAGCCGAAGCCCCAGTCCGATCCAAATTACAAATTGGAATATTCACGGCCGAGCGCGATAAACGTGGTTGGAAGCTACGTTCTAAAGACAATGGCAAAGAGCAATAGCATATTCACGGTCGATGTTGCTGTTGTCATGCCCTCGGTAATGGCCCTTTGGCTATGCGCTCTCTTTCCGCGTTTTTTCGCTGCCCCAACTAACAAAATGTAGGAGATATTCCAGGAAAAAGATTACCTCAATTATCGCTATTTTCATAAAAGGGCTTTCTATCTTGCTTGCCTGGCAAAAGGTCTTAATGAAGCAAAGGATTGTCGCTTCAGCCTTAAATTCGATCTGCTACATGGCAATCTTTTGCAGCCTGTTTTGATAGTTGAATCATTCGATGGCAAGTATCCAGGCTTTATGCGCCTTATTGTAGTTTTGATCTTGTGCTGACGTTCTTTAGGATCTGGAGATTATGATTTCTCCAAATCTAATGCCCGGATTCAAATCATTCCAACTATACCGGAGACTACTTTCAATAAGTCGAAGACTATGCCAGAAAAAAATTCCGTCCGTCCAAATAGAGATGCGGCTCAATCTAAAGCATCACTCATGGAACCAACGCCATACTATAATGCCACAATACGGGCTGACTGTTCATTGCTTTCTTATAATAAATTCCTCCATACAGCTTCTGCATTTGCAGAGTCATACCGAGATTGCTGCATCCTGGGGAAAATTTGGTTAAGGCAGCGTGGCTTTGGGGGCGGCGTCCATGACGGGGGCTTCGGTAGCTTTGAATGGGCTGCGTTAAGTGCGATGCTTCTGTTTGGAGGTGGTCCCCGGGGCCGTAACGTCCTCTCGCCAGGGTATAGCAGCTACCAGCTTTTCAAGGCAGTTCTCCAGTTTCTGGCAACAAGAGATCTTATTCTTCACCCCCTAGCATTCGAATCCGATCTCCAAGCAACAAAGTCAGACTCTCCAGTCATTTTCGACGGATCTAGAGGACTTAATATTCTCTTCAAAATGACCCCCTCGTCATATCAAAGAGTATGTCTCTAAAATATCTTGTAGATGTTTTGCTGACGGAAATAGCTCCGTTTCGAGTCACAGCTTTCGATTCAAATGTTAAATGACTCCTTATTTGACCACTTCGAATCAACTTTCATTTTGAGGAGTAACGAGGCGCTGCAGGCTTTTGACGTTGTTGCTAGGTATATGCTCTGTCAAATAATTATTTTCTCTTGAGATGTACTTACGATTCTACAGGATACCAATCACATGTCTTCCCGCCGGTACAACAAACTTGCCGAAGGAGATGAGTTCTGAGGTTCAAATCTTGGCCGCTAGGATTTTCAATGTATTGCGTCAGGGATTGGGTAACAGAGCGAGGCTGGTCTCAGTTTCCCCACCAGCGCTGGCTCCGTGGGCACTAAAATCCAAAAAGCCAAATTTCAGCGGACGTCTAGAGTTCGAAATTGGGCTTTTGCTAGACCCGTCCAACGCGAATCGGACAGTCGATCAAGGTCCACCTGCTGAGGAGAAGCAAGAAGCTGCATCCTTTCGCAAGTTTTGGGGCCCGAAAGCGGAGCTTCGACGCTTCCGGGATGGACGAATCATTGAAACTGTTATATGGTCAACAGCGGAAACAGGCACGTCCGTGATTCAACAAATTATATCCTGGATCCTTTCACGGCATTTCGGCGACGAGGTTGCCGCGCAAACAACATTGTTCGGTGATGATTTCAAGAAGCTCTACACCAAATTTGGCATGGGAAATCTGGATATTCTGCACAGTTTTCAGTCAATAGAATCGGCATTCGCAACGCTAGAGAGAGACGTTCGGGGGATCGAAGACCTTCCCCTTCACGTGCGGCAATTATCGGGCTCCGATGCCCAGCTCCGCTATACGTCCATAACTTTACCTTCCGCCGAGTCGCTGCACCTGCAAGACAGACCTGCAGATGTTGTTTTACAGTTCGAGGGCTCAGGGCGGTGGCCTGACGATCTCGTCGCCATGCAGCAGACAAAAATAGCCTTTCTTCTAAAAATAGGCGAGAGTCTTCAAGCTCTAGGTCGTGGGATCGTGGTTCGCCCCGGCCTTGAAAATGAGCTATATTCTAAGATGAACAGCGCATTCCTAGACATCTTTTACCCTAATCACTTCAAATTTCGCCTCCGGATCCACAACGATCGTGAGCAAGCTCTCCTGGAGAAGCAGGTCGTAGACCGCTCTCTTGACCCACGATCCCGCGACGAAGCTGTAAAAGCATTGTCTGCCTACAAACGAATGTTTGTCCATTCACCGCTCCATACTCAAACTTTCAAATCTCTTTGCACCAGATTCCCTTTGCTTGGGCCGACAATACGACTTGTAAAGCGATGGTTCGATGCGCATCTTCTATCCAATCATTTCTACCCGGAATTGATAGAGCTTATAGTCGCTCGGATCTTCCTACGGTCATACCCTTGGCAGCCGCCTTCCAGTTTGACAACCGGCTTTCTACGCACACTTGCCTTCATTGCGCGCTGGGATTGGCGCAGTGAGCCCTTGGTCGTAGATCTTAGCACTGAAAGCACTGAGATGACTGCTCAGGACATTGAAGCAATCAGCGCTAGGTTCTCTACATGGAGGAAACTTGATCCAGCAATGCATCGTGTCGCGTTGTTTGCAGCATCTAATTTGGATCTAGAGGGAATTGCGTGGTCAGAGTCACGCCCTTCCAAGGTAGCCGCGACGCGATTGACTGCCCTTGCTCGATCCGCGTGTCTTGCTGTCAAGAACGCCGGTATGCATCTTGACCCTGCGGTAAGTTCTGTTCCTGATTCTGATGTGGAAGGAATTTGTGGGCTTATAATTTGCAGACCGTCTTTTCAACTTCATTAGCCGATTATGATTTTGTAGTCCGTCTCAACCAACGGTTGCTCAAAAACTTCAGAACAAACAAAAAATCTTCTTCCGATTTCAAGAATATCCGAGTCCAATCGGCGGAGAATCTCGATCTGGTAGACTGCGATCCTGTGCGGTCGTTCCTCAACGAGCTTGAGGATTGCTATTCCAACAATATTGTTTTCTTCAATGATTCCAACACAAGTTCTTTCATCGCAGGGCTGTGGAGCCCATCTACAGCGCCAAGGCCCTGGAAGGTCGGAATGACATATTCTTCGCAACCGAGCTGCGAAAAGGATGAAACGCAGATTCAGGTCAACAAGTCTGGAATCTTGCACGAGATTGGACGACTAGGTGGCGAGCTAATATTGGATATCGAAGCCAGGCGCTGTTGATAACCAGAGCTTTTCAATCACGAAAATCGAATCTATTGAGATGCTATAATTAAACTCCAGCCTAAAATGAAATGCATGAACTTTTCCACAAAAGCATCCTTTCTAACGCGAGAGATGTATTAATATTCCGCTACACCGATTCACAACCCCCATGTGGAGATTACGATAATCACTGAAGTAATTTCTGCCCAGTTCTACCCTCTGCTCTCTGGGTAGAGAAGGCGCAGAATCTGTCCTTTATAGCAATGACCTCGTATGTTCCTTCCTCTGACGCGCGAATAACTTTCGTGTGTTCATATGAAATGTCATGCTTGGTCTCCAAAACCTGCGATTTCCTTCCCTTCACCGCATTTGTGCTTCGGGTATATCTGGAGGTAATAGTTTAGCTTTGGGCTTTAAGATCATTCAAAGGAGTGGTACTCACGTGAATTCAAACGGCGGCGTGCCCCAGAAGTCGAAGATAATCTCCGCTTCCCCACCTTCATGTATGTCGATCACACTCTCTTGACCCTTGGATATCTTGACACTTGGCATTCCATGAATCATCCTGGTAATTTGTGTCTTCGCCTTGCACTCATGCATTCCATCGGTGACGGCATAGATTGTAAAATTGCCGGGCTTTTCTGCAATGCGGCGGAATGTAGTCGAGCCAGATGTCGCTTTTCGATCCAGCCCTTCAAAATTGTAGAAGATTCCGAAAGGAGGTGTTCCCGAAAGGGTGTAGGAAATGCGTTCACCGACACAGAAGTCTGCTTGCGAGTCCAACGGAGAAATGGAAGGCACATCCGCCACTATAACCTGGACGTAGGGAGCATCCTGCTCCGTGATACGCTGGCAACCACGTGAGTCTCGCACCTTATGGACCGTAACGACGTGGTTCCCCAGCGCCAGCAAGCGGTGTGGTATTCTGAACTCGTAATGGTTGGAATTGATGTTCGCAATGTTGATGATCTCAGGCTTTGGATTACTATGATGTTTAATCCGGATTTCTGCGCTGAAAGGAGCAGCGCCGCTAAATGTTATCGGAATTATATCGTCGCCAAATTCTGCCTCCTTGCAGAATTTATACGTTTTGCCGGGGTTTGTAAACTTGGCAGACGGCTTCTCCAGAACCTTTTGTCGAACGATCAGAGGCTGATACTTTTTGGGGTCGTGGTCGTAGAGGTAGTCGCTGAGCTCATTGAATTTGTACTCATAAATGCCAGGCTGCATGGTTTCCATCCGGATAGAGGCTACACCAAGGCCCGCGGTAAAGTCTCGAGATGTCAAAGACGCTGGACCATGTTGGGGAGTCAATCTCTGATCATACTTTACATGATATGGCGGCGTCCCTGCAGATCAAGGTTAGCTAAATTCTTAGGCAGAATGCTGAAGTCAAGTAGTAACCCATACTCACCTTGCAAAAGGAGCTCTATGGCGTCGTCATCGCCTTCGCATACATCATTCTGGACATATATGTCTCCATGACGTGCAATGGCCGGAGTTTCTGTGACGTTAACTTGAGGGCGTGGTATCCAGGATACCTCAAAAAATCGAGCATTCGCATCCACAGATCCTGGACAAATAGCGTCTCTCACGTCAAGGATTTCGTACGTGCCCTGGTCCGTGATGTCAATGATATCATTGCTGTAGGAAAGGCTTTTCTCCCATATTTCAGGGGTGGCAGAGTCGGTATTCCTATATTTGATCGTCCATGGTGCCTCGCCGGCCAGCCGAATCGGAAGACCCATCCGTTTTCCTTCAAGCATCAGAGATCCGCGCTTCCCCTCTATCTGCCCGAAGGCGGCCTTCGGTCTCTGATGACGAACTTGAATCTTCGCTTCCTGAGCTAAGCCAATCTTGCAGCCAGATTTGTCGGTCACCGAAGTTAATGTAACCGAATAATCGCCCCCATCGGTCAGCTTGTCTGTTGTAATCACGAAATTATCGGTTTCTATTCCTTTGATCTTTTGCTTGCTTCTCTTTCCTCCATGGACAACTTCGTAATCAAGAGTCCATGGACTCTCGCCCTGCAGCCTGATCTCGAAAGAAGCCGGCTCATCAATGCATGCTTGTTTCCTGGTCGGACCACCGACAAAATGAGCAGAAGCTGGAGGTTTTACGTCTTGCTCTAACACCAAATTTTTTGATCTTAAAGACTGTCCCTTGTAGACTGCGTCGCTTATCTCACGGAAATGATAAGTGTAATGTCCAGCTTCTTGAGGTCGTAGTTCGATTTGTCCACGAAGACGATCGATCCTTTCAAATCTTACTTGTGTTTGCTTCTCGCCTGTACGTTGAATCTCGTAAAGTACAGTGAATGGCGGAGTTCCTATAAGGTCTAGATCTACCAAGAGACCTATAGGATTTCCTGCACATTTATCGTAAATGTTGTCCGAAGTAATCGACAAGTCAGGCTCTGGCGGATTGAGAAGCAGAAACGTCGTAGGTTCAAAGACCTCGCCGCTACAGTATTGACTTGAGATCGACCTTAAGCTATAGAGTCCGGGTGTCTCAATCTCAGAAAGTTGCTGGCCATTTTGTATCCGAACCTCGTGCATCGAAGCTTCTGGGGAATGCTCGCCATCGGGTTGCAATTTCTCTGCAGGGGTGAAGAGATAGGTAAAGGTAAAAGTCGACTCCGATGTGGTACTATAAGGGGACACGAGATGGATCGGGAAATGAGCTGATTCACCCTTTGCGACGCGAAGAGGATGTTGTTGGTCGCGACCATCCAAAGCTGCCTTTGGCTTTTCGTGCACACGAAACAATTGCTCGAGATGGGTTCCCTTGGTGGAAGATTCCCATTCTTCTCGTTCTTGAGTGTAATTTGCAATGTTTCCGCAAGCATCATGTACCTCTTCAATTGAATAGAGCCATTCACCACTCGTGCTTAGAGACTCATTCAGAGGAACGCTGATTCTATGAGGACGAGCCCAAGAAGCGTCGACATTATTGACAGGCACTAGTAAACCTCCTGTCCTCTGTCGAATGAGTGGCGACACGAGATTCTCAGGCTGGATGCTCTGGAACGAGAACCCTCGGTCTGCTTTGTTAACCGTTCGACTATACTTTATTTTCAGTGGAGGCGTTCCTTCAACCTCTAGCGAAAAGTCGGAGAGTTGCCCTTTACATTTGTCCAGTCCGGTAGGTCGCACAAAAGCTTTGGGACATGTCACGACGAGAGTGTCAGAGTGCCTTCTTTGCACTTCAAGCTTTGACTCGTCTACGACCTTTTGAAGCCGGTATAATCCTGTTTTCTTCACAGGAAAGTCGAGATATAAAGACCCGTGTTGATCGTTCTTCGCGCGTTTCTTCTCAGCCTGTCTCTTCATGGTCTTGAGCTGCCCTGCAGAAAGTTTTATTGTCTCGTTGTGCTGCGCGTCGAGGTCAAACCGTAGCAGTTCCATCAAAATGGGGGTTGTTTGGTTGATTCGAATCGGAAGGCTGACAGAGTTTCTACCAGAACCAAGACAGAAGGATTGCTGTTGAGGATTTAGGACGGCAGAACTTGAGAGACATAAGTCAGTATTAGCGATCATGACCAGCGCAGCCCTGACGTACCCTTCGGGTAATATGTGGATGATTTGTTTTCCCAAAATCAACGACGCATTATGAAGTATATCCGCAGGTTTCACCCTATTCTCAGAAATAGATAGCTCTCTATCGTAAAGTACTTTTACTCCAGCTGCAAGCCAAGTCTGGAGCGGGATCTGTAATATGTTAAACAAGCCTTTCCCGTAGGTGATATTTTCTCCGCAAGTAGAATGCCTACCGGTACACGAAACATTAATAAGCCATCGAGAAGTGCATGAAGAATGAACAAAACGGTAATCGTAGAGAATGACCACTCAAGCCATGGTATTCGTAGGCCAGGCAGTCCATAGAGGAAAGCGCCGTCTACGAGGACCCATTTCATAAATAGCCAAAGCGGGTCCGCCTCGTCCGTCATTAACTTCCAGAAGTCGTAGAGCCTCCAAGCTGTTATTCCGCCATATGCAGCCAGCACGTAGAGCCTTTGGGAAGGAGCATCTATTACTTCAAACGGTATCAGAGGAGGGTGCGCCTCCTCGCTCGATTTCAAGGTCTGCGGCATGACCGGCAACTTCGATGTGGTGCCACGAGAGCCCGAGTGGTCAGAGTCCCGCGAAGCTGTAGCTGGTTCATTTGGCTTGACACGGCCCCAGCTAGAGACGGGGGAAGTAGGATAGGCAGATCGCAAGCGCGGGGTGCCTTCCATTGGCGCAATTGGTAGGTATCGAATAATTAGACCATGAGTCTGGGCAGAGCATCAGCTGATAAATGCTTGGGAGTTATTCTCAGCCCACTCTGAGCAGAACGGAGTGCCACACTTTGTTTGATGTCTTCACGGTTGGGGGTTCGTTGCACGCAGAAATAAAGTCCGCTCTAGTCCGGGATGTGCTTTTGATGTTTTGGTTTCTAGCCACAACTTGGCTATGCCTAATATGGACAGATGGTTGGTTAAGGTACTCGCGGTCGACATCATCCGGCAGTGAGAGCTGGAAATGCCCACAGCATGTACTCCGTAACTGCTTGACGGGGTTTTCGAACGAATCAGGGCCTTCAGATCACATACCTTACCTGCCAGTAGCTCTACCTACAAAGGTACTGTCGGTCGTTAATGATCAGCAACTTTACTCAAGCAGGCCCTCCAACGCGACCTGTCAATTTCGCTGACCTAAGATACGGTAAGTAAGCAAAGCCCTGTCCGAGCGAGGGAGGGTCTTTCAATCCGGCGCGCAACTGGCCCTTCTCGCTTTTTTGGAAGCCTTATGGTCTCCTCGGTCGTAACAAAGTATGGTTTGAGCTCTTTCTACTCAATAAATAGATAAATACAATATTCAGGCACCGCTCTCCATTCACACTTCTTGTATCTGTGCAAAGCTTTTGATCTTTCGCAAGGCTAGCCCTGTTATAAGAAACCCCTTAAACAAAGTCATTCAATCAGCCTCAGATACTCTTGCAGTGTGATCTGCACATTCACAGCTGCATGTTCTCCAGTTCTTGTCATGTCCTCAAGTTGCTTTCTTTCCCCTTTAGCAGTCATTGCTTGGATGCTTGGATGCAAAATAATAACGTTCTCTCCGCCCGGTTACAAGTTTCCGGCTTCATTGCCTCTGTTGTGTGAAAATAACGACCAGCCTCCGTTTGATGAGGACGCGGCTCCTTTCCCCGAATTCTGTTGAAATCGTCCACAGTTGTCATGATGGCGACCATGCAAAAAAGAAAGGGTCATGCTGGGGTCAGTAATGACCGACACACAACATCCTGCAACGACCATCAAACGTCATTCTCAAAGCAGCCAACTTCACCCGCAACAGAAGAAGACAGGGATGACTGGAAAGGATTTTGTGAAATCGAATCGGACCCAGTAAGCACGGTCACTGTTTTCCGCTACAGTTAAGCTCTGTTCACACATATGATTTACCAGGCATTTTTCGATGTCATGCTCCGAAATTTCGGTGTAAAGGGTGTGAAAGTCTTAGAAGTGTTTGGGTTGGATGATGAACTTCTTTCCATGTTACCGTAGGTTCGGCGAAAGCAAAACTTTGTCGTTCAAACTTTCTCTATGGTATTCCAGATGCCAACATATTTTCAGACAGCCTGTATACGGTTTGATATTCCTCTTCAAATGGATCGAAGACGACCCAGAGAGACAAGAGCCTTCTTGTCCTGAAGGAGTGTGGTTTGCAAACCAAGTGGGCTTCCTCCGATACTTCCTGCAATCAACCATGGCTAATTTGTACAGACTGTGGGTAATGCTTGCGCATCTGTTGCCTTGCTCAACATCGTAAACAATGTTCCTGGAATAGAGCTCGGCGGACCCCTCGAGCAATTCAAAGCTTTTACAAAGGACTTCACGCCAGCCCTGCGCGGGGACCAGATTGGAAATTTCGAGTTTTTGAAGCGGATACATAATTCGTTCGCAAGGTATGGTATCAAATCGCTACTTCCATCATCATCGACATAATGGATCAGCATGATCCTTCCACCGTTGAAACTCACTCGGCATATTTGTCGCAAGTAGATCATTGACAAGTTTTCAGGAAAATGGATATGTTAAATTGCGACCTTGCTCTCAAAAACGAGACGCACTCCAAAAAGACGAAGGTCGGAAGGACCAAATACGACTATACTTCGGATGGAATCGACGTTAGTTATCACTTCATTGCATTCGTACCCATCGATGGCAATCTCTGGAAGCTCGACGGTCTGGAAAGACAGCCTCAAAATTTAGGTGAGAGTTAACGTCATTTGTCATAGCAATTCCTTTATTAACACTTGCAAGGGCGGTGCGATAGCAAAGACTGGCTATCTCTGGCAAAGCCGCATATTGAATCCCGCATTATGGGATACGAAGGGGAACAGATTGAATTCAGCCTCCTTGGTTTGGCCCGAGATCCTATGTGCAATCTGAGAGTCTCACTTGCTGAAAATGTAAAAGATTTGCAAGGGCTTCAACAACAGATGGATAAGCTGGAACCAGGGTGGAGAGAAGAGCGGTTCCAAAACTTGAAAACCGAAGGTCTTCTCTTGGGACCCGATATAGCTTACGGCTTGACACAAGACAACATTGACAGTGCCGAGCTCTCTGAGGAGATAAAGGGCTTGCTCCTCGAAGGAGACATGTCGTCCTTGGAAGAGACTTGGAGCTCCTTAGCACGAGGTCAGACTCACTTACGAGCAAATATCGTTGAAGAGGAGCAATCCACTCGGAGAGATGACGACCGTGCGGCGAACCGCCGACACGATTACGGTCCATTTGTTCAGAAGTGGATTCAAGTCCTGGCTAGGAAGGGTGTTCTGAGGGAACTCCTGGAATAGAAGCATCCGGGGCGTACTGCATGAAAGCATTGATCAGTGATCAATGCCTAGGCTCGTTTCTGTCATGAAATTTTTTAATGTCTATCTGCCCACGAGTCTGGCCTTCTTGGTAAAGCAGTCTCCCCGCTAATTTCACAAAGCTGTTCTCATTCACCCTAATCTAGCTCCCTGTATTTCAAGAGCGAAGAAGTCTAAAACATCCTTCGGTGCTCACCCGTGGTTGCCCCCCGTGTGCGTCGGCTAAGCAGCCTCAGGAGGATGATGTTTATGAGCAGGAGATGGATAGGTGGTCTGGTGGGTAGGTTTGGAGGGTAGGTTTGGAGGGTCCAAAGTAGTTATACCAATCTCCGGTGGGAGCCTCAAAGACAAAGCCAAACATCATGGCGCGTCATCTACAAAAGTATCTCTTTATGCACTTGAATTGACAGGTTTGTTGCACATCCCATAACGCTGTACTATGTTGTACTGGGGTATCTTCAAGGGAGGCGCTGTGGGTTGCTTTAATTGTCGTATTTATGTATATCCCGGAACATCATCTTAACCGAAACGGGAGATTTAGAAGCCTAACTTCAGTGGAAGTAACTAGCACCTACAGTCCAGATTGGCCCGTTGATTGATCCTATTTGTATAGCAATTTCTAGATTTCAATGCCATGTGCTGGAAACGGCTTGGTCTTGAAGCTCGGTCTCGTAAGGGATACTTTATTGTGGAATATTTGCCGCGTTTTCCTGAGCAAGTCGTGGTCGCTAGGTGCAAAACCAGAGGGTTTTTGTAGTTATACCAGTATGTACTCCGTAGCTGTGTATGTGAAGATACCTAAAATGAGCTTGATTCAGCGCAAGTTCTGGTCCAATCGATGTTTTAATTATTCCAAACGTAGCTCGGTATAATAATAAAATGAACGTAGCTATGAAAAATTCAAAATAACTAGATTACCCATTTCGACGAAAACAAACATCATGCTCCGAAAGAGTAATAGCTTCTTTTGGATCAAGCTATATATTAGAACAGAGAAGCGATTTTAGTCATGTCCTAATCATAACTATCGCAGTAGTTGCTAGAGCTGTGACTCGGTTCACTTCGAGCTTCACCGTGAAGTACAAGTGCCTGTGACAGAATCAGCCCTTCAAATAGGACAATGAAGGGAAACAAACAGCCTATTTTTCTGGCTGCGAATACTTTTGCGCGGTCACAGCCGCTACTAGGCATTCATCAAATATCGGTGATCAATCACGTCGCGTCCACTATCTATCGATTACCCTCGAAGCCACCGCTGTCCAGTACAATTGGTCAAACCTCCTAGCTGCAGCTTGCAGCGTTTATAATTTAAGGGAGGTATTTTTACTGGAACTCACACCTACTTCAAATTTTCTCCTTTGAGTCCAAAAGACCCATGGATTATCCGACACCGATGGCAAAGGTATCCGGTCGCCGTCCACAAAGCGATCTCGATGCAGAAGTCGACGAAGTATGCCCCTGGATTCAGCCTACCTAGAGAGTGTCTGACTGAGTGACCAGATGATTCTAGATTATCTGATTTGGTCAGCAAGTAAAGCTTTTCTGGATTGTAATAAGGAGGGACAGAATGACGAGATATCGTCTTCACATTTTCCACTGGCCGAGTCGGCTTTCAGCCTCGTGGACGGTAATGCATTGCAAAAGGCTCACAAGAACTCTACGCTAATAGTTATCAAGCATTTCTAAAGATATTTAAGTCGAAGCATCCGGAGCGACAAACACTCTCGCCTGTCCGGCATCGCCTGGCACTATTGAGATACTGCAGTATCTTTTTTTGCGGCCCAGACTACAGCGCTTTCACCGTCCCATCTTTGATATCCCTGCGAGATCGAAATTTAGCGCGGGCTAAGGCGTGGCAGGCTCATCAGTCCACAGTAGTTGATACGCAAATATTTCAAGAAATTGACATATCAGCGATGACCATATTCTCTTCGAAGGCGTTTCGCTCCGGTGACAATTCAATACACGAGCAATTCCGGGAGTCGACCCAAAATCCATACAAAACTGCCAACGATATTTTGCTGCTCGATACTCTACCGCTTTTCATGGAATTTTCAGCTGCTGAACTCTTGACCACTTGCGAGATGGATATAACGACTGCATGGGTGGGTTTAGCAGGAGAATACATGCTGCAATCTGTTTTAGAGCAATATTTAATTCAGGGCCTAAAGGGGCTGGAGTCCGCTAAAGAAGCATTTGCCTGGGGCTTCGGCGCTTTGAAAGCTGACGAGCCTAGCAATTCAATGGTAGGACAGGCGAATACACCATTCGACGAAGATCTCCATTCATCCACCCCTTCTTCACAGCATACTATGTTGGCCGATGTCCGCCAAAAGTTTCTATCAGAGGTATTCTCCATACCAATTGTACGCAGCAAAGCGCTTAGGTAACTAATGGATATTCAGCTATTACCCAAAAATGGCAAGGACATGGAGTTTAATCTGAAATATCTTTTAACAAAATATCCACGAAGACCCTTCTTCCAAAGGATAGCTTCACTTCTAGAAACACTACTCACAGTCCAGTCGCCGCCAGCGCTTTCAAAATTTGAGTTAGGCTTATTAGATGGACTTTCCGCGTCTGAAATGGAAGCCGTGAGAAATCGAGTTGGATGCAGATGACAATTGTTGGAAATGCGTTTTTTCCCCTTTGATAGGTGCTCTGCTCTTTGACCTCGTAACGGAGAGGAATCACTGAAGGATGGCCATATCATGTACAACGAGATTACCAATTTTAGTCTATAAAATGCCGTTCCATGTCATACATGCTATGGGATGTCTCCTGTTGCATATACCTTCGAATATCCTCACTACAATACACATTTACCTCGCGTGGCTCTTTGTTGCGTCGACAATTGGTGGACATTGATGACAAACAGTAACGATCACTGATTCAAGTGATGGAGAATTCTCTTTCTATCTGCATTTAAACTAAAATTAACTCCTCATAGGTTGACTCTGCAATCATCAAATTGTTATTTTGTTTGCGGTGCATTCCACGTATTTAATCTGACTTGCTCCCCGGCTCGAAATCGAGCACTTGCTAGTGATTAATCTTTGATTGCTTCGAAATTACCGTTCGAACCAGACAAGTATTTATTTTAAGAGCTGGTCAAATGAAGGTAGTGTATCAACTTATTCTTCTTGATGAACAAATGCAGCGATGCTAATATTGCATGGCATTGTAATGTTTGCGAGACAGTCAGTCCAGTGTTACCTAACTTGCGCCAGTAGAGTGTGCTTTCACATGGCAGACTGATGTACAACGTATTTGCAGTAAAGTTGAAGTAAAGCCAGCCTAATTAGCGTTGCTTGTGGCTCACCCTTAACGTACGGCCCCCTAGCGTAAAATTATACTCGAGGACCTTGGGCAAAACAGCTTGACAGTTTACTGTGCGCATGATTTTAAATGGCAAGTGTGAAATCATTCTTGCCCTCCCACAAATATCCACCACAGTATGTAATACCATGATTCCGAAAGTAGGTCTGCCGGCTGGCTAAGTGCAGTTCCTCACTCTTACGATGTTATATGATATAAGTCTACTCATACAGACTCTGATTAGTGGGCGCAAATCAATCATCCCGGGCTTCACAAAACTCCGCAAATGCGACGGGGACAAACGGAATGAAAACCTGCTACTACGAGCTTCTCGGCGTGGAGCGCGGAGCCTCCGGCGACGAGTAAGTATAAAAACCTGAAGATGTGACTTCAGCTAATGAAATTCTAGGATTAAAAAGGCTTATCGCAAGAAAGCACTCGAACTGCATCCCGACCGTAACTACGATGATGTTGAGAAAGCAACAAACCTCTTTGCAGAAGTACAATCTGCATATGAGGTTTTGTCAGATCCCCAGGAGCGAGCCTGGTACGATTCGCACAGGGACGTCATATTACGAGGCGGAGAGGAGGGTTTAGAGCGCCATTATGAATATGATATTCCGGTTACAACAGCGGACGATCTTAACTCTCTTCTTATGCGGTTGAATGGACGTATAGAATTCTCCGATTCATCCAAGGGATTCTTCGGTGTCCTTCGAAATATTTTCGATAACTTAGCATGGGAGGAAGAGGCAGCTTCCCAGTGGGAAGGACTAGACCCGACAGATTATCCCTCATTTGGATATGCGGCAGATACTTATGACGAGTCCGTTCGAAATTTTTACAGCGCTTGGGGCGGCTTTTCCACCAAAAAGTCCTTCGCGTGGAAAGACCGATATCGTTATTCAGAAGCACCAGATAGACGGGTTCGACGAATGATGGAGAAGGAGAATAGAAAGTTGCGGGATGAAGGCGTTCGGGAGTTCAACGACACTGTGCGATCTTTGGTAGCATTTTCGCGAAAGCGCGATCCAAGATATACGCCAAATTCACAGACTGCAGAACAACGCCAACAATTGTTACGAGACGCTGCCTTGGCGCAAGCTGCCCGGTCTCGAGCTGCTAACCTGGAAAGGCTCAAAGAGCATATCGAGCCAGAATGGTCTCAAAGTCGAGGTGAAGACGATATTGAAATTGAAAGTGAAATTGAAGAGGGTGCGGACAACGAGCAAGAAATGATTTATGAGTGTGTGGCGTGTAACAAGACATTCAAAAGTGAAAATCAGCTCCAGGCTCACGAGAAGAGCAAAAAGCATGTTAAGGCTGTTCGACAGCTGCGGAAACAGATGGAAAAGGAAGACCAAGATCTCAATTTGAGTCATCGAACAGGGGCTTTATCTATCGATGATCCCGGAGAGGCTGAAGCGCCTGCAGCTAGCACGGGGAGACAACCGACAGAGTCCCCTATAAATCCGAGCACAGATGGTCCAGATCATTTTCAAGACATCACTGAACTTGAAGGTTCAGACAGCTCCTCTCTGTATGTGCCAAACGGGGACGCCTCAAAAATTATGAGCAACGATAGCGATTCAACCGCGTCTGAGGCGTCAAGCGATGATTACGCACCAAGAGCGCAAGTTGAAGAACGAATATCCGGGAAGGGAGACGGTAAAGATACGGAGAAGCCACCTCTCGAAGAGACTCTTCGCGATGAGATAGATGATGAATTCTCTCCGGAACCGGAAGCTCATTCTGTAAAACCAAAGCTGGGAAAAGCAAAAGAGAGACGGGCAAAAAAAGCTGCTAAGCTTCAAACTGCAGACGCTCCAATGACAAATGTGTGACCCTCACATAAGAGCCTTCATGAAACTCCATCTATTCTAACTTAGTTCTAGTTCCAATGCGCCTCATGCAAAACCAATTTTTCATCTAGGACTAAACTGTTTAACCACATCAAGTCGCTGAACCACGCACAGCCCGTACCGCAAGCGACAAATCCTCTCCTAAAGAAGCGGAAATGAGAGAGCTGTTGTGGATTTTAATGCAAGCTTATCATGGAATACTACGTCGCGCTGTTGGTGACGCGTCATTGGTCAAGGGCAAGATACCTTGGAAATATCTTTGAGACATCCCCTCTTATCTGGAATACTCTTTAGGTGCCTCCAGAATCAGTCTTCTTGAAATTTGCAATCCTAGGAGCAGCGAATCCCTTATGGTTGGGCGAACCAAAGATATGTTCCGAATTGGCTTTCGCTCCTCCGCGTGAGTTCAAAATCAAAATGCTCCATTCAGAATAGAGCTTCTACTGTTGCTTGGGATTATAATTGGGCGGCGAAATAGACTATATCGAGCTTGTTTCAATGAAAAGGAGCTTTCGATGATGCTTTGGCAAAAAAAAGAACCCGGCAAGAAAACAATGTCTGGATTCAGACTTTCTGTTCAGCGATTTGTTGTGATTACAAATATACCTCAAGCGGCCATCAATGTACATCAAGAAGCATTTCCTGAATCGAACTTAACGAGTACCTGATTTCAAAAACTCTCAGTCACTCGCAGAACCCAATTAGCCTAACCCGGCCTTGGAAGTCTTGACCACATGTGCGACCGGTTGTAGAATGCCCTTATTGTGAACAGCACCTAGGGCTGTTCCTGAGCTCCAACCCATCTTCTCGAGCATTGCTCGTCCTTTATTTTCTGCTCCAAGTTCTGGGGCTGTCGCGCCCACAACATCTCCATCCCGATAAGCGACTCCCGCGCTCACGGATTTTCCGCCTGCATTTCTCAGCGCACCGTTCTTTTGACTCACGTCCATGCGAGGCAGAAACCGCTTCCGGCCAAGAATTCTGTCGATGTGTCCGCTCGAATACACATCGATTTCTCGGGACCGCGAAGTTTTATATAGGACTGGAAATCGAGATTTGCCAGATCCAACTGATTTTGACTTTAGATAAAAGGCGTTTGCGATTTCATGGACGAGTTTTCGATTCCGCTTATCCATCGGTGGAAGTGCAAGGCTGAGAATATTAGTTTTGAAACCAAAAAGCGACAAGGTTCATCATACCTTGTATGTTCAGCTCTCAAAAATTGCTTGATTTCGACCTTAATATCTTCAAGTCCAACCCCCTCCTTGTATTTAGCTTTGAGTTGCGGCTTTCCCTTCTTGGACTTTCCCAGTAAACCTTGTGCTCGCAATTCCTCCCGTTCTTTCTTCTTCAACTGCTTCTTCTTCCTGTCCTTCTCCCATGTAGAGTGTAACGATATTTCCATCTCACTGTCAGACAGCCCAAACGGAAGTGTCCCACGGCGACCTTTTGGCTTACGTTTTAGACTGGGGCGATCAAAATCCATGACATCAAAGCCATCATATGGATCGTTGTCCAGAACATCAGCCATTAAGTTAGCGGATGGAAATTGGTGCTTAGGGCGAGACTGTGGGCGGCGTCCAGGAGATGTGTTCCACATCGGAAAATTTTCAAGCTCTTCCCCTACTTCCTCATCTCCATCATCTCCATCGAACAGGATCAATTCACCAGACCCCAACCCCAACTCTTCTTGCTTCTCCAGTAGCCTCGCGATTTTCTCATCTGTCATCCTCTGTATTCTTCGTTCGATGAGATCTTCTTCATCTTGCATATCTTCCAAATAATCAAGGCCAATATCAGATCCCTCCTCTTCCTCCTCCTCTTCCTCCTCCTCTTCCTCCTCCTCTTCCTCTTCCTCTTCCTCTTCCTCTTCCTCTTCCTCTTCCTCTTCCTCCTCTGCTTCTTCTCCCTCTTCCATACCCTCATTCTCCTCCGCCTCTTCTTCTCCCCCTTCAAATTCGTCTTCGTCATCCTCAGCCACTCTTTGACCAATCTTACTTTCACCTTCGTTGCCGTTCATCTGAACCTTCTTCCGATAAGCAGCCTCATCCAAGTGTCGAGTAGGCTGCTTGATCTTGTATGTGCTTTGAGGTTCATTGACAGAATCCGCCGAAGGCTCCAAACCCTCTAATCTAGTCGAAACATCCTTGTTTGTCCGCAATTGCACTTCGAGCTCGTCCGATGTAGCACGTTGAGGAGTATGCACTGAGCGCGCTTCAACAGCCTCGGATTGCTCAGTCGTGTGAAAAGCGTCATTTACACTGCCCCCCACCAAGTGAGATAATCTGGGCTTCCTATCAACGGATTTACACGATCCGCGGAGTGGTTGAGGAGCTCGACTTGAGGATGATTGGTTGGTGGGCGTCTTTCTGCAGATGTCAACCTGGTAAGCTTGATCTACATCGCCTAAATCTCTGAGTGTATAGGTCGTGTGGCCTTCCGTGAACCCCCGATCATCATTTTCTTTCATATTTGCGATATAGTCTGCCACGATCGGGTCGTCTTCCTGGCCAGATTTGGTGACGACGCTATGGCTCTTTCGATTTTGAAATAGGGCTTGTTTTGAGAAATGGTCACGAGATTGTATATTCTCATGTTTAGGCTGGAAAGATCTGTTTCCATTGGATCGCTCTTCCGTGGCATCTCTAGAAGGCTCTTTAAACGCGGGGTCGCATCGTCTCCTAGAGGCATCTCCGGCTGAATCATCTGTCGGTTGTCCTTCAAATCGGGCTTGATGGCCTCCTCCTACAGAGGACGAAATGGTCAGAGGTGTTTCATCTAGCGTTTCCGATATGTGGGCCAAAGGTCTGTTTCTTCCAGAAAATAAGATAACTTCTTCACTTGAATCGGATGCAGCCGGCGATGACGACCGCACTCTGGGGTGTGGAAGTCCGGTCTCAAAATTCAAGGAGGATCCAACAACATCCACGGCAAATAGACTACTCTCTCTTTGAGATTCATCTTCAGTCGGTTGAGCCACCGTACCAGCCATAAAGCTGGATGCCACATCTTGATCAGGTTGGATCTTAGCCGGATTGTTCGCATCGAAATCTATCCTTGCCCCCGCTTGACGTTTGTTTGCTTCTTCTTGCTCACATGCTATAGCAGCATCCTCCTCGCCAACTAGCCTATTGGCATCAAAATTTCCTGCGCTGACGAAGGCAACCCCATTGTGACGCAATTTTGAAGCTGAGGTCCAGTACGAGTGTCGACGCTCGGTGTTCCTAGCTTCTTGTTGAAGCGAGAAATGTGATTGTTCTGCAGGGAAAATCAAGTCCGTGAGAAAAAATACAATTGTCAGAGTGACCATTGGAGAAAATCAAACCTTGCGACGAGGATTGAGTACGTGGACTCTCGACCTTCGGAGAAAACCCTGAATTGCGGAATTCAATACGACCGCCACTGAGCGGATTCTTTGCCTGGTTACGGCGGGCTCCTTTCTTCCCTTTAGCCATACTGATATGGCGAATCGATTCAGCTTTTCCACTGTAAGGTGAGACTGATATTTCAAGTGTTCGATTTCTTGTTGGAATACTTACGGTGTCACATTACCGTCAGTTGTAATCCCTCAACCATTCAGCTAAGCATAAATTGGTTAAGCGTACCCAGCTAGCAGTTTGCCGAGATCCTTAGTCAGGTGGGTCAGCCGCCGTAGCCACCTTCATCCCCGCCAATTTGCTAGTACATTACTTTACCTTGCTCTAGTTAGCTAAAGAGCTATCGCCCCTCGGAGGGCTTGATGACACAAGGTGCTGATATGCACTCATCGATATATCACTACATTGTCTCTTCATGATAGGACTGATATTATTTGCTGTTCTAGTCACCTTGGATGATGATAAATGACTGAACAACGTTATCGTATTCTTTTCTAAGGTTTTGTTTTTCGTACTCTTTTGAGCAGTCTTGGTCCATCTTTGCCGTCGTTCTGCGATAACCTTATGGTGAATTGCGAATTCGAGCCTCATTATCCGGTTTATTCCAGTTCGCAGTCTTTTTTCTTCTCTTCATACTCCTCTTCTCCTCGGGCATAAAAAGCTTCGCCATGACGAGCCCGGATCTCGGTCGCTACAAGCGCTTCGTACGTTATTTCTGGGATCCAGAGCCAGAAAATGACGATATTTCTGGAACGCCAATTTGGTGTTTAGGCCGTGAATACGTGTCTTCTGCATCAACATGCAACGACGACAGTTTTGAAACGAAGGACGATCAGTTACAAAGCGCGCCAGCAGAGGGTAATGTTACCAGCAACATTGGCGGTGATGCTACTCACTGCTTTAATGAAAGTAGGCGGGAAAGCGTCGGTGGTTGGCCGCCATCCTTCTTAGATGACTTTGAGTCAAAGATATGGCTCACATACCGGTCCAATTTTCCCCTAATCCCAAAATCACGGAATTCGAAAGCGACCTCGAATATGACCTTATCAGTGCGTCTAAGAAGTCACTTGCTTGACCCTTCCGGTTTCACCTCTGATACCGGCTGGGGTTGCATGATCAGGTCCGGTCAAAGTCTACTCATCAATACTTTGGTTATTCTAAGGCTCGGGCGAGGTGATATTCTTATTATGCATCCAATTAAGCTATTACTGATAAGGAAACAGACTGGCGAAGAGGCAGCGGGCCAATTGAGGAGAGGCGCATTCTTTCCTTGTTTGCAGATGACCCAGACGCGCCGTTCTCAATCCATCGTTTTGTTGAGCACGGAGCCACAGCTTGCGGAAAGCATCCAGGAGAGTGGTTTGGGCCATCTGCCACGGCTCATTGCATAGAGTAAGTTTGCACGTGGTCGATTATATACGTGTCACTTACGCAATGAAGTGCGCTTGTAAACGAACTGAGCGGGATCGGACTCAAGGTTTACGTGACCGGTGATGGCGACGATATATATGAAGACAGATTAATGAAAGTCGCAACAACCGAAGACGGCACCTTTACCCCTACTCTTTTGCTAGTCGGTATCCGGCTGGGTATTGATCGAGTGACTCCACTTTATTGGGAATCGTTAAAAAGTTCCCTGACTCTTTCACAATCCGTTGGGATTGCTGGGTATGTCTGCTTAATCGAAATTTTTTTTGGCAAATTTGGATGGGACTCATGAAAATCTATCAGCGGCCGGCCCTCTTCCTCCCACTACTTCGTCGGCGTTCAGGGAAGTTCCTTCTTCTACTTGGATCCTCATCAAACTCGTCCAGCGTTGCCGCTTCATTTGAACCCGGAAGACTATACGGAAGCAGAAGTCGATTCTTGCCATACAAGACGGCTGCGAAAATTACGAATTGGCGAAATGGATCCAAGTATGCTAATTGGCTTTCTGATCCGCGATGAAGCCGACTGGATTTCTTGGCGTGAACGCATCTCGAAAACTCCTGGAAAAGCAATCGTCAATATTGCATCTCAGCAAAAACCCGTTCACGGCCAGGAGTTGGGTAGAGACGACGCGATAGATGAAGTTGAACCATTGGACGACGAGTATGATGATGACATCGGCCCATGATGCTTACGGGGAACAAAGATACTAGCTTCAATAAATCGACCTGCATACTGATACCAATTCTTGCTTGTAATCATGAACGTGTTCGACAGGCCCAACGTTCAATATAATACGCTCATACAATCGAGAATACAAAGCGTGTTTCTGTCGCGGGCTAGTTCCCGGTGATTACGAGGGGAAATCGCAGATCAATTCATGAATAGCAAGTTATGAGGGAGGAAATGTCGAAATAGAAAGGTTATATCATTAATTCCTTTCGAGAGTCTGTATTTCGCAGCCCATTTACCCACAAAAAAACCGTAAAAGACATTTGCCCCATGAAAAGCAGGCCATCCCATGACGCATAAAGAAAGAACCCGAATAACACCCCTTAAATCCCACCAGTTCAACCAGACCACATGTGTCAGGTCGGATTTCGGACGCACATAATTTGGCTCGGAATTAATTTGGAAAAGAAAGAACTTATTTCGTCGAAGAAGAGTATTTGGTTACAGCCTTCGTACCCTCAGAAACAGCGTGCTTGGCAAGCTCGCCTGGGAGGATAAGTCGCACACTAAATATGTCAGCAATAGTTTAAAAGGTGTTTTTTTGGGAAACTCACGAGGTTTGGATCTCCCTGGATGAGATGGTTGACTTCTTGTTGTAAGCAGCGAGCTTAGAGGCTTCAGTGGCAACACGCTCAAAGATATCTAAACAAGTAAGCAAATGCGCCAATGGTAACGGTCCGGATTTAAAATACCATTGACGAAAGAGTTCAGAATTGACATGGCGCGATTCGAGATACCAGTGTCGGGGTGCACCTGCTTGAGAACTTGAATATAGTCAGTACCAGGTGAAGTTGATTTCCGATAGTTTTTAAAGCTCTACCTTTGTAGATATAAGAAGAGTAGGTTTCCTTTCTAGTCTTGGTGCGCTTCTTCTTATCCGAGGCGGCAGCAGTTTTCTTGCCAGCTTCACCCTTCTTCTCAGTTGGAGCCTTTCCTGCAGGCGCCTTTCCGCCAGTGGTGGGCTTCTTCTCTGCGGCTTTGGGAGGCATTTTGCTTTTCTGCGTGAATGATAGGTTTTACAACACAAATGCTTGGCTTAAAGTCGGTAAATGGTTTCTTGATAGGTTCGCAGGGTACGGAGGGTCGCTGTGGGGATGTAAAGATGAGGAAGAGGAGAAAATGATCGGATGGCGAGGGGTGCGACGGGATTTATAGGTGCGCGCTATGCGTGGGTGATCTTGGGAACTTCGCTTTCACGAGGCGCGCAAAAGTTAGTCTAATCCTGAAACGGAAAACAAGGAGATCATAACATCAGGACGCGAAGGTGGTGTCCAGGAGCTTGGTAAGGTACCTAGGTACCTCTACAGTACCTCTCTGATCTCACTAGATCATCGGTTAAGAATCGAGTATCACTGCATTCCTTATACTTGAATTCGGCTTAAGCGGACTAGCCCCGAAGTATTTCTGAAGTACTGAATCATCTCATGCCCAGTAGTTAAACCGATTCCTGGCCATGCACGCGTAGAGCAGTCCATCAATGTTTTGATTGGTCATTCGTGCCAAGCGAGTGGTTGATCTGGTCTGCCTCCGATTTACTAGCACTCCAATTGCTGCCTTTATAATCACCGTCATCCCCCATCGGTCTATCTTTTGTCACATCTAACTTTCAAATCGGCATACTCACGTCAACTTTCGCCTTCTATCACCCTTTTTTTAAATCCACTTACAACTCTCAAAATGACTGGCGGAGGTAAATCTGGTGGCAAAGCCAGCGGCAGCAGCAAAAATGCTCAATCGTAAGTACTTCCGTGGCCTCAAGAGCTTTTTTTCCAGCTGTTGTCGCATGTATTATGCTCTACTGTCAGGCAGCAGCTAACTTCCCATAGTCGTTCCTCTAAAGCTGGACTTGCTTTCCCGGTCGGCCGTGTTCACCGTCTCCTGAGGAAAGGCAACTACGCGCAGCGAGTTGGTGCTGGTAAGATTCCTCTTTCAAATCCATTACTTCTTTTGCTAACAAGTGAAGGTGCTCCCGTTTATCTCGCGGCTGTTCTTGAATACCTTGCAGCTGAGATCCTCGAGTTGGCTGGAAACGCTGCTCGTGATAACAAGAAGACTCGTATCATTCCTCGTCATCTTCAGCTCGCCATCCGTAACGACGAGGAATTGAACAAATTGCTTGGTCATGTCACAATCGCCCAGGGAGGTGTTCTTCCGAACATTCACCAAAGTAAGGCAATACGTCCCTGTATCACTCGCACCGGTGCTAATGCATTATCAGATCTCTTGCCGAAGAAGACTTCCAAGCCTGGAAAGCCGGCCAGCCAAGAGCTATGAGTTTGATATTTTCCTTTTTTTTTGGGACGGGTGTTCTTTTATTTTAACGTTACGATAATGGGGTCTCGGTTGGGAACCGGTATTATGGTTGTTTAACTGCGTTCTGGTTGTACATTGCGTCCATGGAAATGGATTAAGCACAACGACAAGCTTGTCGAATGGAAATTTTATTTTTGAAACTACGAAAACCTAGCCTTCTAAGAGTGCACGCGAAGATGTCATTCTGCTAATTTCTTACGATCTTTGCCAGTTCCGGACGAAGTATTGTTTAAGACCCTTAAGTGTAGATCGCGGTTTGCCCATCAGCCTGGTTGGCTTTCTCACCAGTTACTGTCATTGAGTAATGCTTCTTAGGGCATCTAAAGATCCGGCAGATTGATATTGCGATTGCTGCCAGTCCACCAAAGTGAATACGCCTGTGATGTCTTTTCAGTTTAAACTTCACAAGGCCTGCAATGTGACCAACCCTCAATTGGAATAAAAAGATTTCCCCTACGTTTACAGCAACATTTTTGGAGGAGCTAGAAAGAAGCATCATTATACTGCGGCTATTCTTCATCTTGGAGCATAACTTACGGTCCAAGATCGGAGCGGGGATGTTTCGCTCGTATTTAGAACCTGAGCAGCAAGGGCAAGACCCTTTCGTCAGCTTCAACATCGATAAGTGCAATTTAAACACATACCACCGGGTGCGGTTGGTGGTCGATAAGAGTCGGGATGTTTCCACTTCTCCAGGACCTTTTCAGTTTCCCAAAGCAGTTCCTTATTCTCCGTATTAGTCTATAGTTCAACGATTGAGGAACGTTAACGGCAGGGAAGCTTACCTTTTGTTGCCGTGGGTCACGGACGTCCTTGTTGGCTTCAAATAGGGAGCGGATATAAACTGCTTGACCTCGCCATACATATCTATGTACAGACCAATCAAGCGCAAGCTTCAGCGAGCGACGGTACAATGCTCTATATAGCTCACAGAATCAGAAGTGTTTCAATCCGTACAATGCTGCGATGAAATACATACTTCACTGATTGTTGGGCAGCCATGGTGGAACACTGTGTTCCTTCAAGGAATAGACAGATAACGCCTTCCCAGATGCTCGAGCAGATTCGGATAGTAACTTCGTGGGCATTAAATGTATGATCCGCTTCCTTGGAAGTATTCTTCACTAAAGACAACAGATTGTGGCTCTGAGGAGCAATCGTCCAACGGAGGATGGATCAAGGGGATGAGCGGAACTAGGTCAACAAGTTTGGGGCGAGTGCGCACCCAGGCTTGGTAGGTACCTGTACTTACTGCTAAAGTAGGTAAGGTACTTACCTTACCCCACACATGTACCCCATGCCTCGGGTACAGTACGATCTTGGGATGTTTCTGTGGAGCAGCGCTTTTAAGGCATGCACAATAGTCCTTATGTTACGTACTGTCCGGAGCCGTACACGTACAGCGAATTTGCGGAGCTGAGTAGAGTCCACACTTGACTGCCTGACAGCGACCTAATTCCATCGGAACACGTCGCCAAATTCAAGTTTATGATAAAAAATGATCTATTGTAATTGCACCATTGCAATCCAATTCTTACTGATGTTTATGTTGCAAGTGTCATTTTTATGTCGGATTAACCGTACACATCTAACCCAGTAGCAGAGGGGATGCTGTCTAGCACGCTTCAAGAAGCAGGAATAATTGACTACACAGACCAAGCTGGAAGTAGAAGAAGTGTATTCTGCGAAATATGCTTCACCTATATACACGTGCTTACAGAGGTACTGCACAAAGTTGAAAGAACAAACTTATCCATCGGTTGAACTTGCGGTTATCAAGTAATCAATGCCTGCGCTTGAAAATAAAAGATCAGTTCAACCTCATCTCTGCACCAATAGACTACCGTGAAGTATAAACAAGCTTCGGCTCGAACCTGCTGAGCACGCAGTGGTCATTCGACAAATACTGTGTTATGGTCATAGTATTTGCAGATTAGTCCTCCGCCTCAGGGATTTTCGATTCGTTCGCTCAGCCCAATAGCATTCGCCGGGGGTCCTCGATGAATTCCTTAACCTTGATTGGTAATGTGTCAGAGAACTCTTTCAATCATACGGGTCAGAGCTGGGGATCAAGATTACCTTCACCAAGAAAGTCACCGCCTCCCGTCCATCGAGAAGGCGATGGTCGTACGTAAGAGCCAAATACATGATCTGTTGTAGAAGGATCGTTAGCTCAGGGAATTCATATTCTCCTGGCTGATATTCACTCACCGGTCTGATCTCAATTTTTCCATTGACTACAACGGGCCGTTCTTTGATGGCATGCAGGCCCAACACGCCTACTAGAAGTTAGCCAATCATCATTCCTAAGGTGACAGGTAAAAGGCTGCATACCAGTCTGGGGTAGGTTGATGATGGGTGTACCCATTAGAGATCCGAATACTCCGCCCTTGAATGGATATCTATTAGCCAGATTCTGGAAACTCCGTATATCTTTCCAAATCTTACATTGCTAATTGTAAACGTTCCGCCAGCCATATCCTCGATTGTCAGCTTGTTATCCCGAGCCTGTAGGTTGCAATGGTCAGCACGTGTATTCGAGCTCGAATCTCTACTACGTACCTTTTTACCAAGATCGGCAATGGCTTTTTCAATTCCAACCATATCCAGTGATTCAGCGTTACGAACGACTGGAGTTACCAATCCTTTCTCCGTGGCAACAGCAACACTAATGTCGACGTAATCTCTAAAGACAATGGTGTCGCCACCATTAGGGCCTTCAATAGAGGCGTTGACTGCTGGGATCTCTTTCATTGCCAGGACACAGGCGCGCGAAAATGCGCTCATGAACCCAAGTTTGACTCCAGTCTTCTTTAGCACATCGTCCTTGTACAATTTACGGAATTCCATGAGAGCCGACATATCAACTTCGTTGAATGTGGTTAGCGAGGCAGCAGTATTCTGGGACTGCTTAAGGCGTTCCGCGATTCGAAGGCGCATGCGATTCATTTTCACCTGTGATGTTTGAGCATTTTTGAATGCAATCTTGGGCTTCAGCTTTACTCACCCTGCGCTCCTCTCGACTACCCGGAGTAGTGGGCCCGGCAGCTGCATCCGCAGACGGCTTTTTCGATTCGGGCTGCTTCGGCGCCTCTGGCTTTTTGGGAGGCTGAGCAGGTTCCGCTTTCTGTTGGGTTGCAGCTGCTGCCGGCTGATCCTCTTTATCTTTGGACTCAGCCTTGGGCTCCGATGTAGTGGGTTGTTCTTTCGGCGCGGGTTCTTTGGGCTCTTCTTTTGCCTTTTCTGCCTGTCCACCTTCGGGTGGACCGCCCAGCTCGAGTCTAACGATGTCTTGTCCAACGGTGACTGTGTCCTCTTCCTTGGCTAGAAATTCTTTGATCGTACCCGCCTCCGGCGCGTTGACAGCAACGTCAATCTGATTTACGGTCAGTGGATTGATTAAGAGTATCGGTGCCTCGCGCTACTCGATTTCATACCTTGTCTGTTTCAATTGTAGCAATCTCTTCGTCTTGTTCGACATAATCACCAATCTCTGCCATGTCTAAGCCCCGAACATTCCCAGCATATCTGATATGTCAATTGACTACTTACGTTTTGAAAATTGCTTCAATGTTCCCTCTGATATGGATTCTGCCATTTCTGGCACCTTTACAACCTTATCGGCTACACCAGTCAGTGTCGATTTCCTGTAAAGGGGCTGCCGGAGGGAATACCATAATGGCAATGCTGCGAAAACTTTGTCCATGAGCAGCGCATTGGCGCAATTGACATTCTAGCGTAAAAGAATTAGCTCCATATGATGTTCAGTATTTCCATAATCGTACCTTGCGGAAAGCAGAAGGAGCGGTGCCTTATTGGTGGTCGCTTTTGACGAGAAACTGCGGTTGTTCAAAGGCAGTATTCTAGAGGGCTTCAATTGACGCGCGGAAATGACATTGTGTCGGGTAATAGAAGTCTGGCTTATAAGCCGCGATGAGCATTGCCTGCTGGCCATGATAGGGTACTTTATGCAATTGAATGGAGCAATTGTGGATGGACGAGCGATCTCAAGATTCGACAATTGGGGAGATCAAGGCTGATCGGAAGCAATGAAGAGGTAGGTGAGCTAATATTAACCGAGCTACTTGGCCAGGAAACCAATCTACGTAATGACTCGTTTAAGTTAGGTAGTTACTTGTTGAGCTTTTGATAATTATCTTTATAATTTCAATTTAATCAATGTAAGAGATTGAGGTTATTTAAGGAGGTGACCATTTCGTATGAAATTGATACAATTTTGAGGGGGTATAAAGCCTGAAATCGAAGAACAATATAATTTCAATAGCGCCTTTTTTTTTTTTCTTTTTTTTTTTTTTAAAAAAAAGGTTTTAATAGTATTACTGGAAACAAAGTGAAATGAGGTTGGAATATGATCCTGAAGTTTAACTAGTTAGGTATAAATTGATAATTCGTAATCGAGAATTAAAAAATAAACTGCTTATAGTCTAATATAAATTTCATTACTCCATGCAATCAAAACAGCATCCTTGGACAATTTGTTACAGGTAATCTAGAAATCCTAAGTAAAATTTCAGTCAGTACTTTGCTCGAGAATACAACACCTATAGAAAATCTTATTCTGACTTAATTAGCTTATCGGACCTGAGAGCATAATAGGCACATCCTTCTCCCGACAAGAAGTTTAAATGGTGAGGTTGATTATTAATTACATTCTAGAAATTATTCTTGTCTTAAGTACTCTTGTTAGATACTCCCCCAGGGAAGGCTTCAATATGCCCCCCGGGTTGAATCATCCCAAGTCTATCATACAGTGTCCGTGCTCTAGTATAAGGATCCAACTTCCAGTAATTGAGCCTGAGTTGATCTGCAAGTGAGATCCTCTGCTGCACTAAACTGACCGGTTCCTTGTCCTCGGAGTTCCTCGAGGACCATTGAAGCGTTGCTTTTTCGAATTTCTCTACAATTCCTGCACGCTCATCGAGCAGCTTCTCGCGCGCAGCTTTGTCCGACATTGAAATATTTTCATCGTCCTTTGGTTCAATGTACTGATAAGACCAATCATCATCTCCACCAAGTTCTTTCAATATCCGATCGCGGGGTATGAAGTTCTCCAATTCCTCCGCATTTCTTGTAAAATGAATTTTGCCGGCCACGACAGGATCCAACCAACCTTTAATGATGTTCCAAATCCCTGGAAACCATTAGCTACTTGAGTGTAGGACAAATAAGACAATGCAAACCTTGAAACACCCATGGCGCCTTATGGATAAGAACAACGCCCAGACTCTCAGGATAATTTGCTTCAAAACATTTGATCATGAATTTCAGCGGAGCATAATCCTACAGCACACATTAGAGAGAGATCAAAGGTATCGAATGTTGAGCTTACCATGTTCGCCATTGAGAAACCCGTCATGTCGAAAATAACAGCCTGCAAACATTAGGAAGACATTCAAGCAGGACAATATTGAGGCCGCAAGGGAAGAAAGGCAGAAAGACATACAGCTGTATCGACGGGCGGGGAAAGAAAAAGTCGCGCCGTTTCAATGACGTACACCGTAAATCTCTCCAAACTTGCCTCACTTTGATCACCTTGCCTGTGAAGACGGACTCTAATAAAGCACATCGGACGACCTTCCTTGTCCACGCCTCGAATAAAGCTTTTGCCTAGTCGCAACTGAGCAAGAAAGTCGCTAGCTTCTTGTTTGGCAGCGGCGTTTGATTTGTCGGAGACGGAGGCAATTGCAGCAGCGCCTTCACCATGATAGACAATATCGTCGTCTACGTGCATCTCTTGGCCTCTCCAGTGCATTGTTGAAATCAACATGACTAGAGCTTTGTCAACGTCCCATTTCCTTGCGCGTAAGAACCGAAGCAGAAGGGCATCGGGATTATCATGCTTGACCATGCTCCAAAACGCGGTTCGCAGAGCTTCCGGTGACTGGCTAGCCAAAGCTTGATTGTAAGACTTGGCTTGCCCATATTTGTCGTCGCCTTCTTGAGCATAACGGGGATTTGATTCTGAGCCTCCGATTTTGGAAGGATTGGCCTCAGAGTCGGCATGATTACTACGACTCTTTCTGCTAAAGAGGCCTATGCGCTTTTTCTTCTTCTTCTCTGAGGCTGGATTGTCCGATTTTGTTCCATCTTCAGAAATATCGGACTGGGGAGGAACGGGCGTCGAAAGGCCACTCTCTTCGTCACTAGCGTTCTCCGCAGAAACCCCAAAAACGTTCAGAGCCGCAGTCCAAAGTTCCCGTAGTTTTTTTTCCTGGTCGTCAGTAAGGTTGCCTGGACGACCTGGAGGAGCGGACTTGTCCATGCTGCTGAGAGGTATAATTTCCAAGTCACCCTGTGAAGCAGGTTTGGGGGAGTTTTCTCTCAGGCAAAAGGGTAAGAAGAAAAAAATGCTGATCGCCAAAGCAATACCGACGGAAGTAACCCCTCTCTTTACAATTTTCTGGGACGACCGTGGCGTCGTATAGAATGATGTCAAAGAGGTTCGGATCGATCGGCTCTGAGTCCTCGGAATAGTAGGAGAAATTCGGTTGCTGGCGCAATATGTTCTGGTCCAAATGGATTGTCCAAGCAGTCTTCCAGCTGTGGGATACTTGGAGCAGTAAGTCATAGGAGAAACACAATTGCCTTATAGTCTAATCTCGAGATCTGTAGTTTGATGGTTGAAATTAGATTTGGGAAGTAGTAGTTAAAAGATGAGGAAAATTGTAAGGTTGGAGTATTAATAAAATATTATAATAAAAATTTAAATTAGCTTTAAAATTAAAATATTTAAAACTTTGAAATTTTAATAATTAACAGTTTGTTGTAATTTATTTGGCTTTATATAAATTATTTAGAATAATAATTTTAAAAATTATATATTATTATATAATATTATAAAAATAAAAAGTTTAAATCATTTGAAATTTTAATATAATATTTAATTATTTGAATTAAAAATAATGTATTTTATTAACTCTATAAATAAAAAGTTAAATATAAAATAAAAATTTTATTTTTAAACAAATAATAATAATTAATAATATAACAAGATAGCTATATAGATAAAAAGCTAAATATATAGTATAAATTTTTATTTTAATTCAATTATAAATATAAATATTATTTTATAAAATATAAAAATAATTTAAATTAAAAAAATTTATATAGTAATTATTGTACTATATTATATTATTTATATATTATATATACTTTTTTTATTTTTAATTAATTATACTATACTTATTATATTTTTAAAAAATCTATCTAGAGTTTTTTAAATAGTTTTATCTATACTATTTTTATTAATATATTACATATATGCAAATAATATAAAATTTTAAATTATCTATCAAACTTTATAAAAAATAATTAAATAGTTTTTATATTATTTATTTTAAAAAAAATCTTTTTGTTTTAAAAGTTTTTTTCTCTTAATAAAGTTTTTATTATGACAAATAGCTATAAACCTGGACAAGCTAGACTTTAAAAATATATAAATATAGAAAAACTTTATATTAAACTATATATACTTATATGTAAATAGTATAAATTTTTAATTTATTTAAAATTATTTTTAATTAAAACACTTAATATTTTATATTATATAAATAAATTTAAATTATTAATCTAATACTAATAATTTTAAATAATTTTAAATTTTAAATTAATTTAAATAATTTAAATATAATAAAAAATTTAAAATTTAAAAAAATAAAAAATAAAAAAATAATTATAATAATTTATTTCCTATTTGAAACTGGCTTACTTTACTATTAGTAATAAACTAGAATAAAAAAAAGTAAGGCAGAAGTTAAATCTATATTATAGTAAGAGAAACTTTTACTAAATAGCTTTATTAGTAATAAACTAGAGCAAAAAAGGCAGAATTTTATTATAGTAAAGAAAGCTTTTGCTAGATGGCTCTATTAGTAATAAATTAAAGTAAAGGAGATAGAAGTTAAATTTGTATTATAATAAGGAAAGTTTTTGCTAGATTATTATATAGAAGATTTAGTAATATAAAATATAAGGAAATAATGCTAGAGTATAATGCTCAAAGATAAAGTCAAAGATTAAAATTTATAAACTAGTCTAATTTTAGAGCTTAATATTATACCATTGAGCTAAAAGTACTTTTTTTTAAAAAATAATTTAAAATAAAAAATATATATAGTAGAAAAAAATAAAAAAAATAAAAAAAATAAAATTTTCAGCTAGAAATTAAATTCAGGTACTTAAATACTTATAATATTTATATATTTCTTAATTAGGAAATAGCATTTCAAATAGTATTTTTTTTAAAATAAATTTTTTTATTTTTTTATTTTTTAAATGTGTAAAATTTTTAAATTATTTTTAAATTATTTTTAAATTATTTTATAACATTTAATAAGATTTAATATTATTATAAAGTTTTTAGAATTTTTAATTAAATATAAATAATTAAAATATATTTTAAATTTAAATTTAATATAGAAATATATTTTATATAATTTAAAAATTTATACTATCTACATGTAAGTACTACAATAAATTTAAAAAATATATTAAAAAAGTCTATAGCAAAATTAATAAGGTACAAGTAATAGAACAAAAGCTTTAGATAATGTAATAAAAAAAATTAATAGCTTTATATATAATAAACTTTATACAAGTAGCATTAATTGTATCATGAAAATAGATACTATTAATTATAATCTTCTATAACAGACTTAAAAAATGAGTTAAATACAAAATAGCTTGTAGAAAACAATTTAAAACAATGTATAAAATAATAGAATTAACTATAAAAATCAACAATTATTAATATAAGCAAGAACAAGAAAAAAACATTAAAATCCAGGTTATAAAATAAACTATTAAATAAATATTAAAAAATACCAAAACAAAATACTAAACAGAAATAATCTAATAAATTTTAATACAATACAAAAACAAGACTTTAAAAAACTCATTAATAAAGAAAAAAAGTAATAATACTTTGAGAATAAAACTTGTTTATAATGTAAAAAAATAAATACTAGAAAAAAAACTATAGAACAGGTTAAGCCAAGAAATTTAGTAAAAAAAATCAAGAGTATTAATATCTAATTTTTGTAAATAATGAAACAAGAAAAATAGAAGATATTTATTAAAAAAAACTTAAATTAAATTCTAGCATAGATTAAATATAAAAAAATTATATATAATAATTAAAAGATATAGTTAAAACCAGTATAAAATTTATAGAAAAACTTATATTAAACTAAATATAATACTTGAAAAATAAAATTAAATTTAAAACTTAAAATTCTTTAAATACTAAAATTAATAGTTTATGACTATTTAAAATAATTATATTAAGTTAAATTTAGCTTAAAAAATTTTATAGCAGAGGTTTAAAAATTATTTTAATTTAGTTTTAAGTTTAAAATAATTAATAATAGTTATAAATTATTAAATATTTATATATGTATTAAAACTATTATTAAACATTCTATATTAAATTAAAAATTTTAAATATTAAAAGTTAATAATTAATTAAAATTTAGTTTAATTTAATCTAATTTAATTTCAAATTTATTATTATTTAATTAAATTTTATTTAAATTCTATTTAAATTTAACTATATTTATAAAATATAAATTATATAAATTATATAAATAATAAATAATAAATAATAAATAGCCATTATTAGATGATATTGTTTGTTTATTTATTTATTCTGCATGCAGTCCTAAAGCTATAGCAGGATCTATGGTTTAAATATATAAAATATGTATTGAGCTTTTGGAGATCATTCTAGAATCAATCAAGCTAATACTAGATATTATTTATCAAAATAAAACAAAAGAAAATTAGTGTAATATAAAGAAAATAATAAAGATAAACAAAGTAAAAGTAATAAAAGTAATAAAAAAGGGTCAAAATTTGGTTTTTTTTTCTGGTTTTTTAATTTTAGAAATTTCAAAAAGTATTTTTATCTTGAAGTCTACTCTAGTCTTATAATATTTTTTGTTGATGTTGTTTTTCTTGATATAGTAACCATATTCTTGATGCTACTTTAGTAGTATCTAGATATTCCAGTAAGTAGTTCCAGTTTCTTCCAGTATATAATATTTTCAAAGTAAAAACTTTTTTTTTTACTTTTTGTATTAAAACTTTTCTAGCTTCTTTTGTTTGAGAGCAGGACAGTAATAGATGAGCTGAACTCTAAGTAAAGTTGCAGATAAAGCTGCATTTTTTTAACTCATATATAAATAGCCTGTATAGGTAGGATTTGAAGTAACCATGTCTTATCTTGAGTTGAATGGCAGTTGTAACTAGTTTTCTTCTAAGGTCTTGGTATCCCTCAAATAGCTTCTAGTGTGGAAAGGTTTGAAACTGTTTATAATATTTTCTTTTAGAAGTAGTTTGTCATTGGTAAATCTATTGCTCAAGGATAAGCTTTTTTAACTTTCTTTTCAAGTAGCTGTATGAAGTATATGCATCCTTGTGTAGTTTGTTGGTATATGTTATTCCATGCTTGGCTGCTTTATCTGCTTCTTTATTTCCTAGTATTCCTTGATGTCCTGGAACCTATTGAAGGTGGATTTGAATATTATTGTCTTTGAAAACTTGAATAGCAGAAAAAATTTGTAGTAGTAGTTGTTGTCCAGGTCCAGCTATAGGATGTTGTATTGTATCTAAGATACTTTGATTGTCTGTAAATATCCAGATAGTTTTGGAATTTATAGTTGATCTATATACTATCCATTTTATTGCTTTAGTTAAAGCAAAAAGTTCTGCATCATAGATTTCCATATATGAGCCCAGATGCCAGGAAAAAGTATATATATCTTAACAGTATGTAATATAATATCCTGTTCCTGCTATTGTTTGTAATGATTCATCTATATATACTATATAATTTTCTTCTGGAATTTGTTTTTGAAGGATATTTAGTATTGTTTGGTGTTTTTCTATCATATCAGACTTGAAATACTTGTCTTTGATGATAGATATAGCTGGAAATTGTTTTCATGGAGGCCATTTAGTTATTATGTAGGATTCTAGCTCTGGTATAATAGGTAAAATAATAGCTAATTTAGCTAGTATTTGTATGTACTGAGTAGGATATGCTTTTGATTTTAACTGAGTAGATTGTTGATTCCAGTCTAGATACTTGGTAGTATCTATATCTTGTTCTATTTATAATATTGGAGAAAATTCTTTAGGAGTTCTTTGTTTAAGTGGATGTGACAAGTATAGTATAGTTATTTTCAATGCATATTTATAGCTGTGAAGTTCTAGCCTGAGGTTGAGAGGTATTTACATACAGATAGTATAAATTTTTAAATTGTTTTAAAATATTAAAAATAGTACTAATTTATAATTAATAGATATAAATTAATTTTAATTATTTTAATTATATATATATGATTAATTATTTATATTTATATTAATCAATCAAAATTTAATTTAATTTATATTTAATAATTAAAAATAATTTTTTAAATTATATAAAATATATTTTTATATTAAAATTAAATTTAAAATATTTAAAATATTTATATATTTAAACTAATTTATATTAATTTAATAATTGTATTGATTTTATTTAAAATAATTAAATATAATTTTTTATATAAAGTTTTATATTTAATAATTTTAAATATATTTTAATTATTTATATTTAATTTAAAATTTTAAAAACTTTATAATAATATTAAATCTTAGTAA